GCAAGGAAACTGGTGGTCTGAATCACTCCCATCTTCACCTCCTGGGCTTTGAGTAGGTTGATGTAGTGACCATTACAGCACAGTAGCATCTCACGGAGTGGAGTTTTATTAGCAGCCTTCAATACAGCGCCTTTTCTGAAGGAGACAATGAATTGCGGTTGTGGATGTTTGTGTATCTATTTGAAACGCTGTAATTCATAAAAAAGGACGCGGGTGGCACTGTGGGTTAAACCACAGAGCCTAGGACTTGCCAATCAGAAGGTTGGCAGTTTGAATCCCCGCGACGGGGTGAGCTCCTGTTGCTTGGTCCCTGCTCCTGCCCACCTAGCAGTTGGAAGGCATGTCAAAGTGCAAATAGATAAATAGGTACCGCTATGGCGGGAAGGTAAACGGCGTTTCCGTGTACTGCTCTGGTTCGCCAGAAGCGGCTTAGTCATGCTGGCCACATGACCCAGAAGCTGTACGCCGGCTCCCTCGGCCAATAAAGCGAGATGAGCACCGCAACCCCAGAGTCGGCCACGACTGGACCTAATGGTCAGGGGTTCCTTTACCTTTAATTCATAAAAGATATGTCTCCTTGTAACTTGAGACCTGGCCATTTACAAATGGAACGTTGATGCAAAACACAGGATCACTTTTGACCCAGTTTTTTCAGATGTAACTTAAAAAACACAACTATGAAGGATTACCTCAGACTACACTCCCACCTTATGCCAAGAAGACACAAGTGCACACAAGTTTAATTATGCAGGTGGTGGTGAGGAACTTGTCCAGAAGCCACGTTGCAAATGGCAGAGGAGTTGCTGTGGCCTCTATAGATGCTGTTCTGCAATCCCTGCATGTACAGTGGTACCTCGGGTTACATACGCTTCAGGTTACAGACTCCGCTAACCCAGAAATAGTGCTTCAGGTTAAGAACTTTGCTTCAGGATAAGAACAGAAATCGTGCTCTGGCAGCACGGCAGCAGCAGGAGGCCCCATTAGCTAAAGTGGTGCTTCAGGTTAAGAACAATTTCAGGTTAAGAACGGACCTCTGGAACGAATTAAGTACTTAACCCGAGGTACCACTGTAGTTTTTTTTCAAACGCATGTTCAGTATTCACAGGCTTCAGTGGCAGGCTGTACCCCTGCTGTATGTATGTTTTGCTGCACATCTGCAATGTGCAAAGACATTGTTCCATTGGGAAACTTGCAAAGATGTCTGACAGACTGCACTGGAGGGAAAGCTGGGTGGGACGGACCTATGAACATCCTACTTTGCAAGCATCCTTTGAGCCCACGGAGCACTTACCTGTCTGCAAATGTTTGAAAAGAACTGTTGTTTTTGGAATTAGCGGTCATTTTAAGGGGGTTACAGAAGATGGTTCCGAGTACTCAAATATTTATGTTGCTTGGATCTGCCATCTTAAGTCAAATTCAGTTCCCAATAACATTTTCAGTAAACACATCACTTTGCACATTCTTGTAAATAAACCTTGAAGGGCAAAAAAAGGACATCAAAGTTGTTTCACTTTCCAATTTATTTAATTTGTGTAGCCTTTTTATATTAAGATATTGTACAACATAGATTTCCAAACAAAGAGTACAATTCCTTGTGCAGAGAGTGGGTGCAGAAAGCACAAATATTATTTGGAATATTACAGTACAACTGAGTATAAGGCAGCAGAAAATTATACATGTTTTGGTTATTGATTAATACATTCATTTCAAAAGAGTCATCTACACAAATGTCTATTTTCCATGAGTGCTGAAGATAAAGTTAAGGCATTTATTAACTTGTTATATATAAGTATACACTGTCAGAAAGATTAGCCCTAGGTGACACTGAGTAAGTTCTATTTTACTCTTATCAGGAAGCGTAGACTGGCCTTTGATTAGAATTGAGCTTGGATAGAATGAAGTTCCAGTGAAAATAATTCCACCTCTGCTGCACCTGAACCTATACTGTCTGCGGCTAGCTTTCTTTCTACTCTTTTCCTCAACCCTTCCACTTTCTGATACCTGGCAAGGAACCAGGCAAACAGGGTAAGATGATTCGGCAGACTGCCAAGCCATCCATCCACTCTGCCACTATCTTCTACACACATTAACAAGCACCAGGTTTTGTAGAAGCGAAGTCACATAACTTCATCTCCTTTCCACTATCAACTATGAAGGGAGCTAATGAGAGCAAGATGAGATATTGCACAGATGGAGGGAAAACCAAAGTGTGAACTGTAGCTTGTTCATCAGTTTTGACTGCTCCAGTAGCATTTAAAGGAAGACATGCTTCTGCTTGTGGCTGGCGATACCAACATGGGAAGTTTCCACCTTGCCAACCTGAAATATATAATGTCATCCTTCCAGTGTTACCAGAACAGTGCAAGAGAAGGCATGCCGCTTCTAGGGACTTAGGAATAGGTCTTTTTCTTCCCTAGCTTTTACTGCAACTTGTTAAGCGGGATTCTCATATTTACCCTTTGGTTGCTTCCAAGTCCTAGAAGCCCTGGCAAGCAGAAGAGATTATGAACAGGCTGCTCAAGTGATCTATTGGCAGAGCTATCTTCATTACATTGAATTTGTGTGGTGTAGCAAATCGTTTTGCCATTGTAGAGTGCCTGAATGGCATCGGTGCCCAGCCCGACCTTCTTAATATGACATAAGCTTACCAAGCGTCTCACCAGAAACATTCTTTTTGCTGGCTTCTGAAATCAACTTAATTGGTCCTTCGACAGAATGCATCTTACATTATCAACACTGGAAGTATTTCTTTTATTGTTATTATTTTTTAAACACCTTTATTCTGTAGGCATATTAGCTTAGCAAGCTTCATAATTATTGCCAACACTATTTTCTTCTAGAAGCAGGTTTTGGCTTCCCCAAAGCATGTGTTTTGTAATAAAGGTACACATGTGAAATTTACAAAGCTGCAATTTGTGCCACTTACTTGGGAGTAAGACCTACAGAATTCAGTGCAACATCCAACTAAACATGCAAAACACCTGATGAAAATCATATTACTATGTTAAACGTAGCAGTCCTTCTCCATCGGACCTTTAAAATGACCTAAAAGTAGGTGGAGGGAGATGGGGTGAAACAGACTTAATGAAAGGCTGGAATACTTTTGCATAGTAGCACTTGGCAACGAGGATCGAGAGATTACTATCTCGTCCCATGCTCTTTTTAGCAAACCTATTTTTAGCCTCATTCAGGGTGAAAAAAGAAAAGTATTACGGATCATCCTAACGGAAGTGTTCATATTGCATTCACCTTCTGAATTGTGTAGGTTAAGGCAGCAGGACATCATTTCAACTAGCTCAATCATGGCTCCATGCCAACCCTTGTTGTGCTAGGACCCCGATCTAGGAGACTGGGTGCACAGTGGATCCCACTATTGCTGTGGACGTTCAAATGGCATGAAGACGAACAATTAAAAAAGCTCTGGATTAGGCCTGCCTAAATGGTGTCCACCAAGCCAAATGCACCCCACCAACTGTGCACAGGAACCCATGAAGGGACTTAGTAAAGCTTTCCATTTTGCTTTGTGGTCAGGAGTCAGGAGATCTGGCCATGGTGTGGTGTGGCTGCTTGCTACTGTTGCCACTTACTCACTGCACCCACGTCTCCCCACGGTGGAAGGCAGCAGTTTTGATTATGGAAGCCAAACCTGCCTTTGGCTCTGCTCCGTGTCAGGCGACTGCCACATACAGTGGTACCCCGCAAGACGAACGCCTCGCAAGACGGAAAACCCGCTAGACGAAAGGGTTTTCCGTTTTGGAGGCGCTTCGCAAACGAATTTCCTATGGGCTTGCTTCGCAAGACGACAGCCCATAGGGAAATCTCAGGGACAGCGGGAAGCGCAGCGCGTCTTCCCCACTGTCCTCGGACCTCCTCCGAAGCCTGGCGGCGGGGCGGGGACACCTCCTCCCGCCGCCGCCGGGCTCGAAGGCTCCTCCGAGCCGGGCGGGGGGAGGGAACACCTGCCGCCGCGCGCCCGGCTCGGAACGGTGCTCCGGCCGGGCGGGGGAGGGAACACCTGCCGCCGCCGCCCGGCTCGGAACGGTGCTCCGGCCGGGCGGGGAGGGAAGACCTCCCGCCCTGCCCGGCTCGGAACGGTGCTCCAGGCCGGGCGGGGGGAGGGAAGACCTCCGCCTCTGCCCGGCCCGGACGGTGCTCCGAGCCGGGCGGTGGGGAGGAAGACCTCCCCGCCGCCCGGCTCGGGACGGTGCTCCGGGCCGGGCGGGGGAGGAAGACCTCCCGCCGCCCGGCTCCGGAACGGTGCCCGGCCGGGCGGGGGGAGGGAACACCTGCCGCCGCCGCCCGGCGTCGGAACGGTGCTCCGAACCCGGGCGGGGGGGGGGGGGGAAGACCTCCCGCCACGGCCCGGCTTCGGCACGGTGCTCCGAGCCGGGCGGGGGAGGGAGACCTCCCGCCTCTGCCCGGCCCGAACGGTGCTCCGGGCCGGGCGGGGGAGGGAACACCTCCGCCGCCGCCCGGCTCCGGAACGGTGCTCCGGGCCGGGCGGGGGAGGGAAGACCTTCTGAAGGCGGGCGGGGGCGAAAGTCTTTGCTCCCCTGCCTGCCTGTCCCGGAGGGCTTGAAGGCGGGGGAGCAAAGACTTCGCCCCGCCCGCCTTCAGAAGAGGTCCAGGACCTCTTCTGAAGGCTGGCGGGGGCAAAGTCTTTGTCCCCCTGCCTGCCTTCCCAGGGGCTTAAATTGCCCCGGACAGCGGAGAAGTCCTCCGCTGTCCCGGGGTGATTTTAAAATGCCGCCCGCCAGCATTTTAAGATCGCCCGGACAGCGGAGAAGTCCTCCGCTGTCCCGGGGTTTTTTAAAATGCTGGGGGTGGGAAGAAAAGCCCTTGCCCCCCCCCCCCCCAGCCTTCAGAAGGGGGCCGGGGACCGACTGGCCCCGGACCTAGTCTGAAGCGGTCTCCTAGGAACGCATTAATTGATTTTCAATGCATTCCTATGGGAAACCGTGCATCGCAAGACGAAAAAACTCGCAAGACGAAGAGACTTGCGGAACGAATTAATTTCGTCTTGCGAGGCACCACTGTATCAGATTCTCCAAAATGCCATGCCTGGCTTCACTGTTAGGCATTGCCTCCTGAGGAGTGCAGGTTGCATTTACATTTTTTCTTTATTATACATAGTTTTCTGCTGATGAGCCTAACTGCACATGGCTGCATGGTGAATTAGTAAAATTTGTTGGTTTGACGTGCACAAAAAAATACTGTATGGCTTCTTGCTTGTTCTCAGAGATAAATGTGTCACAGTGGGATTAAAATTCTACCTCTCAACTCCTGTAACTGTTAAGCAACCCACTTTGACACGTCATAGATTTGCAGGCTATCCGGTCAGGATTTTAAAGGACTATGTAAAACAACACTTGTAGCTACAATATAATGCTTCCACACTCCACAACAAATACCCCATTCAGGGCCATGAATGTTTATTCAATTAATTATGAATTTCGCTTTGGAATATAAGCTAATGCAAAAAAAGAAAGAAAAGAAGAAAACTCTCTTTTTAAAATCTCAAATGAATGTTTTCGAGGAACAAAATACCCTTCTAAGACACATAAATTATTTAGGAAGCAGATGTCTGCATTGTAACGGACAATTCATATCAATGACTGGCTGCCACATAGATTGCCTATTCCTTTGAAGCTTTGACTCTAGGCAGCCAAAACCCATTCCTGTTGCTGGTTTGCCGTGGTGTAAAAAGGTAAAGAAAAGAGTCCTCTGATTCACCCTGGGAGCATCAGCACAAGGAGAAGATGCCATACTTAGGACATTCCAAGCATTTGGCCATTTTATATAATATGTACCTTATACTGATTGTTGCTGGGTGTAAACTAGCCCAGCCCTCCCCAGTCTGGTAATATCTGCATATTTTGGACTACACCTTTCATCTGTCTCAGCCTGGATTACCTTGTTGGCTGATGAGACTTGTCCTCCAAAACATTAGGCAGGCAACAGCCTGGGGAAGGCTGAACTAGCCTTTAAAACTAAGTCAATATATAGCATGAAAGATTATCTGGATAAATTCAGCCCAGATTAGGCACTTTGTCACTGATATGACGTGCTTAGCAATCCACCACTGAATGAAAAGGGATTTGCAAATGCTTAATTTTGTGGAGCGCCATCTTGAGACCTACAGATTGTGGCAGTGATGCTTTCAGAATCCTAGGCCCTGTACAAATACACCACTCTTTTCTGTTCGCCCAGAGGCTTGGAGCAGCAAGGCACAGCATAATACAAATACATGATATCAAGTTTTAGGAGCTGGGGTTAAGGTACTGTACAAGGATTTTAAAAACAACAACAGCTGACCAGATTTATTCTTTTTTCAGTGTTGGACAATTTCTGAGGAAAAATAAAATAAAACCAATTCTTTTTCACATTCAGCGGCTGCATCAAAGCTCAACAGCAAATAAAATGGTTTCTATCTACATTTATCTTGATGAGGAAAACCGTAAACTGCAAAATTCCTTTTTTAAAAAATAAAATAAAATCCTATTCATTAATTAATTGCCTCTAGGGAAAAGGAACAATATATTCACTAATGAACAATAAATTCACCAATTTGTGCTGATTCCTCACTTCCACACATTACTGAAAACAACTAAGGAGCAGTTTCAACAGTATTCCTTTAAGGAGTCCACTGTTGTGCTCATATGCAAAACCGCAACTCTGATATGTAGAACAAAATATTATTTCCATGTAAAATCATTGCTCTTTATGTAGAAATATGTGTGAAATTGCAGCTTTCAGAAGTCAGAAAGGATTGCCGATTTTCTTATTCTGTCATGTTTAGAACTGTTCCATGTTTTCCATTAAAACATTTTTTTTAAAAAAAAATACTTCGTTTTAGGTTATTAACTCTGTGACAAAACTGCTAAACATTCTCATTGCATGTAACTAAACTTTAGGTGACGCAGACAAATGGGAGAAAAGGTGGAAGAGGTTTTGCACAACAATACTTGAATGATTCCGGTGGGTTTGTTGTTTTTTCCTTTCTCTTCATAAGCTGCCAAGTCTCTTAGCTGGTGGCGGTATGTGCATGCATACGTTTTGCTACATCATAAACATAGGTGATGTCCGGTCGCTTCTCTGGATCTGGGTTGATGCACATATTAACTAATTGTCGCAGCTAGGGAGGAAAAAGAATATTATGGACATGAGGAACAAAAAAAGAAAAGAAAAAAAGCACTGTGTGACAAAGTTATTAGGGCCATCCTTCTCTCCCTCCTCCAAACTTCCATTAGGAGTACTGGAAAACTACAATAGTGTGGTACTAATGCATACGCAGGGGTGTAGGGGAAGGGTAGTACCACTGGTCATGCTCCTTCTGGGGTAGTTTGTCCACCTTTGCACTCAGTTCTAACATGTGGCTCCTATAAGCTGTCAGCATGTGACAAGTAGCCACACCCTGGGAAACAGCTTTGATTGGCCAGGTAAACCAGGTGAGGGTAGCGTCTCAAACCCTCAGAGTTAGGGGCTTTCCCCTACATGTGAATACAAGCTCTGGTGGTGAGCAGATGAGACCAATGGTGAGTCCAATGGTCAAGGCAGCGGTTTCTACACGTGCTACAGAGGGAAGTGAGAGGTAGAGGTGGGGCTCATTAACCTGAGAAGGTGGCCCATCTAGGAAAAGGAAAACTCTGATCCTAAACCTCTGCCACCCTGTGGGACATCTTTGGGAGAAGAACAGGCTAAGGAGTAAAGCCTAACAAATCTGGAAGGGAGTCCCTAAGACGACTGCATGGTGCCTTGTACACTTCTTTCCAGCAACTTCTGCAGCCAAGCTGGTGCCAAATGTATTGCTTTTTCTTTTGGACCACATTGGCAAGGCTGAGAGGGGTGTCTTGTTGTCTGGGCAGCCCAATGTTGAATGGTCTCTTTAAATTTGAAGGTTCATTATTGTTCCACAAGATGTGTATGTCTTTAAGGGCCAGAGCAAATAATGTGACCCAGTTTTACAGCTGTGAAACAGTATAGCAGGTGCTGCTAAGTTGTGTTATTTAAGCTGTGTCAACAATTGGGTATAGTGTATAAAGAGCAGCACCTAGCTCTCTCAGAACCGTGGGGGATGGGTTGGTGGTTGGGTCATGCTTGTTGATATATTTAGTGTAAAAGGAGTTTTTGTTTTTGTTATTAAAACCTTGTTAAAGTTATTTTTGAGTTCCTTGTAATGCGTGGTCTCCCCAGCAAGCTTTCTGCAGCGCAACTAAACTGCAAATAGCCAACACCCAGAACCTCCAAGCACACTGCCCAAGCTTCAGTGTTGCTAACACAATGGTTTGACTTCACTCCTATACTCCATTGTCTCTCGAGGCAGACAGATGCCAACAAAATGCATATAACAGGGGTCGCTACCCTGTGACCCTCCAGATGTTGATGGACAACAACTCCCAGCAGTCCCAGCCCACATAGCCAATGACTAGAAACCATGGAAGCTGTAGTCTAATTACACTGAAGGGCCACAGGTTAGCCTCCCTGGCAACCCAGTTTAATGTATACATTACTATAATCATTGGTATTCATTGAGTTATAGGTGTTAGAGCCACTCATTTACTCTAACTTGTTGCCTTAGAATAAACAAGTTGGAAAAGACCCTTCAAAGGCCTTGAAGCTTTGTGGCCCTTTGTGGTTATGAGCTGAATATTCCCTTCAGTTCATCTGGCAAGATTCTTATGTAAGCTGGTCATGTCATGTGAAGGACTCAGCGAGGGATTCCTTTATGAGCAACATATACTGAACAACCAATACAGTCCCACACAGATAAATCTGATTCCACTACCTGCATGGGGATGAACTGCGCCCATGGTTTTTAATATACTATACATGGTTACTGGCTTACTCCCAGGTAAGTTGGTACAGAGTTGCCGACTAAGACGTACTAAACACAAGGTACTGCTGCAAGGTCAATGTGTGTAGGATACTTCAAATTCACGTCTACATTAATCTCACCATGGAAATCATTGAAAAGGAAGCTGCAATCCTATGCACACTTACCTTCAAGTAAGTCTCACTGAACTCAATCCATGAATAGGATTGCATTCTTAGTCTCTTTTTTTTTCTTTTACCTTGTGCCTAGCATGGGGAAAACTTTAATTTCAGATATATTAAAATGGGACTCCAGACTTCTATGAAATCAATTCCCCCCCCCCCACTGCCCCACTTTCCATTTTCAATGTAGAGTTGCAAAATAAAGGAATAGTCCTATGGGGATGCATGTTCTTTGTTATTAAGAGTGCGCGTTCAGTTTAAGTGAGGCTTAACTTCAAAGTTCACAAATCCAGAAGGAGATGACCCAAGATGCAATAGGAAAGCTACATGATCTGCCACAGGAAGATGCAAGGGGTTGATAATATATTGCAGCCGACAAGAGCAGTGTATTAGTACGCTTAGCCAAGAGGCAGTCAATGGCTGAACGCTTTGCAGACTGCTTACATGGCAGGCAGGCAAGAGATTTCTGAGAAACGAAGGTTTCAGCTCCGCAAAGAGAACCCTTTTGGGCAGATCCTGAAAGAACTTTGTAGTATTTCACGCATGCCACAGGTATTTTATCTACTGATGGGCTGCTGCTTGTAGGCTGCTATGCAGAAGAGGAAATATATATGTGTAAAATTAATGTTGTAGGACAAATTGAAAAGTGTCAGGAGTTCCTTTTTTAAAAAAAGGTAAAGTGTAAAATTATTTATTCATAATTATTAATTATTAATGCATATCAGGAATGTTTCCTATAATCTAGATATCCTAAGTCTGCAAGGGGAAGCTGTATGTATGTATGTATGTATGTATATGAATGTATTTATTTCCTGCTGATCAAGATGGCTGGTTTATGCTGAAGAAGCATGGAAAGGGAAAAAAATAAGCCGCTGCTTACTCCTATTTTGAATATCTTAAACACGGACTTGGGCTGGGGATGAAGCTACAAACCTGGCATCTAAACTGCAGAAGAAACTGAGACTTTGGGTAGATGCCATGAGCTCTACAGGAGAGAAAGTGATCGAGGCAGACTCCCCTTAAATCTTTCTAAGTATGAACTCTGAAGTATTTGTCAAAGCTGAAAAAAACGGCTCCCATCCTATTGCCCGAATGCACATTACTTCCATGAAACATCTTCCCTAAAAGCACAAAACACAGAATGTTCTTTTCTAAGGTGTGTGGAAAGACAATGACTTCTTGCTGAATACGGGATTGCAATGCCTTTGCCTATTGTCAGGAATATCCATTTCCATAAAGTCAGGAAGGTTCCCTATTTAATATGGAGCTAGTAGCATCCATTGCATTCAGCTGACCTGGGGGATGCTAATGTGAATTAGGCTGAGCCGAGATGTCAGGACAGCAATATATTCTAGTCTGGTATGGGATGACCAGCATGCTCTACGAAAGGCAGACTGGGACAGTACCTAAGACTGGGAAGGCTCCTGTTGCATCTCTGAGCAGCAGTCTCCTTCGGCTCGGCTTATTCTCCTTAACCTCCTCTGTGAACTTAGCACAATGACAGTATTTTGCCTGGAGCTTAGCCTGGTAGTGGGGAGCAGCGGGACACATTTCTTTTTACTTTAACAGGTTTGTCAGACTCCAAGGGTGGGGGGGACTCAGTGTCCCTCAAGTCATAAAAAGGGACCAAAAAAAAAAGGCTGACACAGGCAAGCCAGTGTTTGGAAACGCCTGCGATGGCGGAGAACTTGGATTTAAAGCAGAAAGAAACATTGCTTATTCCTAAGCAGAAGGTATTCACCTAACGTATTACTCCTTAAAAAGATGCTACTAAGGGTCTGGTTTCACCTTCCCCCTGTCAGGCAGCAGAGGAACCAACCCCCATGGCAGGTTGCCAGAAATGGATAAGAAAAGTCCTTACCACCTGCTTTTTATTCAATATTTACAGAGAGAGGCTTGGGAATACAGTGGTACCTTGGGTTACATACACTTCAGGTTACATACGCTTCAGGTTACAGACTCTGCTAACCCAGAAATAGTACCTCAGGTTAAGAACTTTGCTTCAGGATGAGAACAGAAATCGTGCTCCGGCTGCGCAGCGGCAGCAGGAGGCCCCATTAGCTATAGTGGTGCTTCAGGTTAAGAACGGACCTCCGGAACGAATTAAGTACTTAACCCAAGGTACCACTGTAGAACCTTTTGGAATAATGGTGTTGTCCCAAGTAAATCTCCATGGCCCTTCTCTCCCACTTCCTCTTTTGTCAACAGCACCACCCCCTTGACGGTTGCTGCTTAGGGCCATCTGTCTTTGAGCTCTTTGCTCTCCTACTTTTAAGGCTCGCCAGGTTCTGGGAGATGGTGGGTCTGGAATGCTTTCTAGTGGTAACATGGCAGCCAGCCTCCTCCTCCTCTCCCATTATTTCCCAACATTTCCCCTCATCTTCCTCTGAGCTGTGACCTCCCTCAAACCCCCGTTGTAATGTCTTCTTCTCTGGAAGGGTCAGGCTGGGGAGGTGGTCTCCACCATTCCTCCTCTGCCCAGTCCCTGACACACACACCTCCACAACTTTTAAGCATACTAATATATGAAGCTGCTTCATGACAGGTTAGACAATTGGCCATCTAGCCCCAAACTTTCTATTCCAAGTGACAGTGGCCCTCTAAGGTCTAAGACTGAATACATTGCCATTCATGACAGAATGGAACCTACAGGACATTCTGCACGTAACATATATGTTTTATCACTAAGATGTACTACACACACACACACACACACACACACACAGAGAGAGAGAGAGAGAGAGAGAGAGAGACTATTATGTCCACTCAGGATGGGGAGGGGAGCAACTTCTGTAGGAATTTGTGAGTTATGATATTGTGATTCTGAGTAAAATAGAGACTTTGCCTGGAAAAGAACCAACCTGACATTCAGAATAGTAATTCAAAAGTTCTTAAGAAAATCATGCCCATCCAGTTGTTTGGGGAGGGGGTGTTAGAATTCCTGCTCCGTGATTGCAGTCATGGGATTGTTGTCTTTCACATGACGGTGTATGTATCTTCATTAGAAGCCCACTGAACTTTGAACCAATACAAAAACAGAATATTGCTGGGCATAAGAAAGTTTGTCTACTCATATTCTCACCAGTACAAGCATAAGAACAGCAGCTAATGTTACAAGGCTCTGATCATTTGGTTTTTGATAGGATAAATGTCTTGATCTGAAGCTAACAGGTGTTTGGCTACATACTTCATAAGGGAAAAAATGTTTTGAATTGAAGACTGAGCCAATGCCAAAAAAGCAAATTCAATGCCAGAAGTAATTGAGAAAGCAACTGGGAAACTACCAGCAGTGCAATAGCCCAATGCAAATCTGTGGAACGGCCATACTTCTGCTGCACAATAGTGTGCACAGTTCTGGTTGCCACATCTCTAAAAGCGACACTGCAGAGATGGAAAAGGTCTGGAGATGCTTAACCAATAACATGAGTGGGCTGAAGCATCTTCCCTTCAAGGAAATGGTACAATGTCTGGGCCTTTTTAGGTTAGGGAAAAAAGGAAAGTAATGGGGAAGGCATGACAGAATGACATGCATGGTTTAGGAAACATACATAGAAGTACAAGTTTTTTTCCTCTCTCTTACAATATTAAAACTCTGTGCCATCTAATGAAATCGAATAGGGGGACGTTCAGAAGGGATGAAAGGAAGTGCATCCTTAAAGAGCGAATGATTTATGGAACGCATTACCACAAAATGTGCTGATAGCCAGTATGGTACCAGTTCTTGGTCTGCAATATCTGGAAAGGGATGTTGCTTGTGGACTTCCATCTTAATGTTGCTTCCATCTTAATGCTGTTATTTGGTTGGGGGGGAGTGATGTTGGGGATATCTCTCTCTCTTGGGAGCTCCATTATGCCCTCAAGACCTTTTCTGCTGGTTTTATCCTGATGTGTTTTATAGTGTTTGAGGAGCTGATATAGTACATTAACTGTATTTATTGTAGCTTTAAAGGTTTTCTGCAAGTCTCTCCTTGAAAGGATTTGTATCCACCATAAATAAGCTGGTTGGCCACTATGGAAAACAGGAATCTGGACTAGATAAACCTTTAGTCTGATTTAACAGGGTTTTGTGTGCTCAAGCAAGATCACCTCCTACCCCTTGCAGTTTCTCCAATATGCAGCTAAACCTCACCTGAGCAGAGTTGGATGCCTAATCACACAAATGCCTGCTCTGCGTGTTCCTTCTCCTTTATGGAAGGGGAGGGGGAGGCTGAACATGCAGAGTACTTTTGTTAAGCACACAGGTGTCTCTTGGCTTTTGATAACTAGCAATGCTTGTTCCACACAGTGGTGAGGGGAAATGTAGGTCTGTTTCATTTTGGGACCCTGCTCTAGGGACACACATGTATAATGTTTTCCATCTCCTAAAGAGCATCATTAGCAACTGACTGGTTGGCAGGTAAATTACTAGATTTGCCATCTGTCATTTGATTGTGCAACACTTAGCTGAACATGTGAAGGTCTCCAATGAAATGTATAAATGAATGAAACAAAAGTCCACTGTGAGGCAGTTAATCTGCGATTGCTCATTCACACGTACAGGTCAGCACTTGTCATCAATGCATGTATGAGAGAACCAGCTTTTATCTTCTGTGCATTAACAACCAAGTGCTCTGTTTTGCAGAACTCCAACAATGTCCTAAGGCAATGTTTCCCAATTAGGGGGTCTGGCGACCCCTGGGTATCCGTGGAACGCATTCAGGGGGTCCGCAGCCCCATCCTTTCCCTCCCTCCAAGCTAATTTTTTGTCATTTTTGCATGGTAATATCAAAGGTTTTATGGTCTGTTTTAGCACTGTGCGGTTTTTCAATATATTGGCCAAAATTGGTTTTGAAATCCGATCAGAAGGTCGGCGGTTCGAATCCCCGCGACAGGGTGAGCTCCCGTTGATCGGTCCCTGCTTCTGCCAACCTAGCAGTTTGAAAGTACAGTGGTGCCTCGCAAGATGAAATTAATCCGTTCCGCGAGTCTCTTCGTCTTGCGGTTTTTTCGTCTTGCGAAGCACGGCTATTAGCGGCTTAGCGGCTATTAACGGCTTAGCGGCTTTAAGAAAAAGGAAACAAACTTGCAAGAACTCGCAAGACGTTTCGTCTTGCGAAGCAAGCCCATAGGGAAATTCGTCTTGCGGAACGACTCAAAAAATGCAAAACCCTTTCATCTAGCGAGTTTTTCGTCTTGCGAGGCATTCGTCTTGCGGGGCACCACTGTACATCAAAGTGCAAGTAGATAAATAGGTACTGCTCCGGCGGGAAGGTAAACGGCATTTCCGTGCACTGCTCTGGTTCGCCAGAAGCTGCTTAGTCCTGCTGGCCACATGACCCAGAAGATGTCTGTGGACAAAACACCGGCTCCCTCGGCCAGTAAAGCGAGATGAGTGCTGCAACTCCAGAGTCGCCCGCAACTGGACCTAACGGTTAGGGGTCCCTTTACCTTTAGCAATAAATATATTGCTCCTCATGCGAGGGAGAGCAATTTCAAGGCACCGCCGATATCGCATGATGATCTAAGTTGCCTTCCCTCATGCTGAGGGAAAACAGGGCAGCTGATCACCCTCATTTCAAGACACCGGGCACTACCTTCCCCTGGCACTGAGGCGGAGCAGATTTTCTCAGTCAGCAGGAAAGCCGCAACAGCCACAGTGGACTTGCATCTTCACTGGCTGCCCTGCTGACGGCGGCCTGATGCACCCCCCCACTCAAACCATGGGGTGAAGATGACTCCCCTTCCTCTCTTCCCCCCCACCCACCTGATCTCCGTCACTGCTCCTTCCCTCATCCCCAGTCTCCAATTTCAGACACTGTGATATATCAGAATATCATGATGTTCAGCTGCCGATATATCGCAATGTTGAAAACCAGATATCGCTCAACCCAAGTCTGTTTTTAGTATACCTAAAATCTTTTGCTTACTAGGGGCTACCCCACATTTTGTTCCAAAAACTGCTTTGCAGAGGTATTACTATTTTATTATTAATTAATTAAATTTATATACCGTCTCAGGGTGGATCACAGAATAAACTACTGTAACTAACATAGCTATCAATTTTTTTCAAAAGTAGGGGGTTCATGGCTTGGCTTTTGAAAAATAGGGGTTCTCAGTAATTAGCTAATTGGGAACCACTGTCTGAAGTAACTTAAACGTTCCTGCCGAGGTCCACATTGCGAAAGCTACGTGGTCAATGTAACGGATAAAATAAGAATAGCACAACATAAAAGAGAACTGTAAACTTTGGGTAAAACAATCTCACTGCCATCAAATTCTTCCACATCATCATTGATAGAGAAAATAAAAAGGAAAGGGTCCCAAAAGCAACCCTGGCAGACTCTTCTGCAAGTGGAATTCTCATTAGTATCTAGGGTAGGGTTTTTTCATTGTATCTATATATTTATTTGTTGCAGTCAAAGCTAGCTTTGGAATATGTCTTACTAGGATTGTAGAAAAGGGATGTTTCAAATTAGTGCTCAGATTTGTAAGAAAAGACTGGGTTTTCCCCCAAATATGTCCCACCCCCACCAAATAAATTCACTGAAAGCAAAGAACGAACAAAATCAAAAAGCAATTTGCAGATTTTGAAACCTTTGTGGCAATTGGATAAGCTTCAATATACTGAAATGAGACCTCTCCATCCTTTTGATTCAGCAGCTGTGGTGTTATGGAAAGCCTAGGAGCATTCCAACCACTCAAAAATAAAATAAAATAAAATAAAATAAAAAGTAGTTGTCAGCATGATGGGTTTAAGGAACGAGCCGAACTTTTGGCAGGAAGGAGTTCAGAGAAGAAAGGAGGTAACATTGCCACAACTGAGTTTGCAAACAGTGCGCACTGTCATGGCATGTGAAAAAGGGTGCTAGTAGACAAAATGGGTTTGTATTAACACAAGTACACACATCAGATCCAGAACCCAGAAAAAACAAAAGCAACTGATGATTTCACTGCCAAAAAGAAAGAAAAAAAGTATATCTGTTTTAGAAACTGATCTTAAGAGTACTATTCTGTGGTTAAAGGGTTTATTTCTTTTTTAAATGTTCTTCTATGAAAGCAGACAGAAGCTAATGCAAAGTAATTTTATTCCTTCATAAAATTTATTCGCATAAAAAATTCAAGCGGATTTCGTTGTTCAGTGAACCCTGAACTCAGCAGCTCAACCAAGAGCACTTTTCAACCTGGATAACGGGTTTGAAGTCTAAATTTTCGAGAAGTCTTTAGGATGCTGCTGCTGCAGTCTGGCAGACACACTTTAGCCTAGTTCCTCCTCTGCAGTTCTAAACAAGACTTTCACAATTAAAACTATATTATTAGAGGCAGAGGGAAAAATCTTAAAATATATTTCATAAAAAAATGTTTTATACCACACATGATTTTTAAGGGACAACGGGTTCAAAGCAACTCCTTCTGCTCCGAAGGCCACTTCTTTTCTTAAGAAATTATTTATTAATGGAACAGCACAATTTGCTCTCTTTATTGCTGTTGGATGGATAAATGATTTTTTTTTAATGGGTGTTAATGTAAATCTCCCTCTTTGTGCATGGGGGAAATATACAACATGGTTGTTGTTGTTGTTTTGTGTGTGTGTGTGTGTGTGATTCCACCCACCCCTTCCTAACCTGGAACTATGCAAACTAAGTTAATAAAAAAAGGGTGGAATCTTATTTCTCTTTCCCAGTACCAAGACCTTCTATCAGAGCCGGACTTTGATATTTGCCCCTTGGCTGAGAATCCATATATCCAACTTCACACTTAGCTGCAGTGAAGTAGCCCTCCAGGCAGGCCGACTTCAACGAACCACTAGTGGCATCATCATTAAAATCCTGCTGAAGGTCACCATGGCAACCGCCTGCTGAGGCTTCACTGCTGCACTCGGCATCTCCTAATCAGCTACCATGTGAAATGCAAATTCAGACAGTCTGAAAATTAGTCAAGAAGAATAGAGGATGAGGATGCAGATACGTGAAATATTCATGCGCTTCGTGGAAAAAGGAAGACAGCATGAATGACACAACAAAGAACGGCCCCTGACATTCTTGCTATCATTTTGCATTATTGTTCACACCCTACTGTATTTCTAGGCCTCCGGTTCTGAAGTTGCCTATACGAAGTGCCATATTTATATTCCACAAAAACGTAATAATTAAAAATGGCCACTGGAAAAAAAGAGTTAATTGGGAAGACTACATTAAGGAAAGGTTTTGCAAATTAATGGGTGGTAAATCTCCACCTCAAAAAGTAATTCTAATCATCTTTCTAAAAACAAAACAAAACAAACCGCTCTGTGTTCCAATTGTCACTATAATAAAAATACAAATTGTCACCCTATATATGACAAAGAATGTTTAAAAGACCAAAAATTCCTGGACTGCAATCTTTTATTAATAATCGAAATCTTGAAAGCAAGAGGATTCAAGGTTTTGAATTACAAGTTACTCCCCATTCTGTAAGCAGCGCAAAGCTTTAATACTTACAAAACATATTTCAGAGAGGACATTTATGTGCATTTCAACATAATCTTTAATTCATGTACATTGAACTAGAATAAGTTACTGTAGCCTCTTTGTTGGCTTGCAGCTGCTATTATCTTACCTAGTTCAAACTTTGAGAATATTTCATTACAAGATAAAAGAATTACGCACACACAAGCATACACACACTTTTTCATATACTGAAGAAACGTATGTTCTTCCTGTGTCTTCTTGCATTAGTTAGCAAGAATGTGTTTTACATATGCTTTTGCTGCTAATCAGTATTTTGCAATCCTCACCATCTAAATCAAAATGAATTATCAGTAGCACAAGTTCACCACTATGGGAACAGGCCTTAATCCTTGACTCTCAGTGCATGGTCCTCTCCTGAGAATGCAGAGAAGCCTCTATATCGCAGACTGGAACCCTGTGTTTTCTACAGGTATACAAAGACATATGCACATTCTGCCATAGAGAATGGAAGGGATATACAGGGTTCCCATTCCATGTCCAGCACCTTCTCTTGGTAAAGGGACCTGAGCTCTGAGATTAAGCTCCTTGACTTTCCTTGACAGGAAAGTTTTGGTCAGGAATGAGAAACTCACATTATGCCTTATGGTAATCCATATGGCTTTAGGGTAATCCATGGATGGGGACTAAGCCTGTGAAGGTATTATTCCAACAATATTGAATACAAGCATTCTTTATGGGGTTCAGGGGAAACATGGCTATGACATGAGAATGCCTAATTACCTTTGGATCACATCTATGTTGGCAGGTGAACTGGTGGGGAGTCTCATTCCTCCATGAAGTTATCAGAAGGGTGATTAGTTCTCATGAGAACACCAAAAGAAGATGAATTCAGAAGACACTTGCTAGCACAAGATAATACCAATGCTCCCATACAGGTGAATAAAAGAAAATCCTGCTGTTCATTTGTAGCAAACCGAAGCAGATGCTATTAAGGTTTTGGGTTTTCTGCATCAACTGTGAGTGGCTTCTCCTACACAGCATCATTCAAATTTTAATCTCTTGTATTAGAAGGAGGAGACAGGACCACTCTAAAGTATTATGTATTGCCTTACAGCCATCTCCTTCGACTCTTCTGCATGTGAAAATTTCAGCTTCAAACCTGCCACAATGTTGAAAGCACACCATTCTCTTGAGGAAGCATATTCAGGGATCAAGGAAAAAAACTGGCACACTGTTGAGCCCACAATACAAACAAGAAGGTCGTGAAGATGTTCTCATGCATAAGCTATGCTTGTGCAAGAACATACCCAGATCCCAGTATAAACTGGAAACTTTTTTTTTTAAAGGCACTATTCAATATTCATCAAGTACTCATACCTCTAACTTCAAATATACCACAGAGAGTGGTGCTACTTACCTCTTCTGAGTAGTGATCTGATGGAAGAGGTGGATAGTCACATTGTTCAATCTTTTTACATAAGGAATACAGATTCATTTTGTCACCATAGAATGGACTCTGCAGTGCAGCCATCTGTGTGGAATTAAAACAAAATAAAATGTATCTTGGATTTTTTTTGTGATTTTTAATTTTTAATTTGTGTGTGTGGTTAGGAGAAATAAGTATATTTTCAAGGAACTACTTTTTGTTTCGAAAGGCCCAGTTTAATTTTTAAATGGAAAACATGTTACGTCAACTTCTTGTGATCTTCACTGCCCTTAACTTCATTATATTTGTTTCTCAATTGTTTTTTGAAGGGTGTGTGCCTAATGCAAGTGAAGCTGGTTTCTGTAATGTTACAGTCTGTTTATATATTTAACTGACATGTCTTTCTGAAACCAGATTATTATTCACCAATACTGACTTTGTAGGACTCACCATACAAATAAAGATCTAATTTTAAAATGAGAATTCTGATCAGAATCTAAAAGAACTGTACAACAAGTTCTGCTCTAGGCTTGCATTTTTCAAATAGCACACTGCCCTCCCTACCCACCCACCACCACCACCATGGAAAATGGAAAACTAATTCTGAAACAGACAGGGTTCTCAAAACCAATTTGTGATATGGCATGATGGCTGAAAAATGTTTAGAATCCCACTGGGGGATCCCACTGTAACCCCCATGAGTACAGCTAAATTGTTCTTTGGATCATGACCATATTCCTCCTAGATGATCCCCTATGCTTTAAAGAATGAAATATTGCTGCGTAGTCTGCAAAGCCATAAAGTACTTTTGTAAACTATTTATTTCCGTTTGGAGCCCACCTTCTTTTTGGGAACTTTGTGCAAGTTCCAGTTTACAGAGGACACCACCATGGGTGAGTAAGACCACGCTGAAATAAGTTGAGTCATCCATGTTTTGCTTGAACTCCCAATTGCTTTTGTAGACCCTGGACAACTCATCAATCTGGGAAGGATGCTGCCTTATACTACATCAGGCTGCTGGTCTATCTAACTGAATGTTGTCTGCACTGACAGGTAGGAGCCTTCAGAACTTCAGACAACAGACTTTCCCATCCCTACCTGGTTATGCTAAGGGCTTAATCTGAGACCATTTGCATGCAAAGTAGATGCCTTCCTACTGAACTATGGCCATTACCCAAAGGATACAGTCTCTGGCGATTGTGAGGATAATGCTAAAATCGATCCTGAGTCTAATCTTTTGGCTGGTTTCAGAAACTTTAACCCTTTTGCTTTTTATGCGTATACTACTCCCTTTGTTACCATTTGGCTTTTTTGAATTTGCCATTTCACTATCTGCTTAGTTCTTTAAAATGTAATTTCTAAATTTAAGGTAAGAAAGCAATTTTTATTCAAAACTGGTTTCAGCAGAATGAAATTTGGTGCGGAACTGCAGCTTCTGTCCTCTGTGCATACCAAACCCCAAAGACATATGCTGGAAGCAGAAATGCAAGTTGATACACGCATCAACACTTGATTTAATATGAAAACAAATCCTCACAAGCATGCTATGTTGCAGGCATAATTCTGGTTTCATGTACACTTAAGAAATTTACCATTATCTTTTGGCAAGGAACCTTTAAAGTAAGAACTTTAAAATATCATTAGTGCACCTAATGTTTATTTGAAGATAGCCCGAGTTTACAAAGGCAAACAGATACTGTGGTGGGATTGCTAACTTTACAGGGATTTTTTTTTTATTAAAAAAAAAAATGTTCGTACTGCCTTCCAAACGCTTTAAATCTCTGAACCGCAGCGGTGTGAGCACTGCTTGGAGTGCGATGCTGCCCCAAAGTCAGTCACCCTTTTCTACATGTGCTAATAAGTTTGATTTTGGAAGGACAATGTGTACATTCCCCAGACAGGCAGAGTGTGTGTGAAACACGCTAGTCCATGCTGTGCTACTCAGTGAGCTTCAGCAGGGACAGGACAAGCTGAAAATGGCTCTCATCTGTCTTGTGGTCTTCCAGATAGAACATTTAACTCCTTCGCAACCAAAAGAAAGCTGCAAAATATTAGCCACGGCATTATTGATAAAGGAGACTTTGGGAAGGAATCTTCCCAAATGGACATGAAGGCAAGGATTTTACAGCAAGGATCTCAAAATCCATTACAGCTGTGCGTGCACTAATTGGATACCATAAATATTGCATTCTCTTTTTAAAACCCCTAAGAGCAAAGGGATTAAGGCTCTCAAGAAAAGCGGTTTGCAAACTGTACCGGCCCCATAATATTAAATCTTGAAACAAGGTAATTCATGCAGCGTTTTTTGCCCCCTTTATGCACAACAAAAAAAAACAAAGCCAGGAATTCCAACAGCAGAACCTGCACGAAATGCAGGAAATTCAAAATAAATGCAGAGATCCTGTGTGTTGGTACGCTAGGTGTTCATTAAAAAGTACTCTTGTTTGAATGCTGCAGAGTGTTAAAAAAAGGGGGGGAAAGAAAGAAAGAAAAGCTGAATGTCCCCTAAGGAGTTAAAACAGGAATACTATATTTTCATGCATCTCCTGCTTTGACAGATGAAAAATGTCAACTGTCCTGTTTTTATTTTCAAGCTTTTGCACTATTCATCTGGTTCATTAGTGCATCTCGCTGCTGCCCCTGACAGCTGCTCGCCCTCTCCTCCCAGCAGCTGAATTTTTCAGGCTAATTTGATCCTCCACACTGAGACGATCGCTAGAATGATTGACTTGCTCCCTGACCTCCAGGGTCTGACTTTCCTGATTAGTATTCTGGGGGTGTCTGAGGGACGAAAGCCCACTGTCTGTCTTCAGGGCTGGTGGCAACGTGAGCTCTCTCTCTCTCTCCCACTCTTTTTTTGGGGGGGAGCTGTAAGCCACCAACCTACGACCCTGTAAGAATGCAATTGCTGCACTGAACAATAAAGGAAATGTGTAAAACCTACTTTTCCATGTAAAGGTCCATGTAGCAAAAGCATGGCATCTTGATTTTAATTAGTAAAGTCTACTTTGTTGCATATCAATTAAAACCGCAGTGATTAGAGTGTGTTTTGGGGTGGTTATTTAATTATTATTATTTTTTGATATCTCAGGCATATTTGAAAGTATAATTTTCCTGTTGTAAAATGAACCTTGGAAGAAAAAAATCTTCATAATAAGGAAAGTCAGTAATTGTTATTAAACTGTAAGTGATCCGCCATACAGCAGCCAGAAACAGAAAATAAACCAAACATTAGGTTTAGCTGAAAATCCAATCAACTGCCACAAATTAACTAGTGAAACATAGTCACTTGGACCTTTATGGAGATTTCATGAACAGTTTCCCTATCTTTAATCTGAAGATAAACATGAACAAATGCACCAAACATGGAAGTAATTAAAACATTTTAAAGGGCATTTTATGTTAGACAGGTAAAAAAAAAAATCAATTTCAGAGAATTGTTGAACTGAAATACTCATACTTTATCAGTCCCATTGATGGTAATAGACGTAAACTGGCTAAAATTAAACTGCTCTCGATTAACTGTTTTGTGGGTTAGCCATTCTTATTACAAATAATTATTACAAATAGGATCCTTATTACAAATAATTGGAAGCACTGGATGATTCCATTCAACGAGATCAACAGCTGAATGAATTTCAAGTGAGTAAAATCTGTTGATAGCCAAATAAAATTGGACTGTGGATTAATTTTTAAGAGAAGAAGGAACAGATCTTATAATCATGGATCTTAACATTTGCACCTGTTTGTATACCAGCACAACATTTGTATTTACTCTCCTACGTAGCAAGGATCCTCTTGCTAAATCAGTAAATCTGAGGAGTGATTTCACTAAAACCTGAAGCTTATTATCAACCTATTGCCATCCTTCATAACATGACCTCACTAATTATATCCTAACTATCTGCAGTAATACAATACAAAACAATCAACACACTGCAATGATAAATGAAAAAAGCAATGAAAGTACTGGCAATACAAAATGCAGTTGTTAATTTCATTAAAGGTCACAATTTTATAACAGGAAGCATAAGAGAAAACAGGGGTTCACAAAATCCCTATCCTGATCCACATAAATGTCTAAAGGAATTCTTCCATGAGGCTTTTATTTGATTAGAATACGTTATTTTGATAAATATTTTAAAATCTACATTAAATTCCATTCTACACAGCCAAAAAAGACTTTTGAATTCCAAACCAAATCATACAGCTTTCCATTTCAAAAATTGAGGCACATTCTGGATCAGAAATTAAAATCAAAAATATGTGAGTGCACAATATGTTTTCTTAACATTTTTTCTACTGAAAGAATCACACCAGAGTAAGCTGCCAGTAAGTTGCACAGAGGATGCCATTTCTTTGAGCATCCACTAGGTTCTCTATGGGTGCTGCTGAATCAGTATTAAGTGGTTCCCCATGAAGAGCAGGGGCCTAATACTGTTTGTTTTTTAATGTGAAAACACCCAAGCCCCAGGATGAAAAATTCAAATCTCAAAAGGTACTTGAGGTAGCCATTGTTTATATGGTTAGAAGGGGCACTGAGTTGGTTACAAAGAAAACAATAATGTTTGCCATGGATATAAAGAGACAATTCACAAAATCCCAATTCTGCATTAGCAGGTGTTTCTCCTGATGGGTAGTTTTAGTGAGTTCTGCTGAATCATGGAGGCAGGTGGTTTGTTACTTCACCTGGATGCTTTTGAGCTGGGAGGGCCTCTCTGGAGAGCATTTGGGTAGAAGTTGTAAAGCACAGTGGGAGAACCTTAGGAGCAGCTGTGCATGTCCTGAAGGATTTGGTTCAGCTTGGTTATCTTGTTGATTCCTGTATAATTAGTATTAAGCCACAGGACAGGTTGGCACTGTAATTATCATGTGCATGAGTGAATGATTGAATGAATACCTGCTCATAGTGTTACTTTCCTGCTTATCTTTTAGGAGGTATGCTTACCAGATATATCAATTAATCTGACAGTAATTTTGTGGCTTTAATAACTGCAAACATTTTGACAGCTCCTTATGCAACTCTTAAAAGGTACAGGAACCCCTGTTACCCATTGCACCCACCAATCTTAACCAGAAATGATCAGCAACTTTTGAGAATGCAATATTTTAAAGGTTCAGTTTTTAGCAGAATTTTTTTACACTGATTTAAAAAGGTAGGCTGGTATAAGCAGTGTCAGTTCTACTACAACCTTAGTGTGGATATGGTGGGCAGGTTTCTGTTCACAGCTAGCTATGCTATGGAATGTGTGCAAGTCTAAGGATGCAGTGCCAAGAATAGATCATTTCTAATTCAGGAGGTGAACCATTCTGAGCTGAAATTTATGGCAAAATTCTGCAACAGATTCATTCAGGATTGAGGAATGTATGTAAATTTTATCATGCTCAGCAGTAAAAGGTTAAGCTTCTACACTTTTGCTTAATACTACTTTATCACCAAGTGGTTAATAGACGTAAAAATGAATAGTGGGATCTTAAGACAGATACAGAAAGACTTTTGAAAACATCACTCACCAATAAGTAAGGTGTACAAGTTAAAAAAGTATTACCTCATACAAGAGACATCCTAGAGACCAAATGTCTGATTTGAAGTTGTACCCATTTTCATGGATTCTCTCTGGAGACATGTAATAAGGTGTTCCCACTGCAACCAATATGGAAATATAATTTTAAAAAATGAACACTTAAAACTTCATCACAATGCTTTCAAGCAATATACATTCCAATATTTTGGTTGAAAAAAAATATAATTGCACAATTATTAACAAATATACAAAGAGACAATACAGAGGGATATTGTAAATGAATTTAATCTCATTTCAGGCAACCTTAGCCCTATTTTATAGAGTCGACTTCTATGATAAGCTGTTTTAAAAAATGAAGATAAAACTTGCAGAATTATCAGGAAGTGATTTAGTAATTCAGACCTTTATATAAATCAATATTAATGTTATGAATTTCCAATCTCTTGTAATATTTTTCAGTATCCTATCCCTGCTGGAACAACAGAAGTATTTTTCAATTCATCTGCTTTCTATCATTCAAGTATGGGGCATTTCAATAATAATAATAATAATAATAATAATAATAATAGGGGCTGCAATCAAACACATTTACAAGTGAGTATGCCCCACTGAACACAGTGGATCCTACTTCTGAGTAGACACACATAGGATTGCACTATAAGAGTATCTGAAGTATTGACAGGAATGGTAAGGGAAAGGAGTGACAACTGGATTTTCCAAGGGAAAGTGGCAGGACATGTGCCTAGAAAGAACGGGACAGTCAGAAAACCACTTTCTAGGCATGGGACAAGCAGAAGTGTGGATGAGCCTTAAGACAGGAGTAGAACAGCACAGCTCAAAAGTGGATTAGAAAGTCAAAGGTTTCATAGGTTATGGATAAATGTTCTAAAACGCCAAGAATAACTAACTAATGAAGTCATGGTTCTTGGCCCCTTAAAAGTTTGTTTACATATTTCCTAAAAATGTATGAACAGTACCATTCTATGCATGCCCTCTCAAAAGTAAGCCGCATTAAGTTCAATGGGGTTTACTCAGTAAGCATATATAGGACTGTATCCTAAAACAATATTGGCACGTAGGGCTAGTTTACATTTCAGGGCATGGGTGTAGATCTCCTTTTAAGCCACCCTGCATTTCCACATGGCAAGCCGCTCAAATACGGAAACTCCTCACTTGTGTTCCAGGGCTGCTTGTCCCAAAACGCTAAAAGAATTTAGCAGGATGATCTGGTGTGATGAAAAAAAACCCAGCTTTATCTGTTTGCTGATCCAAACACTTCACAAAGTGGCAAGAGCTGCCACGCGCAGCAGTGTAAAAAGACTGTAATGTGTAGACAGGCCCCTGGGCCATTTTATGGGCTTTCATATTCCAGGAGGTTCTGATGCTGTGTCAAAAAGAAACTGAGAAATTTAAATGACACTGCAATTTAGCAAGATAAAACTGCAGCATTCTTAAAATTAACTTTCTTGATAGTGATTTGAGCTGGAAAAGACTACCCAACACTGATCTGCTGATAAAGTCACAGTTGTTGCTGTGTTTATGGTACAACCTCCAATGACACGATTTGCTTCACAATAACAATACTAATAGCAGATCTGGCTTGTAACAGGCTACATATCTGCTGCTTACAGGGTGAGGAATTGGTGGAGAAAGAATTTGCAGACTCTACAGGGGGCAGCTGCAAGCACTAAGGCTTGGAGGTTTGTAGTTTACCAAAAGCAAAAGTTCCTTTAACCAGTAGTTCTCAGAAACCTGCTGTTACATTAGGGGGTTGAGATGAGTGTGAAAGATTGATGACAGGGGGAAAGAAGAACAAATGCTTGAATTCTGCAGAGTTTAGCCTATTCTAACACTTTAACTATAATACAAACGGAAGCATTTAAATAAGAACCTTCTGACTTCACACAATAAATGGGGTGGGAGCAGGGAAGAGCTGATACGTCCTACTGAGGCAAGTTTAACAAAAAAGACAACTTAGGTTTTTTCAAATGTGCTTTCTGTCACTCTTCTTTGAATACCAGAGGGTGTGGGAAGGCCATATACCAAACCCGGGTGATGCCATGGTAAAAGTAAAAGCAAACCTTTCTCCATCCACTGCATAATTAACCATGGAGTTCATTGCCACAAGAATGGATCTTGTGAAGGCTACTAGCATAAACTCCCTTTAAAAGGCTCTTCAAAACATCCAATGGGGAAAGGTCTATCAATAGTTGTTAACTAGAAATGAAATATTTGCATCTGGAGGAGAATATGCTTCTGATTACCAGGTATGGGCAATTAAGTAGTGGGGAGAGTTTTCACTATCTAGCCCTGCCTGTGAGCTTTTTCAAGAGCATTTGTTGTACTAGTCGGATCTTGAACATAGCTCTGAATGCCCGTTCTTATTATCTTTTTCTGCTGGACTTTTGCAATGTGCCAATGCCAATTAGAGGTAAATTGTAAAATGCATCCGACATAAACTCTCTGCTCTATGATCAAGAGGAATCCACCGCAGGTCTGTCACCCCGAGAAGTCCACCACTCTAAAGGGAAGCAAAAGAGGGAACACTGTACAAAACGAAAGATTGCTACTATGCAATCTAAAATAAAATAGGAGAGTCCCTCTTGGGGCCCACCCGAGTCCTCAATGCAAAAGTTGTAGGGTGCTGTGGCCCGGGGTTGTTATGAGGCACCTCTTCCATATGGGAACTGTTTACACAGTGGCTGCAAGAAACCTCAAAAACCACCACATCATCATCAGCTACTATGATTCCATGGGAATGCCTCACTTGACTGACAAGGTCCAGGATTTCAGTCCCTGAAATGAGTGTCATCCTCTGCAGGGCCACTTCCTCTTGCTGACCCTTCCAGTAATTCATGTGGGGCAGGGAGGGCCATTTACAGGTGTGAACATACATCATTTTACAATCAAGGAAATCTCTCTGACCTAAAGAATGAGCAGCCGTGGTTTTAGAGCTGAAAAACCTTCCCAATCCAAGATCACCAAGTTTTACTACTCCTGTAGCTGTAATGAATACATTTGCTGGCTTGATATCTGTAGAAAGAAAAATATTTCAACAGGTAACAGTAGAATATCCATGACTTGCGTGTGAGTGCTCATCTAATTTTGCTTAAAGTTAAACATATATGTATTGCTTTAAAATATTTAAAAATACCAATTATGCATACTCAACCCCCATAGGCTAAATTTATTTTTTTTATTATTAGCTATTTTTATTATTTCATTATAATTTATTAAATTTCTATACCATCATTTATCCAAAGCTCACAGGCAGCTTACAACATAAAAACACGAAAAAATACATAATGTTGTAACGTTACCCCACCTCCACAGTTTAAAAGCCATAGATGGTTTAATCATCCATTTAAATGAGCAGCATCAACCTCAACATACTTGAGATCAAAATGTAAATGCTTTAAAGGTAAGTTTTAAACAGGAGCTTTAAATTTAAGCCTCACTGATTTCAAGAGGAAGTAACATAGAAAAACCTTCTCTTAGGACTCAGGAACTGTCATGCAAAATTTGGTTACATTATCTTAAGAGGTGTCAAATTGTACAGGAAACAATTTCCCACAACTAACCATGATCCTCTGATTTCCTTGAATGCAATGAGATTTCAATGAGCACTAATGATCATAGTGCTATAAGTCAGTCTCTCAAATGCTCTCCCATGTCTCTGAAGGTTGATACAGATAAGGAGAAAAGTAGTTTCCCAGTTGTTTTTTGGCAAGGAAATAGTCATACCTCCCCCTTGGAGTTTTGTGGTAGGCCAGTCTCCTATACTTAAAGGGAAGTTGTGTGTGTGTTTTTAGCTCCCCCAGGTTAACAGCATCTTTTAAGCACGTCTTATTAAAAGTATATGGGTGCTAGGCCATGTTATTCATACTCAGAGTAGAACCACTGAAATCAACAGGGGCTACATTTACTGATTTCAGTTGTGTATACTCCTGATATAACTAGTTATGGACATCGTCCTGTGTATCTAAGAAGTTTGACAAACTTAGAGACTGTTGTCCTGGAACCAGAGAGCAGAAGGAAAGCACACTCTGTTTTTGCCACCTCCCAGGGCACTAAGTAGCCCTGACCAGTTGCACTTCCTGCCTCCCAGTCTGCGGCAGTCTGCTCCCATCCATCAGCCAGACAAGGAAGCAGCTGCAGAGAGCATACTACCCCTTCCCTGCCAGGAAAACATTCTGCTCCCTACTGCCAATTACCCTCCAAGCGCAGAGCCAAAGGGAAGCGCACACTGACCCTATCCATCAGCCAGAAGTATAAGGGCTGCTAGTGCGTGTGTATGTGTTTGGTTTTTATTATTATTACCTGAATTATTTTGAGAGGCGCATAATCCAAAGATGCAGAATAAGTCTTCAAAAATAAATGATTTTTAAGAATCTACAGCATATACATAGCATGCATATGAATTGTAAGTTGTTCATTTTAACCCATAATATAGTCATCACTCCAATGTACCAGCACAAATATGTTTTAATGTGTTCTCGCTAAAGGAGGGACCCAAGATTATTACTCTCTGCACTGGGCAATATTTATCAAGTTACCTATCCCGAAGAGGAAAAGCAATTTGTAAAAAGCCATTGCAGTAATATGCACACTCACACAAAATCACATACACTGGAAATATATTTTTCTTTCAACCTCTACACTGGAATGACATTAGCTTGATTAAATGCAATTAAGTTACCTCGATGCATGACGCGTCGTGAATGCATGTGCTCCAAGGCACTGCAGAGCTGAACAAAGTACTTCCAAACTGTCCTTTCAGGAATCAGTCTCTTCTGCTTCTTGAAATGCTTTAAAAATTAAGAACAATAAAATTAACTACTGCCAAAGCGGATTTGTGAGTAGCCCAACATCGTAAAGCAATAATTTGGTTAAAAATTATTAAAAGGATAGGATTTTAAACAAAATATTGCTAGCCACCAAAGGGTCATGTTTAACCGATGAAACAAAAATCCCCACTGGATACACCCCCACACACTTAATATAAGTAGATACGAATAAACCCAGCTTGCACCCTAAGGAAAGTTTGGCAGGTCACGGTCTGATTGAGAACTCCCTCGAATTTGAATTTAACCTACAGCTTCAGGGCTGGAAGGTAGAGCTTTTGATGATAATGGCTGCCCCCTATCCCTTTTAGAATATGATTTTACATTAGACCAGTTTTGGCAGCACAGTAAACCATGGTTTATCACAACCGGAATAAGCTGCAGAGAGCCACTGTACGCTCCACCTCCAGCATGGCATTGAAGGAGACCCTGAGGCATACTGCAGTTCATGCCTATCATGGTGCCTGAACCAGCTCATTGGAACACATTTCAGACTACAATACTATACCACAGAAACTTTGTTCTCGTGTTTGTACTATTAAACTCATGCACAAACTGCTTCCCAATGAATTTATTACAGTATTTTCTATTATTTGTTTAAAACTTTCTCTTCCTCCAAGGACCATGCAGGGTTTCTAGGTCTGTCTAGAAACAGTTATTTGACCAAATAAAATGGCAGGGGTGTGTGTGTGTGATTTATTTCCGTAACTGTAATGCCAGGACAGCAAAACAACTGCATGTTTTTCTTTTATTGTTGGCTTAGGATACTATTACACTGCCAACTCTAAAGACCTGCAAGCGTGGCAGGTGTAAGGCGGCTGTCAGAGCTATGTTCAAGCTGAGAAGAAAACTGCCACCCATAAGTCTGCCACTGATCTATCCTATTTATATGACATCTTCCTCTTCCTTGACAGGACAAGGTCAAGTGGGATAAAGAAAATGGCTTTAAAAGAAAATTAACAGCTGTGTGCTAACTGAGTCAACCAATATTTTAAACAAATGTAATGCAAACTACAAATGGCAACATATGTCCTTTAGGTAACAAAACCTTGTTGCCAAGGTATTGAAGCTGCACCGCCACCTCCACTGCCCCCAAATCAGTTAAACATGCACTCACTGAATAGCAGAATCTGCAGAGTGTGGCACTCTGAGCCTAAACACATTTACCTGGCGGTAGTATTGATTTATTTGGAACCGTGAACAAATTGAAACATTAAAAAAAACAGCACAAGGTACTGATATTTTAGCATTAAGTGGGAGGTTATATTTTCGAATGCTTCCCTGTGTAAAAACAAAATATGTTGCAAAACACAAGAAGTGTAGTATGAGGCCTGATGCTCTAGCCTTTTACCTGCAGTCTTAACGTTTTATCACCACATTCATTCTGAAGCATGTTCATGGGGGTGGGGGGAGAGAGAGACCATATAATTTCCCTTAATATTTTAATCAGCTCTCAATTCCAGATAAGGTTTCATGCAAAGGCGAAGAAGCCATATAGTCACCATTTATTTAAAATCCAGAAATCACGAATTCATTCAGAAATGTGCTGCTGTTCAGAGGCTACTAGTGCGGTTCCTTCAATTCGCTGGCCCCATTTTATTATTTATTACGTTACATACCACTTTTATGCCAAAATGGCTTCTAAGGAAGTTTACAGCTATAAAATCAATAACATCAATTCATAATGAAAACACATCACAGCATCAAAACATCCGTAATTGACACATATAATTAAACAAACAATTAAAGACATGGCAATTAAAACAGTTTTTTTCTTAAAGTTAAAATAATAAAATCAGAAGTTCAGTTCAGGGGAGGGCTTGCCTAAACAGGTGTGCCTTCAGGAGCTAGCAGAATGCCAACAGCCTCTCATATTTCACCAGCTCTGACCCTAACAGTGGGGAAAGCTGCTTCCATGTTATCACAAGCCAATGCTCATCAGGCCATGCTGAAACTGATTAGATGATCATAGTCCCCTTCCTGGACAAGTGAAGGAGGAGGTATTTCAGGTAACCTGATCCAGGGTTATTTAGGGCTTTGTATGTAAGTAGCGGGACGTGGGTGGCGCTGTGGGTTAAACCACAGAGCCTAGGGCTTGCCAATCAGAAGGTCAGTGGTTCAAATCCCCACGACGGGGTGAGCTCCCATTGCTCGGTCCCTGCTCCTGCCCACCTAGCAGTTCGAAAGCATGTCAAAGTGCAAGTAGATAAATAGGTACTGCTTTGGCGGGAAGGAAAACGGCGTTTCCGTGCGCTGGTCTGCTTTGCCAGAAGCGGCTTAGTCATGCTGGCCACATGACCTGGAAGCTGTACGCCAGCTCCCTCGGCCAATAAAGTGAGATGAGTGCTGCAACCCCCAAGTTGGTCACGACTAGACCTAATGGTCAAGGGTCCCTTTACCCTTTACCTTTATGTAAGTAGCAGAACTTTAAAACTGGCTTGTTGGCCAAGAGGCTGCCAGTGCAGATCCCTCAGCACTGATGCGATATGTGCCAGATTAAGAGAAATATTCATCACCACCAAGCCCAGTATTCTGCACCAGAGAATAGAGAAGCGAGAGAAGCCCCTCACACATATGGCACAGTGGCCAAGCTAACCCTGTCCCAGAAAGTTCGGAGCCGACTAGGCTACCTGGGTCTTCATGGACAAAGATAGTACAGTGGTACCTCGCAAGACGAATGCCTCGCAAGACGGAAAACTCGCAAAACGGAAGGGTTTTTGGTTTTTTGAGTTGCTTCGCAAGACGATTTTCCCTATGGGCTTGCTTCGCAAGACGGAAACGTCTTGCAAGTTTGTTTCCTTTTTCTTAAAACCGTTAATACAGTTGCGTCTTGACTTCGAGGAGCAACTCATAGCACACGGTGTGGTAGCCTTTTTTGAGGTTTTTGAAGACTTTGGTGATTTTTGAAGCTTTTCTAAAACTTTTCCGACACCGTACTTCGCAAGACGAAAAAAACCGCAAGACGAAAAAACTCGCGGAACGAATTAATTTCGTCTTGCGAGGCACCACTGTACCCTTATACAGTGGTACCTCAGGTTACAGACGCTTCAGGTTACAAATGCTTCAGGTTACAGACTCCACTAACCCAGAAATAGTACCTCAGATTAAGAACTTTGCTTCAGGATGAGAATGGAAATTGTGCTGCGGTGGCGGCAGCAGCGAGAGGCCCCATTAGCTAAAGTGGTACCTCAGGTTAAGAACAGTTTCAGGTTAAGAACAGACCTCCAGAACGAATTAAGTTCTTAACCTGAGGTACCACTGTACTGCATACCTCTTCTTTCAGAGGCAGTGCAACCCTGTCTAGTACAATTCTGGGGCCTGGGGACCACTTACTCACTGTGTCTCTGTCTGTTAATACATAATCAGCTCCAGTAGTTTCAGGCTGTGAGCCTCCCTGATATGGGTGGAGGGTAGTAGTAGTAGTAGTAGTAGTAGTAGTAGTAATAATAATGGTGATGATATTTTTCGCAGGGCTTGAGTGGGCGATGGCCCGCTGCTGGAATGAATAGGGTCGGTGCTAAATGGTCTGGCTTGCTTTACAACCCCATGGGACCTTGTTGGTGGGGGGGGGGCAGAGAAGGAGCCCACCCCTGAAGAAGATGATGAAGAAAAGCGAAGGAAGGAGACTTCCCTTCCCCAGGATAGAGTTGCCCGTAACATTAAACACAGGGCACGATTTCAGGAGGAGAGAGAAACCAAGGCAGCAGCTTCTGCGCATGCGCCGAAACCCGGAAGTAACCCATTCCGATACTTCCAGGTCTGGCGCGGTACACAACCCAAAAACACTCCACCTGAAGCGTCTCTAACCCGAGATATGACTGTATGCTGAGACAAACACACTTTTAATTTCCTCAAAATACAGTGGTGCCCCGCAAGACGAATGCCTCGCAAGACGGAAAACCCGCTAGACGAAAGGGTTTTCCGTTTTTGAGTTGCTTCGCAGGGCGAATTTCCCTATGGGCTTGCTTCGCAAGACGAAAATGTCTTGCGAGTCTTGAGATTTTTTTTCCGCTTTCCCCCCCTTTTTTCTAAGCCGATAAGCCTTTAATAGCCTTTTAGCAGCTAAGCCGATAAGCCGATAAGCCTTTAATAGCCGCTAAACCGCTAATAGCGCTAATCAGCTAAGCCGCTAATAGGGTTGCTTCGCAAGACGAAGAAACCGCTAGACGAAGACACTCGCGGAACGGATTAATTTCGTCTTGCGAGGCACCACTGTATTTTCAAAAACTGAAATGATGCAATGTTTGAATGCAAGCTCTTTAAATGCTGCTTTCCTCAGACCTGGACTGAATCCAAAACAAACTCTGTATCTATTCTCCCCATAGCTGGGATTTGTATATCAGAGGACTGTTTGATGTCAACAAGATAAATAGATAGATACCGGGTTTCTTTTCATTTAGAAACAAATACACAACTTCAAGTATATGCATAGAAAGCACATTTTATTGTTTTTAAAATGAACCCTGAAAAGACTTTTAACAATGTATTTTTAGACAAATTTCTGACAAAACTCATTGTATAATGCCAGCTGTTCCTATATGTTCTATACTTTACTTGTCTCAAAATGTTCTCAAAAGTGTTATGTGCACTAATGAAGTCAAATTTTCCGAGATTTGGTGTGGTGTGGTATGCTAACACTGGGGTTTAATTTTTTTTGCCCCAATGCAGAACCAAGTGGAGAAATGTATCTGCTCCAGAGCTTACCTGGAGGGCTTGGTCCTTCCAAAGACCAGGTGTCTCAAGGTACATGGTGAAGACACTTGACTGGAAGAAGGTAGGTGTTTCAAGGACTTTCTCAGTCCTACCAAGAGATGTCAGGGCCTAAATCCAGGACCTTTTGAATGCATAGCTCTAGTGCTATGGCATAGAATTATATGGTATACAGTCGTACCTCAGAAGTCGAACGGAATCTGTTCTGGAAGTCCGTTCGACTTCTGAAATGACTTCTCGCTGTTCTGTCTTCTGGCTTAGCCGCACAGCCTGCATTCGCTCCATAAGACGCACACACATTTCCCCTTACTTTTTAGGAGGGAAAAAGTGCATCTTATAGAGCAAAAAATACGGTAGTTAGCTATCTATCTTGATATATCCCTAGCATTGCTGCAAAATATAATATCCCATGAGTAGACCAACCATGTATTTGGAATTCACTTGCCTCTCATGAAACCTACATGGGCATATAAGGAAAGTTACAGGGAGGGACTAAAGAGTCTTGAGAGTCTAATAAAAGCTAAAAGAACAAGGCAAGCTTACCTTCCACAGAAAAAAAATATTTAAGTAAGGTTATGATGATTTCCAAAACATTTAAATAAGTTTTTATGGAAAAAGAAAACAACAAAGAGTTTTGGGGTATCCTAAAGGCAGCAGTTTAGTATGAGCCTTTGTAGGCTAGAACCTTCATCAGATTAGAAAAGAAGGGTTCAAAGGCTAGCAAACAAATGGAATAGTTACATTTAAGTCTTGTAGCAGAACTAAAAGATAAAAATGCAAGAGACTGCAGTTTGTGTCCCAACCACATTTAAGAGGGCAGAGTAATGCAGAGCATGGATGCATTCATGATCCAGATCAGATTTAGATGTGTTCCACTTTTGCCAGAGGACACAGACTGTATCCCATTTATCAAGAAACAGAGCAGTTCACAGTGTAGGCATTAGCAAAGACTGAACTTTCCAAGCATCCCTAGGTGGGAACAAAGGTATTACATTACCTGGCAACCAGCAACACTGCTACAGCAAGTGAAAACAATTGAAGCAGTTTCCAGACAGGAGTGCTTGCAGGGCTGCAGTTCCTGTCCAACTGCTGTCATGACAGCTCCAACCTGCTACTGCAGCAGTGCTGCTGATTCTTAGAAACTGGAAAAAAATAATGAGTTACAAAAAGCACACGCCCCTAATATATATATATATATATATATATATGCTCATAGATATTAGTAGGGCTCTCTGACACTTGGTGTCAGAGAGTTTGCATCAAGAATGATAGAATATATCTATATATATATTCTATGTATGTATATGTATATAAGAATGAAAGCCTGAAATTACAAAGAGTAAAAAAATGACACAAAATAGGTACCACAGGTAGCTTCAAAACTTTTAACAGCAAACATAGGTACAGTCAGTTCAAAGCACTGCTTTATATTTCCTTTAGGAAGATGCTTAATAAAAAATATATTAACTCGAGACTTTGTTCTATAATTAATCCAGCTAGTGTTGCCTGGTGTACTGTTGAAAAATATTGGGTTTTTTGTTTTGTTTTTTTAAAAACAGCCTTTAAAAACTAATAAGAAAAGCTCAGAGGAGAAAGGTGACATAATGGCACCTGTAATGTACCATCTCAATGTTTGGATAATCAGTATATGGTACATATCAAAAGCATTTTTCAGTTCACAGTAGTAGCAAATGTCTTTACTCTAGCATATGCGGAAGTCTCAAAGAAAAATTAAATTTTTAAAGAAAGTTTTTAAAAATAAACTTCAGTGTTTAACAAGAAAAAATGGTGAAAGTGTAGATTTGGCTGGCTGCTCTCATACAGTCGTACCTTGGTTGTCAAACTTAATCCTTTCTAGGAGTCCGTTTGACTCCTGAAACGGTTCAGAAACCAAGGCGCAGATTCCAATTGGCTGCAGGAGCTTCCTGCACTCAATTGGAAGCCACAGAAGCCATGTCGGATGTTCAGCTTCTGAAAAACGTTCGCAAACCAGAACACACACATCTGGGTTTGCGCCATTCAGGAGCCAAAACATCCAAGTCCCAAGGCATTCGACAACCAAAGTACGACTGTATTTAAGAATAGGCAAGGGAAAGAGCCGTTTCTTTCCTTTTGTTTCACTAATGCATTAACTAACCTTCAGGGAACCCAATAAACGGTATGTGAATGTGGAAACAGACTGCCCTCTATTCTAATCCAATTCTCGGTGTTCTCCACACACTTCCCTAGCAAACATCTGAATGGAACCAGATTGGGAAGGCTGCCTTAAAGACCACAATTGAGGCTGTCTAGTTGTCCTGGTGTCCCCACCAGCTGAGGAAAGGTGGCTGGTTTCTAGAGAGAGTCTTCCCAGCTATGACACACTCTTATGGAATTACTTCCTCATTGAAGTTAAGCTTGTGCTAATCCTAGTACCTTTTGTGCACCAGGAATTGTTAAATTTTCCATTATTTTCTTTGTATTTCTATTTAAACCATGTCGTAATCAATTATAATTTGCTTTTGTATTTATCTTGTTTTTGCAGGTCATCCTGAAAGTATTGCTGGAGGACGGTATATAAATCATTTAAATAAACAGAATAGAATAGAATGGACTCTCACCTTGACAATGTAGCCATAATACAATGTAGAAGGACTACTTTTCAAGTTATTAGTCAAGACTCTCACCCCAGTACAGTGCCATTCACACAGCAACATGAATTTATATGAACAAATTAGGGTATAAATCACATCCCTGTTCTTCTTAGTTTTCACACCAGGCTCAAACATTATCATGCCTTCTGTAGCTTCAAGCCTGCCTGGTCCTCACTCTAGAGAGAAAAGAGTTATTTTTCTTTACATGCTATAATTATGGTCTCAAAGTTTTGAAGTGGTTTGCAAATGTTCACAGTGGGCACTTGAGCATTCTCCAATATAACCTAGAGATCCATCTAAAGGACTCCTTTAGCCGCTCAAAATTGTTCCTCCAGCCAGTATTGTGCAGATACAGTGATACTAGGCAAGCATTCCTTCTTAGCTGCTGTTACCGCCACAATATACCGTATTTTTCGCTCTATAAGACGCACCAGACCACAAGACGCACCTAGTTTTTGGAGGAGGAAAACAAGAAAAAAAATATTCTGAATCTCAGAAGCCAGAACAGCAAGAGGGATCGCTGTGCAGTGAAAGCAGCAATCCCTCTTGCTGTTCTGGCTTCTGGGATAGCTGTGCAGCCTGCATTCGCTCCATAAGACGCACACACATTTCCCCTTACTTTTTAGGAGGGAAAAAGTGAGTCTTATAGAGCAAAAAATACGGTAAACTATAAAGTGAGCTCTAAACTGTGTTTGGTCACACTTGATTCAGCTTTCCCTCTACATACATCTGGCGATCATCCCAACCAATTCATCATCTCCAAGTACTTAATGTAGAAAAGAGCCAAGACAGTTATATACAGTGGTACAGAGTGCTTAAAAATAATCATGTCTACATAACAGGTAATTTCTGAATTCTAGAATGTGATTGAACAGGAATGAGAAGCATGCTAACAGAAAGGACTCTCAGGAATCTAGTAGCAATCATCCTTTCTGGTTGAGAAATTATATAACCTGCTGCACTTGTTGAGTTAGGAGCATTTTGGAATGACTGCAGCAAAAATCCTGGCCCATAAAAGATATGGCAGTCTAAGCATGTGTGTTGAAGTCTCCCCAAACCATTGTTCTGTGGCTCCTCAAAACCAAAAACAAGACCAATCCCAGCAAGGAGATTGTTAGGCAGCAGGATTATATATGCAATAATGGAATTTCAAACTAAGTGCCTAATATCAAGTGCAAATACTCGAAACTGAATTTGATCAGACAGGAAGCTGAAGAGGGAGATGGGATAGCACAGTGACCACCTCCTTTCTAACCATCAAGTCTGGGTCAGCACTGCAACAAGAACCCAAGCAGACAAGCTTGGAAAATCCAAGTCATTCACCCATCTCATTGATGCAGGTCAACAGCACAATTTGGGATTAAATCCTGGATGACAGCAGGAGCATCTCATCCAGTAGAATGGAGCTGCAGCCATAGCTTTCCAGCAGCAACACTGCTGTTGCTTACCAGAACAGTGAGGGGAGAAGTATGGTGTCAGCAAAGTCAGGACTGTGCAGTCTTGTCAGTTGCGCTCTAGAACACTTTTTGTTTTATTTGGGGTGATGGTCATCTATACTCAACAGGCCTGGTGGACAGTCCTAGTGAACTGAATGTACATTCTCAAACGTAGAATCTTATATCCACTGCGATGCCTAGGTAGTTCGTTCACACACACAAATGTATAGGAAGATGGAATAGAAAATGAGATACTATATAAATTTTAAATGATGTGGAAAGGGTTCTCTGAGAGTAGGAAGTTGGGAAACCACCAACCTGCATGAATGACCTTATTCACAGGACTGTCAATATGGTGGCACCATCATAATGAGTTACCCATTTAAACTTTTAGACATCAGATTCTTTTTTGCTCATTAGGGTAAAGCACTCAATAGCACAACACTGTGCTGAAGATTCATCTGTATTGTCTAATGAAAAGAGAGTCAGTAGCCACTATTATCCTTATTGGATTCCAAGATCTTGCGCCTGACTCCTAATTACTGTGTTTCTCACTGCTCGTATAAAAAACAGCACACACACACATACACATATACACAGTGAGAGAAATGTTATTTTTCTATTGTGTTCTCATTTAAAAAAGAGAGAGCTGGGGATGCATTCATTGTACTTCCCTCCTTCCCTCAATCTTTATATACCTAAAATAAACTCATGCTGATCCCACTACAAGAACTATGAAAATATGAGTATAGTGTGACACCTTATACATATTTAATCATAGCCTGATAGGCTGTCATTAACTTCAAACAGCAATCCGAGTTCACTACATTAAACATGATGCCTACGTTAAGAGGACATCATAAACTACTCTCAAGAAAAAGATAGGTAAGAAATAGCCACACAGCCAAATTGCATTGCAGGCAATTTTGGACATCTCTAGGGTAAAATCAGAAGAAAATGCATAAACTGGATTCGCAAGTAGATTAAATTAAATCACAGATTTAAAACTGTGGTTTCTTTAATAACAAAAAACTAATTATAAACCAGAACTGGTCTCTCTGAACAAATACTGGGTTAATGCCACTGTTGTAAGCTATGCCTGGCCTTCCATGAATCTCTGTGTGTATAAAATGGTTTTCAGTGCTAAAAAGGATATATTTGTATTTCTGTTAAAGGGAAAATGCTGCCTTGACTAAATATCCGCCAAATGTATCACCGGATTTCAAGTGCTAGAATGAAAGGAGTTAAATGGACAGGTTTGACAGTCCTAGGTAAAATAAAGGCATCAATAGGCCATAATGAAGTCTGTCACAGAAAGGGGAAAGAAAGAGAGGCCTCATATTAAATGTTATGTCAAATTGGAATATACAGAAGAGAAAACAAAATCTTCATATTGTAGCAAGTGTAAACCTACAGAATTATTAATTCATAAGCAAAATATATACAATTTGGTTATAAATATTAACAGGACATTGTCAATCTTTGTAGCACCACATTTTTCACCCTCTTGGCTTAAAAATGTCATCTTGGCAAGGAATATTCTTCAAAGCACAAAGATGCAGTTTCAACTCTATGCTGTAAAGCAAAGTTAATATTCCTTCTAAGAGTCACAAAAATAGTATTTTGAAGGCTGAGGGTGAGGACTAATTAAAAAGCACACTTTTTGTATCCAAAAAACCTGAGACACTTACAATGCAGTGCAAAACAACAATAATCTAGTCTGGAGAACAAAGGACTTGTATTGGGGAGGGAACTGATTATTTGACAAGAAATGAATATATAAAAATAGAATGGAATGATCTATCCAAGCTTAAGTATCTTAAATGCAGCTCTTAGAGTAATTCATTTAGCTGAGTGCAAGTTAAGAAACAAACAAAAAACAAAAAACCCTCAACTACGATGAAGTTGTTTTGGCTTTTTAGCTTTGTTGTTTTAAATGCTGCCTATATAAATTAATAATAAATAAAGAAATAAGATAAGCTAGCTTCACACTTTCCCCCATACATAATATAATACAATTAACCCAACTGTGAACTTGAATACGTTTAATCTAAGAACTAATCTCAAAATTTTGAACAGCTGGCTGTTGAAATCTTTCCAGTGTGTTACTACAATTGGCAAACGTACTAGTTTTTAGTGTGCTAAAATTATAATTGGGCTTGTTGGAAAGTCTATTAACAGTAATGGAAAATGGCAATCAATTGGTCTTCCTAACTTCCTTCCCAGCCTAAAATGCTCATGGTCTTGTTCAAAGTTCAGTGCACAGAACAGTCATGTTCACTCCAGCACAGCCAAATAGTTCCCATTCCTTTCCCTAAACATTACAGGAAGAAGAAGGGTGGCAAAACTGGGTTGGGGTTTGTTTTCCTAGGTGGTGGTAAGCAGACCTCTGATACCACCTGAGACCTTGATTTCTGTTCCACTGGAATAGGTTAAGCATGATCTTGTGCATAATTAGGATATTAGAATATGACTCAGGGTTCCAAAGATCTCTCAGAAAACCCTTGTTGCTTTATGGTGAATGAAGAAATGAATGTAGCTTGTGGAAACAACCTCGAATTCCATAGAAATATGCCAAGAGTGTTCACTGTTTAAACATTCGTAAAAAGCACTTTGACAAAGGGTCTGTGCAGGCTTTCCTTCAGAGTCCCTTCCCACTGTTTGAAAGAAGCATTCTGTTGCGGTTGTAGTGCGAGCTTGGTTCTGGGTGTGTGTATTTACATATACACAGTTTCGCTGGTTTGCAAATGTGTTCAACAAGTCCCAACAGGTTGACCGTTCCTGTATTTTATTAATCTGAGCAAATATACCCCAATTAGGTCAATTTAAAAAATGACTCATAACTTTCCCCCAGGGTTTTCCTAGGGTCAGGTTAGGGAACAAAGCCCTAGAAATGAACATGGGTGCAGATTCTTCATCCCCTAAACAGGAGAAGTGGAACAAACAGAAGCCCTCTTGGCTGTGCCATGGTTATTTAGTTTAGTGTGTACAAATGGTGATTTGTAGTTTAGTTTCTATTTGGTTTATTTTCTATTCATTTAGCTTCTACAAAAATTAAGGCTTTTAGTACAGGGGCACCAATATTTTGGAACACTGCTCCCACTGAATTCGCACAGGCACTCACAATTCTATCATTTCACTGCCTGTTGGAAACATTTCTGTTTAGCCAAGCATTTCAGTGTTTTTTTTATGATTTTGTAATTTTATGGTTTTTTAAAAAAAAAATTATTTGGAGGCCATATTTTTTTAATAAGTTGTGGTTTAGAAATACTCGAATGAATGAATGGATGGATGGATGGATGGACAGAACATCTCAAATGGTGCATTGTGGAGGGGACTGCTGCAAATATTCTTCACAAGCTTGTACTTCTATCATAGCACTTTCAGTTTGGTGCCAAGTTACCCAGCCAGCATTGCAACTAAGAGCATAGCAGCCTACTGCCTGATTTTTGAGAAGTCACTGGTCTAAGCTCTTTCCATATTATCGCTGCAGTGACTTGTGGGATCATTCCTGTTGGCAAAAATCAAGCGTTATGGAAGCAGTCTTCATAGGCTCCAAGGGCTTTTGATTGATTTGCTTTGTTTTCACAACTTCAGAAAGAAACATGTTCCTACATGTTTGGATGGTCAGTACCAACATTTTAAACATACAATCTGGTTTTACAGCTGAATTATTATGGTAAAAATCTCAAAGGGGAGAATTTATAAACAGAAATGCCAACATTAAATATTATGGTTGGCACAATGCCAGATTTGGAGTCTAATGACGATCTCCTCCCCATCTATGTTTCTTTGCAATCATGCATAGCATTTTAAGATTAGCAGCAAACGTTGATAGTGAGATATAAATATGGACACTTCGATAGCTTGGAAAGGATTTACAGAATTGAAACCTGGAGTAGGATTTGTGGCAATCACTTATAATTTAGGGTACCTGAGAATCCAGAAATAAAACCAGAGTAATGAGAATCAAAACAAAATATGAAAAATAAAATATGATTTCTATTTATTTCAAACAATGAATATATTAAGAAAGAAATAAAACTCTCTGTTAAGAAAAACGCCTACCTTGATCATTCTAGATAGGTCTCCAGCATCTGCTAATTCCAGTACAATATTTAGTTCATTGTCTTCAATAAATGATGCATAGTATTTGATTACATTTGGATGATTCAATTGCTAGAAAAAGAAACAGATACTTCAGTCTACAGTACGTATAGCCTCAACTATTGGTTTCCGCCATTTAATCCTATATACACAGGGGCGGGGGAGAACACCCCTTTCTGTACTAAAAGAAAACAACATTCATGTATTCATTATTTGCATGCATTATTTTTAGATAACAAAAAAACCTGAACCAAGTCTAAAAATCAAACTTAACAAAGAGGATACCAGCACCTTGAACTAAGCCTGGAAACAATACAGCAGCTACTACAGCATGTCTATGTTTTTTTGGGGGGGTGGAAAAGAAAGCCCCTTAATTAGTTAGGAATGGGGCACACAAAGCTATCAGATGACTTATGCAAGAAAGCCAAAGAACATGCCATTTAAAAAAGAAGAAAAAACATCTCTTCAACTTTCAATTGTCCATGATAAAACAAAAAAAAAACTTCATTAGCTTCTGTCAGGGAACTGCCATCGGAAGGAAGGGAGGTGAAAGGGCTCACACAGGTTGGGAGAGACTCAGCAGCTGAAGAGGGAACCAGTAGGGGGAGAGGAGCTGAGCTGAGGGAAAGTGAGCTGGAGGGATGGCTCAGAGACACTTCCAGCGAAAACAGTGGGGAGGTTTCAGGACCTCCTGTAGGGACACCCACTCCTCGCCGGAAACTGACACGCAGAGAGTCCAGAAGACGTGTTTCCGTTAAGGAGCTTTTATGTTGGAAGCGATTCCGAAAGCAACCACTGTCGGAATCTGCTAGTGACTAGAGGAGCCATGTCTGAGGGGCTCCGTCACAGACAGAGGTTTGTGGACTTGAACAAACTCTGAGGGGATACGATTTTACGCACAAGCAGCTCATCATCCCATCACAGCTTCTCAACCAATGACCGTTGTAAAACAAAACTAAAGTAGAATTTGGAACCAGAAGAGGTTTTGCATTCTACACTCCGCTCACAGGATTAATAAAGGTACCACTAATTTCCAAATGCCTCCATTGGATTATTTTAAATGGATATATTTGCAATATTTTGCTCTTTCTCAGAAAATTATTGAGGTTTTTAAAGCTGAATGCCTCCAGACAGACAAGAAAAACTCAGCAAAGCAAACTTTTGGCAGGCTTATGGCCAGGTCAAGAACAGTGTTGACGAAAAGTAATAATAACAATCCACATAGAGTACACGTTGAAGAATGTAAAAAACTTACCACACTGTCTTAAATTTTGCCTCAAAAGTTTAAAAAAATCTATTTTGTATTCAAAGCATATAGCTACATATCTCTTGATATGTACAATGATCATGAAACTGAACTGAAAAGTTATTTCAAGGCATGATTATCAAGAGGTGAAAAAATGAATGCAATGCACCTATGAGCTTTTTCTAGTCCCTACTCTCTTACAGCAAAGCTTCCTATTATGTTTTTTGTTCCTGCCGCGCAGAATCACATGGGGCTCAGTCTGCCCACACAGGTAGCCTAGGCTACTACTTCCTAGGTGCATATCTGACCAAGGGTGGTTTCTGTACTCAAATCCATCATCTGCTCAACCACAGAGCGGACATCACAGAGAACCTCTCCAATACCATATCTTCCATAGACATAGCAAGGTCCTCCACAACGTTGTCAGTAAGGTGCATGGAATTTTCTATATGTGCAATGAGGCATCTCCTACCAAAAATACCCATGTTCTAACTGACAAGGCACTCCTAAAAATATAAAGGAGCAGTTGCTAGTACAGAACAAAGAGCTACGGCTGGGGCAGAGGGGGAGCGGCAGGGTGGGAAGTTAGGTGCAGACACCTAAGTAACCTTTAAAATCACAGGTAAGGTTTGTTATATTTTTAAAGCAGAGAGTAAGCACAATAATAGTCATCAAGAAACAACATGTGTCACTTTCTGCAATCACAAAGACCAGAAACTTTCTTTTTAAAGCCCCCAAAAACCTAAAACCTGGGAATTTGAGCATCTTTCTGGTTGGCAACAAACAGGAAAAGAAGAGCCACATTCACTCCAAAGGAAAGCCCCCTCCTGTAAACTGTAACTCACCTTATTTATATGTCTCTCTGCATCATTCATAATCAGTATTCAGTAAGGCACTTTAGAGGAACAAAAAAGTTTGTGTGTGCACAGACAAGGCTTTTGTCCTTGTTTTACAAAGTGCATCTTCTCTGGATCACACTGCAGTCTGCTTTCGAGAACTAAGGATTCTTGTATGGCAAGTCTTCACCCCCACCTACATAACAACCCTCATTCAAAAACAGCTGTTTCTGATATAACTTGGTAAGGTGGCGGAAGGTGGGGAGTGGAGGCCAGCAGTTCAAAGGGAAAATCCTACAAGGATAAGCTCTCGGTAACAACTAGGGCAGCTCTTGGTTCCCACTTTAAACTTTAAAAAGGCAGCTTACAATGCAATGCGATATGGATGGGAGACTGACATGCATAAAAGGAATACAAAAGCACTGTATCACTGTAATGTGCATGTGTATGCACATTATGTGTTCTATACATATATTGCAGGGGAGAGGTAGTAGCTCAGTGGCTGAGAAAAAACTTTACATATAGCAGGTCCAACCTAAAAGGATTGCCAGGGGGCGGTCTTAGAAAAGCCCTCTTTCTGCCCAAGGCCGTGGAGCAACAGTCAGAATGAACAGTACTGAGCTAGATGGTCAAATAGTCTGGGCAGCATCCTAAATTCTTATGCACAAGGCATAAATACAGTATATGCTCATGAGAGCCTTTTTTCCAAGTAAACAATCGCGAAGATCAGCGGACAAATTCTGATCCCAAGTTCCATCTTTGACTGAAGTGAGGGCAGCTGGGATGAAGTGAAGGATATCTTTTCAGTAATGGGATGCTCATTATGGAACTCCTAAGACATTCATTAGGCCAGTTCTATTTTTAACTTGTTCCTTAGGTTCTTTTCTACTTTCAGCACATATTTGAGATTATGGTGCAATTTATTTTTTTAAAAAAACAGCAGTTGACCTGCCACCTGTTTCATGAAACAGTAATCTTATATATTTTGTAGCAGGGTTTTTTTTTGGGGGGGTGGGAATTAATGAGGCTAAAGCTAGAATAGGGTCCTATCATTTTAGCTTTCATTTGTTATTTATTATGAGCCTTGTTGCTGTTGTTGCTGTTGTCTGTAAGCTGCCCTGAAGGGCAGTGAGATACAAACCACAATGTCACACAGAGAGAAGTAAATAAACATATCAAGTAAGTTCCGCTCTGGTTATTAGCTATGGAGAGTCGAAATGCAACTCTATTGCCTCAAAAATCAGCTGAGGATATGTAAGTTTTGCTGCAGCTGCATTTAAAATACACACATGCCCCTGTATCATCCCAAATCCATAGTGAACACATTTTAGGTACGCCTTCTCCCAAATCTTTAGACTTGGGAATAATATAAATATGAACAAATAAATGCTAAATTTCACCTTCATTCAAGTAAAAAAAGAAAGTCATTGTACATATTTACCTTAAGAAGATCTATTTCTTTGATGCAATCAGCACGGGCTTTGGCATCCATTAAATCAAATATCTTGTTTAAAAAAAAGGAAAAAAGAAATAATTCACAGGATATATATCATCAATGTTTGCTTTCATTTTGTGCCCTAAAAGTAATCTGTTGCATAAATGAGAAATCTCATGTGACATGAGATATGCATTAAATTAAATAATTGATACCTGCTGTGAGTAGTACCAATTCACAAGAGTACAGTGGTACCTTGGGTTAAGAACTTAATCCGTTCTGGAGGTCCGTTCTTAACCTGAAACTGTTCTCTCTCTCTATATATACACACATATATGTTGAAATTGTTAATAAAAAATTTATTAAAAAAAAGAAACTGTTCTTAACCTGAGGTACCACTTTAGCTAATGGGACCTCCCGCTGCCACCACGCCACAATTTCTGTTCTCATCCTGAAGCAAAGTTCTTAACCCAAGGTACTATTTCTGGGTTAGCAGAGTCTGCAACCTGAAGCGTCTGTAACCTGAGGTACCATTGTACATAAACACGGAAGAGGCCCCCTGCTGCATCTCTGAATGCTATGGTGCTCTAGCTTTGCCTCTTCTAAACAGCCTACACTGGGGGAGTGGATAATTCTACAGCATCTCCATGGTGGATGTGTGATTGCATCATTCAACCACTGTTCATGTAGAGAAGCAGCAGCAGAACGACACGTTCTCAGGGGAGGCTTTCTGTTGTGCTTCTGCACAAGCCAATTGCTCTAAACTCGTCTCCTTCCAATCACATGGCACGCCCAGATCAGCGACTCATACAGAAACTAGGCTGCACCATGGGTGGATACTTTTTTAATATAATTTACACACGCTAAATGTAAACCTTTGGGAATACAAAAAGTGTGCCTTGAATTTTAATTCAGAGAAAAAGCGTGTTTCAGCTATCTGACATTTCAGAAACATTGGCATAAAATGAACTGTGACATTCATTTTTTAAGCGCATCTGGCATGATGATGATAATCAAGATAGTTATACAAGTCTAGATCTGGAGCTGCATTTCTGTACATGCTATCTCATTTAAGAGGACCCCTAATGTCTAAGTGACGACAGCTGCTTTCCAGGGAGTCAGGACCTAGAGAGAAACCCCTAAAGGTCAGCACCACAAGAGAGTTGCATATGCCCCCTGGAAATCTGCTCTTAGGCAACATGTTCATGTTCAGTGGGTCTTCCTGGCAAACAAAGCAGTGTTTCTTCGGCAAGGTTTTTCAGTGTGATTGATGGGTGTCGTCAGATACATGGTGATATGTGGATGTCTGATGAGATTGAAAATTGCAGGTGTGCTTTTTTTGCTGCAATTTGAAGTGTCCACATATTGTGAAAGCAAATAAACAAACAAATGAAAGGCTGCCTCTGAAGTATAAAACAAGAGCACTGAGAAGCTTTGCAACCCCCAACCAGCAATGTACTTTTCCATCATCACTTAGAAGCCCTCACTAGAATTAAGGTAGCAAGGACAGTGGTCCTGTCAATCATTTTCCCATTATGACTTTCTTCCAAAATCTGTGCTCATTTGGGGAAGTTCTCTTACAGAAGCAAGGTAATTTTAGTTGTCCCCATTTTTGTCCTCCAAATAAATGCCCTAACTATGTTGAATACACACGGTCAGGGAAAGCAAAAACAAACAGCTTTGGCAACAGATGTTAACCAAGGAATCAGGATGCTGCGTAATCTCACAGGACAAATATATTTTAACCAGCCAAATTGCTAAGAGAAGCGGAAAGACGCACTTTAGCAGGAACACACCCCAGGATTCTCACACCTCTGTGCATTGCAAATGCTGAGATGATAGAAAGCAAACTCTCTGTGCTGCAAGTTATGATTCAGGAAGGAGACTGAGTGGCAAAGCAGAACGATAGCAAGATAAGTCACATGAATGGAATGTTATGACGAAAAAAAATAGCATCTGACTAATAGAGTGGGGAAGGAAGGTCTAGCACTGTATAGTCAGTTTTGACTAAATATTGAAAAGCAAGCTGGTGTTGATGGAAAACACAGAAGCAAAAGTTTACGACTTGGGGTTTAGAACATGCCTGGCAAAAGAGAAATGTTGCAGCCCTCAGCTGCTATAAGTCTCAGAGCCAGAATGAAAAACACATTCTCTTGCTTAGATCACCTTGGCATTAAAATCCCAAGACTTGGCACATGTGATTAGCTTCCAAGAATCTGATTGCCTTTGGGAAAACACAGCAGGCATGTTCGTGTTTTTTTAAAACTTACCAGACAAAAACCTCGACCCACCAGGTACTTCAGGTTCCTATTTGCCCTGTCCCCACCACTCATCATTGTGAGACACCAACATCTGATCCCTGCTGTATCACACTGAAGGGGACAAGTTACGTTATTGTAGACCCCTTCCCTTCCTGGACACTCTGGACAGGTTAAGAGGTAAGCAACAATGTCTAAATGTCCCCAATGTTAAACTCAGCAACAAAAGCATCTATTTGCAGAAAACAGCACCCATCAGGGATTTATTTATTTTTTGCAGGAAAATGGCATGGGTTACCTCAACCCTGCACCATGATCCCAAATGGCACCAACACCCTCCAATTGTTTTTTTGTTAAAAAGAGACATGGCAGGTCTCAATTATTCTAATAAAAAAAAACCTGAAGTGAAATGTATAGTTTGATCCCAAACCCAGGAATAAATTAGGAAGAAAGACCTACATAAGGGAGAAAAGCAAATAAATAGTAGATTAACTAACAGTGAAATTCTCAAAAGTCAGCCCCACTGTTTCCAACAAGGTTTAAAGGTAAAGGGACCCCTGACCATTAGGTCCAGCCGTGACTGACTCTGGGGTTGCGGCGCTCATCTCGCTTTATTGGCCGAGGGAGCTGGCGTACAGTTTCCGGGTCATGTGGCCAGCATGACTAAGAGGCTTCTGGCGAACCAGAGCAGCGCACGGAAACACTGTTTACCTTCCCGCCAGAGCAGTACCTATTTATCTGCTTGCACTTTGACGTGCTTTCAAACTGCTAGGTTGGCAGGAGTATGTAGGAGTACAGCCTAAAAAATTAAGCGAGTTGACTAAGTAAAACTGGGCAGCTATGGAAATTTACCTTAAAATGTGCAGCATTAATATACAATATTTTACAATGTTTCAGGAATACTGACTCACCGATTGTCATCTTACAGTGCTTTGTTTTAACACCTAGATCTTATGTTGCGCATATTGCATCCTATATCTTATGTAAGAATGACAGCAAAGTATCCTTTGTGTCAACATTTGTAACTTAAGTCTCCTAACTCAAATGCTATGGCAATGGCTTCTGAAGTTCATAAGAGCCTTGTTAGAGAAACAGCAGAAATTATTTGGACGACACATATAATGATTTGTCCAGCTGCAAGTATTTAAGCAGCCGAGCGCTTGTTTTACTGGGTTATTGGCTAATTCACAAGATTACTGAGGAGGTCATTATTGGGTTAGAAGCTTGAACTGCACTAATGGATACTGCACTCTTGTGATAAAATAGCTCTGCACACAACTGCTGGTTGGTAACAGAGAGCCACACTTTGCACAAACATGCTACCATATTATGCAATAGTTTTATGCATTACTCTAGTTGCCTAGAATGATGGAAAGGAGGTGTACTGAAGGCATTTATGTCAACCCAATACAGTTGTTCCGTGAACTAAAAGAGTTTTATGCTCTGAGATCTTCACATGAAGGGTGGTATACAAATTTAATTAACAACCACCACCACAACATCAACAATTACCGTATTTTTCGCTCCATAGGGCGCACCTGACCATAGGGCGCACCTAGTTTTTAGAGGAGGAAAATACGGAAAAAAATATTCTGAATCAAATGTTGCACTAAACTATTTAAAGCAGCAAAGTGGGCGGCTGCTGTCCACTTTGCTGCTTTAAACTGAGCCTCAGAGGAGGGTAGGAAGGGGAACCATGGCTTATCTAAGTCCAGTTAATAATGCTGAGCCTGACTTATGGCCATCAAGATTAGCCTGGCCGTCTCAGTGGAAATCTGGGGAGGCTGAGGTGGACTTTCAGTGGTCAAAGTGTGGTTGTGTCTTCCTGCCCGGCATCTATTTCCTGCCGTCTTTCCCCCTGCACCCTGCTTCGAGGGAAGGAAGCGGAGCCATGGATCCTCTGCTCGCAACTGCAGTGGATTCCCTCCACTTTGAAGCAGGAAAGTGGGAGAGGAGCTGCTTACATGAGTGTAAGCTGCTCCCCTCCCACTTTGCTGCTTCAAAGGGAGCCCAGGAGGAGGGAATCCGCTGCATGGATCCCCTTCCTTCCCTCCTCCTGGTTGCTTTGAAGCAGGAAAGTGGGAGAGGAGCTGCTTACACGAGTGTAAGCTGCTCCCCTCCCACTTTGCTGCTTCAAAGGGAGCCCAGGAGGAGGGAATCCGCTGCAGCCGCAAGCAGTGGAGGATCCATGGTCCCTTTCCTTCCCTCCTCCGTGATTGCTTTGAAGCAGGAAAGTAGGAGAGGAGCTGCTTACACAAGTGTAAGCTGCTCCCCTCCCACTTTGCTGCTTCAAAGGGAGCCCGGGAGAAGGGAATCTGCTGCATTCGCCAGCAGAGGATGCATGGTCCCCTTCCTTCCCTCCTCCCTAGTTGCTTTGAAGGAGGAAAGTGGGAGAGGAGCTGCTTACACGAGTGTAAGCTGCTCCCCTCCCACATTGCCGCTTCAAAGCAATCACGGAGGAGGGAATCCGCTGCAGCCGTGAGCAGCGGAGGATCCCTGGTCCCCTTCCTTCCCTCCTCCGTAGTTGCTTTAAAGCAGGAAAGTGGGAGAGGAGCAGCTTACACGAGTGTAAGCTGCTTCCCTCCCACATTGCCGCTTCAAAGGGAGCCCGGGAGGAGGGAATCTGTTGCAGCTTCCCCCACCTCCCGCAGAAGCCGCACGCTCTTTAAAGGGGCTGCGCGGCTTCTCCTGGCTTTTCTGGGAGGTGGGGGGGATTCCCCCACCTCGTAGAAAAGCCTGCAGGAGCCACACAGCCTTTAAAGAGGGCACCGCTCTTGGGGGCTTTTCCCCCAGGAGGGAGAAGGGACTGATACGGTCAGTCAGTCCCTTCTCCCTCCTGGAGAAAAGCCCGCAAGAGCGCACGAAGCTTGTGTGCGGCTCTTGAGGGCTTTTCCCGCCTGCCTCCCCCCTGCATTCGCTCCATAGGACGCACACACATTTTCCCTTGCTTTTTAGGAGGGAAAAAGTGCGTCCTATGGTGCGAAAAATACGGTATTGTCAGGAGCTGCTGGATCTGTGTGACACTCATCTATGTGGTGAACCACTAAATTACACATGGTAGAATGACTCCACCCTCCGAGATACGCCATTGGATCTTTCTGGGCAGGAACAAACAAACAGGGCTTCCTGTTCCTGCTGAGCCTTGATTGAGCAACACGGTCTTCCTAAGCTCTGGCATGTTCCTGTATGCTTGCTCTTCATTTGTGCTCTTCTAGACTTGCTCTTCAGTCCTGACTTTTAACTTGTCCAACAGCTTCTGGGTCCTGTCTCAGACTGCTACTCATGGCTAGCACTCGCAGGGCCCTTCCATGAGCAAAACTCTCCTTCTGTCCACAAAGCAATTGTACTGGATGCAACCCACTGTATACTTTCCTCCAATGATTTCAACAGCTCTGGATTGTGCCCGCAGTCAACATCACTCAAGCTCCAATTCGTACATGCAATTTGTTGGAGCCAGCAGGAGAACATAGCCCCCTTTATGAAATATCACCACAAGGAAACATTTGTTTCTGAAAAGTGAATAGTTCTGAAGAGAGCTTGATGGTGTCATGAAGATACTATTACAGTGGTGCTCCGCAAGACGAATGCCTCGCAAGACGGAAAACCCGCTAGACGAAAGGTTTTTCCGTTTTTGAGTTGCTTCGCAGGACGAATTTCCCTATGGGCTTGCTTCGCTAGACGAAAAAGTCTTGCGAGTCTTGAGATTTTTTTTCGCTCCCCCCCCCTTTTTCTAAGCCGCTAAGCCGCTAATAGCCTTTTAGCAGCTAAGCCGCTAAGCCGCTAATAGGGTTGCTTCGCAAGACGAAAAAACCGCTAGACGAAGACACTCGCGGAACGGATTAATTTCGTCTTGCGAGGCACCACTGTACTTGGTAACGAGTGTTGAAGAGACTATGGCCACAATTCAGAGAAGCGTAAAGCTAACTCACCAATTCAGTAGGGCTTTTATCTCCTCTCCTCTCAAGTTACATAATATAGTTCATTTTAAGTTCGCCAGAAGCGGCTTAGTCATGCTGGCCACATGACCCGGAAAAACTGTCTGCGGACAAACACCAGCTCCCTCGGCCAGTAAAGCGAGATGAGCGCTGCAACCCCAGAGTCGTTCACGACTGGACGTAATGGTCAGGGGTCCCTATAAGTTCATAGGGGATTCAAAAGAAGTTTTCAGTACAGAGGAGTGGAGTTGCTGTTTCAGAGGGAAAAGTGAAAATCCCCCTCTCTGTGTGTGGACAAGCTGTACTACACAAATAAAAGCTTCACTGAACTGTAACTACACTGTGACAAATTTAATATTTTGAACAACACACCATTAGCAAAGTGAGCAACTATGTTCCCATAGGGCACATAAAACAATTTGATATCTAAAATGGGGGGGGGGGGTGTTGCTACTATAAAGCAGAAAACGGAAAATTACCCCAAAACAGAGTCATCAAGGGATGCTGTTTACCACAGCTTACATACATTGTTGTGTAACACTATTTTTTCAAGAGAATCTGAAATTATGTCCCCGTGGCCTAAAGATACTATGTGAGACTGATCCATTCCAAAGTCAAGTCCACACTTCTCTTGCAATCGTTTTTTCTTGTTAGATTTAAGTTTTGTGATGGACATGATCTTTACCAAATCTTTCCCCAGTAAGAAATGGTTATATAGTCTTAAGGGCAGGAGAAGGAACAGTACTAAAATGTTTACATAGTGTGTGGGGGGGAATAAGAAGTTATTTTATAAAGGATATTCTTTCAAGTTTGTCCAAGCAACACACAGCACCTGGTACTGATTAAATTGATTGCCTTAGGGAGAATTCCAGAAGCCCAGAGTACTATTTAAGAGTTGGTCTTTGTTTGTGTTTTACTATGGAAGAGCCCATTAACACAGTATTAATAAGGTCGGGTTCCCCATTTCCCCTGAACAATCCCCAACTATCGCAGCCTAGCAAATTTATGACAAATACATCCATTCTCGTTGGCTAATCAACAACTAGAAGCAAAGGAACTTCCATGCTAATGGAAGATATTTGTTGTTTATTTATACAGAACAATTTACTTTTCCCTCAAAGGAAGACAATAACATTGGTGGGGTGGTGACATTAAATAGCCTTAAACTGGAAGTTGTACTACTCAATACCTGATTTTTTCTTCCACATGAGGTTTTGTAATCATTAGTACCCTTAAAACAAACTTGTACAGTGGTACCTCGGGTTAAGAACTTAATTCGTTCTTGAGGTCTGTTCTTAACCTGAAACTGTTCTTAACCTGAAGCACCACTTTAGCTAATGGGGCCTCCCGCTGCGCCGCCGCTGCACAATTTCTGTTCTCATCCTGAAGCAGTTCTTAACCCGAGGTAATATTTCTGGGTTAGCGGAGTCTGTAACCTGAAGCGCCTGTAACCTGAAGTGTATGTAACCCGAGGTACCACTGTATATTCCACTTAACGTGCACACTTAATGTTTCCCTAAAGCTGCAGACATACATATCATGACTTAATAAGATAGCATATGAACAAACCTCTTTGCAGTCCACATGCAGCCACATCACTCCTTCTTTCACATGAATCAAACAAGGCAGGAAATATTCGGTTACCTACAATTTCCCATTGCATCCAAATTGGGAAACCATGGTTAATGGCTTTGGAATAATCCCAGGATATCAGCCAGATTCAAACCATGGTTTCACATCCTGACATGTTCCAAATTCATTTTCTATTATAGACAATTTGGGAAAGTAAGGTTAACAATAGTTAACTGAATATTTCCTGGCTTGTTTGCTTGCTCACCCAAACGAAGAAGCAAAAAGGCTATATGCAGGGTACAAGGGTCGTTCATATCTCAGTTGATTATGCTGATATCATCCAGACATGACCAAATAGCCATGTACTAACAAGAGGGAACAACAAGGATGTTTTTACATTTTACATTTCTCAAGACAATGTGTTATCAATATACAAACACTGATGAATTACAAGTTTAACATTTCTTTGTTACCTGTACATTGCAGGAAAAAACTGCAAATATCATAGCCTCTGCATCCAACAAAACTCTAAGACTAAATCATTTCAAGGACATTTGTAATGACTAAGCTAATACCCAATCTTTGTCATTTTTATTAGCTGAAAACAACTGTCCAATAAACTATTAAATGATTTGAAAACACCTAACAAAAAATTAAGGCAATCTTACTATTCTGTTCAGAAGTCCATGTACTTGCATATACTACACGATGCTTAAAGCTTACCGACAAATACTTCTAAAAGAACCTTGAAATCAATTTCCCACTCTAACTACAAAGTGTTAGAGCCCCCAAAGGTTCATTAAAAAAAAAACTTGGGGTGAAAGGGTTTCAGAAATCTTCCATAGCTACATGGGACTTTTAAAAAAGTGTTTTTCATTTATTTTCATTTTTAAAAAAATATGATTTAGGGAGGGAAATCTAGTATTTTTCCTGGATAGAAAAACAGACAAAGATTTTCCTCACAAAAGAGGAAGGCTTATACCAGGCTCCCTCAACCTCGGCCCTCCAGATGTTTTGAGACTACAATTCCCATCTTCCCTGAACAGTGGTCCTGCTAGCTATGAATCATGGGAGTTGTAGGCCAAAAACATCTGGAGGGCTGAGGTTGAGGAAGCCTGGCTTATACAGAGGAATGAATTGATTTGCACAAAAGAAGTATTTTCAGTGTGAGACCAGGGTAAAGCCTGAGGAATGTGGACATCTTGCTAGACTGGAAAAGGGTATGGTTTTCCATGGAGGCATGGAGGAGATTAGGTATGGGTCTGCAGAATGTAGGGAATCTGAATGACAAGTGCAGTTTTCTGGATTGGAATATTTAAATCTTTTGTAGACTGTAAAGCTAAACATGGTCTAAACTTTGTAAAATGTTTAAAAAGCTAAAAATCCTGCTCTTTATCCAGCACCAAAATGACATCAACACTGGCACCAAACAAACCTCTTAGGAGCTACAGCCCAATGCGAAGAAGGCTTTCAGAACTTCCCAAATCCTCCCCACATACCCCGCTGCTACACATAGAACTTATAAAAAGAGAAACAAAAGATCTTTCTTAAACCAGGAACATGTTTGCCAGTCATTACTGGTCATGTTCTCTGGGGCTGAAGGGAGCTGTAATCCAGAAACATCTGGAGGGCCACAGGTTTCCCAGCCATGCTCCAGTCTAGCACATCCAAGGAACCCAGACACATCTTCAAGTTTTGGGACTTGTTCATTACACAGCCAGCCATCAAGTCAGACCTAATCCATTGAATTCATGTGCATCTATCTACTGCACCAGCAGTTAATTGGCAAACGCAGCACAGCTTTCTATCTGGAAAATGTGAAGAAATTGTGGCAATGGGATAGAGATAGAAGAGATATATTAAAGGAGCATAGAAAGTTGCTGAAGAGGACACCAAAAAGCCTCAGAGGGAGACGCAAACAGGGAATTAGAAGATGGGTTCATGTTTTGTTTTTGTTTTTTCATGGGGCCTTAAGCCAAAGGCAAAAAATCAGCATGGTGAGGTGGCCATTTACATGTTGCAGATGGGGTGATGATCCTTAGAGGTGGTGCTAAAGCTGGGAGCAGTAATGGGATTAAGATGAAGAACCAAGCAGAAGGGAGCAGAAAGATGGACTAGCCCTCTTAAAAAAGTAAGTCTCCCCCCATTAAATTCTCATTTCTGAATTTATTCGGCATTTATTTCTCTCAGTCCAACAACTAGACTTTTGAAGTCTATAAAATAAGTCAGTTAATTCAAAAGGATGCTTCTTTTGAAACACTCCAGCTACAAGCTTTTCCCCCTGCAAAATGTAATACTGCTCTTAAGACCATTGGTGTTTGATCTCAGAGAGCAAATAGACTTTTTTATTCAGAATGTATGAACAGCACTCCGATCTTTGAAAAAGTAGTCTCTTTTGAATCGTAGAACTAAATGTTTTCAATATAGCGTATTTAATAAACCACAACCTGCAGAACCATAAAGAGCTTTGGCAAAACAAACAAATAGAATTCCCTACAAATGCAAAAGCAATAAAATGATTACCAACCAGGAAAGTAAAATGGCCATAGTTTTTTTATAGCATAAAATAGAACTTTCTTCCTTAAGATTAATTAGTTCTAATTTAATCCTGAAGAAGCAATTCGCTGACAACGCACAATGAATAATTAATCCATGTGCCAGATAAAAAGAATCCTTTTATGATCTTCTAACACAAGGTATTAAGAGTTGAAATGAAAGGGGAAATGCATGGAACTACTTAGGGCACAAAATGCAATGGAGCTTCTGGAAAGAATTCTAGCAAAACATTTCACCCTAACTCCCATGTAGACCAGGCTAGCCAGAAGTTCCATAATTGCATGCATTCTTAAAATAACAACAACAACAAAATAGTTACTGTTGCTGGGCAATTCAAAAACCTATTAAATTCTCAAGTTTAAAAATAGTACAGTAACAAACACACACACAAACTACAGTCTTCATTTAGATACACTTCTTTTGACATTTATGCTGCAATTTAACACTATCCTGCTTCCTTCTCTGCTGACCCTCGCACCCTCTGGCATTTCCATATAACAAAAGAGCTTATATTCTGCTAGGTAACTTTTTAAAAGATGGGCGCTTTGAAACATTAACATGGCCAAAAAAAGTTTAGGAATCCGAATTACTTTAATGCCCCACGGACTTCCAGGCAGAAAGCATGCTAGCAAGTAATATAATGCAATGTAAATTTTGAAATGTCGTTGTTAAATAAAAGACAGCATTTAATCCTAATCATAATTGGCCCTGTAAAGTATTTAGGATGGGGTGCAAGAGCCACTCCACCCAAATTTCATTAAGATATACGGCAGTATGGGAGCAAGCATCACAAGCTAGCCCCGGGTGCCTTGTAACAGGGTGGATTTGCACAGGACAGCAGAAGGACTAGGAAATGACTCACTAATACAGATAACGAGTCGGGACTTTCCACTGTTGTGAAGGCACTTTTCAAAAGTTACTCATTGTAACACAGTGCATAGGACTTGGGAGAGAGAAATAACCCACAGAAAAAAATGAAGCAATACTTGCAATACTTTAACAACATTAAGGAAAACAATCCAATCTAACAAGGAAAACCTTGCAAGGAGACCTTGCAACAACACAGACAAGAGAGATCCCCTTCATTGCTGCACTCACGGCAAGTTTGGAGAGAGCAGGAAGGGGCTTGCTAGCCCTTCTTACGCTCAAGTAAGGTCAATGTCTCCCATTCAAGTGAAGAAACTTATTGCTCTAGAACAGCCTTGCCCAACCTAGTAAACTTCAGGTGTCCTGCAGTACAACTTACATCAACCACAGCTAGCATGGCCAATAGTGGGGATTGCAGTTCTAACCATCTGGGGGCAATCAGACTGGGAAATCTGTTCAAGAAGGTCCCATACTGTAGACTGTGCATAGATAATACTCCGCAAAGAAGAGCCTCTTATGTTTTAATGGCCTTGGTACTAACATTTGGCACAGTAGGGTTTCTGACGAGAGTCAATGGACTGGCTTTACTTTTAAAAAAAGTTGCACATCTCTTTTGAATGCATCTCTTTAACATTTGTACTTCTTTTTAATGCATTTCGCTAATACAAGCTAGCAGTTCAAAATCTTCTGCTCTGGAATGAAGCTCATTCTTTTAAAAACAGCACACAGAGACTGCAGTTAGAGGCAGGGAAGAGAAGGGAACACATGCACAGCCCTTAAAACCTGGCACCTTAAACTTACAGCTTCACAATGCCACATGAAGAGGACAGAGGTGGTGCTATTGTATTCAGGGTTAGAAAAGCATTCATAAATCCTTAGGTGGCAGCGGCAGAAGCAGTACAGCCAGCCTTGTCATCCTATTTTTTTTAAAGGCTCGTCTGAAACATTTTTTGATGTCTAAAGTTCATTGCACAATAATCAGAGAGCCAAGATATTTTGAATCCTATGTCTGTTACAAAAATGTTAGATCTTTCTTCCATTTACCCATTGCATAGCATCATAGCCACCTATTCCTACTCAGGACTTGGCTGCAGGTTTCGAAGGATATCTTTGAAGGATATCTGGTGAAGACAGCAGCCGCAGTGCAGCAATCCATGCTAGGCGGCCTAGAGTCACCATTTATATTTCCCACAATGCCCTGGGGTGACCCGGGGGCCATTGTGGAAAATTTAAATGGTGCCTCAGCAGCCTCAGGACAGGTGTCAGTGCAGCAATAAGCCCTGACAGAATCCTGATACCACAGTTGCCTGCAGGTGCCACATGCTGATGCTAGGCTTCTTCAAGGCAAGAACTGCCACAAAAGTTGTGGCTGGTGAATGTTAGGTACAGGTACCATCAGCCAAAGGCTTGGAAGTAAGAGACTTTGCTGCCTGGGTAGATCTCTGGGTAGTGGATGGTGGATGAAAGTCCTGTGTGAACTGGTCCCTGTCCTCAGTTTGGACCATCTTCACCTGGCCTGAGAGCACAGGACACAGAATGACTCCAGCTATGAAAGTTGCTGCTACCTAGAGAGCATCAGAGTGGGGGTTGTTGCTGTTGCTCGGAGTCAAAATTTAGTTTTGCAGATGCGTAAGTTATGTTCTTGTATTTTTATTGATAGATCTTATTAAGAATTGTTATCAGTGAATTGTACAATTTTATTGTACTTTTATTAATATGAGAGTAACCAATTTCTTATGTGATTATTTATATTTTGTTATGACTTGTGAATTATGTAATCATTTTGATGTTGTGATCTGCTTTGAGCATAGTGTACTGTGGAAAAGTAGTATAAAAATAAACAATTATGATTATTGTTTTTATAAAATGGTATTTCAACAATTAGAAAGGTTCTAAAACAATGCTAACTCCAATTGTTTTAGAATCAGCAGTGGACTTAGTGATAAGAGGCAGAATGAAAATGAAAATATAAGGATCCACAAAAGGGGGGCAGAGAAGTCAAAGGGGATATGATGTCTGTATTTTGTTTCTTTTTTGTTATGGTTTGTGAAATGAAAAATGCAAAAATAAAGTAAAAAACCCCACAAAGGTTCTAAAACAATGGTTACCTATTGACTTATATATAAAACGACATTAAGCAACCTTACCAAAAGCAGTAGCCAAGTTTCTCATTGCATTGCTCAAGACATCCTTACCTGCACTTTTTTTAAAGCTACTGGCACACCGTCCAACAAACATGTGGCTCTGTAAACTTCACTAAACTGTCCACGGCCAATCTTCTTTTCTATTCGGAAGTTTGCTAAAGTATTGTAGCCCATGTCGGGTCGTAAGGCTTTCTGCAGTCAAGGATACAAGAAAACATAAGGTATACTTTACATACTGGAGGAGTATGTGCAATCATACTTTCCCCCCTCCCAACAGCCAGTTGCTTATACCATTAGCTTTAAGAACATGAATGTGAGATTGGCTGCACAAAGTACAGAGGCTTTAAAAAGGCAAGTATGTGTGCACTGGCAGAAATAAGCAGTACTCAGTCACAGTGTTCGAAAAACTATATGGGTGTATTTGTTCTGAGTTTCCTTATGTTTGCTTTGGAACTGCCTAGGTTCCTAACCCTGGAAAGTCAGTATGCATCCAGTTTGGAATGGATTCTAAGTTACTGGGTTTGAAAACTGAGAACTAACCCTTTCCTAGCTCCACCACATCACCAAGTGTTTGTGTGTCAACACTGCACTGTCACTGGTTGGCAGTTTTCTTCTAGATTCAACCCAAGGTCCTGACTTTGAACTTCAAACCCTTAAATGGTTTTAGGTTCCAATCCTCCCAAAATGTTCCTAACCAATACCTTCAAGATTAGGTAGGTGCACTCAGAAGAAGGCCTTTTCAGTCTGTCAAGAGAGATTGATACTGTTCCCAGGTGAGGACTGAGGACAGTTTTATTTGTGGGGCTTTTTAAAATCATGGTTTTATCTGCCTTCATATTAAACTGTTGTTTCTATTGTTTACTTTCTGGGTCACATTCTAATTAGGTTTTATGTAAAGGTACCTTGTGTACTTTTTGTAAAAAGGAATATAAATGAATATTAATATTTATACACAAATGCAATTGACAAAAATAAATGAAAATTACATCCAACCCTATACATGCTTACTTAGATATACATCCCAGTGAGTTCAGTGGGGCCTATCTCCAGGTAAGTGGGCATAGGATTGCAGATAAGAGTTCCTGTCAGTGGCACTTAGACCTACAGTCCTTCCCCTACTGTCGACAAGTCCTCTGACAAGTCAGACTAGGGTGATAAGTTGTGATCAATAACACTGTTTGTTCCCATTTCACCTGATATCGTAAGTATTCCTTTTAAGGATTCAGGTCTAGTCCTCATATTGTTAAAATATACATGTATAGTTGTGGATTTTCAAGAGAAACATGATCATGTATGTGCTTCTGAGTGTCAGCCAATTTAACAGTGTCTACATAGTTCCTAGGCGTAAGTGGACATTCTAGCCAAGAGGTATGAGAAAACTTCCTAGTGTCCAGTACAGATGAGGAGAAAAGGATGGGAAACCCAGGCCAAATTACTTCTGAAAATTGTAGTTGAAGAAGATGGATTAGTACTGGCCTGGAATCAGAGCAAGTTCTGTCTGCATTGAAGGCATGCACCTGCAATGTTATCTGTGACCAATGCTTTATCTGCTACTGAGATATGGAAACTGAGCAACCGTTAACAGATTGCCTTAGAGATCTGGAAATTGATGCAGAAATGCAGAGTTCTAAGATCCACAGTTCTTGATTATATTTAACTGTTTGTATTCTGAAGTTGGATATGCTCCATTTGATGTAGAATATATACCTGTAACTGGCTTCTCCTGTTTTTGGAGGAGACAGCAAAGATTGTAAGAGAGAAAACCGAGAGTCGGTGATACTCCAGGTTGTTCTCTGTTCTGTATCCCAAGCATTTTATATTTCAAAGTTTTGCATACTCTTGTGACATGCAGCATCCAAACAAAAACAGTAACAAAATGAAGGACGGCAACAATTTTGTCATTTTGTGCCCTTGCATTTCAATTTAAAAGCAAAAACAGCAGCAATTCTAAATGCTGCAAGTACTCAATTAGTCTTCTTTGAACTGCAGCGGGTGTTAGAAATGATTCTAGGGCTTTTGCCTCCCCGATGCTCAGTTACACAATCAAAAATAAATTATTGTTCCTTAGAAGCACCTACATCCAAATACGTTGCTGCTTCGATAGTGATGGTATTGCAGCAATTCAGCTATGTATATTCAAAGTGAAGCCTATGCAGATTTAATGAGGTTATCTGCAGCATTTAGAGTAAAAACAGAGAAACTTGGTGGAGTTCTCTCTTATTATTCAAATGTTCACGTTGCAGAGAACCAGGAAGTGGCTTCATTAAGCTACGGGGTTTGTGGTTGTTTAACCAGCATATATTTCAAAATTTGAATTGGGAATTGCATCCTCTGTCTGCGCAGTAACTTGACAAACATTAGCGTGAACTACTAAGGCAGTGTGACAACCGCATGCTGAGAGCAAAGTCTCACTAATGTGTTTTGGCATGCAGGTTTGTAATCACACATTTACATATGCAATGACCTACATTTGCATGTCAGATCACACACTGTCTGGCTTTATTAAGACTGGGCACCTCCCTGTGTTTGGCGGCCAGAGTGGCGAGAGCGGGCCAGAGGGCGGTGTTTTTTTGGCAGTTGAGGGATGAACTGCCACCGAGGATTAGACTGATATGGCCTGAGCATTAGACACTTCATTAGAGGTAATCTGTTTAACAGTGGGCAGTGTATGTAAACTTCACAGCCCATTTGCAGCACCTCCCCCCCTGCCTCCCCAGCCCCAATGGCCTTTCTTCAAAGGGCAGTGTGGCTGACTGACAGCTTGTCTCATCTGCTCCCTTGTCTTGTCATACAATTTAGACGTGGAGACCTGACATGAGAAGGAACATAGCTGCACATCTCCCAACTATCACCCGGGCCTCCCTCCCAGCCACTATGCAATTTGGGAAAGCAATAAACTCATGCATAATGGGAGCATCAGTTGGTCAGAGAACATATTACATACATTTTGGTAAAGATCACACTGCATCTTAGACCAGCACATTAAAAAGAAAAGGAGTGGCAACAACTTCTACATCTCAGCTGGGGTGTTGCTTTTGGCATAACATAATCCATCTATTGAGCTAGATTATCGGGGCCCTAACCATTCTCTCCCATGTTCTGGGCAGACCCAGTGCTGGCTCCTTGCAAACCGCAGTTTGCAAATCAGAAGGCAGTCACAGGAACATGCTTTGGATTATTTATTTATTTTATTTTGTTGTTTATTAAACATATATCCCTCACCTTCCATCAAAGGAGCCCAGGGCAGCAACATGTCCATGCAAAAATAATGCAGTTAAAACTTCTAAAGCAGTTCAAAACTAAAAGCATTCACCTACTCACAAAGCTATTAATTTCAGTGTTCAAATTATTTCAGGATTGGACACCTACACCAATGTGAATTATGGTTAATGCTAGCCTGGGTGGGTTCCCTTGTAACCAGGTCTAGAAACAAGGGTGTTTAGAAATCCTGGTTATGACAGTACCTTCAACTGGTATTTTGGTATCCTCAAAGTGAAGATGTGCACATACAAACACAGTGTGTGGACGTACATCAGACAGTCATGACTGGCCAAAAAAAAGTGCACATCATCTTTGAAAGCATACATCTCCCCATCACACTTTTTAGTGTATGGGCGACAAACCACTGGTGTATAGCAGCGGAACATGACTACCACCTGAGGTGTAAATAGGCTCAAATTCCAAAGCAACAGCTGTGCTGAAATCTGTGAATGTTAACAACTTTCCCACTCCCCGTTTGTAACTTAAAACTTGTTATGTATCAGAAAAACATTTCATCCTTTTAATTAGACTGTTTTTCGCTGCTGTCCCGACACTCCGCTGAAAAACAGGGTTACACAAACTCATTCTTGGTATGCTTTTCGAAATCCAAGAAGAAACTTTGTTCTGCTACTGTTTCTTCGTTTACTTCTGAATACATAATTTGCACTGACGCAATTATGATTTAGCAAACTGCATTCTCTCTCAGGTCACTATTTGATATTAGCATTCCCATGGAGCTACACAAAAAGATTATATGATACAGAAATTTGAGTTGTACTGGCACATCTGCGCTTCGAATTTTAAGGGATGTTCTTACAGAGCTGTCCACCAACTAACTCCTAAAGCTCCTACTGGTGGCCTCTCTACCAATTTCAGTCACCACCAAAGGGTTACCCAAGAACCATATTGCCCTGAGGGGACAAGACAGAGCATCACAGAGAGGAGCTCTAGCTTCATGACTTCCATCTGAGATAAATTGGTCGTCCCTCAACAACTGGGTGGGGACGTGAGTGGCGCTGTGGGTTAAACCACAGAGCCTAGGACTTGCCAATCAGAAGGTTGGCGGTTCGAATCCCCGCGACGGGGTGAGCTCCCGTTGCTCAGTCCCTGCTCCTGCCAACCTAGCAGTTCAAAAGCACATCAAAGTGCAAGTAGATAAATAGGTACCGCTCCAGCGGGAAGGTAAACGGCGTTTCCGTGCGCTGCTCTGGTTCACCAGAAGTGGCTTAGTCATGCTGGCCACATGACCCGGAAGCTGTCTGCGGACAAACGTCGGCTCCCTCGGCCAATAAAGCGAGATGAGCGCCACAACCCCAGAGTCGGTCACGACTGGACCTAATGGTCAGGGGTCCCTTTACCTTTACCTTTACAACAACTGCCACCACAGGGCTTTTCAAAATCCAGCTTACCTTCAGGGTAAAGAGGAGAAATGTAGTTTTGAAAAAGGTTTTTCTATTGTTGTTGAAGCTAGACTAGTGCTTATTGCGTTAGTGTTTCTACAAGAACTGATTTGTGATTCACCTTAAACATAGTATAGTTACAAACAAACAAACAAACTGGAGTCCAAGTTGCAACAGTAAAAAAAAAAAAAAGGAAAGAAAAAAAATCCATAGCACCATTCTAGGGCTACAGTATGTAATGGAAATGAACAGAATAACATCGGCAAAATGTAAGTCAGAGTAAGTTCTCTGGGCTTTTAAATTCTGAATTAATGTACCCCTTCCTACCTAGTCTGAGCAACTAATGCAATGTCCTACCTGTGGCTGAAATTGAGGAACAGGAGGGCCTGGCATGCCTTGAGATTGCTCATCCATTGTTTCAAATCACAACACTTTCAAGTGACCTGTACAAAAATATGAATGACCTTTATAAAAATACGACACAATGAAATATTTTTGAATATAACCTTCCTCTTTGGTTTTATTTCCATAGCATCATTAGCTTACACAGGAATTTACAGGGCAGGACAAAGGACTTTACCATCTATTTATATGGCTGGTATGTTTTGTTGTTGTTGTTTTTCCACTGATGTTATGTTTTTTGAAATATTAATGTGTTATATGAATCCCCCCCTTTCCCCTCTGCTATTATATATTGTATATTTTTCTTTGAGGTAAGTTGCTTGGAAACCTTTGGGTGACAAGCGACTAACAAGTTGTTTTTGTTGTTACAGTGTCAGACCACAGAAATATGTAAGCAGGGGGGAAATGTGTGCCCCTGAAGTTACATTTGCATGGTTCATGTAGGGAAAGATGAGGATTAAGGAGTTAAACTAAGGGGTGGCCTATTATGTCCTCATACATTCAAGTCCATTATGTGACATGAAAATACTCTTTAAGTCAGAGCTTTACCAACTTTTCATGTTGGTGACACGCTTTTTAGACATGCATCATTTCGCGACACAGTAATTCAGTTTTGCATCATTGCGCAACACAGTAATTCAGTTTTACTAGCAAACTGGAGGTTAAACTAACCCCTTTCTAGCCCCAGGAGAAGCGTGGGGAGCGTTTGTGCGATACACACCAACACATTGCAGCCGACACTCTAACATGTCGCGACACACAGTTTGGAAAGCTCTGCTTTAAGTGGTCAACCTTCTGAGGGCAAGTTCACACATGAATGCTCATGAATCAATGAAATCAACACTTGCCTGACAAGTGATTTCCAATCTTTTCAGACCCACAACCCACCTTTAGCCCTAACATTAATTTGGGGACCCATTTCTTTCCTTTCTTTCTTTTTTAAAACCATATAACTGTATATAACATACAACTGTATAGCAGTAGTGCTTCTGCTGTGACCCACTTAGGTGAGGCTGCAACCCAACTCACCAGCTGTAAACCAATGGAAAAGACAGTCACAGATAAAATAATTCCCCCCATATATATATATATTACTCATTTACTATCTTTTTTTAATAATAAAAAAATCAAAATCAAAAACCAAAATTCCCTTTAAAAATCCTTTTTGTCAAATGCGCATTTCCCAGGAGCAGAGTGTAAGAGAAGATTAGGACTCATTTAAAAGAAAGAAAATTGACTACATTTTGTAGCCTGTCATTTTCTCTCAACATCGCTGCTTCTATTCATGTAGGTCTGAGATCAGAATCAAATGTGAAAGCATTCTGATCGATATAAAAAACCAGCTAGCTACAAAGAACAAAAAAGCTTCTCTACAGATCCTTATTAAAACAAAACCAAAAATGCAAATATTTTTAACCTAGAAACGCTGAAGGAGTCTATCCAATTGGGAAACAGCATCAAAAGGAAAACACTTTTTAACAGACAAGTTACTTAAAAAATAAATAAATTAAAACTGTTTCCTAACCCAAAGTTTTGGACATAGTGTAAATCATCTTACTTCTTTAAATGTCAGTTTTATGCTTTTTCTCTCTCCAGGAGTTTTTAAGCTGTGGAAATCGTTCAGAATAAGGGAAACATCAATATTTTGCCCTTTTAACTCTTAAACCAGAAGCAAAGCTTTTCTACAGAACTGTTCTTATAGGTCTTTGCCCTTTGTTGAATAGTGGCAATAAAACTGCTCCATAGCAAATGCTTTTCCCATCTACTTTGCATCTCAAAAATAAATGTCGCTAGCATTTTTACAATGAATTGAATAGCACACATCTTTAAGATAATAGCTGGTACAGAAGCTGAATTTACCATCCATACAATCCAGCTTCGTTATGCATGATCTTTGTCCTGGCTGTCATGTAACAGTTTTTAATTCAAATAACAAAAGCTCCTCTTTAAATATTTCCCTCCTCTTAAAAAAATAATAATCAACTTTCAGACTAGTTTTCAAACTGCGTGCTGAGAAACCCCACAGGTTCTCTGGAAACTTATCAGACGATCATTCAATTAGAACATCGTGACAGAGTAACTTTCTTAAAAATCACTACACATGCAAAACACTATCAGATAGGTTTTCGAACACATGGTTTACCCTGTCAGTCATGTAGGTCAATGGTGAGTCCAACAAGCCCGGCTAAAATCCCACATGTACTGGGAGACCACACCTTAGAAGTGACCCTAGAACTTCCTGCAATCTAAACAGGTTCTGTTACAGATACAAAGGGCATTCAAGGAGTAGGGGGCAAGGAATCAAAATGGAAAGTGTTCTTGAAGGTCAAGCTATAGTTTCCAATGCTCTTATTTCAGACTTTTTGGAAATTACTGCATCCCATTCATACATACTGATTCACTTCCTCAGTGCCTGCTAAATAAGAAGGAATAGGTAAGGGCAAACATTGGCTTCAGACTTGGCACAACCAACACTTTAAAAAATAATTCTGCCCACTTATTCAAAAGCCTAGAAGTCACAATCTTTCAAAGGACATTCTGTGTATACCCTCTGATTACTTTATAAATGGGGAGGGTTTTACCAAGAATCTCTTAAACATTATTGTACCCTTTAATTCCTAACTGACAGGAACACCAAAGATTTAGTAGAACACCTAAAACACAGAAAAAACTGAAAGTGGCGATAAGACCAAAATATTGCTGGCAGCGACATTTTTTTCCACAACGCTTGGCAAACACACTGTTATTTAGGATGCATGATGAGGTCAATGTTGGCAACTCCTTGCAAGATCCCAACAAGTTTTTGAACGTAAGGCTCAAAAATACAAAGAAGTCTTAGTGCAGTAATACTACATTGGAAAAATTAGATCTCTGTCTAGGCAAGTCTGAAAAAAAACCCACAAAATTTAAATGCCCAAGCAGTCTGCAGAGGAATTTAAGGCCACAAGTGTCTTAAACTATGATGTGGATATCACTAATTGGATCTGATACCTTATTATGTAAGCTTGCAGTAATAATCTCACATTTCTCTTTTAAAAAATCTTAATCAGGAAAGAATGACACCAGTGTAGCACAGCAGAACAAGTGCTAGACTTTGGGGGCACCTGGGTTCAAATCTTTGCTTAGCCATGATGCTACCTGGGAGTCCTCCAGCAAATTTCTCTTGGCCTGACCTACCACACAATATTACTGCTAGCATAAAATAAGATAACCCCATGTCAACTCCAACATGAATCTTACAATATTATATGTCTGCCACTAATAACATAGCTGAAGACTATAGTGAGTTTGGACAATTCATCTCAATTTAAGCTGAAACATGTATGCACCTGTTGCTTGCATGCACACCAAGTGTTGAAGTTTCCTTACTAGCTCAGCTTATTCCAAAGCTGTTAACCATAGTTTCCCAGATGAAACCGGAAACTATGAAAGACTTCCTGGTTTGTTTGTTGGTTGGTTGGTTGGTTTGCTTCCTTGCTTGTTCATGTGAAAGGAGGAGCAAAAGTCCACGCTCAGCAAGAAAGCCCATTAATATCTCAGCTAATTACACTTTTACAGATACAGTCCTTTTAAATTTCTGGTTTAGATACAATATAAAATAGAAAGAACTTGTATAGGCACAGAAGGCAACAAAATCAATTCTCACCATTTAGCTGTATTCTTAGCATTTAATAGATGGAGTTGATTTCAATTTTCTGCTATAAAGAGGTAGACTAATATTTGAACTAAACAACTATCTGTTAACTCCTCTACCTTCCCATTATCATACATATTAGAGTAACACCTGTACAAAGCAGCTATGCTTTGTAGTATGGCAGACTTACATTTTAGCAAAATAAATACAACAAATAAGGCTTGCGTGCTGTTAATTCCTTCATTGTTTTCGCAGGTTTGAGGACGATGCTTTGTATTTACAACTTGCCACTAGCAAATCACAGAGCACATTTTATTACTTCTGTTTTACATTTGTTTTAGGTAACCTGTTGATTTTCAGGCTTTCTTCAGCCAGAAAACCCTTTTCATTTTTGACTCGTTAAGATGGAGCAACTTGTTACACCGTACCGCCAACCACTGACACAAGGATCACACTTGACGTAACACTGGAAACATACAAATGCATATCTCTATCTTTCTCTCCCCCCAAAAAAACAAAAACAAAAAACTTACAGGTAGCAACCGCTAGACGATGCAGCAGATCCAGATCAGGACCTCATATTGGGGAGAGAGAAGTTCAGGATTCTGGTGAAAACTGCACCCCTAGAGGCCGTTTGCCCTGATACTAAAGACTTACAGGCACAAAGGCTATTATCCCATATGTTGCACCTAATCTTAGTTCTGCTGAGTGTACATTACCAACTTAGGTCCATCAATTTCTTTGCAGAACTCAGATATAACCCTATGTATTTTCAATTGTAATAACTAGTATTGCAACACAGAACACATCCAACACCCTTCTGTAGCTGCACACTGCAGGAAAAGATCAGAGTTGAGAGAACCAATATCTTTCAGGGGGTCTTGCAAGTTTTACTGATCTTACCACTGAGGAAGCCATGTCCAGGTTTCACTTGGGGAAGTTGGGAGATTCCCAGAATGCAATGCCACCTATCTAATCCACATATTCTCAACATGCGGGTTGCAGGTCAAAGCTAGAGTATCAGAACAAGGGAACAAACATATGCAACCAAGGCTAGCCCCCGAAAGGCCCCTAACTACTGATTTTAATCCATTTGTTAGGTTATAAATTCTTTGGAGGGGGGTGTCATTTTCTTTAAAGCTGCACAGTGCAAACCATGCAGAGAATATGAACAGTCTGGAGGCATTAGCCCAACCTAAAACATTAAGCAGCACTCTTAAAAAGAGACTTCAGGGTTTTTTTAACATATTTGCATGCAACCAAAATGAAGGCTGCACAATTACTGTGCTTACACTGGGGAATGGGTTCTCAAAGTGACTTGAATGTCTCAGCATAATTTGGGACAAGCAGAATTGTATTTGTTTCCAAACCTCATTCTTACCCCAGGAAAGTTATAGGAAATTTAAAAGCACTGGGGATGAATGTGTTACAGACTGCTTACGATTTAGTATCAGTTCAATGGTTGTGTTCTCTTCCTTTGGGCCCACGGGGCCAGCAAACACTTATTTATCATATAATACACATACTAATAGTGATCTCAATGTTCAGAGAGTCATTCTTTATGCAGTGAAAACAACACCATCTATGCATAAGAGGGAGGCGTCACCAGGCTTGGGGGAGCTCATATATTTGTGTAAGTAGAAAGAAACTTTGGGAAAGAACCCAAAGGGGGACACACCCACCCACCCCAAAAAAAGCTTAATGGGCATTGAATATGCCTCATTGTTACAAAAGACTGGATCACTGTTGTGGATGGTAGGGGACTCGGAAAACTTGGTGGAAAGGGAAACAGAAAATCCTGAACCTAAGTGGGCCACGCTGCAACATTTTGTTGCAGGTACCACTCATTTATTTTGTAGCCTATCTTTGTTAAAAGATGTAATTCAAATCAGCACGCATGAAGCACTCGGGTGGTCTCCTATCCAGGGAGTGACCAGACCCAGACTTTCTTAGGTATCACTTTTAATAAATCCCATTAGAAGAAACACCTAGCAGCTTTCTGCCCATCTTCTGCTATAAACGTATCTATGTTCCATTCTCAATAGCAATAGTAAGACAAAACCAGGTACTGCAAGAGGGCAGGCCTCAAAGAAACAGAGGTGCTTCCTCTTCCTTGAATTTAGAGCTACCGTGTGAAACAGTGAGCAGTTCTGATTCAGAGGCCCAATCAGCTACATCTGGAAGCATTTTGAGAAGCTCAGATGTCAAACAAGGAAAGAAACCCACCTATCTACACAGCCTGCTTGGGGGCAGGGGTGGATTCAACACTGACATAACAAGACTAGTCATTCAAATACATGTCTGGAATTTTATTCCAGATATGCACAAGGTAAGTGGCTTTTTTTTAAAAAAAAAGTCTCTATTATTCAAAAAAGCACTACAAAGTTAAACACAGGTGGCAATTTAGCAGTGTCACAACAAAGAGGTCATCTCTTGATGTATACTACAAATTGTTATTAAATAGCTTCTGTAAGACTAAAGAGATTATAACTCCCTCTTCTAAAAAATTTTCAAAATCATGCTAAGTATATTTATTTTACATTATTTATTGAATTTATATACTGCCCTATACACACAGGTCTCAGGGTGGTTCACAGGATAAAATCAGAATATAAATCACAAAATACATAATAAAAAACTGCAATAACCCCCAGTACCATTATCCTGATGAATAAGTTTAGTGTCACTGATGAAAGTACCGTATTTTTCGCTCTATAAGACGCACCAGACCATGAGACGCACCTAGTTTTTGGAGGAGGAAAACAAGGGGGAAAAAATCTGAATCTCAGAAGCCAGAACAGCAAGAGGGATCGCTGCGCAGCGAAAGCAGCAATCCCTCTTGCTGTTCTGGCTTCTGTGATAGCTGCGCAGCCTGCATTCGCTCCATAAGACGCACACACATTTCCCCTTGCTTTTTAGGAGGGAAAATGTGAGTCTTATAGAGCAAAAAATACGGTATCTTACGTTACAACAAAAAAGTCACACTGGGCACAATCCAGCAAACAATGGTGCATAAATGGGGGTGGATTGACATGAAGAGGGATTCGGTCCGCCTGAGCTTTTTGGTTTGAGCAATGCAGACTTTTAAGGTTCTGCAAATGTCCAGGGAATGCCAACTATTTTCTCCTCTCTCAAGTTCTTGCTGCAAGTGGAAGATAGCATCGACCTTAGGAAGGAAGGCTGGGTCGGTACAGATGACAATGCTCTCTTTGTGAAAGGTTCAAGAGTGCTCTTGGAGTGCAATTCTGAAAATCTGCAAGCTGAAGTGATGGCCACTAATGAGGCAAGCTTGAAGGATGGAAGTTTGAGGGAGACCTTCCCCAGTGGTTTGAAGGGAAGCTTCTCTAAAACACCTTGTGGAGGTCCTAGAATGGGAATATGTGGCTGGTCAGGGGACACTTTAGAGTTGCCTCTCTAAGGAATCGTTTTCAAGAGCAAATGGGAAGAGAGGCGGGCAGCGGATGGTCATGACAGGATGGAGGAAAGGATGGTGGAAACTTCTGGTTTCTTGTAGGAGTGATTTGTGGACACACACAAGAATCAAAATGGTATCTAGGTGGATTGATATGAGCAGGGGGTGGGGGCCTCTTGGAGTGTAGAAGCGTATCAATGAGGTCTGCAGGTAAGTCCAGCTTGGTTAGGCATTGCAGTTCAAACTCTAAACAGTCAGCTGGAGCCACTTGAGAGCTGGATGAAGAATCAGGCTCTGAAAGAGGAGCTCTGTTCTGTAAAGTGTCACGGAGGGGAGACTGCCAGGTGGAGTATTTGAGGGAACCAAGGGTGCTGAAGCCAGAACAGTGTAATGAGGAGAACGCTTGCTTTCTCTTCTCTGATTTTCTGACCCTCAGAATGATGGGGAGAGAAGGAGTAGAGAAGACCTGGTGGCCATGCGGAGAGCAGGGCACCCCATGCCTCCACTGATGACTGGAGATGATGTTTCCAGTCTAAGGCAAATAGGTCCACTTGGCATTGGCCAAACATTGACAGCAGCTGTTGAAAACTGCTGGATGTTGTATTTTGCCCAGCTAAGGAGGAGGGATGCTTCTGCCTGAAGCTCCCAGATTGGGTGTTTCCTTGTCTGTTGATGTTGGATTTCACTGTGGTTGATTCCATGCAAATTAGGACATTGCCGAGATAGAAAAGAGGAGCAAAGTGTTGTAGGGCTGGGTGAGCTGCTCTCAAAGCTCTAGCCAATTGATGCTCATTGACACTTCCACAGCAGACTATAGGCCTTCAATGTTTAGATCTTCACAGCAAGCTCCCCACCCTGTGAGGTGGTAGCAAGAAGAGCAGTGGCAGAGATCTGTCCTGTCCTTCCTATGTCCATTGCCATGGGGATGACCACTTGTTCAGAACCAAGTTAATAACTCCACTGAAAGGATGTTTAGTGAGAAAAATACCATCAGTGCATTTTGAAGAAGGATATGATTATTTGGACCAAATCTAGTAAACTCTTAGCTGCAGTGATAATTTTTATATTTTCTTTCATGTACTAAAAAAATTGAAAGGTGCCGCTAGTGTGCATCTGTTTCTTCCTGTACCACTGCAGGCTACAAGACACAAGCTTAGCTTCTCAATTGACCTTTTGTACAAATATAAGTGACACCCTGGTCAGCAGCCCAAGACACAAAAAATGCTTGATCAGGATATGACGGTCCCCCAGATCTGATGTCAGAGCAAGTACCCAACCCAGCCACTGTAACCTGGGGAAAATGTTGTTCTGATCTCAAAATATAGTAATGAAATATAGTACATGAAATAAAGTCCACATACCCAACCTTCCTAATATTTTCTTAGCCCTTGCGTTGCACAAATAAAAACATCCTGTTTCTACTTGTGGTAGACAGCCAGTGGGAAACAAATATTTATTGAAGGAAATTACAGCAAATCGAGACTAGCGGAGCCCCTGAGCAGTTTTCAAACCAGGTCCCAGGCAGCTGCATTTTCAGGCATTACAACTACTTCATCATTTTTCTCATCTTTCCATGGCATTGTTGTGGGGTGGGGGGTGGGGACTCAGAAAAATAGCCCCCATCACCACAGCCAGTGGAGAGAAACAGATGATGAGAGTAAACAATAGCAGAAAATCAGTGGCAACAATGTCTGCCTTTTTGTAAAAAGAAAAACAAAGTTTCACAATGCTTGTCAGGCCTGACAGGCATCTTACGGAATACAGAAGCATTGGAGCCATGGCACTATTAATCCCCACCCCCAAAATTGCTGGACCAGATATGACTGGGTCATCTTGAGCCTATTGCAGTCTCTCTCACCTTGATCTACCCCACAGGGTTGTTGTGAGGATAAAAAGGACAGGGGAAGAGCAATACATGCTGTCTTGAGCTGCTTGGAAGAAAGGAAGGTTATAAATGCAAGTGATAATAATACCAAGTGATGTAGCACCATTCACTGCAATGGAAGTAACTGGTATTAAGGGAGAGTATCTTTTCAGTTCTGAAAACTTTTGTTTTAAGGGGAGTGTTTTTTGATTTAATCTCAAGATTCAACCATTTCTCCTACATGCATTTCATGTTCTGCCCTTTCCTGTCAGGTACATTTCAAGAAATAAACATTGTTCGGTTCACAAGCCAAAAGCAAGCAAACAGAACAATGATTTTATGTCATTCAGAGGTGTCAAAGATATGAAATGCACACTTCTGGAAGTATGGTCTCCTTTCTAAACAGATAGAGCCTGTAGAGGTTTTTTTAGTCTGGGCGGGGAAGATGCAAAATACCAAGTAGCCAACTATCATTATTCCAGTGATATTGAAATATTATGCCACACATATATGCAAGCTATTTAACATACGCTAAAGCACATTTTTGGTCACATAGAGATTTAAATCAAATACACAGTGAAGAATTATTCACAGTGCTAGGGCTTCATTATTATTTTTTCTGCAATAGTATTCCACTGTTGAAAAGAAAAGTATGGTTTAAAGAGTGGCTTCTCTCTTCAGGGGTTGGACTAGATGACTCATGGTTCCTTCCAACTCTACAATTCTATGATTCTGCAGTGGAAACAGCTGAAGTAGTTAATGATGCTCTGCAAGTGGTTCTCATTGATATATGCCTATCACCTTTTCCCCTCAGGCAGAGTGATTTATCTCAGTGTTGAACAGCACATGGACGGTTGCACATTGACACAAGTTTCATTTTACATTAGATTCCTCTCTGCATTTTTTTAAATTAAAAATGGAATTTTTCTATTAGCTATTTTCACACCAACTCTTCCACCATTCCCAAACCTTTTAAGCACAGTAGACACTCAGTACAATTCAGTATATTCTACTCATAGACTAGAGGAGCGATAATAGAATCATAGAGTTGGAAGGGACCCAAGGATCATCTAGTCCAACACCCTGCAATGCAGGGATCTCAGCTAAGGTACTGAGCTCAATGAGGTACTGTAAGTGTAGATAGGATTTCTGCCTAAGTACAAAACATATGTGTCTCTAGTCTGTATCCAAAACCTAAAAAAAAAAAAAAATCAATCTAGAGCCTTTAAAACTAATCGAAGTCAAATCCCTGAATTCAGTAGCATAAAACTTGTAACCAACATAAATGTGCATTATCTTAAATCCCACTTAAAACCAAAGAAAGTGCAATGGTATGCAACCAAGTGCTGAGTCTAGGCTGAGTTTTCTAGCCCTCATGAATGCAGGAATAATTTAAAAAACACAGAATTACAAATAGTGTTGGAGGCAAGTAACATAAGGGTATAAGATTCTTTACCTTTTTCAACTCAGCTGATTTTCCAAACCATATAACAAGGTAATCTCAAGGACTGGCCCAAGGACATCTACGTGCAGAAAAATAAAATGTATGTTGTCTACTAATTGTAGTTTGGCACGCACATGAAATCAGTTATGCAACTCACATTAATTATCTGCAAATAAGATATGCAAATTAGCTGCAGCCGCCTTTTGATTCATGATATATTTACGATGTGGCCCTCAGCACAGAGGAATTTGGCTGCCTTTTCTGATACAGTGATACAAAGGGATGTTTTCCCACTCCTTCCAAGTTCCCTACTGTGGAGTTGGGCAACTCCTCTTGTACCCAAGGGCTGCAATCAAACATCACTATAAAACCAGATCCCTACAGCTAATATGTACATGTAATTAAGTCCAGATACCCACAACTAGCACGTACTTAAAAGTAGCATAAGATGCAAGATTACGATCCTTGCTTTAATTTGGAGGCTGCAACTCGTGAATGCAGTCTGCTTATTCCATAATAATATTCACTTGGAATTTGAGAAGGGGGGAAATCTCAAGTCAACTTCTCAAAGAGATTCTCTATATTTATCCTACATCTGAACTTACACTGTGAACATGTTTTTCAAGTTGAGCTCTGCTAGAAAATATTGCTTAAACATTCTGATTTTCTAATATGGAGCTAGGAACAGGGGCTTATCCTCCTGAATGTTTTATTTCTGAGCTCGGGTTCCTTCCTTGCTGCTCCATTTCACTTAATCAAAATAGCCAGGGGGCCTGGCTTGCTGCACATGTAGCTTGGGGATTTTCCTAGGGAGGCTGTTAGCTCTTCCTTCCCCAAAGCAGAAGTCGGTCCTCCTTTCCTCAAAAGCTCCTCACTTTAGTGCCTCAGGCAGGTGACCACTGCCTTCCCCTCCACACCTCATAAGCAATCCCAACATTGCATTTAATTGCTAATGGCAACATCAAGTAGAAACACTTTTCGGTATTAATGGCTCCTCCCTCAAAACATATGACTTTTCTGCTTCTGATTAACGTCCATTCTCCCTCTCTCACATGCAAGGACAAATTCATGGAGTTATTCACAGAGCTATCAATGGCTATATAGTACTGGAGCAATATGCCTCTGGATACAAGTTGTTGGGGACCATGAGTAACAGAACTTAGTGTCCTGGCTAGTCACTGTGAGATTGAAATGTTTGTAGTGAACCAAAAGGGCATCTAGTAGGGTTCTTCCAAGGTTCCTATTACTTTGAGGAGAAGCAGAGTAAGTCAACTCCATGTTATATGTGTGGGTTTTAACTTTAATTTTTTAAAAATGGAGAAAAGTAGGATATTTATGTGTGTGTGTTTAAATTTGTATTAATGAAACACTGTTACATGTAACTGTGCATTTTTGTAACATTTTGTTTAAATTGTCTGCTGTTGCTTCAGTTTTCTGTACACAGCTTATATTTTTAATAACAATTATTATAATTTTATTATTTAAACCCTGCTCAACTAGCTAGGTTTTTAATATGTTAAGCGGTATAGAAATTAAATAATCAATCAATCAATTCCTTTTTTTTTTAATTAATATTTATTAAGTTTTCAAAGAATAACAACAAAAATTTCCAAAAAAAAATTTGAAAATACAAAAAACCAAAATGATAAAGAAATAAAAAAGAAAAAACCCAACCATAAAGAAAAAAAGAAAAAAAGAAAAACAAAAGTATAAAATCATTTACGATCTCTGTTAACTTCCTTTCTAGACTTCCTCCTCCTCCCCTCTCTTGTTTCTTAATTTTTAATTTTTACAGCAAATCCTTTCTGTTTTTTCATAACAATCTATCATTACATTTCCTTATTCTATTTTCCCTCTTGTCATATAGAAACTTTAAAACTCAAAGCTTATATTCAGTATTTACCAAATTCTTACATCATTACCTTTTTGCAAATCATTTACCAATCATTACTTAAGCCATATAGTTTCATTCAACATCTTTCAAACATTTATGAACGTTCCCAATATTGAAAAGTAGAAAAATAAAATAAAATAATAAGTCAGACACAATCCAGTCAACTTCCAGCGCCCTCCCCTGGACCCGGGATTGTCAGTCCTTTTAACCTCAATAGTCCGGCTCCTTAACCTGGTTGTCTCGTGTCCGAGGCCCTCAAATCTCTTTCTTGCCCCTTTCGCAGCTCTTCTTGATGTTTCCCTTTCAGTCGTGGGTACTCCAGCAGAAAGATACTTTTGACCCTTTGCAGCAAGTCCATCCCATGCCCATTGTCCAAGCCAGACAGCAGATAATACCACTTCAAGTTTCCTTGAAACTTGGAGGCTCCGACTACTCCAATCCTCTGATGGCCCATCACCAGACTCGGAAAGTCCAGATAACCATATAAAGGGGGGTCAATCCATCCCCCATTTCCAAATCTAACCACATTTCATCTTTCCGAATCTGATTTATCCCAAGTTCATTTATCAAGTTCAAAGGCTGATCCTGCCGGTCCAAAGGTCCCTCCATCTCTGAAGCCTCCATCACTACAGCAGGTTCATATACTTGTAGATATTTTAACTGAGTTCCATTTACTTGCTGCTGTGCTCTGGTAACTTCCGTCATCAAGGTCGTCTCCTGACGCATCTGGTCCAGCTGGGCACTTAGTTTTGAAAAACCTTCCAGGAACATTTGTTCAAGCCTTTGTACAAGCATTGTCCTTCAAGGTCAAAGAAAATTCTTTCCCACGATTATAGTCCTTCACTTTTAAGCTCTCTGCGTTGCAGTTTCACTAAATCCCACTAGAGGGAAAACCTTTTTTTCTTTTTTTTTATAAAGGAGAAAAACATCAGCAACAGTCTTTCTTTTCCAGATACACTTTATCCAAAGTTCCCCTTCAAAATTCAAGAGGCAACAGTAGAGTCACAATGTTACCCTTCTTTAACTATCTGTCCAGCTGGACAAGCGTCAATAAGTCACTTCAGACAGCCCGCTCCTGGTTCAGGGCGGTGGAAAATTACTTTGTTTTAAACTCACTTCCGCAGGGTTAAAAGTCCAAAACAACCCCTTCTTCTCCTGCAGTCAAAGGGGGGTTCAGAAATCTTAGATGTTGAATTCTAGTTCTCTCAGAATTTAATTTTCAAGCTTTAGTATATTTTGTCTTTGCTTTCTTCACGTAACAAAAGAACGGGAGGCTGACTTCCTGTTTAGACCTTCCCATTCCAAGTCCCAATTAAATTCAATTTCAAGTCCAATTTATTTATTTATTCACCAGTCTTAAAAGTAATTCAGCTCTTCCAAGATCAGGTACTCACGGATAGATGTTTTAGATGCCAAATTGTCCCAGGAAAAGGCAGCGCTCTCCGGAAACGGCAGTGCGGCTTTGCTGCACGAAAGAAGCAGTCGACTCACAGCACCACGCACCTCCCACTCCGGAGCCCGTTACCCGGCTACTGCACAATGGGAGAGAGATCTCACGGTGCCCGCTGAGTCCCACGTCCACAGGCTTCGTCCGCCTGTGGGTTTTAAGGGTCCCCGCTGCGCCGTAGCGGTAGGACCCAAGCTTCCGTGCAGCGGGTTCCCTTCAACTTGAAGGGAATTCCGCCATTTTCCGGAGGCGCCACCCCGGAAGTGCCCAATCAATCAATTCCTAAAGGTCATTTGGCTATGGAACAGATCTGCTCATCTGTAGTTACCGTATTTTTCCGTGTATTGGACACCCCCATGTATAGGACAACCCCTATTTTTGGGGACTCCAAATTAAGAAAATGGGGGGAGATTGACCTAAATTGTTGACAAAAATTGTTCACCTGCCGGACCAACGCTGACAGCCAAGCGCCTCTAACAAGCCGCCTATCAGCTGTTCCCTCGCAGGCAGAGCCAGACAATCTCTGAGCTTTTTGGGGGGGGAGCCCTAGAGTTGTTGAGCTTTTGGGGGGGAGGCGCCGTTACCCAGGAGGGGCACAAGGCGCAAGGTTTCTATGACGGGAAAGGCGCAGAGGGGTGATATTACTTTGATCGCCACAGCCAACTGGAGCGACGGCGCCGATCGCGTGGACTCCGCGCAGCACAAACAAACCGCCTTCAGCCCCCCTCCCAGCTGGAGGGCGGGCTGAGTGGGAGGAGGCAAGCAGACTACGGATGCCCCGCAGCTCGTCACTATGAGGAGCTGCAACTGTCAGAGCATGTATGGCGGCAAGTACCATATTTATTTATATATTTAATTGCTATATTTCATGTATAAGACAACCCACGTTTTCAAACTTTAAAAATTGGGGCCTCATCTTATACACGGAAAAGTATGGTATTTAGTGCCACTCTACACTACTTTCATTTACCAATTTTAATGCATGTCCTCAGTTTGCAAAATCAACAAGAAAATCTGTAGAACATGTTCCAACTCCATTGGCTTATAGTTTCCAGGTCCAATTCAAAGGCTTTACGTATAAAGCCTTAGGTGGCTCAGGACCCCAATACCTCAAGGACTGCCACTCACCACATGAACTGACCCAGACCCTGCAATTGGCATCTAAGGCATTTCTCCATGTGCCTCCTCTACAGGAGGTCTGGAAAGTAGCAACCCAATAACAGTTTTTTCAGTGGTGGCTCCTCACTTGTGGGATGTTCATCCCAGGGAGGCTTACCTGGCGCCATCACTACATATTTTGCCGTGCAAAAACGTTTCTTTTTTGCAGGCCTTTGGCTTTTAATTACCTGTGGTCTCATTCAGTGCATGAGCTGTCTGAATTTTGTCTTTTACAAATTGGGTTGCCTTTTGGATTTTTCTTTGTATTGTTTTATACTGATTTTAATGTATGTGTGTCTTTATTTACTATAAGTCACTTTAATTTACTTTTATAAAAAGCAATTAATAGGTTACAATAAATAATAATAAATGGTTTGAAATGTTCTGCATTATGTGCCTTGACTCACTTGTGTCTTTGAGAACTATGTGATCCTATTCTTCCAGCACCCAAGTGATTAATTCCTTCTCTCTCTTCCCTACTGACAGGAGATTAGACTGAACAACTTACTGGCCATCAGTTTCCTCCTCCAATATTGCGCTAACATAAAATTCTATAAGTCAGTTCACACAACACAGTAAGCCATGCCATGCTAAATTAAGCCAAGGTTTGGCTTAGCATGTTGTTCAGTCTAAACCAGGACCCCTGGTTAACCTCTCTCGGTACTAACCACAAGCCATAACCAAGAAGGAACTATGGCTTAGTGCAATGCAGTAAAAAGGACCAGAGAAGAACTAAAAGCCCACATAATCTCACTGACTAAGCCGTAGTTTAGCTTACTGTGTAGTGCGAACAAGGTCTATGATTTCTTTGCATCAGCTTTATTAATTCATTTTAGTATAAAACTGCAGGAGTGTAGGAAAGTAAATGAATATAAACACACAGTTCTAGTGGGAACCTAGCATTTTCAGCACCAGTATTCATGTCCCAGAACTTATGAACTAATAGTTTTTAAAAAGAATAACTTTGAACATGTGGTTTATAGGACTTAATTGGGTCAGTTTTCACTGCCAGACCCAAACATCAGAACATGTGATGTGATAGATGAAATAAGAATATTGTGAACATGTTTAACAGCGTTTTCCCCACATCTATTTGAGTATCTTGAAGGATATGTCCTTGTGAACATAAAATGCATGGGCACAAGCAAAGTTATCTTGGCTTTAAAAAAAAAACAACCCACTAAAGTCTTTAGCTTATAATTTAGATAACTGTGATTTGAACACCTACATTACGGTATTCTGTTAGACAGCCTTTAACAACTTCAATGTCGCCAGTCCTTCAGATTTTGTACAATTCAAAATATGGCTTCAGACAAAAGAAATTAATGGCTAACCAGGAATTTAGGATATTAGTAATATGTGAAGCTGACATATAGCAGGATCTGCTCTTTCATGCAACCACAATGTGGTACTTCTTTTAATTAGATTATCGTAACAGTCTAAAAAAAAAAATAGATGTCAAAGTAATTTATTTTAAAAAACACCTTTGGCTAAGCTAAATTTAAGGCTCCAAAAGTGAGACTTCTTTGCAGATTTCAATTTAGTTTCTAAGCCATAACTCAAAACAATCATTTATTTACTCTTACATCATTGTGGGTCAAGACTTCCTTGTGCAGAACACAGTTGCATTTTACATTAGTGGCAAGACTGGAAAAAATGAATTAATGTAAACACCATCTCAACAATTTTTAAAAACTTATACAAGCACTTTCACTGTTACAGAGTGAACTTAGGGGACTCAACCTACGTTCTTTACTCACTGTTAGTGCCAATGGAAGTTTCCCTCTCAAGGCAAACAATAATTGCAGAAGAGAGTTCATCAAGATGATTTTTACCTGCTTCCTTGCACACAGTCTCAAGCCTAAATCACAACCGTCCCTCCCCAGCAGCAGCTACTTACTCCTCCTTGTTTAATTATCTAGATTGCTAAGTGCTGGTGTACAGTAGTAGCTAAGAGACTATGCTATGAATCAAGAAATCCCCACTTTGAATCTTATCTCTGCCATGAGTTTCCTGGGTAGTTTTAGACAAGCTACACACACATTCAGCCTCAATCTCTCATTTGCAATATGGGAATGCCAATACTGTCTTAACTTACAAAGCTGTTGGAAGAATTGCAACAAGAAATTGTAAATGTAGTGCTTTGAACAGTCTTATCACATTATATAAATGCTAAATATTATGATTAAAGGCATCCCCAGGTTAAAAAGAGCCATGGACCTTTTGGAGAAAGGTAATGATGAGCACTGATACTTCAAAAGACTGTCTGAAGCAAAACATACCGTAATATTTTTTTTGGGGGGGGGGGGGGAATCTTACAAGCCCAAATCAGTGGGTGTTTACTCAGAGGAAAGCCCCACTGTATTCAGGGGGGCCTGTTCTCAAGCTCAACTTGATTTTGGAAACCTGGAAGGTTTTCAAATCTACATCTCAGGATATTAAAACAGCTAGCATATGAAACAGGAGGTCCATTAACAAAAATTATAGATAAATAAATTATGTGCAAGGGGAGATGCTGATGACTTACAAATAACAAATCTACAATCCTATATTTAAGGAAGGGAACAAGAGAGCAATACATGGCTCAGCAGATCTGTTAGTTTGACCTGAGCCCTAGGACAAATGTTAAAATAAATATTCAATTGAAGACTTGCAAGAATACAAAGGCTTGCCTCTCTCCCTATGCTCCTATTCATATATTATGACCCATTTATTAACTGGATGGTCTTCTGCAAGTGCCACCACCATCCGAGATGAGGCCGATGGCTACCAGAGTCCCAATTGTGGAACACCCTCTCCAAAGATGTTCATCTGATACCTACAATTTTGCCAAGCTTTTTGGATACAGTTTTATTCCTGCAGTTATAATCTACTTCTAGGATTTTGCAGTATTTGGCTTATTGTTATTTTTGTATTTATACTAAGCAGAACTTAGTTGGGTACAGTAGATGCACTGAAATTTATAGACTTAAGTTAGCCATGCCCATTGAATTCAGTGAGTCTTCTTTAAGGATAACTAACGGTGGACCCAACCCATTTTACTTGTTTTACTTTTGTTAAACCACACTGTTAATATAACTTACAGACGTATATGAGGCGAAGAGCTGCCCCACTGCCTGTCTACCCCTAGTCTTGTGATATATGCTGTTCTCTATAATCCAAATGAAAGCACATTGTAGAGGGTCCATCTTAGTTCTTAAACTGTCAGACTTAAATGTTTATTATTTAAGGGCATGTGCCTTTTTATACATTAGCAACATAGCATTGAATTCATCTTCTTAGTTGGCCCCAATCTACAGAGAAAGAGGTCTGGGACTGGGGGACGGGGACAAATGGAAAGTTTCGGTGTATAAAAGCCAAGTTGTCAACAAACACAAGACTGCAGAATGTCTTTACTGATTATGAAACATAGAAGTTAAGACAGGCAGCTTAACACAATTTCCATGCCTTTTGTTGCACAAGTGAATTTGGAAGCCCCTTATCTCCTGGCTTAAGCTAAAGGGGTTTTAATCAATAGTATATATGCCTATAGAAACAGAAATTACACAACTAGTTCATATTCATACCTTCAAGTTTCAGTCTCTGAGAAACTTGTCTCTGTCAAGTAACCTTCCTATGGTGAAAGTGTGCTTGTAAACTCAGCATTACAGGAATACTTAGCAAAAAATTAGTCTCTACCCTAAAAAATATTGGCTTCAAGTAAAAAAGTAATCCAAAAGGACTGCTGCAAGGTGCTGAACTCTTATTTCCCAGTTGCTAAAAAAAGGGGAAGACAGCAGAGGGTGGGTGCGATAATATCTGTAGTTAAAACAGGGACAGAAATGCCAAAACTGCATTACATTAGTGAAGTCTATTTATTCTACCTCTAGAACTGTTGCATTTTATGGTTAGGATTACGTCAGATACCTTCCAGTCTTCTAAAATCTAGCTTACTGTTGATTTAGCAGTCAACCGTTTCAAATGAGTACACAGCAATATTTTATATTTGAGTGTATTCCAGACTCTGCAGCCCTAGAGACTTTTTCATTCAGGCACACACAATGTGGCAACAAAGCTAAATGCTACCCACCTGCCATATGTGGTGCCCCACCAGGGGCTTGATAAACCCATTTTTGCTGTCTGTCTGAGACTACAAAATAGGGGGCTGGCAGGCATCTGGCAGTCCGCAATGCATGAGTAGTGTGCCGTGTTCAGGTCTGAGGGCAGGGTCACAAGTTGCCCAGCCTATTTAAATCTATTTGTTCCCCAACATTTTATGTGTTAATACAAACAGTAAACATTAGGGTCCTTCAGCTATTGTTTATTTTCTAACTTCTACAGGAAATAAAACTTTCAGTCTGCTTTAGTTACTGAGGGTTATAATGTAATAGAAAGTTTAATGCAAAGAAAACCCATTCATTTCCTCACCAACAGTACAGATATTATGGGGAATAAATGACCTTGGGGTGGAAAAGAAACAACACAAGTAGCAGTAGGTAGGAAACTCATTAGCTGGACTAAAAGAACACTGAACAGTACTCCTGCCATGCATCAAAACTTTCTGGAGCATCCAACTGGAACATACAACAAACCTGGGGGTGGGAGGGAGGCTTGGAAGACTGGGGAAAATAATTTAAATCTTCAGCATCTAAATGGCAATCAATCAAAAGTGTCTTGGAGCACCAGTAAGATACTATTAATATATGCACTGTGATAATGTTACGACTATAAACAAAAGGCTACCAATTCTAAGAGTTCCAAAGTTTCAAAGGCCTTAAGGCATCCTGAAAATTATCAAATACACTTGTTCACTGGAAAACTAATTCCCATTAGTACCAAATAAATGAAGTAAGTGTCGCATTCATAGTCGACGTTCCACTATTCGCACTAAGACAACTAGAGACTCAATACAGTATTATCATCATAGTGAGGAAAATACTTTTCATTTCTGAAAAGGCAATAAATGATGGGCTGATTAAAGATGATTAATGGACTTGGGCTTCAATATTTTCCTTTGTTTCTTTGAAACAGAGACACAATGAAATATATTTATCATGTCAAAAAAAAGTCTGCGGTATAAGAATTTTATAATTGGATGAAAAACAGCACTATTGTCACACAAAGAAAGCTGGCAACACATAAATCATTATAAGGAATTTAACATTTTAAGGATATTGGAGAAACCCTTAGGGCTACACAGCAATTTTTAGTGTTCCATTAGTCTGTTACTTTGAAAGGTTTTCCCCTTTTTGGTTGTAAATTCAAATAAACCAAGCTATAATTGAAGATAACATCTATAAGAATGCACACATGATTGCATCCAATATTGCACAATCTGTATCCCTGGTACAATTAAGGCTGTACCCCAATGCAGAATTAGGTGTGCCAAAACCTCTGGATTTAAAAGAGTGGCAATCGTGCCTACTGAGAACTAAGCTCCACTGTATTCAATGAGACTTGTCCCTAGGTAAGTGTGTACAGGATTGCAGCCTTAGGCATGGCTAACTCTGCATAGGATTGGACTGAAGAGAGATTCGGTAAAATCCAGTTCTGTTTTGTTATAACATCTCTGCTTGGAACACAGGCCTCTAATATTGTTGTACAATGATCCTAAATATCTTTGGGTGGTAGTCAGCCAAGTTATACTCAGAATAGACCCACTGAAATTAATGAACATGCATAAGTTTGATCTATTAATTTCAATGGGTCCACCTTAAATAAAACATAAAGGTAAAAAGGGACCCCTGACCATTAGGTCCTGTGGTGACCGACTCTGGGGTTGCAGCGCTCATCTCGCTTTATTGGCCGAGGGAGCCGGCATACAGCTTCTGGTCATGTGGCCAGTATGACTAAGCGACTTCTGGCGAACCAGAGCAGTGCACGGAAACGCCGTTTACCTTCCCGCTGGAGCGGTACCTATTTATCTACTTGCACTTTGACGTGCTTTCGAACTACTAGGTTGGCAGGAGCAGGGACCGAGCAACAGGAGCTCACCCTGTTGCAGGGATTCGAACTGCCGACCTTCTGATCGGCAAGTCCTAGGCTCTGTGGTTTAACCCACAGCGTCACCCGTGTCACAAATAAAACATAGTTGAACATAATTTGTAGTAAATTAAGTAAACTATTAATTACTTTTCAGTAGTTTACCTAGTGAACAATTCAACTCTGTGTATGCTTACTTAAAAACCCCACTGAGTGCAAGATTACAATCCTATGCAATTTACTCAAGAGTTAGCCTCACTGAGCTTAGTAGCAGCATAGCTTCAAGCTGTAAGTTTTTTCAGTACCAGTTATAAATCCTTGGTTTTGTTTTTTTTTATTCCTGAGTTCCCACACTTACATCATAACACATTGTTGATATTTCTGGTTTTCCTCTCTGCCTTCTTCAGCTAAATGGGAACTTCTGGAAGGCTCATCTCTCACCAGAAAATGAGAGATGTGCTGTCACTGGAACATCTATTCACCAGGAACAGAATCCAAAAAAATGAAGAAAGTAAGAGCCAATCGTTTTTAAATACACTACCTTTAAAAGTGGTAGTAAGGGAATGGAAAGAAAGGGAATGGTGAGGAAAGAGGTGTAAGAAATCTCACCTTGTACCTCAACTGTTAGTGAAGTTAACAGACAACCATCTTTCTTAAAATGCTACAGAGTCCAGGCCCTTTAGTATCCTGCACAATCAAGAGTGTTCAGCCACCAAAGATGATCTTGCTTAAAGAAGCAAAGATGCTTGCTTAAAATGAATTTAAGGGTCTGCCTACACAACCACTTATAGTGTCACAATTTCCTGTCTTCAACTTTCCATTAATTTACATCATGTTTGTTATGCGCTAAAATTGACTGCAGCCAATTCGCTGTCTGTAACCACCAGCAGTTCAACAAGCCACCTGAGACTGAAAACATGATTGATGGACTGTTTACAGCTTTGGTGAGTTACAATGTACATGATGAAAAAGCTACTCTAAATAAACTAGAGTAAACACAATTAACAAGTCATTTCCATGAGATCTTGAACCGAGGTACCAAGGTCATGAAAAAACTTCATCATGTGTACTTGACTTCCATGGAAGCATCTCAGAGATGACTCACCCTTCCGTACTAAGCAACAGGCAATCTACTTTATAAGCACGCATCTCAGAGGGCTTTTGGCTTATACTGGCAGAAAGCTACTGCCACAAAAGACTGTAGAAAACACTTGGAATTACTTCTTTGTTTCCTTTGGTATTGGGGAAACAGGCACATCTGTATTTAAATACCACAGGTCTGTATAATTTTCAGCATCTTATGCAGCTCTGGCTCCTCGACATTTCAGAACGTCAATACCTTGTTTATAAATGGCAAAGTTATTCAGCTGATGCTAAAGCAAGAAAACTCGTGTTCTGTGCAACGAGATATAGAGTTGGAAGCTATGCATCCAGTAATAGGGCAAATTCAGCTCTTTATCAGTAACTGAAACATAGCAATAATTTGCAAACAGGAAGATGAGAAGTATGATTTTCCTCCAGATAAATAATTCACTGCTTTATACATGCACAAACAACACAGGATGGGTATATTTAAGACTGTACTTTACAGCATAGTCTAAGCTTATTGAATGTTGTAATCGTAACCTCACTTAACTGGAAGTATAACCCCACTGAATTCAACTGGGCTTACTTCAGACCAGGCAGTTAGGGCTAAACTGTAAGATCAGTAAAGTCTCTTGCTGCAGTGTAACCGCTAACCAGCGTAACATTGCTGGAGGTTTACATTAAAAGGGTTTTAAATGCTACCACAGACATTTAGCAACAGCACAATGCCACCACCAATACTTATACCCTCAAGCCCAGCTGGGAAACTGAAGGGAAGGGTGGAGATATTATAATCAAAGAACTGTAGAGTTGGCAGGGACCACGAGGGTCATCTAGTCCAACCCCCTCAACGCAAGAATGTTTTGCGCAACATGGGACAACCCACAATCCTGAGATTAAGAATCCCATGCTCTACCGACTGAGCTATCCCAGTGTACATCCAGTGTATAACGGAGTACAAGCCCGTAAGTCAGCGCATCCCAATTTGGATTACAGGGCTACCTGGGAGGCAGAGGGGAGAAATTGCTTCCTTATGCATCTTAAAAAGCAGAGACATCACCTTGCCAACAAAGGTCTGTATAGTTAAAGCTATGGTTTTCCCAGTAGTGATGTATGGAAGTGAGAGCTGGACCATAAAGAAGGCTGATCGCCAAAGAATTGATGCTTTTGAATTATGGTGTTGGAGGAGACTCTTGAGGGTCCCATGGACTGCAAGAAGATCAAACCTATCCATTCTTAAGGAAATCAGCCCTGAGTGCTCACTGGAAGGACAGATCCTGAAGCTGAGGCTCCAATACTTTGGCCACCTCATGAGAAGACTCCCTGGAAAAGACCCTGAGGTTGGGAAAGATGGAGGGCACAAGGAGAAGGGGACGACAGAGGACGAGATGGTTGGATAGTGTTCTCGAAGCTACCAGCATGAGTTTGACCAAACTGCAGGAGGCAGTGGAAGACAGGAGTGCCTGGCGTGCTCTGGTCCATGGGGTCACGAAGAGTCGGACACGACTAAACGACTAAACAACAACATGCCAATGCACTTTGGAGCCACGCAAAAAATAAATAAATATGAATTTGCACCAAAGAAAAAGATACGACAGCAGGGAAAGGGCTGCTGGTGTCTTTTGCGAACCATGCTACGGGGCCCTCACCCCAACCCTGCCTTCTGGACTACAAGCATCACCACCAGCATCAGAAGTCCTTAGGTTGCCTGAGGAAGAAATCATGGGTTTTGAACCTTGCTCGGTGCTTCACTGTGGGGGCGCCTCCACACACCACACTCGGAAGTCTGCTGTTGTCCCACCAATCCCTTGGCACTGCTAACAAACCCCAGCCTGCCATTATAGGGCAAACAGACGCAAACCCCCCAAGCAAAAATAGTTTTGGCGCAAGTTCTTATACAACTTCAGTGCAGATGGCCTTCTCCCAAGGTTTCAATACGCGCCTATTTACTTATGCAAGGGCCAAAGACGGAGCGGGGTGGGGGGAGGCGAGGAGGTGACTAAGGTTGACAACTTCCCCCCCCCCAAAAAAAGGAGGGGAGCCCCTATGAAGGAAGGGCATTAGGACAGGGGCCAACTCAGAAAAAGACCGCCTTCCCTTCTCCAGAGAACGCTTTTCTCCAAAGCGCGCAAGCGCAGTCGCTTCCTCTCCCCCCCCACCCCGCATCTCCACACAAGCACACCCTCGTCTTACTTACAACTAGCGCGTGAAGCGGTGGGGGTGGGGGGGAGGGAAGGAAACGGCACTGACGACGACCAATGAGAGGCGGGGACGCCGTACGAAGCAGCCAATGGAGATCGCCCGGTGGGAGGGCCGCGCTCACGAGCAGGTCCCGGGCGAAGTATCTGTGGCGGAGCGAGCGCGCGGGCGCCGAGGCCAAAAAGAAAAAGAGAAGAGGGTTGATGGGGTTCTTTTTGAGGGCGGGGGCCGTTTACCGAGCGGGGCCTGCGAACTTCTCCTCAGCCGTTTCCTCGCGCGGCGTCATTTCTCCCTCAGCAGTAGCAGCAGCCTCCTCCACCCACCAAGCGCGCGCGCGCGCGCCCGCCCCTCCGCCACCCCCCCTCCCTCGACTCGGTACTTTCGGTTACCTCAGAAGGCTGGGCAGGCGTCGGTTTCAGTTATTTTTTAAATCTCCCTCAGGCAGGGACGCGGCAATACGTGGGAGGGGAGGGTGAGGGTTTTGTGTGGAGAAGGAGCGCAGCCCTCAGCCTCCCTCTTTTTTTCCCCCTCCTCCTCCTCGCTCCCTCTCTTGCTCTTCCGTCTCCTGGTGCCGCCGCTGTCAAGGCTGTAAACATCCCGGCATCCCCGAGGACAAGAAGGCGGGGCCGGGCGCACCGCCTACCGGCCCTGCCTCCTTCCCAGCCGCCGGCCGGCCCGTCGCCCGGCAGGCTGACTGGCCGTCGCCGGCTCCCCGCGCGCGCGGTTACTACACACGCGCGGAGAGCCCGTCCTGGCCGCCGCCAGAAAAAGGAGGCGAAAAGGTAACCGTGACTTCGCCTTACAAAAAAGTTGGGGGCGCGAGAAAGGAAGGGAAATAGCGCGGGAAAACGGCTCCACGACGTTTCTTTTCTCTGTCGCAGGCACACACATACACACGTTATGGGCTTCACGCGTCATCCTGCCTCAGTAAGGACTCCCTCCTCCCGATAGACTGGTTCGGTTCATGACCTAGGAACCGACTCTTAGGGGCCGAGGGGGAGTGTCTAGAGCCACCCCAATAACGTATTCCCCCCCAAAAAAGTTGCCATTCCAGTGGTGTGCGTGCACCACGTCATATGATCGATTATGCTGGGAAGGGCTCCCCCCCCCCCATTATTTTATTCAAGTTGGCATCCCTGGATCATGACATTTAGAGCAGGCAGCTTGCTTCTCCTTAACCATCACCCCTACCCCAGTCAATACACACGTGATTGTCCCTCTTTGAATGTGTGCAATTTGCAAAGGATGCTTCCCCCCGGGCTAGAAATACAGTGGTACCTCGGGTTACTTACGCTTCAGGTTACAGACTCCACTAACCCAGAAATAGTACCTCGGGTTAAGAACTTTGCTTCAGGGTGAGAACAGAAATCGTGCTCCAGCAGTGTGGCAGCAGCAGGACGCCCCTTTAGCTAAAGTGGTACTTCAGGTTAAGAACAGTTTCAGGTTAAGAACGGACCTCCGGAACGAATTAAGTATTTAACCCGAGGTACCACTGTATCCCCAAATGCCCCATCTCCGCAGCAGTGGGTTCTGTCTCCCCAGTTTCCTGGCTTCAGAGGCAGATTGCACCTTACAGCAAGGTTTCCCAAACTTGGGTCTCCAGCTGTTTTTGGACTACAACTCCCACCATCCCTAGCTAAGCAGGACGAGCAATTGGGGATCATGGGAGTTGTAGTGCAAAAACAGCTGGAGACCCAAGTTTGGGAAACCTTGCCCTACAGTGTTTCTCAAACTTGGGTCCTCATCTGTTGTTCCCACAGGTCCTGATAGCTAGGGACAATGGGAGTTGTAATCCAACAACAGCTGGGGACCCAAGTTTCAGGCAGTTAGAGGATTGAAAAAGTTCAGCCAACTCTTATTTCAGATCTGGGGTGTATTCAGTTTTACAGTTTCCCTTCATTGGACTAGTTCTGCACATCCTTCCCAGCAGTTTAAACTGCAGATACATTTGCTTTGGCTATGCCACTGGTGATTCCTGTAGCAGCACAGCTGGGTTTTTAAAAGTGCAGTCAGCAGAGAGCCAGCTGAATGCAGCACAGTATACAAATATTTAGACAAGCAGGTCTGTCTCTCACATACTGCAAGAAAGACCGGTCTTACGTTATTGTGCCCTCAATAATAAAGTGGAGCTGCCTTCACATAGTTTTTTAAGTCCATATATAAGTTTGTGTCTAAACCTATTGAAATCACCAGGCTTAAATTAGTCTAATTATACATAGGATTGAAGTCATAACAGATTGAGAGTGTGCAACTACACAACTATAATATATGAAGTGAATATATGCCTGTTAAGGTTTTTGTATGTGGCAGTGAGTCAAAGTCTCAATCACATGTATAAAATGGAACAGACAAATACAGTTCCTTCAACTCTGTTGCACCATTTTTTTCAGCCTTCGGTTCTCAAATGTTGTTGAACAACAACTATCAGGCTCAGTCATTTTGGTCAATGGCCAGAGATGATAGGAATTGTAGTCCCAACATCGTCTGGGGACCTATGCTTTCAGTGTATATACCATACCTATACCATATGGTGTGAAATGACCTTGTGACATAATGAACACAAAATAAATATGCTGAAATGCAGCTTCCAAGTTAACACAAAAGCAAGAATGTACAAATGTATACAGTGGATAAGCATACCCACCTGTAAAACATGTCTCCCTGGTGGTAACATTATTTATTTATTTATTTATTATATTTTTATCCCCGCTTTCCTCCAGAGAGCTCAAGACGGCATACATGGTTCATTCCCTTCCCATTTTATCCATATAACAACACTCACGTTAAGCTGAGCAGCCATGACTGGCCCAAGGTCACCCAGTGAACTAGATAGCTGAGTGGGAATTTGAACCCTGTTCTCCCAGGTCCTAGTCCACATTCAAACCACTACAGTTTATTGTACCTCTGCATATCTACGAAGCAGTTAACTTACCAGTAGAAGGCATGTGATTGAAGGCCATATCTGGAGAAAACTTGTCACAGCTTGCTTATGGAAGAATGGGCCTCAGAAGCAAATTGTCCAACAACCAACTTTTAATTCATAATGAAACATTAATTCCATTGACAAGTAATGCACATTTCTCTTTCTTAAATCCGACTACAGGAGCTAATGAATAAAAGGAAGTAGTACTATGAAAATGAGAACTGTTGCTACTGCATTTTCAATTTAGCAACCATAAATAATATTTCAGTTCAGTAAGAGAAATATATTCCCCACAACAAAGCATCTTACAGATCTGGGAAGCATCACTGCAATTTTATTTAAGCAGGTTTGTAGAGAGATGAATGAATACCTTTCAGTATTTAAATGAGGTTTATTTCTTCACTTTCTCTCATGAAAATATCCCTTCTGGCCCCCTCGGCAACCTCTTTCATTTTTAGATCAGCTATTTATGCAGTATAAGCAATGATATTTCTAACAAAGGCCCTGAGGAAATTAGTAAGTCAGTTGGTCTCTCTTCTCTAGAGTTACCAGAATCATCAATAATTCAGCAAACGTTCTATTTAATATAGAATTTAGGTAATTGGGTACAGTTGGCCAAAAGAAATGGACTTGAACATGTTGAAAAGCACTATGGTTCTGGCTTTAGAATGAGGTTCCACAGCAATATTTTAGAGAGCTGCTTCCTCAACTAAATCACAAAATTAAAGTGTACTTTAAAATCTGAATGCCACTGGTACAAAGAATGATAGACCCACATGTAGAGTCTCATCATGCTTCCACTACAGTTTATAAAGATCCCACAACAGCTGATCAGCTACCAAGAATCATGAAAAATGGGCCACCATTGGTTCATCAATATGGACAGCAATCTTAAAAACACCGAAAAGGGAGTAAGCTCTATTGAACACAGTAGGATTTACTTCCAAGTAAATATGCTAAGGTTTGTGCAGTTAGTTTCATTTGGAAATAACCAAAGAAGGGAGATAAAAAGTTTGAAGAATATTCTTTGGGTTTTTCCTTCATATATTTGAGTAGCAAGGGGAACGGGTGGCACTGTGGTCTAAACCACCTAGCCTCTATGGGCTTGCAAATCAGAAGGTCAGCAGTTCCAAGACCATGCAACGGGGTGAGTTCCCTTTGTTCTGTCCTAGCTCCTGACAACCTAGCAGTTTGAAAGCATACCAGCGCGAGTAGATAAATAGGTACCGCTGCAGTATTTAAAAGATATTGTTTTGGAAATACAATAATTATATAGGTCTTGTGGAGGGCAGTTAAGTAAACCAGCAAGAAAAGTAGAAGTAGCTATACAAACTACAGGCAGTAATTACTGGAAGACGACCAGAATATCGGTTCGCCAGCTAGTGCTCCTAAACCTCTAAGCTAATTGATTTCAATAGGACTTAGGTGCATCTAATGGGAACAGAAAATATTGGAACTAGTAAGTAAGTCAGCGTGATATTAAATTGATTTCAAAGGGTCTGTTCCAAGTAGGATTTACAGTGGTGCCTCGCAAGACGAAAAGAATCCGTTCTGGGAGTCTCTTCGTCTAGCGGTTTTTTCGTCTTGCGAAGCAAGCCCATTGACGGATTAGCGCTATTAGCGGCTTTTAGCGGCTTATCAGCTTATCGGATAAGCAGATAAGCGGCTTAGCGGCTTAGAAAAAGAGGGGGGAAAGGAAAAAAAAAACGCAGGAACTCGCAAGACATTTTCGTCTTGCGAAGCAAGCCCATAGCAGATTCGTTTTGCGAAGCACCTCCAAAACGGAAAACTCTTTCGTCTAGCGAGTTTTCCGTCTTGCGAGGCATTCGTCTTGCGGGGCACCACTGTAGTTCGATATCACCCTCAACCTGCAGTGGGTCAAATCGTTTAAACGAAGCAGCATTGACAATGACATGCTTTTGTCATAATTTTGTAGTGATGAGGTCTTGAACAAGGCATTCTTCTCAGATAATGGCAGTTACTTAGAACTCTGTGCCCATTGTTTTGGACAGTGATGGAATAATGACAGTAGTGGAAATTTATGAAACCTAAGGGAAAGGAATTTCCTCATAAATTTGTTTTGGTTTCTCAATGCCTGCGCTTGCTAGAACTTATTATGACATTACATTCAAAGTCTTGGATGCAAACAGTTTAATCCCTAAGGACTCAATACCAGTTTTGCTCTGCTGAATAGATGGCAGGCATGCTGGAGGAGCAGTGCAGTCAGTGCATATTCCCTCCACATGGCTAACCATGTAACTTCCATGATGTGACTAGCAATGTGAAACCTTGACCCTGTTCTTAAATGTGAATCTTTCTGTTTTGGAGGGGGCAATGCATTAGGATAATAACAAATAGCACCTTACGTTTCAATATGATATGCCATTACCATTAGGAAGTGGGCTAGGAAATGATTTAGAGGCATATATGGTGGAATTCTACTGCTACTGCTGTGTTAAGTATGTCCTGCAAGCTGCCTAGATAAGAGACCATTCAAATCTTTGAGTATAAAAAATAAGAGCAAGGTATACATTTATGGCAGCGTAACCTGTGTACTGGAATGCAGAGGATTTCTGCTTAGCAGAGGATGAGATGATCTAAAATGCAGGGAAGGAGTGGCAGATTGAATCTACTTATCCATAATTAATTTTCTGCAATGGGACTGCATGGCTAGAATTAAACCCTATTGGGTGAATAATGGCTAAAGAGAATCAGTTTCAGGAACAAAAGCATTGAAAGGGTTCTGCACCCCATACCACCAGTCCATGCTGCATTGTATAGGAATTTGACGTGGGTTAAACCACTGTGCTGCTTGGGCTTGCTGACTGAAAGGTCAGCGGTTTGAATCCCCGCGACGGGGTGAGCGCTCGTTGTTCGGTCCCAGCTCCTGCCAACCTAGCAGTTCAAAAGCAGCAGTGCAAGTAGATAAATAGGTACTGCTCCAGCAGGAAGGTAAACGGCATTTCTGTGCACTGCTCTGATTTCGCCAGAAGTGGCTTAGTCATGCTAGCCACATGACCCAGAAAAACTGTCTGTGGAAGCGGACAAATGCCAGCTCCCTTGGCCTGTAAAGCGAGATGAGCACTGCAACCCCAGAGTTATTCGCGACTGGACTTAATTGTCAGGGGTCCCTTTACCTTTACCTATATTCTCAGTACTAGATCCTGATTTTGGGTGTCCTTCAGTGAGATGCACTAGCTGCCCCCTGGTAGCCCATCCCCTGCCACCAGGTCAGCTCGCTGCCTTCAGATTCCTCTGTCAGTGACACTTCAGAGCAGCATGGCTCAGACCAAGCAGTATCTCCATCGGACCCTGCTGCCAGGCACCTGAGTTTGAGCCCACTGCTGACTTTTGCCTCTGCTTGATGTGGAAATCAATGTGGGTGTCTTACCTTACAATTTCCATGCTTTTGTGTTTGCCAGTTTTTGAGTGCCTTCTTTTTTCGTTTAAATTGAAAGGGTGGTGGTTGGGTTTTTTTATGTTATCATCGCTTTCATATAAATTATAATTAACCAGTAGACATAGATATGAAATCTTACTTTTTCCTACCTTTCATATGCAGATCCAGATACACAGAGAAGACATTTTAAAAAGACACTTTAGTAAAGATTTGCATACGCCCTTGATCTTGAAATTATAAAATTTGACATAAGGTTCATACTTCTAAGTATAATATTTAATGAGATGCAGAATTTTGAAAATGGCACTGTTCACTAAAACATCTATGTATTGTGGGATTTGTAAGGATGTCTACTCACTGAGGAAAATTTATCTGTCAAAGATCATCAATCAGCAGGAATTTTCACATTAAATCATTATATTTGGTTGGCTAAGAGTGATCATCACCTTGAGATAAGACAATCAGTTCAGCACAATCTTACATGATAGAAAAACCTCCAGGATAACCCAGTGGTCTAAGATAGCCTTGGAGAGTGGTTGGCAAAAGACTAGGTAGAGATAGCTCCTGTGCTTTTAACAGCTGCATGACAGATAGAAATATAGATGAAGCTCTTCCCATTACATTTATTATAGCAGCTATGATTCCAATTGCCTAACTATGGAATCTTTTTAAGATTCTTATGGTGAATCTTTTGCCACTTAATAATTAAAAAAAACATACCCAAAACTTAAGATGAGTTTATATATTGGTTAAATTGACCCATTTCCCCAGACTTTGACTGCATTTCTCAATTATTATTTAAAATCACAAACACGAAAAGTGAACTTTAATAGCAGACTTTATTCACCCTTTAAAAATATGCCTCTTTTGCATCTTTCTGAAAGCGAGATAATCGTGTCATGTTCTGAACTGCACAATGATTGATAGTCTCAGTCCTTGGGTTGCAAACAATTACCTGCTTGAAAGGAAACTGAACAAAACCAGTGTACATTGACATTTAACTTATCTCTATGGTTACAATTTAGTTTTTTAAAATAAATGCATCAGTTTCTGTATCTGACAGTGCCCATTTAAACATACAATCCCATCTTAGAAAATCAGGAACTGTAAGATGTTTCCATATCAAAGGGGCTTTTAACAAAGGTAGAACTGAGGTTTTAAATGTCACAACCTAACTATCCAAGGCCTGGCATGTTTCTCTGACTAAGGTATTTGCATTTTATGAGAAAACACAGCACTGGAAAGCTTAGCCAAATCCACAACAACATGTACGGTACTTGCCTATGACATTAAACAAAACTATATACTTTATTCACTTAACAAGGCTGCTTCTGAAGTAAGTGTTGCTTTATTTACAGTTGGGCTGGTAAGTCATATGAGAAACCATTTAACTATGCCATATTTATGTACAGTGGTACCTCGCAAGACGAATGCCTCGCAAGACAAAAAACTCGCTAGACAAAAGGGTTTTTTGTTTTTTGAGCTGCTTCGCAAGACAATTTTCCCTATGGGCTTGCTTCGCAAGACGGAAACGTCTTGCAAGTTTGTTTCCTTTTTCTTAACACCGTTAATACAGATGCGACTTGACTTTGAGGAGCAACTCATAGAACACGGTGTGGTAGCCTTTTTTGAGGTTTTTAAAGACTTTGGTGATTTTTGAAGCTTTTCCAAAACTTTCCCGACACCGTGCTTCGCAAGACGAAAAAAATCGCAAGACGACAAAACTCGCGGAACGAATTAATTTCGTCTTGTGAGGCACCACTGTATATTATGCCTCCATTAATCCTCTGCTTCAATGGGTAAAATCCAAATGATATTTCCATACAGAAACCTAATTTATAGAATATAGTATAGCAAAACAGCCCAATAATGGAACTGATGAGCCCCACCTTGTGTCATAGAACCACAGCAGTGTAGAGTTGGAAGGGATCATGAGTCATCTAGTCCAACTCCCTTCAATGCAAGAATCTTTTGCCCAACGTGGGACTCCAGCTCATGATCCTGAGATTAAGAGTCACATGCTCACTATCCCTCTTCAAAACATTCAGCTCATTATTAACTGCTATATAGCATGGAAAGCTCAGGTTTTTTACCAAGGACAAATTAGACACTACATGCAGATACACATAAGATTACAACAACATCCAGGGCTGTGGTGCTTGTGGCCCTCCAGATGTTGTACTCCAAAGCAGCCCCAGCCAGCATCAGCAGTTATCAGACTGTAGTTTGTTAAGGCTACCAGGAATTGTAGTTCTGTGAAGCATCTCAACAACTCTCAGCACCCTTAACAAATGACTGTTCCCAGAATTCTTCTGAATTCTCAGAAGGTGGGTGGTACCGCTCCGGCGGGAAGGTAAACAGCATTTCTGTGTGCTGCTCTGGTTGGCCAGAAGCGGCTTAGTCATGCTGGCCACATCACCCAGAAGCTGTACGCCGGCTCCTTTGGCCAGTAAAGCGAGATGAGTGCCGCAATCCCAGAGTCATCCGTGACTGAACCAAACAGTCAGGGGTCCCTTTACCTTTACCTTTTAAGAGCACTTTAAATATATGGTGTGGATATGTTCTGCAGCCTTCACCCAAAATGTTATTTTTATCGAGTGGTAAGCCACTCTGGGGACGCGGGTGGCGCTGTGGGTAAAACCTCAGTGCCTAGGACTTGCCGATCGTATGGTCGGCGGTTCGAATCCCCGCGGCAGGGTGAGCTCCTGTCATTCAGTCCCAGCTCCTGCCCACCTAGCAGTTCGAAAGCACTCTTAAGTGCAAGTAGATAAATAGGTACCACTTTATAGCGGGAAGGTAAACGGCGTTTCCGTGTGCTGTGCTGGTGCTGGCTCGCCAGAGCAGCTTTGTCATGCTGGCCACGTGACCCGGAAGGGTCTCCGGACAGCGCTGACCCCCGGCCTCTTAAGTGAGATGGGCGCACAACCCTAGAGTCGGACACGACTGGCCCGTACGGGCAGGGGTACCTTTACCTTTAAGCCACTCTGGGAGCTTTTACAGCTGAAGATATAAATGCTTTGAAAAAGTTACAAATAAAATCACCAAACTGTAGAGTTGGAAGGGACCCTGAGGGTTGTCTAGTTCAGCCCCCTGCAGTGCAGGAATCTCAACTAAAGCATCTATGACAGATGGCCATTAAACCTCTGCTTAAACACCTCCAGTGAAGGAGAGTCCACTGCCTTCCAAGGGAGTCTGTCCAACTGTGAAACAGCTCTTACCATCAGAACGTTCCTGATGTTTAGTGGTAATCTCCTTTCCTGTAACTTGAATCCTCTACCCTCCTCTAAAGCAAGAGAAAACAAGCTTGCTCCATCTTCCATGTAAAAGCCCCTAGATATCGAAAGATAGCTATCATATCTCCTCTCAGTCTCCTCTTTTCCAGACTAAACATGCCAAACTCACCTAGATCCTTTTCACACGTACTACTGGCAAGCCAGGTTTTCCCCATCTTATATTTGTTCAGCTGGCTCTTTCTGCCTATGTGTAGATCCTTCCATTTGTTCCTACTGAAATTCATTTTGTTGGTTTGGGCCCACTTTTCCAATCTGCTAAGATCATATTGAATCATGCTTCTGTCTTCTGCGGCATTAACTACCCCTCCCACTTTGGTGTCATCTGCAAATTTGATGAGCATCCCCTATATTCCTGCATCCAAGTCGTTTATAAACAATGGGCCAAGGACAGAACCCCACTTCCCACTTTTTCCAGGATGACAAGGAACCATTAGTGAGCACTCTTTGGCTTTGGACAGTCATCCAACTACAACCCACCTAACAGTTACCTCATCCAGCTCACAGCTTTTCTGCAAGCATTTAATGGGGGAATTTGTCAAAAGCCTTGCTGAAATCAAGATACACTATGTCTACAGCATTCCCCTGACCCACCAAGCTTGTAACATGGAAAAAAAAGAAGAAGAACCGAGATTCGACCGGCATGTCTTATTTTTGAGAAACCCATGTTGCGTCTTAGAGCATCATTTTCTAACTGCTCATAGTTTAATTATTGTGTGAAAGCTACCATATTCTGCATGGTGTAACAAGAGGTTGGGGAACACACCAGGAGACAGGCTGAAAACAGTGCCTTCTGTACAATCTAGAAGTTTTATTTGAGTGAACCTCAAAGTTCCTCCAAAGGTCATGATCTCAATTTGTTTTTGTATAAATATTTTGTAGACACTTATTGTTACACAACAAACATGAAATAAAGAAACCAGTACAAACAGTAACCAGAGTAAATGGAGAGTGGAGTCTTTCAGCTCAGCTGATGTACGCGGTGGTTGCTTTGACCACATGGCTTCGCAACTACTTTTAAGACCTTTCAAGCCCTCATACATGGCAGAAGGGAGAATTCTCTACTATAAGGACAACACTCCTTTCCCTATCAGCACGGTTTCCAAAATCTCCAGTGATATATTCATGATCTGTGCACCTTTTAAGTAAAGGATAGAATTTGGATGTTCAGTGTTGGATTAAGCACACAACTATTATATGGTGCCAGTTTGGATAAATGCCTTCAACCAGGCTACTGAAAGACTGAAGCTTTCCTTTGAGGTGGGGATGGTGTACCAAATTGTGTCGGTTATGCTGCCCTATGTCTAGAAAGAAACCAAAGACTTTTAGTAACAAAAGTATGGCTGTGAATGTTTACGTTTTGGTTGTATCTGCATTATAGATCAGAACCTAATAGTCTTGCTGTGGCCATGTTAGCTGAATATCAATAATCAGGATGGCTAAGAAGGATTGTGAACAAAATTAAACATATAGGTATCTCACTAAACTCCTTGTACTGCTTATCACAAAATCCTGCATTTGAGATAATTAAATGCAGATTGTTAGACAATGAATTTCAATAACTTAGTAGCCAAATCAAAAATAGCTAGGGTTCCCCCCGATGCCATTTTTACACCTGAAAACCAGGACCTGTCAGGAATTTTCCTGACGTATGGCAAGTCTAGAAATAGCATCTGTGCAAGTCTGGGGATGGTGCAATGTGGACAGCCAATGGCAACTTATATCTCTCATTTGACCAACCCAAATCAACACAGGTCATACATGCTCGCAAGACTGAATGTGCTACCTTCGGCAATGCTACAGGGGAGATTCCAGAAAATACCACTTGCAGAGAGACTATGCACCTGTAGGCAGAGTCATATAGAATCAGTCATGCATGTTCTTTTGCACTGCCCCTTGTATCAGACGATTTGATCTAAGTTCATTAATCAGTTGGTTGTTAACAGGGAGTGGCATTCAGATGAATGTAAGGTAGCCTTCCTTATTTTTGCTCAGGGTGGGGATAGGATGGAGATAGTAACCAGGTTTCTGCAACAAAATGAGGATTAATGAATGTTATACATTATTTTAATCGCTAGATGCAGATTTTGCCGAGTTATTTTATTGTTCTGAACTTTACTGGAATATTGTCTAGATGACAATAAAGGTTTGAGAATTGGGATAGAATTTGAAAGCACTGCAGCTGCAAGACTTACATCCCCTGCAATAGCTCTGTGGGTTTTCTGTTTGTATCAAGAAGGAGAAATACAGAAGTGTCAGAGCTGACGACTCTGCTGCATTTATCTAGAATCGGATGCCACTTTACCAGGACTGATACAATCCAGGTGATTTATGCCATAATAGCTGGAGTAGTCCCATAGGATATGGCTACCAAGGCTTCCCTTGGTGATTCCTCTTTCTTTGTGATTCTGCTCCCCTTTAAACACAGGTTCAGTTCTCTGTAAGTTCTCTGTTCTCTCAGTGAGCAGATCACAATTTCCAGGGATCAGGTAAATAATTTCCCCCCACCAAAATTGTCACCCATACATTATTTCAGTCAGCAGAGTACTCACAAATGTTTCCCTGTTCACATTGCTTTGAGCATTTGAGACATGCCACTTGTTTTGTTCATAATTCATTTCTTTAAAATTCCTGTGGCTGAGTCGCTAATGAGTTGAGTTCTTGACATTGCCGTTCTTTGAACGTGTAAATCACTATGAAAATATCATTAGACTCTGTAAAAGGAGTGGAAAGAGAGAAAGCAAAAGCCAGGTATGACTTATTAATTAGGTCAATGTTAAGGATAAAATTGATAACATTGCCAAAAGTTTAGCAGCACTGGAGAAGAAGGAAACAAGTGTTGTGGATAGAACATGCATCCCTGTCCTTCCAAAATCCTGCCTGTCAGAAAAATAATTATTATATGAAAGAAGATGTTCACCTACTGAACTGATTTAACCATTGGTTTTTAGGACCTTTAGCAGTTAGAAAGCACGTCAAAGTGCAAGTAGATAAATAGGTACCACTCCAGTGGGAAGGTAAACAACATTTCCGTGCGCTGCTCTGGTTCGCCAGAAGCAGCTTAGTCATGCTGGCCACATGACCCAGAAGCTGTACGCCGGCTCCCTCAGCCAATAAAGCGAGATGAGCGCCGCAACCCCAGAGTCGGTCACGACTGGACCTAATAGTCAGGGGTCCTTTTACCTTTACCTTTAGAACCTTGGAGCTTGGAAAGCCCCTTCTATGGTGGCTCACCTCAGAATATGGTGGCTGTTTTACCCCTTCACATGGCAGATAAACAGCACCTATAATATGTATTCCAGAGGTGATTTGGAAAAGAGATTGGTTTCTCCTGAAGTGCACAGAAGTAATGTTCTGTATATTTCAACCAATTTCAAGCTAGAACTAGGGAAAACTTGGAGAGAGCTTGTACATGTGACTTCATTTTTATTTGGCAGTCCTGGGGAAGGAGAAAGTCTGGCTGGTGTATCAAGAGTTCCATGAAAGTATGTATTTTGGATAATGCCCCACATATCATTTACTCTTCCTGTATCACTCTGGCTCTGGAACTATCCTGTATTGCTTAGATCTAAGCTGTCTTAAAGACTATATTCCCTCATATAAACCTGCCTGGGTTTTGAGATCTTATGGGGAAGCCCTTTTTCAGTCCTGCTACCCTCACAGGCACACTTTATGGGGACACGGAAAAGGGCCTCCTTGGTGGCTGTTCCCAGACTCTGGAACTCCCTCCCTGGAAAAGCTAGACTGGCTCCCTCCTTGTTGTCTTCAATGCAGTTCTCACCACATTTACTTAGAGGTAGCTCTTGCCAATTTCAGTTGGATGTCAACCTTCATGCTACAGCACCAGGGGTGAACCATCTAGTTAGTGCTCTCCTCTTGTCACTTTCCTACTTCTTGGCCTCTACTTTTTTTCTCTCACTCTCCATGCCTGCTTTTCGTGAATGGCAGAAGCAGATGCATAAAGGTGTACGGATGAACAAATCTGCCAGTTTCGGCTCTCTCCATTCCCCATTTGAACTTGGGACCTGTTGCATGCAAAGCACACACTCTCCCAATCATACATAACCCTTCCCAATGTTGAAATTAGAAATACAGATGCGAAAATCATGTTTTGCCCATGAGATTAGAGACGGTATAGTGTCATGACAAAAAAATGGCTTTCGACATTTGATCTGTTATACCCCATAACGGTAATAATTTTAAATTCTCACAGCATTTGTACCCTCAATTCACTTCTATGACCAAAATTTATAAGACTTCTGAGTCCAGCACTGGGTATGCAAAGCTACATCCAGATTATCAGATTTCATGGTTTGTAGGTGGACATGAGTATAAACTATTCCCACATTAGCATTTTCACTTACCTTGCTTTGCAGGTAGATTGCCCTGGAGAGGAATCGTGGGGAATGCCCTGCCCTCCTAACCGCCATGGATAGGCTGAATTTGAATTCTTGGTTTGGCGGGAACCCAGAAGCCATTGCAACGGCCAAGAGGCATGGCAACGGCCAAGAAGGAAGGGGCATGGCTGCAGTAGGATGGGGAGCCACATGCTGGGCCACAAACATTGCCCACCATTGGGTTGGTGAGCGGCCATTTAGGGCCTCTGAGGGAAATACTAACACTCTTATTTCCTAATTAAACACAAAAGTGTGAAATGTAACCAGATATGTTCACAGTATTTCTTGGGATTTTGATCTCGTGAGGTTAATCAAAGAAAAGGGTTATACAAATTAATTTTTTAATACATTATTTTATTTTATTGCTCTGTGTGCACAATAACTCTCTGGATTTTCCATTGACCCCCTTTTAAAAATCTTCAAGGAGAATATTTGACTCTGGGGTTGTTTCTTTACCTCCACTGAAGCTTTTTTTAAGAGACTGCTGAAGGTTTGTAATGATGAAGCAAGATTATAAAGAAAAACAGTCATTACTCTTGCAGCCCTTTTTTCTTCAATTAGTATTTCTAATCACATTAGACATGTTTCCAGTATCCAGAGAGGATGCCTGATCCCTACAGCTATCGTGAACCATTAACTTTAATTAAAATTTACAAGTCTAATGTTGTTACATCTGCTAAAAGCATTAACTGCCATGTTAATTACCAAAATGTTAATGTTGCGTTAAAATATGAATGTTCCCTTTTGACAGATCCTCTCTGGTCCCACACTCCACACCCCCACCTTGCTGGAACGTGTCCTAAAAACTGCAAAATCTGAAGGAAAAGCATGAGCAGGAACTGAAATAATAAACAATACCAGTAAAATCTTTATCTGAAGATAAAGCTTCCTGGCCAAAAATCTGGCAAAGATCAGTGTCTAAAATAAATACGTAATGATTATTTCATGTCTGACATACTATGTTAGAATTGCAAAACTTTATTTAAAAAATACTCCATAAGGTTGGGATAAATTGCTCCATAGAGGAACTAGATACTTATACTGCATATTCACACAATGTGGATTTTTTGGTTTTATTTTGCAGGTTAAGACTTCATTCTCAACTCCTTACAACTTTTAGGGTATTTGAGTTCAGGAGGGAGAAAGAGGAAATAAACCCTCCTTTCATTTATATTACTTTGGGAGTGGGTCTCAGAATTCATATTTGCATGAATTAAATTATATCCCTTGTCTGGGATATAAAGAAAAGTGTGTATTTATGGAATGCATATTCAGATATTAGCCCTCAAGTGCAGGTCTGTTCACACAAAGTTGCAATTTCACAAACAGATTTCCTGTGGAAAAGTTACAGAGGAGACTAACCTGGATCACTAGCAAGAGACGCAGACATATCACCAGTTGGCACAGTTCCCACAAAGTGTTTGCACAGAAATGAACCTGTAACATATACAAAAAAATAAATAATCATTATTGTATAAGCATGAAGTATATGCAATGTGCAAGAAAATTCCATTTTGGTGTGGTGGATCAATATCCATGCCAGATAAAGTAATGTGGGTAGCAGCCCATACTTTTCACCTACATTCATGTCTGAAGCTATATGAAAACCTAGGATCTGAGCTCTAAGGTTGAATCCTTTTCTTTGCCGTTTTGGTCTACTGCAGAGCAAAGATATACACATGGAAGCTCAGGAACCCAAAACCCTGATATTCTAATTCCTTTTCTTCTGATTTTATAGGGTCATATGCATCACTTGATATCTAATTACTCCACAATTGACGGGTTGCCACTGAATTGTTCACAGTCCATTGAAAGGCATTATGTTGAAGTAAGCAGAGGCGATAAAGTGAGGTGAGGTGATACAGCTGTTAGTGTCTGTTCTGCAATGACTTCCACCAAAATGGAGAAAACCTTATAGGTGCATAGGAACCAAGCATAGGAAACACAGGCCTCGGTTTGTTCCTGTACACTTTGAAGCTATCCTCTAACAATGGTTTCCTTCTATGTCTTGACTTGTTCCTACATACTAGTTTCACTTGATGCCAAACCATTAAATTATAAAGAATAAATATGCATATATAAAACAGTCCTTAGATCAGGCATGAGATGAATTGGATCCTCTTGTGTTGTTGGACCAGCTCCCATCATCACTGATCATTGACCATGCCGGCTAGGGCTGATGGAAGCTGGATTCTAAGAACATCTGGACCGCCAAAGGTTCCCTATCCCTGCCTTCCATTATACACTTTGGTGTAACTGCAGTCTTAGATGTCACTTCTCTAAATGCATTCATATCTTTCAAAAAGTAACACACAAAGTGATTGCGAGAGGAAAGCCCAATGTGGACTTTAAGAAGTAGTAAGGGCAAAAGAAGCAAAATTTTCAGAAGGAAAAAAGAAAACCATTTCTCAGTCTAATACAGGCGGTGCCAGAGATGGTGTGAGATTTTGGGAAAGTACTGCTGGTGTTGTTGGGTCTATGGTGGCTCCTTCACACATCCAACCCATCACCTAATGCTGTGGTCACCATGTGATAAACATTCAGGTTTATCACCAGCTGTTAAATAAATGGTTGGAAATAAAGGTTGATATCCTCCTTAAAAATCAGCAAAAAAAAGTCCATCAATTTCAATGTGATTATGTTGCGTGTTTTCAGAAACATTTCTTTAAAAAAAAAAAAAGATTATTTTTGGTGCATAATAAGCCAACTCAAATCATGAGCCAAATGTGTGATTATTTTATTCCCTGTAAAGAACAATGAGACTGTCATAATGTAGCTGTTAAAATTAAGCAATCAAGAGAACAGGACGCTGAAGTGTACACTTCTGACAAGCAGCATAGAAGATCTACAGGCAAAATTAAGATTCACGCCCGTAAATTTAAAATATAGGATATGGCATGGAGTTTAACAGTACTTATTTGCAATCATACTGAGAAATTAGGTGGCATACTGTTAACTTCAGTCATTAAAATAATTATTCAACTTAGAAGAGATGTAACACAATTATATGCTAATTATGAAATTTGCCACAATCTTTAGAAGTTCAAAGATTGAACACCTTCAAAAACTATAATACATAGACTCTAACAAATCTGTATACTAGGCCAAATGTTGCATTAGTTGCAAAATGTAACTTCTTTCTAATAATTATTTCTGGGTTCCATATTTCTTGCATATTCAAAATACAGGAAATAAATGGCTTGGGATGGATGGGAATCTCCTATAACTTCTGATTTTGAGGAAGCAAAATCAAGTTATGTTCTGAGGAGGAAGTAGTTTTTGAGGCTATTTTCTCAAAGCTCTCCTAGCATGGTATTATTGGGTTTTAGCACGGTTCAATGGAGGCTGGTCCATTAGGGCAAAGTGCTCTGCTAACTTCATTCTGTCCTCAGTGATCCTCCGCCTCCTTACCTCCTTACTTGCAAGCCCAGGAGGTTGCCCTGGCTGTCAGCTTCTTCCTTAGTCTCAATGTTGCCCTTGTAGAGCTCTGCAGGGAAATGGATGGGGGCAAAGCTAGAATTACTTGACTCCGCCTCTCATTGGCTCTAGCTCCACTTACTGTTGCTCTCACTGCCTTCTCCCTATCAGCAACAATGGGCACTAGCCACCACTGGCACAGATGCTGTGTTGGGGAAAGGACTTGTGCAAACCACTCAACCTAAAAACTGGTACCTGGAACAGGGATGAGCTAACTTCTGTCCTGTTGGCCTCCTTTCTTCCCTGCACTCCCTGTACTCAACTGCTGTATGTTGTATTTACAACAGGAGAATACATAACCAGGATGTTTAAATAGTTAAGGCATAATTAATCTGTGTTGAGTGATCCTAAATAGGCATGCAAGAAGCGGTGCCGATGGATTAGGTTATTATCCACCGTTCCAGGGTTCTTTGCAAGAATTCAACTAGCAGCAAATCAGCTTGGCCCTCGTCATTTGTCTTTCACCTATGAAAACCAGATTTCTCGTTCTGTGCTGAAATCCTAATTGCCTAGCAGCAAACAATTATATATCCACAACCCATGGAACAAAATGACCTACAACTTTGACTGTTTCTCAAGTCTTGTCTGCAGACTCTTTATCCCTCTGGAAAAAAGTGGTTTGCCAAATTCTCATTTTCAAATGGCTAGCAAATACCAGTGGTGACATGCTGGCAGAAGTTCCTCTTGCCCTGAAGAAGTGCAAGTGGAACATAAAGTGCCTTCTCCAATATTAAATCATCTGCTGCCTTCTGCCCTTTACGATCAGTGATACAGATCTTCTTCCATGTTCCATCTGGGCTAGGGAGTTCCATCTTAGCGCCCTTTCTGTACTGGCACCTCAAGTCGTACTGGAAATCAAGTCGAGTTCTGATTTCCACTGCCAATCATATAAAAGACACATCTAAAACACTGTTTACCGACATGCATTGGTGGATTCATTTTTCATGGATGCAGCTTGATTTCTGTTGAGCTGTTTCTAAGAAATACGTCATTGTGTTAATATTCTGTTTTGCCATGATAGAAATAGAAATCCATAATTTGATGGATATATTGTCCAAGGTTGCTGCCAGATGACCTGTCTGTTGAGGGTCCATTCTGATTTGTTTGGACAAATTTCACAGGCAGTTTATATGACACTGGCTGTTCATTGAGCATCCGTCCTGGTTTGTTGGTGAGGAGGTTATGCAATGTCATGTCAAGCAGTTGTCATCCCATACTTTGTTGTCACTTTCCTTAACTGCAAAACATCCATTTTTTAATGGAAGCAGGTTTGATACACAGGTGTTCCATATCCACTTCAGTTGTGCAACCTGAATTAGCACTGAAACCCACCTGCAAAACAGCAGGTGTCTGGAAGCACCCCAAGACCCACAAGGGAGCAAATGATGGCCTGAGGGAGTTCCATTCCCTCTTCACACACTTCAGTCCTGGGATTCATAGAGAAGCGATTTAAAGCACCAACAATCAAACATTCATTTAATCCTGGCATAGGCAAACTCGGACCTCCAGATGCTTTGGGACTACAGCTCCCATCATCCCTAGCTAGCAGGACCAGTGGTCAGGGATGATGGGAATTGTAGTCTCAAAACATCTGGAGGGCCGAGTTTGCCTATGTCTGATTCAATCCCAAAATGCCACAGGCACATGCGACTTCCCCCCTTGTCCACTGTAACAACCCGCCTGGCTGGGGAAGAAAAGACTTGCAGGACAAAAAAAGAAGGCGGCTGCTTGAGCAAGGCAAGCTGTATTTACTAGTAATTTTTTTTTTAAGAGGCCTTCGCAGAGAGCTCAAGCTTGCCCTACTACGAGATGCAATCACCCCTTTGCAGCTTCAGCTTCTGCTACTTCTAAGCATAAATCAGTTCCCTGAAAGCACCTTTTATTTATTCTGCTTGACTGGAATAATTCAATGGATGACTCACTTCAGTGAAGTTACTTTGCATGTAGCCAGCCCAAACCCAAAGGCAATCTTCTCATGGGCTTCGCACAACACATTTTCCGCTGAAAATGGTAACAACAATAGTGATTACCCTTTTTTTCCTTTTTAAAAAATGAAATGGGTGTCTGAAAATGTTTCCTAATTTCATGCCAGAAGGCAGCTCACTTCTGTGGGCTTTGATTAGCTTGTGTACTGTTCACAGCCTGGAGCAATTTCTGTAAAATTAAGTTGGGGTTGGGCAGAGCAATGTGGCCTCTCTCAAGACAAGTGCCAAGAGATGGCTTTTCGCTAAACCTCACCTCTAAACCTCATTTTGTAACTTGGGTACCAAAGATTTAGAAAAATAGTGGGCTAAAGCAGAAAGAGCACATTTGCTACAAAATAAGCTCCATTCTGTTCCATGAAGTTACTTTGTTCTCAGTGGGAATTTATTTTTAATTCCATTTAAGTCCCATCTTTTCCTCCAAGGAGCTCCAGTTGGCATACATATGGTTGTCTGCCTCCTCATTTAATTCTCACAACAACCATGTGAGATAGGTTATGCTGAGAGGCAGTGACTGGCCCAAGTCACCCAATGAACTTCATGGCAAAGATAGGATTTGAGCCCTGGTCTCCCATGTCCTAGTCTGACAGTCTAAAACAAGTACAGGCAAACCCCCTCCTCCCACATATGTGAGGGTTATGTTCCACGTCATCACATGGGTACGCCTGTCCCAATCTGTACTCTTCCAGTGCCAATTATGGCATTTGTGTATGCAGTCACACATGCATTGAATGTGCACAAAATGGGAGTTGCCTGTATTCCACATTGGCTGGAATCAGTTGGAATCATTCCTTTGAAATGGGTGGCACAAGTGCAGTTTAAAATAGACTTTTTGGATACAAGCACTACCAAAATCTATGTAACTTACTTTTAAATAGGTGTGCTTAGTTAGGGCTGCAATCCTGTATCCGGTTACCTGAGAGCAAGCCACATTGAGTTAAATGTATAGGATTGCACTGTAAGATCAGGGCATATGTTTTGTTTTGTTTTTATTGTCTTGGCTTTCAATTGCCTCACAACCGTTAAGCATTGCTGAAGGTTTTATTCTTCCCATGTTGCTGTATGAACTTCATGTGCAATAAACTGTCCTCCAGCAAATGTCTTTTCGTATAGATCAGTATTCCACAACCTGAGGTCCTCAGATATTGTTGAACTACAACCCACATATCCCCAAATCAGCATGACCAATGGTCAGGGATAATGAGAGCTGTAGTCTAACAAAATCTCAGGATGAAAAGTTGGAGGAGGTTGGTTTGGGTTTATTATATGTATTGCTTCCCACTGCAAAACGTCCCGAAGTGATTCACAAACAGAGCACAAACACAATAATTAAAAAATTACGCATTGGCATGTTAAAAACATACAAACATCCAATTATTGGTGAAGCTCAAATGCCTCTCATCAAAACAACTACAGAGTTGGGGCTCATCAATGGATGCACATGAAAGCTAAGTCACAATGCAGAGTGCAAGCTGCTGTTTCTAGAGACCCTGGGAAATGACACCTCAGGCGACTCACATTAACAAATGTTTAACAAGCCATTCTCAAAGCACAAAGTAAGGACTGTGATTAGCCAGGGGTAGGCACTAGAAAATAACTATCCTGATAAACAGGGGCAGTGTGAGCATATGCTGTCAGGACAATGGACCCTTTGCTGATCTTGAAGCCTAACATTGCTGATCTTGAAGCCTAACTTTACCACCTTCTGAAGCCATTTCTGGAGGTAGAAGCAAAGGACTGGCTGGTATTCACTGTAAAGGTAAAGATAAAGGGACCCCTGACCATTAGGTCCAGTCGTGGCTGACTCTGGGGTTGCGGCGCTCATCTCGCTTTATTGGCCGAGGGAGCTGGCGTACAGCTTCCGGGACATGTGGCCAGCATGACTAAGCCGCTTCTGGCGAACCAGAGCAGCGCACGGAAATGCCGTTTACCTTCCCTCCGGAGCGGTACCTATTTATCTACTTGCACTTTGACGTGCTTTTGAACTGCTAGGTGGGCAGGAGCCGGGACCGAGCAACAGGAGCTCACCCCATTGTGGGGATTCGAACCACCGACCTTCTGATCGGCAAGTCCTAGGCTCTGTGGTTTAACCCACAGCGCCACCCACATCCCATGGTATTCACTGTACTTGCTGCTTATATTCTCTCTCTCTCCCTCCCTCCCCCCCCACCCTATTCCAGTCCAGTCCTGCTTCAACAAGCAACAGCTGGAAATTACCACTGACGCTCCAAATTGCAGTGAGGGATCCCCAGCCACTGCCAACTGAGCTGATGCTCTCCAAAAAGCAGGCAGCTTAGGACATGTTTCCATGCTTTCCTCATTATAAGGCTGTGTGTTGGTGAAAAAGCAACTGCCTTTTTACAGGAACAAATTAAGCCTTACAAGCCTCATAATTTCTAATTGCAAACATTTGTCTTGCTTTGTTTCCTTTGGGCACCCATCTCTTCCCCCGCTCCCCCAGTCTTCATTTTGGCACACAGACTGACTTTGAAAAGCAAACTAGAAGCACCTTTTGCTTTCAGCAGTTGGTGGGATGGGACAGGAGAGAGACTGGTTGTCAGAATGCCGTCTAGTAGTATAATGCACTGGAGAGCCATGTTACTGCCTTGTAAAACAGTGAAGCCTTCCTATTACTGGTTAATTAAAAGGCCAAAGTAAGGACACACTTTTATTACCTCTTTTAAAGATATGTTCACAATGCATGTTATCAGGGAAAACTTCAAAGGTGCATAGTGCTCCCTCCCCCCGCCACCTCCCACAGTATAAGCTTTTACTTGAAAACATGCTCAGAATCAATGGCAGGCTGTTGGCACCGAGCCTTCCTGAACTTGGGAATTAACCAAACTATTTTAATAAACATATGAAAAGTTGTGTTGCTTCTAAATAAAACTGAGCCTTTAAAATGCTACTAGGGTACTCAGAAATGTCCCAGTGAGTTCATTGAGACTTACTTCCAGTTAACTTGGTATAGTAGGGTGTGTGGAAGCTCCGGTCTGTGGGCCAAATATAGTCCTCCAGGCCCCTCTTCTTGGACCGCATAACTCTACCCAGTCCACACTGTTAGAGTTGTTGCAAATCTGGACCATGTGCAGAGTAGAAATGAATTTGCTCTCCACCACGGGAATGAGTTACAAAACATTGAAGAACAGTCTTAAAATAGTTACAAATGAACATTGCAAGATACAAGGTAGCACATTGCTCTTAACCAAGCAAGCAATGTGTTCCCATCTATTTTAAGTCCTTAAAACAGTTCAATAACTTCCCTATGCAAGTATCTGGCTTGATCATCATCAAGCTTAGCTTCTTCTACTACTGCTACTGCTGGCTTTATCACTGAGAAAGCAATTTGTTCTCAGGTTTCACTTTCCTGAAGAGAAATTGTGGCTTGGGTGTCCAGCTATGAACCATCAATTAGCCTGAAGATTGAAATGGAAAATCTTCAACCTTTTCTGCCTCATTTGCCAGAGTGAAACCTCCTGCTTAATACAAACTTCTCTGCTTTACAAATGCAAACCTTTACATAAGTTATTCAACTTCAGTGTCTATAAACATTACATTTTATGCATATTAAATGTTATATATTTAATACACAAACCCTCACTGGCCCCACTATGCCTCCTGGGTATTTTTACTTAGAGTCTGATAATACTTGTTTGCTTGGATGGGTGGGGGATAGAGAGTGTGTGGAAACTAGTCTGTGATACAGATGCAATATTTACATCCCTTGTTCCAACCCCTTTTGCCTCTGGCTCCACTACCCTCTCCCGACAGGGCTGCTTTTTGTTCCGATCAGAAAGCTTCCCTACTTTGTAATATTTTCAAGCACAAAGAGAGGGTCATTTTATGTTTTGTGTAGGGAGGTGTGTAAATCCTTTGGATTCTTTAAAAGTTACACTGTTTCCATCTAGTGTTATGCAATGTGACTTTGGTTGGTTTGCGAACACTATTTCTGCAAAACTATGAGTGCCATAGCAGGCATGGGATGTTTATTTATTTATTGTTTTCATGGGTGGATCACTGCAACATTCCCATATAACCCTCGGTGGCCAGTGGACCTGATTGCTTTGTGTGACTTAAAACACGGATGGGGAACCTTTTGCAAGCCAAGTGTCACATTTCCATCTAGGGAAATGGGGGGGGGGGCTATGCCAGCAGCAAAAGTGGGTGGAGCAATGAATGTAACTTTTACCTTTGTACAGTTGGCTAATTTCGCCACACACACATCCCTCTCTACCCTCCATCCAGACAAGCAAGAAGCATTATTAGAGCACAAGGATTCATCCTAACTAGGCAAAATCACTCATGGAGGATGCAGTGCAGAGCCAGTAAGTGCTGTGGCTGTCATGGGCGTAGCCAGGATTTTTGTAAGGGGGGACAGACTTTTGTTACGGGAGCAGAACCTCCGATTTGTATTGATTTTTACTGATTTAGTGTCTGATGGGCAGGCATGGAGAAACATATCTGGCTCCCAGGCCTTGTTCCTCACCTTTGCTAGAGAGAGAGAGAGACCCCGCAACACACACCCTTTTTGTCTTCCTTTGAGGCATCTGAGCATCCCTGATACAAGAGACTTAACTTCTTCCAGAACCTCCTGCCTTGTATATGGAAAGTCTTGTATTATTAACAGAGTGAATTGAGACAGGTCTGGCTCTAACTTCCCAAATACAGTGACATCATTTCTATATAAGGCCAAGAGCTTAACCCTTTCAGCTACAAGCCTCAGCACCACACATGTCTTCCACAATTTCAGTTGCCTGTTCTGCTTCTGTTCCAGAAGAATGCAATCCAAACAAGAACTGGAGAAAGTTCATTAAGAACCAAACATTTGTCTGCGTCTGCCTAAACAAAAATTAACATTCCCTCAAAGCTTGTTCTTCTTCTGACAGCTAATACTGATTATTAATGAGGCTGACATTTGCATTTCACAATGAAATTCTCTGCTGCAGAATTGACTGGATAATTAGTGTGATTTGGAGCTGATCCAGTGCTATGGATGTCCTGCATGGGAGGTACATGAAAACCGTGTACAGAGAGAGACATGCAGGGCCAGCCCCAGAGCTTTTGCTGCCTGAGGTCAAGTACGAGATGATGTCCCTCTCCCACATTCCATGTTCAGAGGCCAACCAGACCAGAAGCTGAATCAACATCCTCTGCTGCACATGAAGTCAGCATGCTAGTTTAGAGGATGCACCTTGGCTGGGGGTGAATTAGGAATGGCTAGAGGACTTCAGCTGGTGTGAAGCTGGTTTGAGATACAATGCATGAAACAGTAGTATCGTATAACAACGTACAGGATACATATGCATTTTGGATAACATTGTGTGAACAAAGATTAAAAACCCAGCACTATAAACCCAGTGAGTTTACCATAAGTGGGAGTGCGAACATAGCCATGTAGTCCAACGCCACATTGTTGTCCAGAGTGCAAAACATTGCAGTGCTAAACCTTACTAACTGCTTTGCAATAGAACTGATTGATTTTCAGATTTCATTGGGGTTGGCAGCCACTCATTGATTGTGAATTGGATGCGGGAAAGAAGAGAGAGAAAAAAAGAATGCACTGTCAGGGCTTTTACTGTGCAAGGTCTGGATGTTTTTAATGATTTTTTAATGTTCTGTTGACAGGCATATGAAAAGCAGTGCAAAATGCAGAGATGATAAGACATCCCTGCAGGATTTACATAAGGGGGGGAGAGAGATCATTTTCTATAGCACAGAACACAATGTAAGCACAACAGCAAAATTCAGCAGAATTATTTTTGCAAAACACAGGCGTGTTTCTTGTGTTTGGTTTCTAAGATGTTGTCGTAAATCAAAGTTCAGGAGAAGCTTTTCTTTTTAATTCAGGCACAAATGTGAAGGAAGGTGTTGCCGTCGCAAGCATGTGGGTTTCCAAAATAACAGGATTCCTGTTTGCCTAGCCCAGGAATCCCACAGTTTGTCTGTGTGCAGCTGGTTCAGCACTCCTTGTGGCTTGAACAAATGGAGCACTGCTGCTGTGAAGGAACACAGAGCACATTCAGACACAGGACTTCCCTGTGGAAAAGACTACAGCTTAGTGGCAGAGGAACTGCTTTGCATGCAAAAAGTCCCAGGTTCAATCCTCAAGCAGGGCTGGGAGCTGCCCCATCCTAGAAACTCCTGCTAATCAGTGTAGACAATACTAAACTAGACTGAGCAATGGTCCTGTGAGCAGCAGTGGCCCAGGAGCAGAATTCTGAGGGGGCGCAACCTGGTGCCCCCGCAACAGGCTCCCTTGCCGAGGCTGTGTGGCTGCCACCTTTTGGAGCTGTGGGGAGGTGATCCGCACCCAGGCAAGGCTTTTGGGACTGCAGTGCCACCTCCTCCTCACAGCTGGTGAAAGGACGCCTGTCCCTCCTGCCAACCAGAGCATGGACTTTCCGGTCCTTTCCCGGCACCTCCCTACCAGCATGTGTCCATGTTGTGGCTCTGGCGCAGCTGGGATGCTGTCAAGCCTGCCAAGGTGCGCCAGCTGCCGATCCCACCGGGAGCTCACTGAGCTGAGAGGGTGAACACAGCAACCAGCAGGCAATCTCTGTGAGGAGTGGTTGCCTCCCATGCGATGCCCACAAGGAGGTTAGGGAGCAAAATCCTTGCCTTGATCTGGGCACTGCCGACACTGCTATGCCACTGGTGGGCAAGGGTGGAAAGGGGATGTGAAAGTGTATGAATGCAACTTCACTTCTCCAACAGCAGGTGACAGCACCTTGGCAGAAGCTGTGACCATAAACCTTTGACCAGCATTTGCTATCGCAGCCAGAATACTGAATTGTGACCTTGTGTCCTATTGCAAGTAAAATTCCCCATTCAAAGCATTTTCTGGATTTTGCAGGGACAGCAGCCAATTGCCATTTTTCATTTGCTGCTCAAGCTACCCTGGTGTGCAGCATGCATGCAATATATTGGGGGATATCTTTGAAGAAAGGCCATAGCTTAGTGGCCCTTCCAGCTTTGATTTCCCAGCATCTCCTGGTAGGGAGAAAGCCTCCTGTCTGAAACCCCAGAGAACTGCTGCCAGAGTGTGGGCTCTCCATTTCCATGGCTGATGCGTATCAGCTTGGGATGTTCTAAAACTCATTGTGATTACACCAAACTGTTCACCAGTCTCAATTGCGCCAGTCTGGGTTGAAACGTCAAGGTGGTCCTAGTCCTTACTTGTACACCTCAGTTTTCTGCTTTGGCTGTCTTCCTCCATATCTGCTTACCTCCTCCCTCCTCTTCATTCAACCTGCTGCCCTTGATTCCTGAAGGGGCATTGCTAATTATACAGTAACATTCAATTAGAAATATGATTGCCATGTTCAATTAGGCATGCTGGTTTACCGGCTATTGTTTGCATTTTTTTTTTTAAAGCACATGAAGGAACATTGCCTTGGTTTAACAGTGTCACAGAGTGAATTTATTAATTGACGGCCACTTGAAATGCCATCTTGATTGTTGGTTAGACCGCTACTCGGTTTTCCTCCAATAACTCCATCCTCTTGCTGTCTTTGGACTATTAAACCATGCGGCCATTGCTATCACAACACAACATGGCAATAGGGGGTGGAAGGGAAACCAGTTGTAGGAGAAACTTTCTGTAGATGGCAGCAGCACTTAAGAACAACACTTTCTACGCTCCTTCAGCCATATTGGATTGGCTCCAAAGCCACATCATCAAAGACAATAATTATCATTGCAGTCACAGCCTGCTAGAGCCTAATGTTAAAGAAGGCTACTGTGAAGCATTTTTATTCTGATGTACTATATTCTATTTTATTTTATTTTGAGCTATCTAGGGAACTTCCAGATGAAAAGGCAATATAGAAAACTGTCTATCCTCACCAGGGGCCGCTGATTTCAATGGATCTACTTGGAATAAGGCTTATACCGCCACTGTTGCTATTCTTAAAGGAGGAAACGGTCCCGTGCATTTAATGCATGGCATACTTTCTCCCTGAGAAGTTAAGTGTAAGGATTTGTGGCAACCGCGGTCTTTGAGGATTCTAACACAGACAGCCCAGTTGAAATAATTTATGCAGAAGCCAGTTTTATTGATTTCAAGCCTCCATGTATAGACACTTAGAAATGTAGCCAGGATGGAAACATTCTTTCAAATGTCTGTCACATCAGAACCTCTTTAACGCTTGCTCTTTCCGCACTGTAATGTTGTTAAAGAAATTGCCTGGAAGAACTGGATCATTAAAACCAAATCCAACAAACGATGCTGTATATAAAAACGCAACAAGGAGTTTTTTAAACTTTTCGAGTGGCAGAAGTAACTGTTGGATCTCACTATGGAGCACTGACGTGATGCAGGTTTTATATCCTCCTGTTGAAAGATGGTCACGATTAAAAACCACCAAGTTTATTTGCAGCATCCATCTCTGCTTCTGTAACGTTAACTTTAGTCTTTTCAAGCATTCAGGTTGTGAGGAATAACTGGAACAATGTGTGTGTTGGTGAGGGGGAAGTATGAAAATTTATTTTGCCCCCTTCACTCTTAATCATGTTCAGAGGTGAGTGAGCGTTGTTGCTTATATAGCCAAAACAGCAAATCTCACGCATGGGAAGGAAGTATCAACAGGCTTGTGGAAACCCCAAAGTTTGGAAAAGTTTTGTTTTTTTTAATATTTGAAAGGGGGAGGAATCCCCAAACAGCCCAATGCTGAGCAGTCAAGGAATTCTAGCTGACTGTTGCAGGGTAGGGTCAGAATATGCAAGAAGAGGCATGGTTGAAGAAGAGCACTCCAGACGGGGACATTTTCCTATAGGTTCTACTTGTAGAATTAGCTTATTAGCAGGAAAATGAAATCCTAGTTGCTCAGCTAGCAAGTTGAGGTTGTGTTCAGGTACTTACTATGAACTAATATTAGACGGGTGCCATATCTCTTGCCTTTTCAGCACTTACTGAAACCCTCCTCCAGTAGAGCTATCTTCCAGGCTGTATCTGTACTGGAACTTTCACTTAATTATTTTATCCAGTGCTTTCCTTCTAGGGAAAAATAGTGCTGGTGCTCACCATGAGGTTGTTACGGTAAGTGCCACACTTTTAACCAGTGCTTTTCTTCTAGAACTGCCTCTCCCCATCATGATAAACTGTCCCTTTATCATATGAAGCCCTTCTTCGTGTGCCTCTTCCACGTGAGGTCCAGAGGGTGGCAACATGAGACAGGGCCTTTTCTGTAATGGCTCCCTGTTTGTGGAATGCTTTCCCCATGGAGGTTCGCCTGACACCTTCATTACATATTTTCAGGTGCCGGGTGAAAACAGTCCTCTTCAACCAGGCCTTTGGCTGATTAATATCCTACAGCCTTTTAAATGTATCAGTGGGAAGGCGGGTTATTGTTTTGGTTTAATTATTTACTTGTGTTTTATCTTGGATTTTATTCTGGGGACCGGCCTTTAGATCTTGGGATGAAGGGTGGTATATAAATTTAATAAATAAAATTGGGGGGGGGGTGCCACTACTGCATACCCTTGAGAACCCCCACAAAAAAACCCACTGTTTTAATCTATCATTTGTGGAAAGGTGGGGTATAAATTTTAACAACAGCAACATTAACCAAATGACATAGTATTGCTATATTATCCACATTTTATTTATGTTCCACCTTTCTGTTATATCTTAGGCCAGCATACATGGTTATCTTCCCCATTACCTTCATTTTATACTAACAGCAAGTCTGTGAGGTAGGTTAGACTGGGAGACAGCAGTAGCATAACTGGAGGGGGCAGCAATAAAAATACAATGAAAACCAGCAATACAATTAAAAATACAATCAAAAATCACACTGTATCTAGCACAGCAGATTTACAGTGGTTACAATGGGCAGAAAAATAATTGCATGGTCCCTCAAGACCCTCAGCAGTGTTCATGTGGTTCATGGGTCGGGAAAATGTTGGGACCTACTGGTCTATAGTGACCAGCAGTGACTCTCCAGGGCATGGGTAGCCAAACTAAGGCCCGGGGGCCGGATCCGGCCCAATTGCCTTCTAAATCTGGCCCGCGGACGTGTTTTTACATGAGTAGAATGTGTCCTTTTATTTAAAATGCATCTCTGGGTTATTTGTGGGGCCTGCTTGGAGTTTTTACATGAGTAGAATGTGTGCTTTTATTTAAAATGCATCTCTGGGTTATTTGTGGGGCATAGGAATTAGTTCATTCCCCCCCCCCAAAAAAAATATAGTTTGGCCCCCCACAAGGTTTGAGGGACAGTGGACCGGCCCCCTGCTGAAAAAGTTTGTTGACCCCTGCTCCAGGGTTTCAGACAGGGAATCTTCCCCAGCCCTACCTGGAGATGCCAGGGACAGAACTTGAGAGCTTTTGCATGGAAAGCAGATGCGCTGCCACTGAGCCATGGGCTCTCTCCCTTCTTTAATTTGTAAAACACCTAGTTGTAGGTGCTATATAAATAGAAAGAGCAGAGCAGCAGATGTGGCTAAGAGAGAACGCACTCATTTTGCAACTGACAAAATGCCTTGCCACCTCATAGACAGCAGAGATAAGTTACTTTCTCCATCGACTTAGCCAAGACCTGACGAAGAAAATGACCGCGGTTTGACACTGCCAATTTTTGTAAGTGGTTCCTTAGGAATTGTGTCTTCTATGAGCTTCTCTTAGCTTTCATTTCTAGAAATGAGTCAGGAAACATTAAGGTTGGAGATACATCTCTCCAACTTAAAAAAATAAACGTATAATCTCTTTTCAAACTCCATTGTGGCCACTTTCAAACGGGGGGGGGGGGGATATCATTAAACCACTATCCTTTCATCCCTGTTGCCGCAATTAACTGTGAGCTGTCAGTAGGCAAAGCACTTTTCCTGTGGCTAAGAGAGGATTCAAATTTCATATTTAAAAATCTCCTCTAATGAAGGAAGCAGAACAGTAAGAGGATTATCTCTTTCATATCTAATACAGAAAGGCTGGAGGGCACTTGATTTGTTTTTCCAAAGGCCGTCAACCTCCAATGCCTCGATGCATTATTTTGACCTATTATTTATGGCGGCACTTTTAGCCCAAGACTGGATTCTGTACACATTTAATGAACTGGGGTCAGAGAGGGAGGGACACTTTCCTCATAACCCCTACTCTCTACCCTTCAAGAGCAGAGATCTTCTGGAATATTTTGATTCTAATAACTAATTTGCTGCACATTCAAAAGAAGAATGTTAGGAATTCTGAGTGGGAGAATGCTTTTACACTCATGCCATACTTTTGGGTTTCCCACAGGCACCTAGTCAGTCACTGTGGGTACAGGATGCTGGACTAGATGAGTCATTGACCGGATCCAGCAGGGCTCTTCATTTCTTCTTAAGAGTTAAGAAAAGAGGCACGGCTAGCTTTATATGTCCATCTCTTCCCACAGTTCCAAAGACAAGTGATGTAAATGCAGGGAGCAGGACTGTCCTGAGACATTTTGTTGCCTTAAGCAAAGAACAAGATGGTACACACACACACACACACACCAATTTTCACACACAGAAGCTCAACAGAATCTTCCACTGCACCTGTAGGCAACAGACTAGCTTATGGGGCACAGGGCAGGCCACAGTGACCTCCAATATCTAGTCAACGCTCTGCCGCTCAGCATGATCTGCCGCCTAAGGCCTCTCTCTATGTTTCAAGGTAGGGTTGGCACCTGCAAGGAGATATGTGCAGTTTGTATCTGCCATGCAGGAGCCACCCATCTCACCCTTGGGATGAGATCTGGATTGAAGGACAGGGAGCCCTATATGGTTGTCCTCTTGAGTCATGGTGTTCCTCAGTGAAGCTAGCCCAAGCAGATGAGAGAAAACACCCTTCCTTAACCAGATGTTAGCCTCACTCAACGATCTTTGTTTCCTTTCCAGATCTTGATGCACTTGAACATCAGGAACGCTGCATGAACACTGGAGGACTTGGCCAAGGTGTGTCTTGGGGTGGAGGAGTTACAGCTAGACTTCTCACTGTGGATTGTCATGAGGGAAACAGGTGGCCAAGGATGGGCAGTCCAAGATTAGCTCAGCCTATGCCAGGCTAACAGGTTGTTCACCCTGAAGAGCCACACCGGAGTCAGCGGCATTACAGAACCAGGGCATGGAGGCTGTGGGCTGCCCAGATGACAAGACCCCACACCCGGCCTCACAGACGTGGTCTAAAGGAAAGCAGAGCGATACATTTGACACCAGCTTGGCTGCCGGAGTTGCCAAAAGGATGCAAATAAGGTGCCATCCAACCATCTTAGGGACTCTCACTCTATAGGACTACCAGTTTAAATATAAAGCTTCTGGGGAGCTATCTTGGAGTTTTCTATTGGCGGGGTCTTTAACCCTTTGTAAACACAATGTTATCTTAATAGGAGCAGCATGTACATGATACTGCAAGAAATGAAGTTGGCTGTCGTTTCTTTGACAAACGATGCAAGAAAATGAATAAACAACACTGATGCATCTTGGTTCAATCCAGTGTTGACAGCCGACATGCATAACCAGTTGCGATGACATGCACGGTGTCAAGTTATTGTTGCTGAGTTTCTAGGGCAGTTCACAGTTCCAAGAGGACATCCTGCCCTTCTTTATTTGGTTGCTGAACAAGACGAAGGATGACAATTCTGGAAACTCAAAGCGAAGATTTTCGCAGGGAACTGCTGTTTCCTTAATGGTCTGGGTAATTATTATTCAACCTTCTCTCTCAAGGTATCTGGAGAGATCAGAGCTGCTGATGCCAGAGGCAGCTAAGGATAATACTTCTCAGCGCTGGCCCTTCCGCAAGGATATGTCTATGGAAATAATCCACCTTCCCTTCAGTGGGATTGTTTGCCATTAAATATACATGCAAGGCCTTGCCTCCTCCTTGATTAGACAAGGCAATTTAACATTATGTTTTTCATTGCAGAGACGCAAGCGTCAGCATCTCATCTGGCCCCGCAGTGCGATCAAACAACTGATGTAAAAATAAAAAATAAAAATCAAGGACCTTGTCCAGGTATTTGAGCCGTACCTCTCTTCTGTAGAGTTTTCGTTTGCTCTTTGAAAAGAGCACCCTGACATCTCTCTCGTTTGAAAAGCCACATGAAATATTCCCTCTTTGTCCCCCACCCCCTCCCCACACATTGTGCTTACATTGGATCAGCAAGAGTTGCAAGCACAGAGTGCCACACCAGCATTTGCAAGGATTTGCTGCAGGCTTCTCATCCGTTTCCAGTGACTTAAGCATTTCTTCACTTCTAGGGTGGTGAGCCCATCGTTTTTAAAATGGCAGATCTCAGGAAGTGAGCAGGAAACCAGAACAATGCTGATTGCCAGAATCATCGCTAAATGAACATAGAGGAAAGCAGGATGAAACCCACAAGGTCAGCGAGGTTTAGGGGTACATTGGTACCTTGGGTTAAGAACTTAATTCATTCTGGAGGTCTGTTCTTAACCTGAAACTGTTCTTAACCTGAAGCACCACTTTAGCTAATGGGGCCTCCTGCTGCGCTGCCGCTGCACGATTTCTGTTCTTATCCTGAAGCAAAAGTTCTTAACCCGAGGTAATATTTCTGGGTTAGCGGAGTCTGTAACCTGAAGCGTATGTAACCTGAAGCATATGTAACCCGAGGTAGCACTGTTTATGTCAAAAACAAAGTATAGGCCGAAGACAGTGAAATTTTCAGGCTGCAAAGGACAACAGAGCAAGATGCCCTTTGGCATCACCACCCCAATTCTTGGCATCACTGTCACCCTTCCAGTGTTGCTCCACTGGAGCAGCCGTACATATGAAAGGGATCTAGGGGGTCTTTGTAGACCACCAGCTTAACACGGGTCAACAGTGTGCTGCAGTAGCAAAAAAAGAAGAAGCTAATGCTATTCTTGGCTGCATCAACAGAGGTATAGTGTCCCTACCAAGGGAAGTAATAGTACCACTCTATACTGTCTTGGTCAGACCATACCTGGAATATTGTGTCCTGTTTGGGGCACCACAATTTAAGAAGGATATTGACAAGATGGAACAGGTGAAGTGGAGGGCAACCAAGATGATCAAGCGAACCAAGCCTTAAAAGGAATGGTTGAGGGAGCTGTGTATGTTTAGCCTGGAAATGAGGAGATGAAGAGGAGATATGATAGCCAGCAGGACCTGTTGAATTGCTTTTGGTTTTCATCTCCATAACATACTGGCTTCTGAAATTTATCCGCTGTCACCTTTTGTTTTTTAACTTTGTAATCATATGAAAATAAGATGTTATGAGCATTATTCTAATGGAAAGGTAAGTTATAAATATTTTTTATCATCTAACATTTGATAACTGGATTTTGAAAGTTGCATTTTATGAGCAGCAGGACAACTGAGTCAATTGCCTTGGAATCAGAAAGTTTCAGTTTTACCATAGCTATGTTCAGGGTCTCCAACAATGAGCTGCAAAATCTGAATTAAAAAAACATAGTGAGAGAGAGACATAGACAACATGTTGTAGCTGGTGTTAGCTAATGGGGAACTAGACCCTTGATATGCAGTGATAAATGCCATTGCGGTTCTGAAAACTATCTGTCAGACTTGAGCTCCTTCCCTTAAGAAAAACATTTATGCTCCTTAGGTTTCAGCAAGTGCCCTCTGCTGTTTTAGATTGGTGCTATCAGCATGTTACTCTTTCTTCGACATTAGTGCATCTGTGGCAAGAGTGGCATAGCAGAGGATACCCTCCAAAGTGATCTAATCCTAAACTCCAAAGGTGCTTGGTGCAAATTTCTGTCTCATTTATGCAAGGGATCCAAGCCACTGTTCTGCAAGGTGGAGAGACATGCTGCTATTCGCATGCAAATTGGATTGGATGGGAACTTCTGGGCTGGCAGAAGATTTTTTTTTTAAGGCCAGCATTGCCAAGAAGTGCATTTGTAGGGGAGCAGCTGGGTAAGCATTGTGGTAGTACACGGTGAAGGGGGGGAATGTTGCTTCAGTGATAGACGTTATGCTTTCCATACAGAAGGTCCCAGGTTCAAACTGCAGCATGTATGGTTTAAAAGATCAGGTAGCATATGATGGGAAAGGTATCTTTCTGAGACCCCTGGAGAAATGCTACCAATGACCCTATTCCAGATGGAAAAAATCTTCTAACCTGGCAGGAGGCTGCTTCCTGTAATCCTATGACAGGAGTGGGGAACCTTTGTCACTGAACTACAACTTCCAAGGGTGATGGGTGCTGTGGTTCAGCAATCTCTGGAGACCAAAGGTTCCCCCCACCTTACCTGTGGAGTACTTGGCCCCTGAAGACACTGGTGGTGGGAGAGGACAAAGTTAATTTAAACTTGCTAGTGTTGGGTGCAGAAAGTTGGGTGTTTCATCACTCGGCATGTTGAAAAAGCTGCTAGCCAGCCGTGGCCCATCTCAGCCACATAGTTGACATAGTACAACCAACAAGAAAAGACTCTCAGCTGTAAAAAGTTGTGGAAAGCATTTGGGGAAATGCAATATATTCCTCCACCAGAATTGCTCCCCTGTGAAAAGACATCTAGATCCTGCATGATTAGCCACTGCATCTATTGATTGATTTCTGTACACTTAGCATGTGAAAATACACATTTTGCCACCTGCGGCCTCGCTTACTGGAGTCGTGGCCCCAGCAAGGGTGGGCGGAGTTCCGTGGAGGCATTGCCCATTGGGATATCACCACCCAAAGTGGCGGTCCTATTCAGGCATTTATACATAAGAGTAAAAGCAACATGGAACCAAGGAAAGGAGCCATGCTGAGTAGTCCATTCATTGAGTAGATCCCTGCCCTCTGTGTCTGCATGTACAGCAGAAATGTCTGCATGAAGGACTCGTATATGGAAATTCCCTCTTCCTACAGACACTTGCCCTGTACGCATAGAGAACAGAAGGCATTCCTCATTTGGGAGGCGGGGCTACTTGGCCAAGCCCATAACATGTTGTTTCACTCATAAACCCAATACCTGAATAAGACTAGTGCAATATTAGACATGTGTACTCAGAAGCAAGCCCTTCTGACTTCAGCAGGCCTTACTCCCAAGTATGCTTATACAGGATTTCAGCCTAAGAGTGGCTTCACATGGCCATAGGATGGTTAAGAAAAGAGGGTATTTTGCATCCTGAACGTGATCAAAACCATATTATAAAGGAGACAGGGATATGTATAGGCTGTTTAGAAAGAATATTAGAATGAAAAGGTGATAATCCTATTTAACAGTTGTGGGGTTGTTTTTTCTAAGATGAAAACTTCAATTAACAGGGAAAGCTAAATTATACAGGGGCATGGGGAAATGTTAATTTAAAAAAAAAACACCACACATGTAAAATGAGCTTGTCATTTCCTGCAGGGAATGAGGGTGGGGGGGACCAGACAAAAATAAGTGAAGTTTGATCTGTTTTGCTGTACTGTTTCATCTGAAAAACACAGACTGAAATCTTGCTGACAGATTCAGGGCACACCTTCCAGCAGTTAAAAGTGGTGAGTACTCCACAATGATGCTTCCCATTTTCTTCCATGCAGTTAACGACTTGCATGACCTCTCTGTCTACACCTCCTGGAAAAGGATTCCAGGACACCTTGCAAACCAAACCAACGTGCCCTTTTCCCAGTCCCACCTCTGCTGAGCGGCACGGCAACTCAGACTTTCCTCGATCTCTTTTTTATTGCCTCTTAATTTGTTTCCCAGCCTCTAATCCTGCTTTACCTGTTTTCCCTCTGTTAAAAAAAAAACTTAATGCTACCCTGCCTGCGACACAGCAACAACTATTTGCTTTGCCTTTTTCACTCTTTCAATCCTGCAAATAAGTGAGATGGAAACCTTCATTAAAATGCAAGTGTACACCTGATAACGACTCCAGTCGCCAGCTAATTTAACCCTGTAACCTTAGAAGAGCAGGTGGAAGCAATCTGGACAATGATAAAGATGGTGGCTTATAGGTTATACCCAGTGCTATTTTTCTGGAAGAAAAGGTGCCGGAACTCACCATGCAAGCCTCCCTTGTTCTCTTGTAATGGCAATGGTGCCCACCTGAGAGACGCTGGAACTGGAAAAAGAAGCCCTGGTTATACCTCCCTATCCTAAAGTAGTGATTCCCAACTTCTGTGTTGTGAGAAAACTGTTCATGTGCTTTGAGAAATGCGTTCGTTAAATCACTGCCTATCAAAGCAAGTGTGGTGTAGTGGTTAGCAGAGGAAGTTCATCCATTAAGGCAAATGGGGCACTGGCCCACCAACCTCAGCCTGTGCTCAGCAAGCCCCCACCTGCCTGCCTTCTTCCTTACAAAAACTTGGAGATGTGTGTGGCTGCACTTACTGCTGGTCTCCCTGCCTTCCGCCCCGGCCCTACCAGTCCTAATGGGCATCAACCACCACTGGAGGTTAGAACAAGAATGATGTATCTCCAGGCTTTTCCATTCAGCCCTTGGTATTCTCCCTGGGCAATATCCACTCTTCCTTGGCCCTGGTCTGAACCCTCCTCAAGTGCTGAAATTGTCCTTTTACTCTTTTTACTGCCTGGATAGTTCAGTTGGTTAGAGCATTGTGCTGATAGCACTAAGGTTGCAGGTTCGATCCCCTCATGGAACAGCTGTATATCCCTGCATCACAGGCGGTTGGACTAGATGATCAACTCCTTGCATAACAATAAAAATCCTTGCCTATAATGCTGGTGGTTGAAAATATCACAGGGAATCTTGCTGTCGGCCAGCTAAATCTGTGGAAAGAGCCCAACGCTTTCCACTCTTATTCCCTTTACAAAGACCTAAACTTGTGGGGGCAGGGGAACCTTGATATTCAACGAAGCAGATGAGGAGGCAAATCATATGAGGAAATCTTGAGACACTGGGTATGTCTGTCCTATGGAACAGATGATTAAAGGGCAATATATGTTGACCATTTTCAGATACTTAATAAGGTAACAGTAGAGGAGGGAAAATAATTGTTCTCTCTGTACAGCAATAATTTTTTTAAAAGCGTTTTAACTGACTGAAAAGTTAACACAGGGATCCACCTCTGTGTTCTGGGAGTGCTGGAAATAACAGGCTTTATGCTTAAAGAGGCCCACCCAGACTGGAAAGTTTAATGTCTTGGACACATTGCATTCATCCAGCCAAACTGCTCAGTACTTCATGGAATGGATCTGCCAGAGGGCTGATTTAGACACTTAAAAGGTAAAGGTAAAGGTACCCCTGCCCATACAGGCCAGTCTTGACAGACTCTAGGGTTGTGCGCTCATCTCACTCTAGAGGCCGGGAGCCAGCGCTGTCCGCAGACACTTGTGGGTCACGTGGCCAGCGTGACAAGCTGCATCTGGCGATCCAGCACAGCACACGGAACGCCGTTTACCTTCCCGCTAGTAAGCAGTCCCTATTTATCTACTTGCACCCGAGGGTGCTTTCGAACTGCTAGGTTGGCAGGCACTGGGACCGAGCAACGGGAGCGCACCCCGCCGCGGGGATTCGAACCGCCGACCATGTGATCGGCAAGTCCTAGGCGCTGAGGTTTTACCCACAGCGCCACCCGCGTCCCTTTTTCTAGACACCCAGTCCAATAATATTCTCAACATTGTGGATGGATACAGTCGTGGCATCAGCACTTGAGATCCTTGGGCAGAATCAGCGGCCCAGATCCACTACCCTGACAGGGCCGACAGCCAATGCCTTCCCTAGCTTTTTTAGTGCTTGGCAGCTGGCTCTAGCCACCATTTTTATTTCCACAACCAGCACTGAACCACTGATATATTGTTGCTGTTTAGTCGTTTAGTCATGTCCAACTCTTCGTGACCCCATGGACCAGAGCACGCCAGGCACTTCTGTCTTCCACTGCCTCCTGCAGTTTGGTCAAACTCATGCTGGTAGCTTCAAGAACACTGTCCAACCATCTTGTCCTCTGTCGTCCCCTTCTCCTTGTGCCCTCAATCTTTCCCAACATCAGGGTCTTTTCCAGGGATTCTTCTCTTCTCATGAGGTGGCCAAAGTATTGGAGCCTCAGCTTCAGGATCTGTCCTAGTGAACTATTCATGTACTGCATTTGCTATTGTTTAAGATAAAACCTATTTGGGGAAAAAACTACTTTTGCCATTCTTATGAACATTTATTGTTTGTTTACAGCCTTGGTGATATAATATTGCGCCGATTGCAGTAGTCACTGTATCACCACTCTGTTCATTGTTTTAACATGTAAACCTGCCAGGGTCCACTGACAAAGAAAACTTTCCCCAAGGCCCTTGAGTCCTCTTTGTGGAATAACCAGCCTCATATAACCAACATGTTTAAGTCTAATTAACACATGAAGGGGTTAATACCATAGAGTAAGCTGTTCTGCCAGGTTTAGCTATGTCCACTTCCCCTCACCTTGGGAGGAACTAGGTAACTAGGAACTATTGTTCTCTCCCAGTCTACCCGAGGAGCTAAGTGTGTGAAGATGCCTGGCTCTCACAAGCCACTCTTAAGTTCCTATGCCAATAATTTAGGAACTTTCACTACTTTGAAAACCATTTTTAACTTACCAAACGTGTGGTCTTTTTCTATGCTAGGGGAAGAGGGAAGTTTTGGAACTCACAAAGGCATATTTTAAAGGCCCAACAGCCTGTGTTTCCTACATATTTTGAGATATTAAATATCTCTTAGGGGTTCTCTCATCAAAGAGTGCTTGCCCCTAACTTGGATCTTGGCATCCAAGGTTTCCCTGTTTATACCGTTTCCCACCTTGAACCAACACTCTCACTGCTGTTTTTCTAGAAAAAGAGATGCCGGAACTGACCATGAAAGCCTCCTTTGTTCTCTCATAACGGCAATGGTGCCCACCTGAGAGGTGCCGGCACTGGGTTCTGGCGAGTTCCGGCTGGGGAAAAGTCCTGACAGCACTCACCAGGAGGCAGCACTTCTTTTGCTGCTAATGGCAGCCATCTTGGGCTGCCACTATAGCACTTTTTAGCAATGTATGAATACCTCATATTTTACCAAGAAAAGCCACTGTGCATAACATAACATAACATAAAATGCTGGGATAGCTCAGTCGGTAGAGCACAAGACTCTTAATCTCAAGGTTGTATTGGACTAGATGACCCTTGTGGTCCCTTCCCATTCTACAGTTCTATAACATATGGCACAGGCCCGGTTGACATAATGTTTTCCCCTCAGACAATTGTTCAGACAATGCTGATACTATAGCATTCAAAGCATCTGAAAGAATATCCATCTATACATTGTGACCCTTCTCAGAGAAATACTCCAAACAACGTCTCTCTTACAAACGAGAGGCCACTTTTATGCAACCTCCATGTGGAGCAGAGACAGGATGCTCCTTCACTATACAATGAGAATCATTGGGCTGGGTAAACAAGCTCATGGATACTACAAAAAGGGGGAAAGGAGGTCGAACCTTGTTCAGTGTAAGGGCCACATCCCCTTCTGGCCAACCTTCCAGGAGTGATGTACTAGTGATGGGCAGGGCCACAGGCAAAACTGGCCAGAGCCATGTATGTAAATTTTACCTTTATACCATAGGCTAGTTCCTTCACACACCCCTCTTTATCTTTCATCCAGGCAAGCAAGAGGCATTTTCAGAGGACACATTCCAGCCAGGCGAAACCAACATATCAAGATGCAAAGCAGAGCTGGTAAGCTGCGGCATGACCTGGGAAGAGCGGGGTGTGACTGGGGAGGGGATTTGGCCTGGAGAGAGTCTCAAGGGCCAGAGAGAAAGGCCTGGGGGGCCTGCGCCTCAAATAGGGATGGGAGACACTGACAATTTTGGTGTCTCTCTTGACTGGAGATATTGCATTCAGAGAAGAGCAGATTTTGAAGGAAATCTGTGTTTCATTTCTTAGCATGAAATTTGGAAATTGCAATTAGGTAAAAGGTAAAGGGACCCCTGACCATTAGGTCCAGTCGCAGACAACTCTGGGGTTGCGGCGTTCATCTCGCTTTATTGGCCGAGGGAGCCGGCGTACAGCTTCCGGGCCGTGGCCAGCATGACTAAGCCGCTTCTGGTGATCCAGAGCAGCGCACGGAAACACCTTCCTGCCGGAGCAGTACCTATTTATCTACTTGCACTTTGACGTGCTTTCGAACTGCTAGGTTGGCAGGAGCAGGGACCGAGCAACGGGAGCTCACCCGGTCGTGGGGATTCGAACCGCCGACCTTCTGATTGGCAAGTCCTAGGCTCTGTGGTTTAACCTACAGCACCATCGGCGTCCCTTGCTATTAGGTAGTTTTGCCTTTAAATGCAATCTGAGCTGAATTTATCCCCCATGCCTAGTCCCATCTCCCTTAAGTACTTAGCAATGCCCCTGCTTTTTGGTTATATTAAATGGCCATCTGCAGCTAGGTTTTTGCATATAGCCTGTCACCTAATGGGCTGTTAAGTCTGAATTACTGGCTCTGATTGCAGAAGGCTACTCCAAGCTACTGGAATATGTGCCTAGGTAGAAGCAGAGGATGTAGTTTTTGCAGTATGACACTGGGAGAGAGGAATGAAAATAACCTTTGAGTTGAGATTTTACTGGGAAGGTCGCTAGGAGGTTTCTGACTGGCAAGAATTGGCCTTTGTGTGTGCAAGTGCTTTTGTGGACTGGTGCTGGCTTGTACTAGAACTACCTATGCACATTTGCTTCTTATCACTCATGAGGCACGTTTGTAAAGTCTATAGACATTTTTAAAGCCCCACAAATCTCTGTTCACATGGGAACTGACCTTTTAAAAGGCGACTCCAGGAATAAAATAAATAATCAGATGGCAAAACTTCTATGTAAGGTAACAATATCCTTTGCTTCAGAGTGAATGACAATGAGTTTGAGTTAACTAACGCAGCAGCATATCAAATCCTCGGGACAGAGACGGTGTCTTCTTGTAATGTATTTGCGCCAAATGCAAATAGAATGTATCATTTGTTGGTTAAGCTCTAACGGTGCCTAATAACGGAAAACAATGAGATCAGAATTGCAAATCTGACTTAGGCTGTGTATCACTTTTAACCACTAATCACTCACAGGATGAAATATTATTATTAATGTAGGTAAAGGTAAAAGACCCGGGATGGTTAAGTCCAGTCAAAAGCTCATCTCGCTTTAGGCTGAGGGAGCCAGCGTTTGTTCACAGACAGCTTTCCGGGTCATGTGGCCAGCAGGACTATACCACTTCTGGCACAACGGGATACCAGGACAGGAGCCAGACTTAACCGTCAGGGGGTCCTTTGCTCTTTTTTTACCTTTACCTTTACTGTGACTGGCAGCTGAGGTTTCAGGCAGAGGTCCTTCCTACTTATTGGGCAACCCCACATTCTAGTATTATGGTGTTATGTACTGAGTTGAATAGGATCCAAAATGCAGCAGTCTGGTTGGTCCTAGAACAATAGGATTCAGAATGCAGCAGTCTGATTGGTCCTAGAACAATGCAGCAGCATGATTGGTCCGCAGGAGCCACCCAATCCAGCTCCAGGTGGAAGTGAACCCGCAACCTGATTGGCCTACAGGAGAATCCCGGAATTAGCCCATCACGTGCAGCCCATTGTGTAAATAATGTATATAAAGCAGACATTTCGGGGGAACTTCCATTCCTCACTACTGTACTATGAGCTGAATAAAGAGCATGAAATCCACACTCGACTCCGAGTATATTTCATATGGCATGTCAGGCTTCCTCCTAAAACCAGCTAACCAGGGAGGGAGGGAGCTCCTACAGTGAAACATTCCCATATCTTACCTGCGTTGTCCAAGGTAAGCAGAACAACTCAGGTGGCTGCAAGCTGAAACTGCTGCTGTGGGAAGAGAATTCAGCAGCCCTGCCTGCATCAGGTTCCTTTCCCTCCCTGAAACTTTCCTTACCAAATGCATTGAACTTACATACCCAAGGGGACCCACAGCAGCGTATCTAGCTGCTCGGGTGCCCGGGGTGGCATGTGTGCCCTACTCCTGGGGGTAAGCCGGGGCAAGAGCTGCTTGGTTTTAAGCAATGAACACCATTAGAGCTGACCTCGCTTCAGCCTTAGAAAAAAGCCCACAAAGGTTACTTGTCTGCAGAGCAAACAAACAAAATTACTAGCTGCTAAGAGGGGAGTATCAATCAAATCTTTATTACGGTCATAGACCAGCATAAATAGGGTGAGGTACAATCATTTAAAATCTATAAAACATTTTTGGAAATCTAATGTTATTAAAACAGAAGGTATATGTTAAAGACTATAGGAAACTAAAAGAAGCTAAAATAATCTAAAAGAAGGGTTAAGAGCATTAAACGAATAAGGAAGAGCATAAAAGGTTAGTATATAAAAGGTTATGACTATCAATTTACAAAGAAATTTACAAAGCACTCTGATATGAGTATTCATTAAATCTATTTTGTGGCGCAGGTCATCAACCGATGAATTTTGAACGCTGCTATGCAGAACCTGGCAACATTGTATGTTGTAGCATGGTTGGTGCATGAAAGTTGCAGGGAGGTATAGAATTGTCCTGTGCGTCCTGGGTACTTATGGAGTAGTGGGGAGATGAGGCTAATACGGATGTCTCTATAATATAGGCGCTGGAGAAGCACATGCTCTGTATTTGCTATTTGAAGAGGGGAGTAACTTCTGTTTTCCAGGGAAGCCCATAGAGATGAGGAAACCTGCTACTTTACAGGCAGGATACAAATGCAGGCTAGTAGACTCTGAGAAGGCTAGTTAAAAAAAACCCCACAGCCTTTGACCAAACAGTTGGGTATAGTTACTGAGTTAGGATGCCTCCTGAGTTTTCCCAGCACTAATGGACTACCTCTCCCCATATGAACTGACCCAGACCCTGTGATCATCCTCTGAGGCCATTCTTCATGTGCCCACTGCACAGGAGGCCCAGAGGGTGGCAACACAAGAATGGGCCTTTTCTGCAGTGGCTCCCCTTTTGTGGAATGTTCTTCCTAGGGAGGCTTGCCAGAAGTCTTTGTTGCATATCTTTAGGCAACAGACAAAAACATCTTTAGCCAGGCCTTTGGCTGACTGGACATTCTAGGGCTTTTGTGGGTGATGAGTTATTGGTGTGTTTTGTACTTGTTTTATTATATATTTTGTGTTCTCATGTGGTGTCTTTATGTTGCGAATTGCTCTGTGATCATCAGGTGAAGTATACAGTTTCAATAAATACAAATTTGTATGCAAATTTTTAAAATAACAATGAATAAATAAATTCTGAAGATTTGCCTAGCTGAGCCCTTAATTATAGGAAGATTGTATAGTTACTTATCTCCTTGGTTCGGGGGTCACATAACTCCATACTGCCTGTTATGTACTAAGCTTGGATCCTAGAACAATAGGCAGGTAGGATCCTAGAATGCAACAACTGATTGGCTTGCAGGAGAAGACCAATCAGGCTCCAGGAGGAAGTTTATCAGCCTATTAGGCTGGTAAGATCCTAGAATGCAACAACTGATTGGCTTGCAGGAGAAGACCAATCAGGCTCCAGGAGGGAAGCAGAATCAGCCAATCAGACGGGACTCATTGTGTAAATACAGTGGTGCCTCGCAAGACGAAAAGAATCCATTCTGGGAGTCTCTTCGTCTAGCGGTTTTTTCGTCTTGCGAAGCAAGCCCATTGATGGGATTAGCAGATTAGCGCTATTAGCGCTATTAGCGGCTTTTAGCGGCTTTTAGCGGCTTTTAGCAGCTTATCAGCTTATCGGATAAGCAGATAAGCGGCTTAGCGACTTAGAACAAGAGGGGGAAAAGGGGGAACAAAAACCAGGAACTCGCAAGACATTTTCGTCTTGCGAAGCAAGCCCACAGCAGATTCGTTTTGCGAGGCACCTCCAAAACGGAAAACTCTTTCGTCTAGCGAGTTTTCCGTCTTGCGAGGCATTCGTCTTGCGGGGCACCACTGTAATGTAAAGAAAACCTGAGGTTTGGGGGGAAATTTAATCACTGTTTTACAAGCTGCAATAAAGAGCATGAAATCACTGCAGGACTCCGAGTATATTTCACTCCCCAACAATTCTCTGATTAAATTAGGAACATCCTAAAGAAAAGTGGGACGTTCCAGGATCAAATCAGAAACTGGGACAGCTTCTGTACATAAATCTGGGACTGTCCCTGGAAAATAGGGACACTTGGAGAGTCTGCTTCTTTGCTGGCCATTTGTACAATAACAAAAAAACAAAAAACCCAACTATTCTGCAGTTAAAGGCAAAGCTACGTGTAGTATGGTCCTGGGAGACCTGCCCCCACCAAAGCAAAGGGGCACAAAAGCAAACTTACCAGCTTTCTGCTCATCTTCCTTTTCAAGATGTTGCTTGAGATCGACTCAGCTTTCCAGCACAGCACGTACCTTTCATAATCAAAACACCCAGAAAGCTCTCCTTTGGATAGAAAAAGAACAAAGGAGGAACCTGCCCACCAGCGGAGGCATTTGGGGTGTGTGTCTTTCTTAACCTTTTTTATGGACTCCTGCACTGCTCAGGAACCAGCTTTACCCGGGCTGACATCTCTCTCCATAGAAACATGAGTGGGAATGGCAGCTAGCAGGAGACCAGTTAGATCTCTTGCTTACTTCAGATGTGGCTGTCAGGAGAAAGATGAAAGTGCCATTTATGGCCCCAACACCACCCCTGGATAATGAGCAAGCAGAAGCTACAACACAAAAGTTTCTCCATTTTTGTCTAAGGAGGAGGAGGAGGAATGGACGCTTTAAGAAGAGGCTAAGCATCATTTGTATTCCTGTTCTAAATAGATAACTGAACGGTGGCGACATCACGGGAAAGAACATCTCCAATTCAGCATCCGCCCAACACAACATGCGACAGAATGGCCAACCTTCAGAATAAATTATTTGTTTTTAAGGCTGTGCATGTCACTTGGCACTAACATCTAACCGGCAGCTAAGAAGTGTCTTAAGAAATAAGAAGGGACAGCAGAGAAAACAGAAGCTCAAAGACAGGCAAAGAGGGGAAGAGAGACAGGCAAGGCATGTCGACAGCAAAGTTTTGATTCTATCAAATTTATTAGATGACAGGATAGAAGCTTGCCTACATGAGACTAGTCATCAAAAGCATACCTTGGCCCTATAAGACATTACTGCTAATTATATTTGAAAGAATTCTTTAAAAGGCAATACTTTTAATTGTTTCTATAGAATCCTTATATTAATCCCCACAACAGCCCTATGAACTAAATAATTAATATCCACATTCGGCTGTTAAGATTTTGGTGTAAAAATGAAGTAACATTGTCAGTTTTCAGAAGGCTTCTTCTTAAGAACCAGCAGTGGATTTTTTTAAAAGGGTAATTGGAGATTTGACCTGTTATTTTGACAAGCAACATATTTCCTACATCTAATTATTATTAGCAATAATTGTTGTTCCAGTTTAGTTTAGTTTAGTTTTTTTTAAAAAAAATCCAGAGAGGCAGTTAATGTCTTGACTGATCCCTCTTCTTGGTTATTTTGCTCAGTGCAAAGAGTCACTTGTTATTTCAGCAGGAGATAATATGAAAATTGAGAGCGGCATACCCTCACAGAAAGGGTTCAGAAATCACCCTTATGCTTAGGATGAAGCTGTAACAATGTGAAATGTAGTTATTTATAGAAGGCTGTCTTATACCAAGTCAGACCGTTGGTCCATCTGAAGCAATTTTGTCTACACTGACTGGATGTGGTCCTCAAGGGATGTGGTCCTCAAGCAAACCTTCCAGGAGATGGTAAGGGGTGAGCCTGGGACCTCCTGCATGGGCTCAAACCCTGAGCTTTGGTGCTTCATAAATACATCAGACCCCTTAGGAACACAGTAAAGTCTCAAGATAAGAGAGATTTAAACGGAGAATGCAAAATAAAAAAATAAAAATGCTAATAATAGTTTGATGTACCATTACCACCCCACCCTAACCTCCCCCTCTTCCCCCCTCTTTTATTCCCAACCTAATATTGTATGCAACACTAATGTCTCACAACAAATGAAACTGATCTGTAGAAAACACAACTTGAAAAAAGAGACAGTGCACCTATTTTTGTAAACTAAGAAATCGTTAATATTTTTAACAACAACAACAATAGTTTGGTGTGGGAAGTACGGTATGTTGCTTGTTAAAAAACAGGTCAAATGTCCAATTATTTTTATTTTAAATTTCCCTGCTTTTTCTCCAGAAGAAAAGTCTTCAGGAAACTGACAGCATTACTTCATTTTTACACCAAAATGTTAGCAATCAAGTCTGGATATTTATGATTTACCATATTTTTTGCTCTATAAGACTCACTTTTTCCCTCCTAAAAAGTAAGGAGAAATGTGTGTGCGTCTTATGGAGCAAATGCAGGCTGCGCAGCTATCCCAGAAGCCAGAACAGCAAGAGGGATTGCTGCTTTCGCTGTGCAGCGATCCCTCTTGCTGTTCTGGCTTCTGGGATTCAGAATATTTTTTTTCTTGTTTTCCTCCTCCAAAAACTAGGTGCGTCTTGTGGTCTGGTGCATCTTATAGAGCGAAAAATACGGTACTTCATAGGGCTGTTATAATTAATACAAGGATTTTATTTTTTAAAAAATACAGATCTTCTCAACCTGAATTCCCAAACCCTTTGTATTAAAGCTACATTTTCAAAGATCCCTTATACTGAACAATTTTTATCGATTATTTCTGCACACACCACAATCTCCAAGCAGTAAGATTTCAGGGGTGCCAGTGTGTGCCTCAGGTTTGGCTTCCTTGGAATGGAGGTTGCTGGAGACAGTGGGGCATAAGACATATAGAGAGGCAAAGCATAACGTGGAAAGACTCATAGCATCAGCACTCCCCCATTAGGTTTTTGGATTCGGCACAGAGAGTAAACCAAACCTTTCTCAGTTCTAGCTCAAAATATGAGACTGCCCCAGGTATTTTGTTACCTTGCACAATTGGTTCTGGTTTTCGTAGCGAGGAAGGGGAGAAAGAGCTATACATTTTACTGAGGCCACATGGATAACCTCTTGACATCTTGACATACACGCCACCAGCTTTTGAGATTTCAGCTGGGGATCTTTCAAGCCTATTTTTTCCGGCCAATAAGGGATAGAAGCTTGCTGTTATTCAAATGAGACTTTCTGAAGGCTAGATTCTGGAGTCCATTCTACACTCCTTGTAGAAAGGCTTTGTATTTTCCATAGTACAATGCAATACACTTTGTGTGCTCCAAGAACGTGACACTCCCAGAAGCGACATATCTTGTAGGTAGATCATGGATCTCAGTCATGCAGTTTTCTGGGCATGGGAGTTGGGAGGCACAATCCCACAGAAAAGCCTTTGCAGACAAGGAAAGATGCTTTGGGTCAGGAGGGGTCAGGAGGTGGGGCTTGTGTTGTGATCATGTGGGAAGATGTGACAAAATGTTAATGGGATCCGAAAAGATAAGATTTCTGTGAACAAGACTATTATTGGCCTTACAGGGTTTGGTTTTGTCTTTAACTGCTCCCCCAGGAACCACTTTCCTATTAGTCAGAGACAGAACAGTAGCTGTTCCTCTGACATATGTCAGCTCTGAGGTTGAACAGGAGAGCAACGATGCGGCTACTGGCATGTGTACCAACAGAGGCATTATTCTAACCACACTTTATATCCAGAATGAACTGACAATCACCACACAGCAGATATTTTACACCCTAGTCTAGGTGCTATCCTACTGAGGGGGCATGTAAGAAACAGGGATTGTTTGTCCTTTGAAATGTTATTGTCATTCATTCCCATGAATAGATGGTACCTACCACATTGCTTCCCTCGAGAAATGCTACTGGTCTCTTCTTGTCTGTAGACACAGGGGCAGATGGGCCTAAGCTTAAATATTTAACTTCACCAGCTTTTTCCATTCATGGCTCAGTGGGAATGGTGAGCTTTGGACAGACAGGCTTACCAGTTAGCCATTCTTGTATCAGTCTGGTCACTCTGGCCAGTTACCAGTATGGGAGCATAGGAGTCAATTCCCAGGGGTCAAGGAGTCTTTGCCCCTCTCAATAAAATATTTGACCATGTTATGCGATTGATTATGCTGGGTGGGGCTTACCTCCCCCCCCCCATATTTTATTCAAGTTGGCACCCCTGTATGGGAGTAAGTAAGTAAAACTCAGAACTCACTTGACAAAGAGGGTGTTTTATTGTTGTTGTTCATCCCAGCCTGAGAGAAGAAGAAGAAGAAGAAGAAGAAGAAGAAGAAGAAGAAGAAGAAGAAGAAGAAGAAGCAGCAGCAGCAGCAGCAGCAGCAGCAGCTTAGCCAAGGTGGGATTTCTGTTCCACAGAGTACTCCACCAAATTATGCCAACTGCAGAAATCAAGGCCTAGGAAATATTTATACCCTTGTGAACTCATGAGCCAGGGATGGTGGGAACTGTACTTCAGAAACATATGGAGGGCACCACATTCACTACCACTGGTGTAAACCATTCCTCTTGAAGGCCCAAATCATAGAATGATCTCTTGCTCTTTGACTCTTGGCATTTCCCATGGCATGTTACCTGTACATTTCTTAGGAATAGCTGTTGCAGTGTTGTCATCAACCTTGTGGTGACGGATACGTGTTAGGCAGCACCTGTTAAGATGCATATAACATTCCTGCTTACTTTATAAATTTGATGTATGAAAAAAATTACTGGCACAACGTCTCAAGAACAGAACAAACCATCACGTTTTACTGTCTCCAGAGCAGATATTCTGGCGTAATTTCTTATTCATACCACAACTATAAAGCTGACTCAGCTATATAGCTCCTGGCTACGCATATTGTGATATCTCTCATTTGTGTCATTTCCAGGGACGCTCCCTTACAGAAAAAAAATGCTTTACTCCTTTTATCCACCATGACAGTCCCATTTCTTTTTAAAAGCTTCTAACATATTCTTGCACACCACCACAATTTCAGAGTGGTGCAAGATTCCAGGGGTTCCAGGCACTTACCCAGGGTTTGGTTTCCTCGGAATGAAACTGTGGTGTCTTTGTGATGTATGTTATATTTACACATATCTACAACCTGAGCCTATGATGGAGGGGCTCACAGCATAAGGACTTGCTTCTCCCATGGCCTCAGCCTTGGATTCAAGCAGAAATCAAGCATGTCTCTCCCTCTCAGGCTTCTCCCTTCAGCCTGCTTCTAGCCCAGCTCCTTCTAAGTACCAGTCAGTTGAGGGAGGGAGGCCCACGCATTGCCCCCTAGCGCAGAGCCATTTCCTTTGTCATGCTAACAACCCATACTTAGGGGGCCATTACCAAGAAGCTGGCCTGGCTATTCCAACAAATGAATCCTTGCTAGGTCCAGGAATTAGAAGGGACTCAGGCGTACAGCTTAACACACACACACACACACCCCAGCAACTCAGTACAATATTGTGAGGCTCAGCTATCTTATGGGCTGGCTTGACATTTAGAAAACAACATGTCATTTGTCTTTGAGAGAAAACATGCTTTGAGCAGGCAACAAAGAAAATGTTAGCATAGCAAAGAATGCTATAAGCAACAAACACATCAAAGCCTTTCCTGAATGGGTGTGTGGGGAGGGAGGGAGAGATTATTCTGGGGGGGATGGAGCACTCAGGTAACTTTTATGATAGAATTAAAGCTGGTTTACTTTGGAGAAAGGACCATAGCTTTGCATGCAGAAGTAGCATGTTCAATCCCCAGTAACCCCAGGTGGGACTGGGAGTGCCTCCTGCTTGAAAACTTGGAGAGTCACCACCAGTCAGTGGTGAGAGCCAGTGTGGTATAGTGGTTAAGAACAGTAGTTTCGTAATCTGGGGGACCAGGTTCGCGTCTCCGCTCCTCCACATGCAGCTGCTGGGTGACCTTGGGCTAGTCACACTTCTCTGAAGTCTCTCAGCCCCACTCACCTCACAGAGTGTTTGTTGTGGGGGAGGAAGGGAAAGGAGAATGTTAGCCGCTTTGAGACTCCTTAAAGGGAGTGAAAAGCGGGATATCAAATCCAAACTCTTCTTCCTCTTCTTCTTCTTCTTCTTCTTCTTCAGTAGTCAGTGTGGACAAATCTGAGCTATACTAGTTTGACTCAGTATAAAGCAGCTTCCTATGTCCCCATACGAGCCCACCTGTCAAAGAGCGATCCAGCAGTAAATCACACATTCAGAGCTGGAGTTAACTATTAGCAAAAGAACATATTCGCAGAATGTGGCTGCGTGTCAGGCCTAATGAGCACAGTGGCTCATCTCCAATAGGTCCCCATGAAAGTCCCCTCCTCCTGACAGCTGTCGATAAGTTTCCTTCTCACCAGGGCTTTCCCCAAGCAATCAGATACTGCGTCTGCGTGCAGCCTATCACTGCTCCGCCCTTTTCATGCCTCTTCTGGTTCTGGGAGACAAGGGGGAGAGGGGAGTTTGTCGCAGCAGCAGGGGGAGACACCCATGACTCATCACCAGCCTGGCTCATCTCTGCCTCTTGGCCTCCCTCCCTGCCTACTCAGGAATCAAAAGTTTTGTGTCTCTTTTGTCAGAATTCTATACTTTTTGTGCATTCTGCAGAACTGGCTTGTGCCTCTGATTCTGGATTCTGATTCTCTGCCACAGACTCTCTCAGCTCACTAAACCCTGTTAGCTCTTCAATTTTTGACACCTCATCTTCCATCTTCTCTCTCTTCTCCCTCTGAAGATCATCCTACCACCACTCCCTGGGCTCTGAGCCTTCCTCCCTTGGTGGTTCCCCCCACAATTCCTCTGCATCCACCACATAAAGAATTCAGCCTGACCAGGTAATAGTAAAAAAATATCCACACCAACCACACTTCGGTGTCCTTGGGTATGCTGGCTCCACCACTCACTTCCAGCCTTCAGGGTCATGAGAGGAGGGCTGCTACACACAGGAATGTTGTCGGAAGCCCTCAGGTGCAAACCCTTGGCCTCCTGCATGGTCAGGTGACGCACACCTATGCATGGTCAGGTGACGCACCCAAAGAGGACTGCTCTGTTTCTCTTTAAGCTTGATTGTGTGAAAGTTTCATTCAAAGCTGTTATGCTGAAGGAGAAGACCCTTAAACTGCTGTGTTTGATATAGCGATCGCAAAGTTCCTGATCTAAAGATGGTCTGTGGTCATGCTTGTTTTTCCTTCTTGAACCCAGCACTTTGGCATTGCAAGATGCACCATCCTCCTCCTACAGACTTTGCCAACTCAAGGGCCATATTCTCTTTCTAGGCAACTTTCTGAGGGCCACATGCCTGTGGTGGGCAGAAGCAAAAGTGGGCGAATTTCTACACAGACTCTCTCACACACACCCCTCTCTATCCTCTGTGCAGGCGTTATCAGAGTTCAAGGCAAAAATAATCAAAAAGGGTGTGGCCTAGGGTGTGTGGGGGAGTGGCCTGGAGAGAGGGGGAGTGGCCTGGGAGGACTTTCAAGAGCCAGAGAGAGGGCTGCAAGGACACATATAGCCTCCCAGGCCTGAGTTTCCCCAGGAATATATATTCAATGTCTAGGAACCCTGAGCTCCTGTGCTTGAATTAAAAGAGGACAAAGGGTGTGAACTGCCCCATTTTTTTGTGATGACTCCCTGAGGTGCAGTGTTTAGAAGGCTATGAGAGAGCCATGGTCTGGCTAAAACGGCTTGGGAAGCAGGAGTAGCCGCATGTTGTTTTCTTACCTGAGGTGAAGCAGCAAATAGTGCCCTCCCATCGTAGAGCACAGTACCCAAGCCTCAGCTTCCAGAGACTGCATTGAGCTAGCTGTGTCTGCAAATACGTAAGGAAATATTGGAGGTGATTGTGTGCTGTCTCTCTGTTGCCAATCCCTTCTGTCTATATCTTTTAGAATCTTGACTGTTAATGAGAAAGACACTTGAGGGTTTTCCTTCCTAAAATTGTCCAGCTGAAACAAACAAGAAAAAAATAGGGGAGGGGGTGCTTAGTTGGCACCACCAAACAACCAGAGGAGAATGGGCTTGTGATTGTTGTGGATGGCAGGAAGGTCTCCCCTACCCTTTGTCCTGTAACTTCAGCACTGCTTTGCTCTGTTCCTTCCTGTCACTACAGCAACTGGACTTACCTGGTGGCTTCCTGGAAGTCACATTGGGTTCAATGTTGAATTTTACCCAAGTCTGACACCCAAGAGGGAGTAATCCCCAAATCTGATAGCAGCCCTGTGCTCGTTTCATCTTTCTCTGTGACTTGTTCATCTGGGATACATCATAGGCGCGTGCCATGCTCTCGTACAAGTCAGCTGGTCTCGTATAAGTCCCTGCAAGCACCAGCTTGGGATCCAATCAGAAGCCAGGATGGCTTCTGTAAGTCTGGGATGTCCTGGGAAAATCAGGACACTTGAGGAGTATGCTGAAGGATGAGGTCACGTGTGCCAGTGCAGCCCAGCCTGAACTCACTAAAGAAGGATAGCTATGTTTTGGTTCCTGTATTGATTTGGGAAGGGTGGATTACATATGTTTGCATTAAAACACAAAGCAAATAAAGTCCCCCTTCCCTGCCCATAACTCAAAGTCCAACTTCGCCTTCCAACTTCGCAGGAAGGCACAAGAATGGCTGGCAAATAAGCAAAGCAGCACTGCCAAAAAATGGGCATATGAAGTAATTCGGGAAAGACTGTCCTCCTGAATGCACCTTAACTCTGCTTTTTCAAGAGTTGAGTGGTCACTTTAACCAGTGCTGACAAATGCTCCCTTGCCAATGTAAGAATGAGTTCAAGGGCCCGCGATAGGTGTGGTGCATCAGACATGAAATACCGGTAAAGAAAAAGCAGCAGACAAATATTTCCGGCATGCATACTTTCTATTCTGTTGTAAAAAAGAAAAAAAGAAAGAAATGTAACCCTATACAAATGCAAGTGTTTTTGTTCAAAACATCTAAGCTTTTTAGCACTGCTTTCCTGTAAAGCAAAAAGGAAATGTCTAACGTTAAAATTACAACTTCTATTACACTGTGTATGGAGGTTTTATTTCCGTTTGAATGACTTCAATTAGAATGAGTGTGTTCTGAGTATCTGATGGCAAGCCTGGGAAATATGTATATAAGGTTATGTGTTTGGAGAAGGCTGCGTCAAGCGAAAAGCCTATAATTGCTCATCAATGCTCTATAGCTGAGTAAGTTATCTGGCACGGGAGCTGTACCAGGAAATAGCAATCGTACGATTCCTGCTCTGTATGTGGAGCTGGAAGATTTCCGAAGTCAGTTTTAACGTTCGTGAACGATGCGAGCTCAGCGGTTCGGAGGGAGGACATCTTACTCACAATTTTGCCATTTTGGATGTGCCAGCATGTCCCGCTTGTCAAAATCAGGCTGGGGCTGTGGGTGTCTATACTGGAAGTCAATGATTTGGTAGGCTATGGGAGCAAAAATACTGATGGGTGCAGGGAGAGTTAAGGGCTGGATGCTTGCTGAAGTGCAGCATGTGGAACCAGGCAAGGACACAAGGCTAGACTCCTGTGTATCATGTCTGACCAAGCTAGAGGCTTCAACATTGCTAACCAATCATATTGGCCAATTTTGGACTGTGCTATTCCATTTTCTGCCTGTAGGCTGGGTGGCCTAAGCTAAGTTCATAATACTAGTTCAGGGGTCTCCAAGCTTTCCTTGCCTTGGGCTGGTGTCTCCAGCGACGATTGCGCGGCGGACAGGGGACCGCGCCCCCGTACGCGCACACACATGCTATTTCTGGTGCACATCCAGGTAGGAGGAGGCCTGTGCGCATGCACACAAGCTATTTCCGGTGCTCCTCCAACCTGGAAGTGGGTCCCCGTGCCGCGCCGGTAAGAGCAGGTGGCGGGGGTCGCCATGGGCCCAATAAACAAGTCCCCTGGGCTATAGGTTGGTGACCCATGTACTAGTTCATCCCTTGACTCCAGGGAATCCTTAGACTTCCTGTATGAAAACAATGGCTTGTTTGGGAACAGTGGCAAAGATTTCTCAGCACAAATTCTTTGGTGGGGAAACAACGCATTTAAACTGCTGTAAATCCACTATATGTTCATAATGTAAATAAGTTATTCACTGAGTTCTTAGGAAATCATGTTGATAATTATAATTGTTGTTTTCAGATTATCATTATTTACTGACTGTGGTCCAGAAAAAAACTTATTTATTGCAAATTAATAAACCCTCCCCCCCCTTTTTACCTGTCTTGCTCCACGTGTATGAATAGAAAGTGAAGGTTTTTGATTTTTTTAAAAATCCACCTCTTTTTTGAAACATAAATTACATATGTAGAAGATGTTACCCAGTCAATTCTAATGAAATAACAATGAATTTTAATATATATATGTGCATATATATCTGGGCATGTTGTTTGGGGATGGGGGGAAAACCCACATTCACGACCGAGTTGATATGGTAGCTTTAAACATGAAAAGTTGTGAGTTTGTGCAGTCTAGGGTTGCCATATTTCTAGAAGTAAAATTCAGAACACAAGAAATTCCAGACATATTGCAACCCTAGTACAATCACGATCCTAAATCCCACAGGGAGCCTATTTATGAGAGCTGGCTCCCTCCTGGCCAGACCTCTCTCCTAGGTCTTCCACCCAAGCCAGAGGGCGCTCATGGCCAATGAGCCTCCAACTGAGGGGCAGGGCTAGTGAACGTGTCCTCACTTTTCTTCCTCAGACAATTGTAGCGGCATGAGGGGAGAATGCCTAGAAAGTACCTGTATGTGTTGCCTGGTTTTGTGCTACAGTGCAAAGCCCTGAGCATCCTCACACAGGGTTGCACTCCTCTCCTGCTTGCAGGTCACTGTGAGAACAGAATTCTGGATCTTTAGCCAGATCCAGCAAGGCTCTTTGTAAGCTCTTATTTTGGGGCCCATGCATCTCCACCTGCTGCGGATGTTAACTTCAGCCCAGTCTCAATGCAGAGAACCAATACAGAGAACCATGAACACAGGGCAAACTTGCTTATTTGCACTTCATTTTCTTCGGATTATTGAAGGTGCAAAGCTAAAACTTACCCGCCTACCATATTCCACAGACCCTCCAGTGTCCCTATTTTCCAGGGACAGTCCTGGATTTACAGAAGCCATCCGGGTTTCTGGTTTGATCCAGGAATGTCCCACTTTTCCTTAGGATGTCTCTATTTTCATCAGAGAAATCTTGGAGGGTATGGAGTCATGCAACCTCTGAGCCAAGGAGATACGGTAAGTAACTACACAACCTTTAGAAGACATCTGAAGGCAGCTCTGCTTAGGGAAGTTTTTTTATGTTTTATTATGTTTGTATATATGTTGGAAGCAGCCTAGAGTGGCTGGGGCTGTTGTTGTTGTTATGGAACAGGACTTCCCTATTTTCATCAGAGAAATGGTGGAGGATATGTATTCCACTGTCTAACTTCTTCTTACAGTTAGGATGCATCCCATCATAGCCAACATAACAGCTGTCATCGTATAATTTTCACATATTACTTCAAACTCCTGAGCCCTATTGATTTCTTCCTCTCTCTTTTTTGGAAACTGTATATCCAGGCATGTTCCTGGATCCAACTCTTTCACTGGAGATGCAGAATTCTGTGAGAACAGACAACTACCACCATTCCTGGCTTGGGATTGTTTGACCCCGGTTGCCCGTAGATTAGAAACCTCACAAGTTGTGTTCCTGCAATGTGCTCTGTGTGCAAACACTCTGTTTTCAGGATTTGCACTGGCTGCGAATCTGCTACCGGGCTAAGTTCAGGGTGTCGATACTAACATATAAGGCTCTCTATACAGCTCTGGACTAGGTTAAGTGAGAGACTACCTTATCTCTTACACATCCAGTAGATAGCTGCAGTCTGTGGGAGAGTATCGCCTGCAGGTTTCAAAGATCTCAGAAACCCACCTTGCAGTAACTCAGAGCAGGGCCTTCACTGTGGCTGCCCCTGATCTATGGAATAGCATTCCTGTCAGCAGGTGCCCACTAGCTGCATTTTACGAAAACAACTGAAGGCATTTTTTTCCTGACAGGTTTTCCAAGCTGGATAAATGGGTATTTTCCACGAGGGCCTGTTTTGTATGGTTTTGCCTTGGCTGTTTTTGTGTTTTAACTGTTTTCAATTATCTTTAGTGTACATTGAAACAGGTGTTTAGAAGGCTGTTAATAAATCGACAACGATGATGATGAAAGATTATTCCCTTTCAGCCTTTCATAATATGTCTTATTTCAGAAAATCCCTCCATTGTCTTTGCTTCTTCAAATCTTACCTTTTCCATAAACGCGAGTGTGCTGCAAATCCTCCAAAATTTCATTTAGCAGAAATACTCCACTGTTCCTTATCTTGAGTTTTCAGCATTCCACTGATATCTGCCTGAGCAATCCTCCTCCGCTCTCTGTCGTGAAGACCACCTCTTCTCTGCCGGTATTAACTTACTGAGCAAAAGCCTACCCTGCGCAGACTCCCAAAGCAGATGTGCAAGTAAAAAGACCAGCCAGCTTACACTCACAATTCATCTGGTGGTTACAGAACAGCTTCATTTCAAACACATTCAGCAACCTTCAGTACCTGGGACAGGCATCTGGGGCTGGGTGAAAGGTAATCCATAAACTGGCATTTCTGCGTGTATGCGTGTGTATTTGATTGTGAGATCCTTATCTAATGCATGCACACTAGAATGGGGGTGGAAAGATGCCTGTAGAACTGTAGTGCATCTCAATATTTTTGAAACTCACCCTCAACTTCTTAGAAAACAAAGGAGGGTCAATACTGGAGCACAGATTCCAGATACCAGAAAGCGCAGATTCCCCATGCGAATTAGGGACAGTGCTAGCATATGATAGGACACACACCATGTATTTAAAACACATGACTTGCCCTCCCAAAAGAATTCTGGGCACTGTCGTTTACCTCTTTCAGAGCAACAATTCCCAGCACCTTTAAGAAACTACTGTTCCCAGGAAATCATGTGATTTAACTGAATCATGAGCACACTGCAGAAAACAGATTCTGTAAAACTCTGTGTGTGAGAGAGAGCAGGAGGCCTCAGGAGTTAGGTTTTTGGTTCAGGAAGCACCTTTCTAAAATAGGCAGCAGTGGTAGTTTTAATTTCTGCTTACAAATGGGGAATGAGTGCTACCTGGTGAATTTATGTTTGGACTGAGATTTTCATAGCTACTGTACTGCATGATCTCTGCAAGCCTGCTTTCAGGCATAACATTTAGGCAGGCCTTAATGCAACAGGGTAGATTTCAAATTCTTCCAAATTAGCATATAGAACTCCCAATTAGTTCTACTCAACTCAATAGAGGTTTACACACCAGGAATCAGCATGAGTAAAAGGAGAACAAAAAGCAAAGGTAGGTATTCTGGCCAGTAAGAAACATTCTAAAAGGTAGAGCAATACCTTTCTCAGGCCAACCATAATGAGAGAATGAGTGGGGAAATGGCAAATCCAATGTAAACCAGTACAAAGTGACACTTGTTGGAGCAAAAAAAAAAAAGGTTTAATATCACATACATACTCATAAGATGTCAACCCAGCTTATGCCGGGCCATGAAAAAGGCAAATTCCATGCCAGGGATTATTAGAGAAGGAACTGAAAATTAAAGTGCCACTATTATATATATATATATATCTATATATTCCAGCTGGTATTTGTCTCCATCCTGAGATGAAAGACAAATTCCTTGACAGGTGGAAAACAGAAATGAGAGGGAAACTAGTTGGATGTTGTTGTTAAAATTTCCATGCCGCCCTCCATCATTTTAGGTGATACACTAAGTAATAATACAAATGGTATGGCGTGTTCAGTGACCCAGGTGGTCATTTTGAATTGATGTAATCGTCACTTAGCTCCAGACTTGCCACTTGGCAAATGGAAGGGCTCCTTCTTTTTCTAGAGGAATCTAGCCGAAGCTCCCCACTGGAAGAAGAGGGGAGCCCATTTTTTTCAGATTCCCCCTGCAAGCCACAGAGCCACTGCCCCCCACTGTGCCAGAGAGGGTCCCCCAGCCCTTTGAAGCAGCTGTTGTGAGGCCACAGGGAGGTGGAGGAACAGACCCCCCCAAAAAAAGAAAAAGAAATAAAATAAACCCCCAAAGCTGCTCCCTTCCTCCAGCACAAGCAGAACTCTGCTCATTGCAAGTCTAGAGCCAGCAACCGAGCTAACTTTCCTTAAAAAAATAGCTTCTATTTCAGAGATATCACATCTTCTCAGCCCTCAAACTGCTGTTTGAGCCTCCTGCTACTGTGGCGTTTTGTGACACGCGGCGCTATGAGTGTCAAGTGTGCAGAAAGGTCAGGGAGGGAGATTGCGATGCGTTCTGTTTCCATCCACATTTCGTGAGTTCGCTTCCATCCTTTAGGGCGGGCGTTTTCAGGTGTCTCGTTTCCGAAGGAACTTTTGCCACGACCACCCGTGTGCTGAGCTACAGCAGATTCCTCGTGTGTTGCAAAGGATTCTGGGACGTATCCTGGCAGCTTTGGGCAGCCATCAGGGCCCACTGCTGAGTGGACCCCCCTGGAGCCCCATTTTTAAAATAATAATAATAATCCAACCCAGCATTCAGAGCAGCATTGGCTTGCTGGGCCAAGCTGCCAAGTCTGTTTCCCACAATGCAGCTGGCATAGCTTTGCTCTGGGGCATTGTGGGAAATTCAGCTGTTGACAATACTCAGAGACCTTGGGATGCTACCAGATAAGTCTGAAGGGTCTCACAGACCAAGGAAGAGGCCTACCAGGATTCAGTTGGCCTAAGTCCCCCTCAGACCTGGAATCGACCCCAAACCAACCTAGTAGGGATCACCCCACATTGCCTATCCGTGAATTGAGAGTATACCCTTCAACTCCGACTACGTGTTGTGGGGAAGGCGGACACTGACGGATCATGTTTTTAAAAGCCAGGTAGGTTTAAACACCACTGATTTTCTCAACAAGAAATCCCCTCACAAGCCCCAGTACTCTTAGGAACATGGCTTGAAAACCACTGCTTTGAGGAAACCATGGGAGTATTTGTGTAGCTTTTAAAAAAAGGGGTGTGTGGAGTCAAGGTGGACAGAAATTTAAAGTTCCTCATTCCCTTTGTGGCATTCCCCCTGCATTTTGCTTTGAAAGATTAAAGGTCTTTAAAGGATGGTGCTCCCTTCCTGCCTCTGAATTTCACATCTCGCTCGATTCTTTTGAATATGTAGGAAACACAAGTGCGGCCAGGCTTTCTTCTCCATTATGTGGGGTGTGTGAAAGCGCACAATTGGTGCAGGATTGTTCATATAATCGTACACATTAATATAAGGAAGGTCCCTGCCCCAAAGGAGCTTACAATCTGTATTCACTCAAGATAACATCCAGAGTTTCTTTTTTAAAGGGCAGTCCCATGTACGCCTTCTCAAAAATTCAGTGGATCACTCACTCCTGGGAAATGTGAGTATAGGACTGCAGCCTAAAATAATCCAAACATTGTGTGATATACCTATGTTTTTCACCCTACTAATCTGGATTGAGATCACAGTACAGTAGTCACATTTTCAACAGAAAGCATTTTTTTAAAGTTGGTCCACAGTGTTCACTGGTAACTGAGAACTGTTATTATAAAAGCCACAACCTTATTTCTGGTGTTCAGAACATTACTGAAGTAATTTCTTTGTAAATTTGGTATTATGTTGTTCGGAATGGCGTAGTTTTCTTTCTTAATTTCCCCCCGGCTTTCAGAAAACCAAAGCAGCTTAGGAAAACATTCAAAATGCTGAGCATACACACATAAGCGAAATATTTTAATGTCAGTTCATATTCATAAAAGTTACATTGTTTACATAGGGTTCATTTGTATATAATAAAATTTCATTTGAATGAAAAGGGATTATTTTTTCCTTCTTCTTTTTTGGCAAGCCTGTTAAACAAATTAACATATGCTTTGGATGTACAGCTTAAGAGGAATATAGTTATCCAAAAATCTTTTGCAAGAGAGGTTGCCTTTGAACAATTTCAAGGCTTTCGTTTCTGAAGTAGTAATAGCATTTTAACCTTCATAGCTGAAATTCAGCTATGGGTTGGATGGCGCACAGATCAAGTCTTCTATTATTATTATTTTAAAAATTGTGAAGTGAATTTCCTCATTGCATAGTGAACATGTAAACTTATTAGGGATCGTTAGGTTAACACCTTTAATGGTGTTATATGCTGTATTATGTTAGCCTTCCTAAAATGATGGATAAAATAATGTAGCAGGAGGGTAAAAATCCATTAGCCATTGCCACCTTAAATACTGGCAAGGAACAAGGGTGTATTCCTCATCCACAACTCTCTCTGGCTGCTAGAAAATCTTGCTGGCTCCAAAATTTGGGAGAAAGAATTACACCACTATATCAAATGTTTTTTTTAAGCCATTGGAGAACAATCCAGCCAAATTAATCATTCTACAGTCCCATAGATTTCAATGGCAGAAATGCAAGCTGAAAGTTGGCTGGATCATGCCCATAATTCATGATGGATATTGTCAGTTGTGAAGAAGAAAATGGGAGAAGAAAATGAAAAGCAGGAAAAAATTCCAAGGAAGTCATTTTACATTGTGCAACATCCTTTGTTTGCTATCTAAAATGGTTCCCACACCCTTTGTTTTGGTGGGAGGGAAATGTACTGTTGCACCATTTTTGTTAAATTAAATTAATTCCAACAGTTATGTCTGTGTTAACTAGGTTTGCATCAAGTAAAATATTTATTAATGAAACTACTGTACAAGAAACATCAAAGCGAAATGCATCATACAGAAAAAGTACACTCTAGGTGACAGATGAAAAAGTGCATGCAGATTGCTTTAATTTTATTTATTTTTAAGTCAGAAAACAGAATACTAATCTTGATCCCTATTGTCTTGAATTGGTGAGAATTTTCTTCTCTGAATTTACAAAATGTCATTGAACATATATGACTAATACACATTGGCAAGCAAGATGAATGAATTTCAATTTTTGGATTTTATTTTACAGGTATTTTTGCTTGACAATTGTGAGTTCTTTTAAATATTGTGTTTGTTTGTTTTTTAAGAAAGGAAGAATCTTCTCATATTGGACTGGGTGGTACTGCCAGGTTGCTCTGATGCCATACACAGCCTTCAGGTTTTTAGTTAGACACCGTCAAATAACATATGTTGTGTTAACATTCAGGAAATGACATTGAGTCTATTTTTAAAAAAATTATTTTTGGCTCAATAAATTTTAAATGTATGGTTTATCATAACCTAATATTGTCTTTGTCTTCACTGCAGTGGATATCCGATCAAACTTTCCCCTTCTTTTAATACTTTAGGGAATTTTCAAACGTCGGGATGTTTGGCTGTAATGCCCCAAGATTTGTTCTCCCTGAAAGAAATCATAGTGACAATTTATTAAACTACAGAGCAACCTGGCTTTTAGGGGTCTGTACTTTTAGATTGTGCTCAATATACCTAGCAACTAAATTGTGATGCATTTCATCATCATTATTTGTTATATTTTTCATGCAATTACTTCCGCTTCTAAAGTGCCTGGGGTTGGGGGTTTGGTTTATATATATATTTTACTTTTAAAAGAACATGGTCAACCTGACCCTAAACACAAAAGGCCACAATCCAGTACGAGTTGCTTGTGATTTACAGCATAATCCTATACACATTAACTCAAAAGTAAGCCCCCCTGAGTTTAGTGGGGCTTACTGCCAAGTAAGTGGGTATAGGAACGCAGCCTAAGTCCCACTAAATGCAATGGCATCCATTGATTTCAATAATGCTTCATTTTCACTAACATTTTGGATTGTACCCCACAATAGCTTAGAAGTAGGTCCCACTGATTTTCAATGAAACATAAACTTCCAAGCAACTGACCCAATCCACTTAAAGTTAGTTGCATTTGCTTTCAGTGGGACTTGACATAGGCTAGTTGCAACTACTTTATCCAATTCATTTCAATTGGATTTAAGCACAACTAATGTTCATTGCATCAAAGCCATTGTGTTTAGCATTGCAGCCTAAGACAGGGTTATAATATCAAATCAGTGGGGCATTACTTTTCTTTTTTAAATAAAAAATAAAGCCTCTGAAATTTCATCATGGATATGTACTAGGAAGCAAAAACTTAAAAATAAATCCTGTTTTAATATAGCACTAAGATTACTGTGTCCACCATCACACACTCACACATACAGTAAAAGCAACACAACACACTGCCATGGGTAAGACTCCATTAAAAAAAAAGATGAAGACAAAAATTGATGGTAAATAAAACTCCTTCAATTCAAAATGGTTTATTCACACAAATTTAATAGGATATATCACAATTGTTTGGTCCATAAATATTTAGGGGAAATAGTTTCTATACAATGCATTTCTCAATAAAACAAAGAAACATGGACAAGTTTGCTAGACCACTTAACTGTACTAGAAACACGAAGCTCAATATATAAGATTATTGAATTTATCAACTATATCCGAAAGAGTGCACAACTGCTTTCTATGACATGTTTGTCCCCTCTACCAGGATATACACCATAAAAAGAGTTTCAGAAATAAGAGGTAAAACAGTACAAAACTAGTGAGGTGTCAAAAGGGCTTAAAACAGTTAATTTAACAAACAACACATATATATCCTGATTTTTTCCCCCACAAGCTTACTCCCAAGTTATCGCATAAGGCACATTGTAGAACTGAGTTATAATTAGTCTACTTAATAAAGTAGATCTATAGTACCATATAGTTGTTCTGTCAAAGAACAAAATTTATAAGTATCAATATTTTTATTTTTTTTGTACCTGTAAAAGTGTATTAATAAAGATCTCAGCCTCTCCAAGGTTGTTTGGTCTGGTTAGTGGTAAATGCCCATAAGGTAAGAGAAACAGGAAACGTCCAAGGTTGGCACCTCAATCCTAAATGTATCAACTTGGAAGTAAATTCCACTCAAGTCATTTGAACTTACTTCCATCTAAACACGCTTCAGGTCAGCAAGCCTTAAGCGTTCTAGAAGATGATGACCACACTTGCTAAATATATAACGACAAAGACACATTTTCCTCTGTTACAGTGTTAACATCTCTTCCATTGTTTTTTTTTTAAAAATAAGCTACTTTTCTGTGCTAATTTTCTAAAAACCCTGAGCAAAAGTTACAATAATGCACTTTAATGTGGGCAGTGAAGTGTCAGTATGTATCCACGCATTAGTAGAAAACAACAAAAAGAATTCCTTTTTTTTAATACCAAAAAATAAAATTTAAAATGAAAAAGGAGTTTCTACCGAAGGGAGGTTCGGAGGAGGAGGAGGAGGAAGGGGTAAAATCCAAAGTACTTGTGCAAAAGTTAATCTTAACAATCCACCCAAAGCAATATCTTCTTGGCGGATTTTGGTTTGGTTCTGGAGTGTCTCCCGTGTCTAATTAGGGGGTTACTGGAATAAAGGATACAAATGAACATTCACCACTGCCCAGACCATTCAGACTTTTAGCTTAAATTAAAAAAATAAAATAAAAACAAACACTTGCAAATGTAAACTAGGAAAGGTATTTCCAATTAGCAATGCATCCACAAGGCTTCTGAGTTTGGCAGCTTCAATGATTGCCAGCTTTAAATCCCTAGGGGTTCCCACCACCCCAATGCATTTTCTCTTCTTCTACATTATTTTTTAAGGGGAAACGCTAGATTTAGCACAGAGCCCTTTAATTTAAATGGGTTCACCATGCTTGGATATGTAGCCAGTGTGTCTATCAATGTACATGGTAGTGTGTTTATTATATAAATACAAGTATACACACGCATAGATAGAGATATGAACTGACGATTTGTAGAGGGCACCGTTTAGCAAAAGTTTGCCTTGATTCTCGCTCCTTTAGAAGCCATGGAACAGAACTTGGTAACAGCTAGCAGAAGTTCTGTTGATTTTAATGGGCCTTGTTTAACCAGGTCTGGTGCATGTTTACTTGGAAGTAAGCTCCACTAAGTTCAAGTGGGCTGACTTCTAGGCAAGCATACAGCTGCAGTCTTACATTTGCTGGTTTGTGCCTTTTGAAGTTAATACATTAACGTGGCAGACAGACACCATCTCATGGGAAAAAAATCAGAAGGATGCTCAAAACAGCAATGAATACAAGATACTGGAATCAGCTTTTAAACGTCTTAAGAAATTATATTTTGCTTATTTCCATCTGTTACCTTAATAGTGGGTAGGAACACTCGAGCCAGAATTGTGTTTGTGATTTTGTAAAAGAAAAACCAACAGCACCTCCTCCCTGATCTCAGGTATGTTCCACCCAGTCCCATTAGGACTTAAAAGTGTTTCATGTATGCTGGATTTCAGCAGCAGGAGAAAAACCCCAGCTCAGAAACGTTTCAATCTTCAATTGTTTAGCCACCATCCCCAAGCCTCTTAACCCAGAGCAATCTAATTCATTTCAATGGAACTAGCCCAAAGCAAGCATATAGAGGACTATAGCCCTTTTTATAATACCCAGGCTTGCTATGAAGAAATATTGTCCTCAAACTACCCAGATGATGCAAGCTCTATTCACTGGCCCTCCAATTTTAAACACTTTAGGAGTGATCCAGCCAAAGCTAAACCTAATGAAGACTCCTAGTAGTTCTAAGGGAGACAGATTTAACTCTCTTGCTGAAATCAATGGGACCCAAAGTGTTTAGTTTTGTGTGGAGTGCGCCAAATACTTGTTCCATTCTAAATAAATGAAATATTGATTGGATATTTGTTTGCTCCGAACAGGGGTGCCAACTTGAATAAAATATTGGGGGGGGGGTTAGCCCCGCCCAGAATAATTGATCACATGCCACAGTGCACACACACCATTTGAATGGCCCATCAATTGGGGGGCGTGGCCCCCTCAAATATTTTAGGGGGGGCGAAGACACACACACACTGCCCCCTAGGAGTTTGCTCATGTGGCTCCGAAGTAAAACCCACTCATCTGAATTAGGATTATTCCCAAGTGTGCATAGAATCAGGGGGTTGCATCTAAAATGGGTATGTTAGAAGAAAGTCAAGTTGGTGCTGTCTAAGCAGTAGGAACTTCACAGCTATGAAGTGCGTAAACTCAGCTGGGGTTCTAAACATACCAAAGAGTTGTATAATTGAACTGTGGAGTCTTTCTCACACAGACACAACTTCTGAAAACAAATTGTCACTTCCTTCTAGGGAAACTCTGGGGAAACTTTCTACAAATTCTTGATGAAAATGTGGTAGTAGGAAGTTGGATCTGGCCTTCAAGTCACTAGCTAGTGACCTGAGCTGGACCCAACCATCCATCTAAGAAAGTCTGTAGGACTTCCCACCAGTGACTGCTAATATGTGAAGACTTGATTTCGTAGTTTCTTGGATTTATACTCCACCCTACCCAGGACACACTTTCCCCATCTGATTTCCTAACTCACCTACATTAGGCCTGATAATAACTGTGCAAACTTCAATTAAACAAAAAAACAACAACAAAAAAACCCTACTGTTATGCATTAACAAAAATCTTACAAGGGTTTTGTCTGCATAGAAAATAAAAAGGAACAAAATTTAAATGTCCTGATCATAAAATAATAGCCAGCATTGGTGACCTATAGATGCTTTTGGACCCCAACTCCCATCAACTGATGGTGTCTGATGTTGTCCCATTAATCTCTGGAGGGCATCACTTAAGTTGCCTCTGCTACAAAATGAAGATTAGGAACCTAAAACCTAAAGTTGTTCCCATACAATCTTTCAGTGGTGATATACTGGTGTTGATTGAAAATGGCCACAGTGTTTTATACTAAAAAAAACTGACTGGCCACAGAAGACTAGGCCAGAGTGAGATCATACTGACCTCAGGATATTAAAAGCACCAGACCATCTACAAGTCAAGGTGCAGATGGTGGTATTTGAAGGGTTGAGACCCATGTTTACTTGCAAATCAGCCCTACCTCCAAGATTCTTGATATCCCCATGGTTGAGGGGGAAGGCAGACGCAGATCTCTTACCATACCCCTATACCTGAGGCGGGGTGGAAGGAATCATTATTCCAAGTAATATGGAGATGACCTCAGGGTGAAAGAACTCTCTGTGAGTATTGACTCTCTAGTACCTAGTCATCTGTCTGCACCCCAGTTCACATCCTATGCAGTAGCTACTTTCCCCTTCCGCCTTTGGTGGCTCTCTTTGGACAGCACCATCAGTCAGCTGCCTGCCGGGCTGGCAATTCACACACACCACCACTCTGGTACAACTGGCAAATGAGTTGGAAAAGTGAGCCACCATGGACCAAAGAGGAAAGAGGAGAATATCTGACATAAGCTCAGCAGTCACACATGTCCTTGTGACTTGCAAACTGTTAAGAGGTATATACTCCTGACATCTATTTTAATCGCAGGAGCTACCTGTCTGCACTTTTGTAAATGAGTTGGAACTACAACTCCCATCAGACCTAGCTGCAGTCCAAACAACATCTGGAGGGCCACAGGTTTCCTATCTCCAGTTCAGAGGCAGCTTTTAAGGCTGCAAGTTGGACCGCGTGCATACCATACATTGAAAGCACATTTATACTACTGTAACAGTCACGGTTCCCCTCCACCGCAAGAAACCTGGGAACTGCAATTTACCTCTCACAGAGCTACAGTTCCCAGCACCTTTAATGAATTACAGTCTCCAGGATTCTCTGGGGGAAAGGCATGTGCTTTAAATGGAGGGTGTGACCTATCCTCATTTACATAGAATTATGTTCAGCTGATGTCAATGGGAGGCCTAGCCCTGTTATGTGGCAGAAGGGAACAACTGCCTCAGGTGGCAGATTTGGGGGTGCTGAATTTGCTGACCTTTACTGCCAGACTTTCTTTCTCAGGCATCAAAACACCTCAACCTTATTTGACCGACAGGAATTTCTGACATGTTTATATGTTCTTTAAGAATAAGCTTGAGGATAACAATCCATGCCTTTTTTAAAAATAACACAATTTTCTGACTTCCATGGTAACCATTCACCCACCCCCATAAAAATAAAAAAATCTGGAAATAAGGAACATACAATTTTAAGAGGCACTTAATAGAATGATTCAATAGTTTCCCTTTAATTAGGCAGTGGTTTAAAAAAAAATTCCAAAGACAATTTAGAGACAAAGAATACGTAGTTGTAGAACAGAAGTCTGTTACTGCAAACTCATTTACCAAGTGGCTGCAGATGCTACTGACCAAGCTGGTTTTCCCCAAACATTTTGTGGGTTTGTTTTTCTTTCAAAAAATAAAAAGTCTTGCAAATAATATTATTAATAATATAATTATAATAATAATGGAGAAAGAAGAAGAAGAAGAAGAAAAAAGTAAGAATATTTCTCTTTTTTAAAAGTCAAATGTTAGAAAAGGTTTGTTAAGGTAGTTTGTGAGGGGCTTCCGGAATCGTGGCTGTCCAAGTTAGAGGTCACTGATGACACTACAGTGATAGTGGGATTGGTCAGGTCTGTTAAAGTGGTCGCAGTGCCGGGTGGAGTGAGAGCGCCGCTGTCTGCTGAGGGCGGGGCCGGAAGCGACGTGCCATCAGCTTTATCAACACCCCCATTCTCCTGCCGCAAAAGGTTCCTTCTGAATTTGGCTCGTGCGTTTTGGAACCAAACCTGCAAACCAATCCCAGTTGATTTCTTTACCAATGTTTGCCTTTTGATTTTGATGGTTTTCATAGAAATCATAGAATTGTAGGGTTGGAAGGGACCCCGAGGGTCATCTAAGTCCAACCCCCTGCATTGCAGGAATCTCTCCGTTTCTCTCTCTTTCGTAGCAGCTTAATGCATTTTAAGGGGTGTTTCGGTGGCCCTTTTATAATTATTATTGGCAAATCCTCTCTTCCAGGCTTTCCACCCATCAGTTAACTCTTTTGATACCAACTTGTCTTATGGGAAATGCCTTCAGGCCCTGTATGTTGTGGGTGATCCTAGGGCATGATCACTTCAGGCACAGCACTACCGAGGCGGCTGTGGCGCCTTCGTTGCTTCGTCTGAACTGAGAGGGCAGTGCTCAGACTACATGGGGGGAGGGCCTTGATGAAATCTATAATCCACACCCACTCATCCACCCACTTTTAAGCTTAGCTAAAAGCTCAGGCCGCCTGTATCATTTTTACATCGTAAAAATGTCCCTCAAAACACACCAACACACAATACTTTCCTGCAACTGTGCATTGCAGAGAGAGTTTGATAGAGGCAGGCAAGCAACCTTTCAGAAAAGCTTGCTTGCCATTACTGACCTTCTCCCTAAGGAACCTCTGATGTGTTCCTACGAAGTCCCAGCTTCCCTGGGACACAGCTGGAAAACCACCGATCCACATCATAATTGGAGTCATTATTTTTTGGCTTAGATTTGTTCTGTTTAGAATGCTAAGCCAAAATCTATAGCTACTAATCCATGTCTTTCTCCAGGATACGGTGAAGCACTTCTGGAAACTGACCTGAGAAGTTCTGCTCAACTATTCATGCTAGAAGATCATTGCTTTGATGGGTATGTAACTTAGCTCTTTTCTCATCTCTGCTACAGTATCTGGGTTTGCTACCCCAAACACAATTCTTAGGGTGGAATTCAGTGTCACATTATGGTGATTCTCCTGTCATCCCAAGCATTCCTGCTTGCCAGATGGAACTCCCCTCTCCTCCCACCCCAAACCCCCCACAAACTGTTCTGGGGGTTCTCTAGAACTCATTGCGCGGGTTCACATTCATGCAACTATTTAGTTGAATCCAGCCCTCAGTGTTTTATCCACCAAAGTGGTCCCATCAGTGCAAGGACTTCCACCTGCACAATGGTGCTTTCCCTCCTCTCCTACCCCCCCCCCAACTCTCCCAAATTATTTCTGGGGGTCTGAAGAACCCTCAGAACAGAGGAGTGGGGTACAGGGAAGGGAATTTATTTTGTGCAAGCGGAAGTCCTTGTGCTAACTGGTTAACTTTTTTGGACACAGCCCTAAAAGTTGCATTTGGGGTGGTTAACTTACACAGACATTTTAAAACATGAAGAAGAAATGCAAAGAGAAAGAAACTATCTCCCAATAATGAACTACTTTTCTTACACTCTTTGTATTCTGTTTCACTATCAGGTGAGTTACTGCTTTTGCTCAGACACTACTTTGCATATACTTTGCTTAATTTTATTTAAATATCTTCCATTCATTGGTGGTGGTGGTGGTGGTTGATGGTTTCTACGAAGCTGGCTTACAACATACGATAAACTATGGGCAATTTAAAGGTATGATTAATTTATTTTTTACAAATGGGGGAAAGCCGCCATGAGTCTAATTATCATTCTTGCATGGTGATCATTTATTTTCACTGAGTAACTCAGTAGACAGACCTCAGATCTATCATATTCCCAAGAATAACCCAAAGTTGATCAATGGGAAACATTCCTAAGAAATGCTCAGTTTGTGGGAAAAGTCAGGTTAAAGGTGGATTTTCCCCCCTACATAATCAGCAAACCTGTGAGATTTATCTCTTGCTGGATTACACTACTATGGGCTTCAGGAGTAGCAGAGTCAAATGTTTGAATGCGCCCCAAGCAGAGTGAAAATTAGCATGTAAGGGAGAAGACCAAGCTAGCACCTCCTCCCTGACATGCTAGCTCTATATGTGGAGACAAGTTATTTTTTTCTGGAAGGACATTGCGGAAATCTATCCCCTGCCCACATTCTAAAATGGTACAATCCAGCAACAGATGTGTCACATGGGGCTGCTGATCATGCATAGCAGCCCTCCATTCTGTTTAATAGGGAGGCCCCTTAACGGACCAAAAAAAAAATGGGGAACTTCCATAATGAAAAATTACTACAGGGGGAAACAAAAGTTTGCACTCAATGGCTTGACTGGATGCCCAAGGATTGTAACTTTCATTTGCCTTCAACAAGCCTACTAGTTCTTGTTTCGGTTAAGAAGGACGCTACATGAAGGTCCTACCCTGATGAGAGCAGAAGATCTGCTCTTCTGAGGGCTGGATGCTCCTTCTGCGCTGGCAGGTGTTGGCCCTGCAGGGTAGCATCATGCTTCCCTTGAGCATTCCCTCAGTGCATTTGGATCTGAAGGTATACATGTTTAGCCCTGAACCCTCTGTATCTTTGGAGGGACACAACTCAATGAAGCCTAGCACAAGGGCGATGGAAGGCATTGAAAGTAAGGGATGTGCTATTTTGAAGTGGAGGGGGGACGTTTTGTAATGAAAGGCTCTTACCTGCAGAACTCTCTTAGTTAGGCCCGTCTTCTGGGCAAGCTGCTTGAGGTCCTTGGCATCTGGGTTGTGGTTAATAGCAAAGTAGGACTTCATGGTGCGGAGCTGGTGGTGCTTGAAAGAAGTGCGCATGCGCTTGGTCTTCTGAGATGGGGGATAAGGCTGCTGGTCTCTGTCCAGGTGGTCTGCCTCGTTCTCATTGCAACCTGTTTGGAGAAGCCACAGAAAACGCCCAAAGAGTTGGGTGGAGATCCTACATGAACATCTCAAGCAATCAGGTGTCATGGAAGGGAAGGGCCATAGCTCACTGGGAGAGCATCTGTTTTGCATGCAGAAGGTCCCAGGTTCAAGCTCTGGCACTTGCAGGTAGGGCTGGGAAAAGACCCTTGCCTGAAACTCTGGACAGCTGCTGTCAGTCAGTGTAGACAATAATGACGTACATGGGCCAATTGTCAGACTCAATATAAGGCAGCTTCCTATGTTCCTAAACCTTTTTTAGAAAATAAGGGAGAAGAGACGGCAAATATATTTCCCCTAAGTATGGGATTAGATGTTTACCAGGCCCATATAATACTGTGGTGTGTTACATTGCCTGAATGCAGTCATATTACTACCCTCTGCAAAGAGCACACCTATATGTCACACCAGATAAGGTGGTACAGTATTGGACTACCACACTTCAGACAACAGGTAAGGGGAAGTGCATTTTTGAATGCTCTTGCAGGATTAAAATAGGAATAAAGGTGGTGCCTGAATGTAATATACTAATGTATCCGAGAGAAAGATTTAATATAGCATACCCTGCAACATTTCTCCAATGAAAATAGGGACATCCTATTTATTATTATTATTATTATTATTAATACCCCACCCATCTGACTGTGTTGCCCCAGCCACTCTGGGCGGCTTCCAACATATATAAAAACAAAATGAAATGTTAAACATTAAAAAAACTTCCCTATACAGGGCTGCTTTCAGATGTCTTCTAAAGGTTGTATAGTTATTCATCTCCTTGGCTCAGGGGTCGCCTACATCCATACCCTCCAAGATTTCTCTGGTGAAAATAGGAACTTCCTAAGGAAAAGTGGGACACTCCAGGATCAAATCAGAAACCAGGACAGCTTCTGTAAATCTGTGGCTGTCTCTAGAAAATAGGGACATGTGGATGGTCTGACATAGACCTCTCCCTGATGCATTAGCTTACAATATGCAGGGAAGTGTTTTGTTTTATTCTTAACATGGGGAAGCATTAAGAAATATGACACGGCCATTTTCATTCCATGGACATAGCTAGGGGAGTGCAGGGGGGCAGCTGCCTCTCCCAAATCAAGTAAACATATAAAAATACTTAACAGAACTGACCAACTGCATCACAGATAACTCAGTTCTGCCCCCCCCCCAACATAAAGCCTGTCCCCCTAAAATAAATCCTGGCTACGCCCATGTTTCGTACCTTGCATTTAAATCACCATGATACCACTTTAAACAGTCATGGCTTCCCCCAAAGAATTCTGGGAGCTATAGACTCCTATTCCCCACACAGAACTGCAACTCACAGAGTGATTTATCAGACAGTTTCTGTTCTCAGGGAATTCTGGGAATTGCAACTCTGAGGAAACGGGTCTCCTAACAACTCTCAGCACCCTTAACAAACTACATCTCCCAGAATTCCTTGAGCGAAGTCATGGCTGTTTAAAGTGGTATCATGGTGCTTTAAATGTGTGGTGTGATAGTGGCCAGGGAGAGAGAGAGGCTCCACCAGCAAAATGCTGAGACAGAAGTGGTACAGTCCACAATTCTCCCATTTCATTTCACATTAAACCCCAGAATAGTAAGCGAAATCACTTGTGGGTGCAGGGGGAGAAGTGCTGTTTAGGCAGAAGTGCCAAAGGGTCCACCTTGGCCTTTTCCTGTTTTAAACCTTTATTATGTTCACTGCTTCCACATCTGTTAAGGGAGCTGGTGTTTTGAGAACAAGCCTGCCAGGTTTCACTCCTTTTGCATTATTATTTAAGGGAAGCCTCTTCCCCGGGGGCAAGGAAGAGCTTTGCAGCGTGTTCCCAAGGAATTGTTTAAAATCTCGCTCAACATTTTGAACAGCAAAAGGGAGGAAAAATTCACTCACAGAAATCGGCCAACTGTGGCAAGAACTGAACGCTGCACAGCCCTCTCATGTGCCGCTGACATCCTGAGACCCACTTCTCTACCTGGCACAGGAGGGGGCAATTTGCACCAGAGAAGGAGGAGGCAGTTAACCTCCCCACAACCACCACCGCTCCCCAGAAGTTTGCCCAACATTTCTCTGATTAAAATAGGGATGTCCTATTCAAATAATAATAATAAATAAATAAATATAATAATAATAATAATAATAATAATAATAATAATAATAATAATAATAATAATAGGGTTACTCCAGCACCAGCACAGAGCCTTAAACATGACCTCTGCCCTGTCTCTCCCTTTAGTTCTCTTAAATTCTCCTCCCCTTGGCCTCAGAAATGAAGGAGGTGTCAACAAGCACCCAGTTTCTCCTCTTCCATGCATGAGACTCTTAATCTCATGGCTGTGAGTTTGAGCTCCACGTTGGGCAAAGGATTCCCACATTGCAGGGGTTTAGACTAGATGATCCTCGTGGTCCCTTCCAACTGTGATTCTATGATTCCTTGCCTCCCAGAACTAGAGCAAAAGCCCGGACTGTATCTTCCTCCCACCTGCACCTGCCATACGTAGGACTACAAGCATTGCAATCTGACAAGCATTCCCTGGATGGATGCTTACACAAGAGCTTTTGCACTGCAACTCTGATAATGCATCTTGCTTGTCTGAGTGGAGGACAGAGGAGCTGTACATGAGGGGAGCACGCACAGAAACCTGTGATTTGCGTGCGGCTGGAATGTAGCCCTGCCAGTGTTGCACCCATTGCTCGGCCCACGTTTGCCTTTGGCTGCACGCCCGCTGGCATGTGCCTCCTCTCAAATGTGGCAGATGAGGGAATGTGACCTTCAGGAAGGGTTCCCCATCCATCCCTCACACACACAAACATTACCAGCAAGTTTGAGCAGCAGCTTCAAGAAACTGGCATGTAGACTCCCACATCCTGGGATAGTTAGTTGGTACAACGTGAGACTCTTAATCTCAGCATTGTGGGTTCAAAAGATTCCTGCATTGCATGGGCTTGGACTAGATGACCCTTGTGGCCAACTCTACAATTCTATGTCTTTAGGATTAAAAATGTGGTTGGTCGGTTTCGTGTACACGCGATGAGCTGTGACTCCCGGCATGTGTGCATTCTAAGTAAAACAGCCTGCATCTCAGATTACCATGCAAGTTGCATCCTAAACCTATACTGACATGGTGGCAAGAGGAATTCTGCACTGTGTAATGATGCTGTATACCAGGCCTGTGCAAATTACAAGCCTGGATATCAAGTGCAGACTGGCTGCCATTAAGGGCAGCCTATCAGGAGCTGGGCACATCTTTTTGTTTCACTGCCTTCCAGAGATTTTTTTTGGGGAGAGACCAGTAATCTTACTCAGTTTGACAGATCCCAGTTCTGTAAGCCTGGCCTACATGCATACTAAACCAGGTCAGATTATGAAGTGATGAAGAGTTGTTTTGTATAGTATAGGATTCTAGGGTGGAATTAACCCTGTAAGCAATTCACACACAGCTGTGGCATTGAAAGTCCTGTGTGGGGTAAGAAACAGACATGAGTTGTTGGCTCATGCCTGCCACCACAACACTTAGGAAACTAGATCACACCAAGTCAGATCATTAGCACAGTATTACCTACACCAACGGAGGAAAGGTTATTCAGGGTTTCAGGCATAAGAGTCTTTCCCAAGGCTGGTTCATACGCAACCACAGTATGTAGCACCTGCACAGAAGTAACCTTCTGATTGGTGGCTCCTCCCTGCCACATATGGAACACAAATGTGTGCCACAAGGTCCACATATACCCACAAGCCTCATTCACCCTTGCCCATCCCTTGCCCGTCCTTTTCCCGACAGCAATTGGCCTGATGGGTCAATCCTACACACACACATGCATGGATTCTCTCTCACTGTATGCTCTCATGCACCCATCCCTGATAGTCTAGTGCAGAGCTTTCCAAACTGTGTGTCGCGACACGTTAGTGTGTCGGCTGCAGTGTGTAAGTGTGTCGCGCGAACATTCCCCATGCTCCTCCCGGGGCTGGAAAGGGGTTAGTTTAACCTCCGGTTTGCTAGCAAAACTGAATTCCCATGTCGCGAAATGATGCATGTCTAAAAAGTGTGTCACCAACATGAAAAGTTTGTACAGCTCTGTCTATTGCCTAGGATTAGTCACTTTCGCAGCTATGACTCACTCTTTGAGGAAGGGGTGGAACTCCATGGCAGCGTATGTGATTTGCGTAAGAAACATCTCCAGGGCTGGAATGGGGAATGGGTGCTCCTCATGCATGCACCTTTATTTCCTTTTTTGCAAGGTCCACGCAAAATTATTGTCATTAAAAATTACCAGCCTGTTTTTTCTTCTTCTCATTTTAATCCAGATTTACACTTCCCAAGGGAAACTTGCAATATCTCAGCAATCCATTTACAGTATTAAGTCCCCATCTCAAAGCACCTACAGTTTGGATTCACAAATGAATAGGTGGTAGTACTAGAGAAAAAGTCCAGTGTGGAAGCTCCTGCTTCAGTTTCCAGCACTGATAAAACAGGAAGAAGAATAACCAGTGTCACAGGAAGCTCCTTCACACTTCCTCTTGTTCTGCTGCTTTCCCCGGGAAGCCCACTCCTTACTGATGAATTGGAGCAAACGCCAATAGTGTTTCCCACAGGTTGACGTTGGCTCTGATTCAGCGGCAAAGAGCAGGCTTCCCCAGGAATAGCAGCAGGGGGAACAGAAAACCGTTCAGCTTTCTAGGCATGGGACAAGCAAAGTGGATGAACTCAGGGCGTCTGAGAAATTTGGTTGTGCACTAACAGCACAAATCTGTGCATGCATACCCAGACGTAGGCTCAACTGAGTTCGGTGAGACTTAACTCCTGGGTAAGTGTGCATGAACTGCAGCCCCAAACTGATACATATATTAATTAGAAACCATGGAAAAACTGACTGCAAAGAGATAGCATTGTCAACTTTAATGTAACATAATGGTTCTTAAACTTTGTACTGGGGATCACTATATTCCAGCTTGCTTTCTCTCTGTGAACCACCTTCTGTGTGAAGGTGCAACAAAGGTCAGCTTTCCTCAGTTGCTTACAGCTACCAAACCTGATTCTGCCCACTTGGTTCCTTTTCTTAAACATCCTTCAGATATATATATATATATATATATATATATATATATAAACTTTCCCACTATACTGCTGAAGAAGCAAACAGTTTCAAGTTTAGATTTTTACAATTAAAAAAATGCCTTGCCTCTTCATGTAGTGAAAGCTTCTTTAAAAGCTCTGGCTCTTCTGTATTTTCTTTAACAATTTTTTCCTGGTCTCAGGGATTATTTGAATGCATGGGGCACTTGAGCCAGCCTTTCACAGTGGCGCTGAGAAAATCAGCTTTAAAATGCTGCAGGTTATTTTTTTTTCCTTTTGGAAGGAGAGGGTAAATGCAGATGTGAGATGCTTTTGCCTCTTTTTAATATATAAACTGTAAAATCTAAGTCTCCATGGACTGATGTAATGTGCAGAGTATAATGTATGCTTTTCCAGCTTTTTCTCAGGGGTTGGGGGTTGGCTTAAGCTTTGTGAATAAATCCAGCCAACTGTTGGGAAGCAGTCCAAGGTGTCTCTCTGTGTGCAAATCAGATGATACACACACACTCACACATGCTTTAAACATGGACTAATTAAATTCCTTTAGAGCCAATCATTTCAATTAAACTTAATTCGCATTGTTTGCTCTGTGACATAAGCAGGACCATTGAAGTCTCTCTAGCTGTTCCCACATTGAACAGATCCTGAAAAGTGATCTAATTTTTCATGCTAAATAGTTAAAACAAATCTGCTTCCCCCACTCCTTCCTAAATGCATTGCATGATATCAAGTCCTGTTGATCTCTACAGGGAATCTTTCCACATAATAGGATCAGGGTGTTAGAAGACGGCTAATTTTGTAGGTTACCAGCTCGTTTTATTCATTTTTTAGCGGTGCAAGATAAGCTAAAATGTCTGTAGCAACTAAAGACCCATGAAACAATGGACTGCGATAGACTGTTTTTCCCAAAGACCTAACCCTTTTGAGAATATTGTTTTAGGTTTCATGATGCAGTGGCTGGTTTTGTACAGAATGAAAATCGACTATCCGTTCTAAACCAGTTCCTCTCATTTCTCCAGATGGTTGTGTGACTTATTCTTAGCATGTTTGGGGCTTTCCATAGACAAAATAGTTGAGGTCAGAGCTAATGTGACACTATCGCCCCACTTAATTTGTTTGTAGAGTTCCAGTCATGCTCAGTCAGTAGAGCATGAGACTCTTAATCTCAGGATTGTGTGACCAAGCCCCACATTGCGCAGAAGAATCCTGTGTTGCAGGGGGTTGGACTAGATGACCCCTGTGGTCCCTTCTAACTCTACAATTCTATGATTCTATGAAAAGGAGTATAATCTCAACCCATTTCTACTACCTGTCTGTCCCTTCCTCTATGTTGCACATCCTAGAGATGAAACTAGAGCATTTCTCTCTACAGATTCACCAAGGGATGAGGAATACATTTTAAAAAAACACTATTTTCAGTTCAGATGTTTCAAGTGTAGGTTGCTGAAAATATTTCATTTTAATTTGATGAGCTGTAAGACACCTTGGGAATCATATGGTCAAATGGCAGCGTAAAAATATTGCAAATACTATGGACTAATCTCCTGCCAACCTAACAGTTCGAAAGCACGTAAAAATGCAAGTAGATAAATAGGTACCGCGTCGGCGGGAAGGTAAACGGTGTTTCCGTGCACTGCTCTGGTTCGCCAGAAGCGGCTCAGTCATGCTGGCCACATGACCAGGAAGCTGTACGCTGGCTCCCTCGGCCAATAAAGCGAGATGAGCGCTGCAACCCCAGAGTCGTTCGCGACTGGACCTAATGGTCAGGGGTCCCTTTACCTTTACTATGGACTAATAGCAAACTCATTGGATAGCCAAAAGGGCACCCTCCATTCTCAAGACAAGAGGGTGGTTATCAGCAGACTCAAGAAAAAACCCCAGGTTTCAGAAGTACAACATTGTTTTTGAAAAGACACTTGGGGGAGTAGGTGGGGGGAACAGCCCAGTGCAGACTCAGTATGCTCATTGCCCATGGATTGCTGCTTGAATGTTGGAGGGGAGAATAGAAAACCAGGAGTATTGGCAGGGATGGGAAAAATCTGCCCATTTCAGCTCCTCTCCATTTCTTATACTTCCACTCAGTTTTCTGCATTTCCATGTTGGTTTCCAGGGGCGGTGGGCAGGCAAGAATGGTTTAAGTCTTCACAAAAAATTAAAAAGAACCTAGCTGGCTACAAGGGCTCTTATCCTGCTTGGTTCTCTTGCCTGCTGTGTTTCCAAGACAGGACTGTGGCTGATGCCAGGTTAGAGCTCCCTCTTGCACAGGCACACCCTGAGTTGGCTGCTTGGTGGATGCCTTTCATTCGAAAGCATCTCTGATTGGCACTGAATGGGCCAGATTAAGCATCCGCAATGGCACTGTCTGGAACGGAGAAGCCTTTTGTATTATTTGGGAGCAAGTTCCCTTCCGGGAATCCTGTTTCCAGATTGTTCCTATCCAAATCCCACCGCTTAGAAGATGGCATCTGTTCTCTTCCCAAGACAGGCAGAGGCAGTGGTCTCCCCTACCTACCCCTTTCTTTGGAGGCAACACTACTTTAAATAGAGATGCCCTGGCCAGGAGAAGAAATGGAATACCTTCTGTACCAGAGAAGGACTTGCAGGGGGTTGGATTCGATGACCCTTTGGGTCCCTTCGAACTCTAGAGTTCCCTTATTCTAACCCAGGAGCTTTCTCCTCTCCAGAGAAGCAGCAATAGCAGAACTGTGATGAGAAGGCACAGCACCAGGTTGCATGTTCTGCAAGTAGGCTAGGGATGCCTGCGGCCTTCTGTTGTTGGACTCAAACTCACATTTTCATCATCGTCACCAGCATCCCTCACTGGGGCTAAAGGAAGTTGGAGTCCCAAACATCTGGAGGGCACCAGGTTGAGGAAAGTTGGCCTTCACCCTATTGGTTCCCTTCCAAAACTATTTTAAGAACAACACCTTGTCCTCCGTATATTTCCTTTTCAGCCTAGAAGAGCAGAGCATTTGGTAAAGGGATCACGGGTTCAAATTCAGAGCTAGAGACATTCACATATCTTTTGAAATCCCAATGTGGCAGGCAAGGAGGCTCTGACATGCATCTCCCCCTCCTGCTTGCTGTGTGGCACACCTGGAAGTCTGTGAAGGGGGAAGAAAACAAGGCTGGGTAGGGAATGGGCAAGAAAAGAAGCTGTGGCCAACCAGAAGAGTTGACCAATAGGAACATTGGGAAGCTGCCTTCTACCGTGTCAAAGCACTGATCCATCCAGCTCAGTATTGCCTACACTGACTGGCCGCAGCTCTCCTGGGTTTCCAATTGGCAACATTCCCAGTCCTACCTGGAATTGCTATTGGGGGTTGAACCTGGAACCTTCTGGCTCCAAAGCAGAGGCTCTGCCACTGAGCTATGGATGTTCTCTAGATTTAAATCTGGCACCCCAAGTTCTAGCGCCAATCCATCAATATCCAGCCATGTGTCCCCTGCAGGCTCAAGCAACCTGCTCTTTTTCCTCCTGCGCAGGACTGCAAGGACAGAGGAGATGTCGAACCACATGATGCAGCTGGTGTGCTGCATTTGATTGAGGAGGGCCACATATTGAGCCAGCCTCCCCTAGAATATGAGAAAACAAGGTGCCGTTCTCCCGCTTCCCCATCTACAAAACATTCTGTAATTCTACAAACAGAAATGTCATGCATTTGCTTTCTTGAAGTCCTGTAGGCAGGGATGAGGGACCTGTCCCAGATCCTTCTAGACTCCATCTCCCACCATCCAGAGCCAGGAAGTCTGCCAGTCATGGATGATGAGATCTGAAGTCCAACAACATCTGGAGGACCACAGGTTCTTTGGCCTGTAACATTTGTAACAAACAGCCTGTTGATCATGGGTTAGGGAGGTCTCTCTGCCACACCACATATTCCACTGCCATCTTTTGCTACTTTGCATCAGGATTAGACGCTTGATACCAGCTCAGACTGTTTGTATATCTAGACCACTAATGTCTACTCTTACGGACATTGGCTCTATAGTCTTAGGCAGATCCCTGCAACTTTTGTCCCGCCTAATGAAGATGTAGTGGTTCCACCTGAGACCTTCTGCAGGTCACTTAACTATAGTCTCTCTCTCAAGTTCTTCTGCAGCTTTTGGTGCCATATATTCTTTTGGCAGAGGGACGTGGGTAGCGTTGTGGGTTAAACCACAGAGCCTAGGACTTGCCGATCAGAAGGTCGGCAGTTCGAATCCCCGCGACGGGGTGAGCTCCCGTTGCTCAGTCCCTGCTCCTGCCAACCTAGCAGTTCAAAAGCACATCAAAGTGCAAGTAGATAAATAGGTACCGCTCTGGTGGGAAGGTAAACGGCGTTTCCGTGCGCTGCTCCAGTTCACCAGAAGCGGCTTAGTCATGCTGGCCACATGACCTGGAAGCTGTACACCAGCTCCCTCGGCCAATAAAGCGAGATGAGCGCCGCAACCCCAGAGTCGGCCACGACTGGACCTAATGGTCAGGGGTCCCTTTACCTTTTTTTTTTTTTGGCATTTGCACAATCTTCTCAGGTTTCAGCTACGAAGTTACTGCACTCTCAATTAAAAGGAGACTTCTAAAGCAATGCCTTTGTAACACCTTGTCAGGAAAAGGAAATTGCCTGGACTTTGGAGAAATTCTGATAGGCACTTGCCTTTGTGATATTTGTCAGCTCTGGACAATATATTGTCACAAATAGTCTCCAAGTAAAAACACTACATATAATACACATCACATAATATGGCAAAGGCCTTAAATTTATGCTTAAGGTTCCCACAACATGCCCCCCACTTGCTATATCACAGAAATAACTAACATTGACTGCACAAGTGTACAATAAAATATTACTATAGTGCAAGATCACAATCTATTGCAGAGTTAAGCCTAGCTGAATGCATTGATTTTTGCAGGCAGAGTATGACAAAGAAGGCAGAGTGACTTTCTCCTTGCCCCTGAAGACGTTCACTATTCAATTTAAGTTTCCTACTGACCACGCACACTAGAGGAGTGGGGGGTTGGCCAGACCTGCTCTTGTGCCTTTAACAGCTGTTATAAGCTGCAAAAATCAGCAGCTGGAGCCTTTTTGTAGAATGGAGATCAGCAGCATCATTTGCTATGTTTGCCGTTGAAGCTATGGTTGATGTCAAAAGCAAAGGGGCTGGCAGAAAAGTTGGCAATCCTTCCTTGCTATAGAATTTGAACTCTGCCTTGCACAACAGAGACTGGCACCGCAGGGAGCAATTTAAAGTCACCTCCGTGTAATATGTTTTTCATTCATCCCAACCCTTCCTTGGAAGCACAAGGTGGACATAATCTGAGGCTGCTGTCCTAAGCAGACACATTCTCTGAGCAAAGCATTTAGGATCAAACTTCATGAAACTATATAGGACTTACCCACACTTCCTCTTGTCCTGCTGCTTCCCCCCACCCTGGGGAAACCACTCTTTAGCACTTAATCAGAGCCCCTCAACCGTGTCCCCTCCCATTGCCATTTGTTCTGACCTATCGCTAAGAAGCAGATTTCCCCTTCGGAAAGGAGCTGGTCAAGAGGAAAACCACTCTGACCCGTGCTTTCCAGGCATGGCACAAGAGGAAGTATGGACGAGCCCATAGTCCTGCCTTCACACGTGTGCGTGCACACACTTCCCTCCCCCTCATAATTATAATATTTTGCTCCTCGGATCAACGTGTTGCATTCCTTTTTTAAAAAGAAAAGGTTGGGATGACAGCAGTATGAGTTTATTAAATCCAGGTATCATGATGAGTAGAATCTTTTCCAGTTTTGTTGAATGGCTTTCAACTTCCCCCTCCCTATATTAAATCTATTTTAAACCACTTGGTATCCCTTTTTAGAACAAACCAGCTCACTTGGACTGCGGTCCTAAAAAATTATATTCAGGAGTCTACAATCCTATACACATTTCCGTACATTCATGCAGGCATGCCTGCAAACTGGACTGCAGGTCCTCTTTTCACATACCTTTTTAAAAAGGTCCTCTTTTTAAAAAACATAGAACTAAAGCAGAAAATGGAGAAAACCCTAATTTAAAAATAACTCCATCTACAATGTTTGCCACCTGATTGCGTGTGTGTTTACTCAGAATTAAGGCCCACAAGTGAGACCTGCAACAAATTATTGCAGTGCAGAGTGTTACTATTCAGGCTTCCAATCCGGCTTTATTTCGGGACACTCCATTTTGTTCCCTCCCCCCCCCCCCAGTAGCTCAGCACTGCTGAGCATTATCATAATGTGCTGGTCTACACTTGCACACTTAGGGTTCCCCCCACCCAAAAACCTTTGTTCTACTTTTACAAACATTAGGATTCTCTCAAGCATGCTGATAACTTCCCTCTCATGTGTGGCTGTGGCTGTTTTTGACTACGAAATAGCCTGCACTTAGAGAATGAGCTCAGTATTAACATGGAGGGTTGAGCCCAGTGAATATGACCTCCAAAGCTGCTCAGATCAGGACAATAAAATGGGGTGGGCTAGAGTTTGCTCTGTTATTCTCTGTTTTCCCCCCAGATGTGAAAGCCATTGGTGAACAAAGGCCAGGTGAGACAGACCTGTTATTGTCCTGCAGAGGTGACATCAGCAGGTGTGGCTTTTGCATGACAAGCTATCCCACTGGAATCCCCTCTTCCATACAACTATTAAAGGTTCAGGAATCCTGGCATCTTTGGCATCAACCCGCCTTACTTAAAGCCTTTTCAGCCTCCTGCAATTCCCTACCTAGGAAAAATCAACCAAGCTGCTACTTCCTTACTTGATTCCTCCCAAAACCAGGTGAAAACATTCATAAACAATCAGCTTTGCTGTTCATTTTTTAGCTGGCATGTTAATTGTTTTAACTTACATATTATATGGTGTGCGCGCCATATTTAACTAAGATGACTAGATGAAATAGAAACCTTTTTTTCTGTCTTTGTAGCAGAAGGAATTTCAGTAGGTGCAGCCTGTCAATCAAGATGCACCAATGGGAATTACTTCTGCCCCACAACCATCAAAGGGGTAGGAGCCCAGTTTCCTTTTTCATCTAGCCACCCTACTTTGAAAACTTATTTTCATGAGAAAAGAGATCAGCTACGCGAACCTAAGCCATACCTACCCAGAAATTAAATCATATTGGCTTCAATGGGGCTTACTTCCAGGTAAGCAGATCTGCAGGCTAATAGTTTTGTTAGCATGATGAATAAGTGATCACAGGGCTGCAGCTATGCAGCCCGATATGTTAGATGAGAGCTTGTCTGAGTTCAATGGGATTTACTCCCAGCCAAGTAGGCATGCTTACACAGGACTGTAATACCCCAACCATGTTTTCACATGTGATGCTTTCATACAAGGAAGCACCCTAGAGCTATTCTTGTGCTTGTTACTCATAGTTTGCATACGAAGGCTGTTTGTGTGGAATTAAAAGCAGAAAAAGGACCCTTTTTAAAACCCCAATGGATATTCTAGCTGTAGGTTAGGCTTTATCCCTGTGACTTCATATTTATGTACGGATTATAGTCACATCATGTAGGATTGGCAGCTTTTAAATCCGGCTGCCCCTTTACAACAAAAATTTGATATGTGGCAAGTAAAAATATTTTTTCTCCACACCTTAAGCAGTTTCACATCAATCCGCGGTTTAAAAGACACATGAACAGACCACTGCACTTGACAAACCTCACGTCATGGGTGGAAATGCTCTTGGAACCTGAACCATCATGCAAGTTGATGCTGTATAAAAACAGCACTCCAGCTCACAGGCTCTAGGCCAGGGAGATCTCTTATTCACAAAGCAGCCAGGTGGTAAATCATGACATCTAGATGGGGAACTAACAAAACATGGCAGAAGTGTTGTCAGGGAATTATAGGCACCGTTCCCAAAGATTGTAGGAAAGTGTACCATCTCAAATGGGACAGAGCCTTTTGCTAGCTTTTCCCTCTGCCTCCTCAACTCACACTTCTCTTCTTTAAAAATAAATAATTCAAATATTCACATCCTAAAGGAGTGCCTCAGGAAGGATATTGGTTGTTGTCCTTGTTATATCATAAAAATGTTCTTTAAAAAAAAAATTCACATCCTAGAACCAGAGGTAACCAGTGACGTAGCGTGGGTTGTCAGCACCCGGGGCAAGGCAAGTAATTTGCGCCCCCTAACCCGGTAGGGGCAGAGAGCTGCGAGTGCGAGCGCGCGCCCCCAGATGTTGCGCCCGGTGCGGCCAGGCCCCCCTGCACCCCCCACGCTACGCCACTGGAGGTAACACAGCTGCCACTGAGAATTGGATAAAATGAACTAGTGGGCCAGAGTTATTGGTCTGATCTAGAGAGAACTTTTACGAATGTACATTTTAAAACTGGATCTGAATCAAGCCACATTTCCTAGGAAAGGAACAGTTGGCATCTAGCTCATTAAGGGAAACAGAACTTTCTCCGATTATTTTATAATTGACCTGGGTAGGTCACTTTGCCTCACCACTATAGTTGAGAGTGGAGGGTGGGCAGCATACCTGGCAAAAATCCTCCTTCTACACAACACATGAAAAGCACGCAAACCCCTCAAAGTCTGAACACACACAACAGCCTCAAATCCAGTCAGTTTCTTAATGTTGCTCTGAATATAAGGCAGCTTGGCAAACAAGAGAAAGTTGGCCTATTAAAATATGCCATCTTTTCTTCGCTGTCTCTCACATTTAAGGCCAATGCAGCAGCAACAGACAGCTCCTACACACACACACACACACACACACACACACACAAAACCCTACGTTTTTTAAAATAAATATTCTGCCTCCTCTCTCTGAGAAAGGCTTCTCCCTGCAGAAGCCACCAGAGGTCACTGCTACATTCTTTTGACAAATCCCAGTATGTTGGGAGTTAGAATTTCGGAGGAGACAGCAATCTTTTTATTGGTGGAAAATGTTACTACTTCTGTTTTAGCTACAACACCCGAAAGGGGTGGGGGAGTCGAGGTCAACGGCGACATAATTTCTGCTCAGCAAGGCCTTTTAAAAATAATAATAATAATAATAAAGAAATAAGCCAATCCCAGTCTGCCTTTCAGTTATCTCCTTTCTGTTCTGTTCTGTTAAACCCCTTAATCCATCATGCAGGGAGCCATTGATCACGGGAAGAAGAGGGTTTAGGCTGTTATTGCCATGTGAAAGGATTTGGTGCCCTAGATCTGAATATTTCTGAACCTATCCTGCACAAGTTTCACTCAAAAGGAACGTGTTCAGTGAGGGCTGATCCACAACCGTCCGTTGGGACGTAGCCATAAAGGCGGTGGTTCAATTATACAATATCATAACATTACAGTGGTACCTTGGGTTAAGTACTTAATTCGTTCCGGAGGTCCGTTCTTAACCTGAAACTGTTCTTAACCTGAAGCACCACTTTAGCTAATGGGGCCTCCTGCTGCCACTGCGCCGCTGCTGCACGATTTCTGTTCTCATCCTGAAGCAAAGTTCTTAACCCGAGGTAATATTTCTGGGTTAGCGGAGTCTGTAACCTGAAGCATATGTAACCTGAAGCGTATGTAACCCGAGGTACCACTGTAATTGTCATGCCATTTTCACACGCTGCATATATATCAACCCAAAATGCAAAGGTGAATTGGGGAGGACAGGAATCTGAAAACAAGCATGACAAGAGCCCATCTGGACCATGTGAAGGAATCAGCTCCTTGACCTGAAGTGCCAAAGGGCACATTCAAAGTAATGGAAAGGCTGGACACAGACCTAGAACTAAGTCTAACTCAACATCCATAGCATCAGGCTGTGGCCTGATATGTGCTTCTTCAATTGGGAAGAAGTCCTGCTGAACTCAGTAGGCTTTTCCGAGTAAACAGGTCAAAGATTAGGCTGCAAGAATGCCTCTTGGCTTACATTGTGCCACTTATCAACATTATTAATTCAAGAGGAGAGAAAGCAGAACAGAAAGCCATTTGGAAAATCAAATGTACATCATAGCCAGTGGTCAATGTTGTGGTTTTGCTTGAAAACTGCAAAGGCAGCACAGGTGATTAATAAAATGTGCCGTATGTTTTGAAAGTGGTCCAGGATAACAAAGCACCCTAACATTGCTGCCCGACAGGTGGGCTTTGCCCATGAACAGGAGATCTTCCCACTGCAGGAGGGAACCTTCAAACTAGGAGAGGCCCCTCATCCCAGTAATTAGCCAAATGATAACATAATATGGGAAACTGGACCACATGTGCATTGCAGTCAGCTTGTAGTTCTAAGTAACAATGCAAACCTATGCACATTTTCCAAAAAGCATGTCCTGTTTTATTCAGTGTGACTCCAGCTGCAGTCATACACACAACTGGGAACAAGTTTTATAGAGCTCGGTGGAACTTCCTTCCAGGGTTTCGCCATTACACCCAAAGATGCATACACAGAATTCCACCTGGATCTTGCAATTTTACCTGGGAGCTTACATCACTAGGAATTAGAGATCAGGGATGCATTTGGGATGGGTGGAAATCCAAAGTGGCCCATTACAGGCAAGTAGATGGTTCTCTCTCTCTCTCTCTCTCTCTCTCTCTCACACACACACACACACACACACACTCCCCTAACAGCACATTGGAACCTCATTTCCCCTATTTGTGTGTCCTTTAGAATCTTGTTAATGGGGAACAGAAAGCAGAAGGTAGCTGTTTCTAAACATGGTACCTACTTTGGTCAGATTTACCTTTGCATTATAGGTGTGGGGAAAATGAGAGGTAGCATTGTGCAAAGATGACCTAGGTGCCAATCCTGTACCCATTTACCTGGGAGTAGGCTCTACTGAACTCAATGAGACTTACTTCTGGGTAGGCATGCATAGGACTGTGCTGCTAAGTGGCTTATCTGACTTGCGATTTCATAGGCAGTACCTTCACATCTAATGAAGTAGGCTGTTGCCAGGTTCTTTCCTCCAGCTAAATCAGGTATGGGGAATCTTTAGCTCTCCAAATATTACTGGACTACACCTCCTGTCATTCCTGGCCATTAGGCATGCTTGCTAGGGCTGATGGGAATTGTAGTTCATTAACATGGGGGGGACGACACAAAGCTTCTCCACACCTATGCTAAATAAACCAGTTCCTCTATTATTACAGGCCTAGTGAAGACAACAACAAAACTAAGGGAGAGCCTTGACTCTCTGAATGCACTCTTGCGATTCTTACTTCCTAGTAACTCTGATCAGAAACAGAGTAGAAAGCTGAGATTTAGCTTATCATTTCTGTATGATTGGAGCACTTGCTTATTTATACATCCTGAAATAAGAAAGTGCTCTGTATTCATTTTGCACGCGATCTAACCAACGTTAAGCACTTAAAAAAAGAGAAAACATTCATATATTTGGGCAAAGATGTAAGCAGGTGCTTCATTCTCCTGTTGAAAACCATGGGACCTTCAGACCACAATCCTGTCTGTAATTAATGTAAACGGCCCTTATTTCTGCAGATATCATGTGTGTTCACGATTAAGGTTTAATTCTCTGAAATTAACTCAGTAACATTCTAGGCTAGTCCCTTCTGCCTCCCTTTGGAGACACAGATCTGCTCTGCAATAAATAGCACAAAGAGGCAGGTTGTCTAATTTGAGGACAACCCACTCCAGTGGTTTGGGGTTTTGCCTTTCACTTTTCCAGCCAAATTAGAGTAAGCATCAAAAGATGAACAACGCCAACTTGACTCCTCTTTCCTCCACCCCCTCCCTATCCAGTTTATTATATTTAACCGGTTGTGGACATGATCCACAGGGAAATTCTCCTACACACGACATCCAAACGAATGCGGGCCGATTTTCATTTGGGGAGAAGTTGGAAGCCCTTAAACTAGCGCACGCCGTCTTGGTATAGTCTTTTCCATCTGTCTGCTCTGCCTCTCGCTCTCTATCTCCAAACTAACATGACTTTCCAGAAAACACTGAACACTTTTTCTTTTGTCTCCTTCTGGAAAAAAAAGTGCTCTGTTTTAAGAGCGATTTTCTAGGGAGGGTTGCTTTGTTCCTTGAAAAAGGAGGGAGAGAGAGAGAGAGAGAGAGAGAGAGAGAGAGAGAGAGACGCTCTGAAGCGAAAAGGAATGATCGCAACGAATCCGATGCTCCCAAGCCTTTAACGAAAGTTGCCCAAGGCAGGAACTTAAGCCTTCACTGAAATCAACTATTTTCAAACAACAGGGGGTCGTGATTCTGGTGTGGGAGGAAAATGGTACAATCCAACCTGGTCGAATCACTTTGATGGCTTCTGAAGTCCTACGTACTTTTTTACATGAGAGTAATATATGATTCTTTTTTCTGAATAGACGCGCATAGGATTGCGCTGTTCGGCAGCGGATTTACTCGGAAGGAAAATGTCACTGTGTTCTACTGGAAAGTAGACCCAGGCACAAGATTGCAACGGAAAGCTCCTCCGTACTGGGGCTTTAAAAAAATGTTTCCATTTCTGCTGGATCGTGGCCCACTCCTGTTCAAAAGATAGCTAGGATTCTCTGTCTGGCAAATATGTTTTGGGGTCGTTCGGAGCTGGGCAGTTGCAGGATTTTTTTTTTTCCCGAGCGGGCAAAGTAAAACCTTGAAATTAAGGAGCAGTCTACGTTTTCAGTGGGAAGACCCGTACCGTTTGCCTCCTGTCTCCGGTTCTACAAATGCAATAAACTTAATAATTTTTCAGAGTAAAAGCTAGAAAATGGAGGGTTGAGGGATATGGTTTAAGGTGAGGGGCAACAGGATTGCAGCCCAACCCCACGATTTCTGCCCGTTCCAAGATTGTGTGCATGCATTGTTTGAAATCTATATTCCATATATTGGCTGGAGTTCTGTTAGTTTGGGGTGGGATGAATACGCATAACGCTCTGAAAGCAATCCCAGTGCCTTGCCCAGCCCCCCAGCCCTTCCTTCAGTCCCCCCCCCCTCCTTCTGCCCAGCCCCCTTGGAGAGGAGAGGCGCCTCAGCGCGCGCTCTCGCTTCGCCTTCCTACATCTCGCCTAGCCTAGAAGCGGCTCCGCTGCCAGAGATTCCAGTGTCATCTCCAATTAACAGCCAACAATTAAAACTCGGCTTCCTCCTCTTCTAGCTCCCCCCTCCCTCCGCATCAGAGGACACGAAATTGCCTCGCTCTTCCTTGCCAAAGGTGGGGGGGGGCGAGGAAAGAAGGAGAGGCTTCGTGCCTCCAGCTAGCGCGGGAGAGTGAAATCCGGAGCAAGGCGCTTTCCAGTAGACAAGCAAGCAAAACTCGCTTAGCGCGGATTGGAGCAGGAGCGCACTGGCACAGCATCTGTCTGCTTTGCAGGCAGGAGGTCCCGGGTTCAGGCCTCGGCATCTCCAGGCAGGGCTGGGAATGCCCTCCATCTGAAGCCCTGGGGGAGCAGCTGCCAGTCTTAGTGGACAATAGATGGCAGAATGAGGCAGATTCCCATGTTCGTTAGGAGAGCGGAGCGCATCATTTCAGGTTAATCCGTATTGCAAAACAGAAACCCCGGGCCCTGACTTTGTTTTCCCTGAGAATGGTCCAGATTCAACAGGGTCAACTCTCCCCCACCCACCCAATTTCAAATTTTTTTCTATGAGCTCAGATTCTCTCAAACATACATCCAGCTCTGTGTTTAGCTTTAGTTGCGCGCATTCACCATCCAGCCAGGGACAAAGCAACGCGGAGCGCCTCTATTCGAGCAAACCACAAATTTCATGCTCAGGGACCTCCTCCGAGGGGGCGATTTCACGGCTAAATTGGAGGTCGCGGCACAGTCTGCGGGGGCTTGCGCTCCCTTTTACGCATCCGACGGGCAGCCGTCTAGGTTTCGAATTGAGGCCAATATATCCTGAAACCTGGAAGGACTCTAGGCTCTTAGAAAGGGGACTAGACCCGGCAGAAAATGGGGTTGGGCTGTGCGTCCTGATGATGGTCACACTATCACCAGAAAATAATTCTCACTTGCGTTTCAGGCGGATTGCGAGGGTTGTTTCCCTCCCAAACAACACCCAGTAATATGATATGGCTGATATTTCAGCAAGTATAATTGATCGGGCCGCCTAATTCTCAGCCAGCCATGAGAAGGGAAATGGCTGAGAAATGGACTTTTCGTTGCTGTAGCCTAGTGCGTAAATTTACGCGCGTCTTCTCCTGGGTCGGTCCCGTTGAGTTCAGCGAGGCGCGCCATGCGCATTTAGCCGAGAGTAAAGCCCGTTTAACACTGGTGAACCTGCTTCTGAACAGAGATTCAGAGGATCCCGTCGTAAGAAACATATCCGATTCCCCAGCCCCGATCTCTCCTCTGCCACACAAACTTTAAGGGGCTTCAAGGAAATCCCCCTCTCCTTCGCTTTTATCTGTCACCTGGGGATCATAATAGTGGCCTACCTTACAGGGCTGGTTCAAGGATTACAACGAAGTAATATGCGGAGTACTTTGGACATTCGGAACCACTAAAAATTAGCCCCCCAGCCGCCGCCGCCACCTCTATGGAAAGCAAGCTGCTTCTGTTCTGATTCAAACTAAACTCTCGTGTCTCAGTGAAGTCGAGTTAAATTAAATCAAAAGGTATTTGTGTCCTATCTTTAAAGTCAAAGTACGGTAGGTCATAATTCGGTCCTCTAGGAGCAAAAACAGAGCGTTCTAGAGAAAATAAGAAAGATCCCGGTAGTTTCCCCTCCTTAGGTCAGTGAGCTTCTTGGGATTTTTTTTTCTCTGTGCGGAATCCTTAACCTAAATCTGAAAATAAATGCCAAGGGCGGGAGGGAATTCAATGGAGCACACGTTGCGTCAGAAGAACTAAGTCCCATGGAGTTGAATGGGACGTACCCTCTTTACATCGAATATTTTACAGTACCTACACTGCATCTGATTCTCTCTAGCCCACAAAAAGCTCATGCAAGCCAGTTTGCTAACCTTTAAGATGCCACCCCTTCCCCGCCTTTCTTCTCTGGAACTAAGCACTTCCCAGGGGGGGTTCAGAGAGGCAGAAACCCGTGGGAAATCGAGCGAGTTTGCCACCCTCCCCGTGTCGGCGGCGTGTCACGTGTGAATCGGCCTTTATAGGCGTGTAGGGCGAGTTTGAGGCCCACGCCCAACCCAGTGAGGCGACTGATTCCTCGAGGAAGGCTGACCCGTCCCTTCCCCCCGCGGCAGCCCCGGAGGCTAGTTGCGGGGTAGCCACCCACCTGAATTGTAACTGACGAGGTCCACGCCCAAGGCCGGGCTCTTCCTCTTCCTGGGCCGGCCTTTCTGGACCGTGCCGGTGCCGTTGAAGTAAGGCAGCGCCAGGCCTCCTCCCTTGGCCGCCAGCTCGGTGTAGCTCAGCTGCGGAGGCGGGTAGGAGGCAGGATCGGTGCCCTGCAGCAGGCTCTCGAAGTGCGCCCGGCAGTAGACCACGTTGTCCTTCATGCCGAAGTGGTCGCCCGTCGTCAGCGTCTTGTTGCACGTGGTGCAGGTGAAGCAGCTCAGGTGGTACACCGAGTCCCGGGCGCGCATCACCATCTCCGAGGCCGAGATGCCCAGGTGGCAGCGGGCACAGCGCTGCACGGAGAACCTTCTGAAGGGAAGAGCGCACAGCGTTAGAGCCAGCGGGCGGCAGGAGGGGCCAGCGGGCAAGCTGAGCCCATCCACCCGACCACGCTTGCGGACCTGGTGTCGCGTCAAGCGGCCTGCGAACGCTCAGGAGGCCGAGAGGGGAAGATGCGCGTAGTTTTCACAAGAAACCAACCGACGTGGTCGTCTGCATGGGCTACACGCGTCAAGGGCTGGCGAAGTTGTGGCGAAGGAGAAACGGGGGTCTTGGTTGGGCAACGGATGGCAAGGGTTTCGTTTTTCGTTTATTTTTTATTTTATTTTTTTTAAAGCTTTTGCAAGAGTGGCCTGGCCCTCTTCTAAATCCGGATAGCAAGGACTTTAAAAAAAAAATCAGACAGAGAAACGAGACTTCAGCTGCCCCATTTCAAATATGGAAGGAGAGAGAGACGATAAATCAGTGTTTTTTGTTTTTGAAGACAGAAGGAAAGTTAAATTGAAAAAACACACACAGTAGAGTGGTTATGATCTAGCTCAAGGGGAGGGTGATTTTTCCGGTTCTCCTGCTCCTCCCGGGGCGCCCCGTTACCTGCGATTACGCCCCATTGAACCCAACAGTCTTTCCTTCTTCGTCCACAGGTAGAGGAGGGAGAGGGGTGCAGAATAAGGCCACAGTTCAGTTCCACAGGGACCTGGAGAGGTTAAATCTCTCCTTTGGAATTAACCGGACTTCTAAGCCATTCCTTTGGGCCGGATCCTGCCCCCAAACCGTCACAGCAAGCTCTCTTAACATGCTCCGGGGTCCCCACCTGTCTCCCCCGTTATCTCATGTGCCTGCCTGAGTTCCCCATTCCTCCGAGCGATTGTAGCGAGACTATCCAGATGGCAAAAATGGCGGGATCCTCCCCCGCCCCCGCATTTTTAAGGAGCAAATATGCTTTATGCCCTTGGCACACGTGCTGGTTCCTACGGTTGTCACCCGATTAAAAGGACCGTCCCTCGATTGATCACACTTTCAAATCGGCATGCATTGGAAAGGAATAAACTGAAGGGGAGGGAACGAAGTGTGCCAGTGTGGTTGCTGCAGGCATCACCCGAGAATGAAAAATATATAATACAGTACTATATATGAATATTTTTGTTATTGGAAACCCTAGCACCAATGTATATAGGCATGCATCTTTCAAGCGTTTCAACGATTCATCTAACCAGTTGATCGACTAAACTTTTGAGGTTTACTTAGCACGTCAGCCCATATCTCCGTTTTCTTAATAAAAGAGGGAGACAGCCCACAGAACCAAATATTATGACGCCCCCCATCAGGCAAGGAGTCAACTCATACACGTTGCTGGGAGGGGGTCGAGGAGTCTCTGGGATTCAAACCTCAGATTTGATAGTTCCATGGTTGCCTTTTTAGTGGCAACAGCACTTTGCACGCATTCAGACGTTCTCTTTACGACAGTTTAAGCTGACAGGTTCAATTAAGATGAGACTTCTAAGTGGGAAACCTAAAAAAGCTCTGAATCTAGATATACTGGAAGTTCCTCCTGACAAATCTCCATAGCTCTCGAAACCCAAATCTGATGCTCCGGGACATTTCGCTATCAACCCCCCTGGATCCGTTGCGTCCCTTTTCGACTGGAAGAGGGAGGTAGAGAGCAGGGAGCCGGCTCCGAGTTGACAACCGCAGGACCTCCAAACGAAGGCATTCTGTCCCCAAGGGCGGAGGAACACGCTTCCTCCTGCCCTGCTCCGAAATAGGCTAACTTTGCTCATTCCATCCCGAGAGAGGAAGAGTTTCACACATTGCACCGGTATACACTGATCATGCTCTCCGGGGAGGAGCTCTGTGGAGCCGGGAAGCTGGTGTGATTCTAGGCACGGATATTTATTTATCTATCAGGATCATCTGAGCCTTTTAGCAAATTCCTTTTGCGGAAAGGCTGCGAAATAAAGCTGAGAATACAGCGGGACATCGTCTTTAAGTTTAGGTTTCCTAGGTTTCTCAAAAGCTGTCCAAAGGAAAGGAAAGGGAGAAGGGGGGAGGGGGCAAGTAAACAATACCCTTTCCCATAATTTTTGGAAGATTTCATTAACTGCAACCCTATGCCCCATCCCTTCGAAGTCGGTCAGTGGCACTGACTCCGGATTGCACCTCTGCTTCCAGGCGCACGTCTCTTGGAGTCCGTTTCTCTTGGTTGGAAATCAATGGGCAATTGTTCTAGCTTCGGGCCGGGGTGTAAACAGGAGTGTTATAATTCACTCGGAAAGGCTGGGAGGGACCTGGCGAAATCCGGATGCGTCTCTTTAAGCAAGGGGGGGCGGTCACACACAAACAAGGCTTGTCTGAGGGCAGCTCAGCGCTAACAAGAGCGCGCGGCCAGGCTGCCCAGCGGGAGGGCCGGATCCGGTTCAACAGCGAGGGGCTGGCGGAGCTGCAGGATGGAGAGCCAAGCCAGGCCAGGCCAAGCTGCCGCCCGCCTGCTGCGGGCTCAGGAGAGCGTCTCCTCCGGACCAGCAGTGTGGCCCGCGCCGCTGGTTTCAAGGCCCGCAGTATATGACACAGCCGGTTTAATGAGGGCAGTAGCCTTGCTGCTCAACAGGGACTAGCAGCGCGATCCTAACGGTTGAATCGTGCGATGGGGCTTCCTTCCAAGCAAGCCCAGCAAATCTCACTGAAATTCAACGCAAGGAGACTTGGCTTCTTGAGCTGCAAAACGGCGACCCGATTCAGGTTTGGAAGCAAACTCGGATGAACACACAGCTTAGTGTGTGTGTGTGTTGGAGGGGTGTTTTTGGCAGGAATGTTTTGGGAAGGATATAGCCCACCTAGGCCTAGGACCGTTTTTCAAGCGCCCCTCCCGCTGCTTTGAATTGTATCCCAATGCTCTGGAAGAGGAGGCACTTTCTCTGCCAGCGTCCCATGCGAAAGTGAGAGAGCTAAGGCTGCCCTTCCTCTACTAGCAAGGAGTTATTGGGGCGAGGGGGGTGATAGCTGAATTTGCACTCTCCCAGCCCTCTTCTAGGCTCTCCTTTGCACTCAAGCCGAGGCCTTTGAGGGCGTATTTACACGTGCGCAACTCGAGGGGCGATTATTTTGCACGTGTGAATGGTCCCCTAGCAGACCAAGCGCTGCCACCCGCGCTTTCTTTCACACTCACCCAATTGATGCACGTTCTGAAATCTAGAGCAGGACTTTTATATGACCCGATGTTTGTTCGTTTCGCGCCGCAACATTTCACACACACACGCTCAGTGCTACACGCGGGCATCACGTGCGTCACTTTGATTTCTCCACCCCAGCAGCTAAACGCCTGAAGCGACGCCCTCGAAAACCACAACAATCGGGGAGGACATGAAAGCTCTTGCTGAGCTTCCCACATTGGGGGGGGGGGGTTCCACCATTCACACGTGAAAGTCATTTTCAGCGGAGCAGTTGAACCCCAGTGTGTAAGCAGTTGAGCCAGCGCAGACTGATAAACCCGTATCTGTGCGAAGGCGACCCAAGTGGAAATCATGCACGTGTGAAGTGCTCCTCGGCTCCTGGTTGATTTCTCCCAGGAAAATCCAATTGAGCCAGGATTGTGGAGGCACCTTTTCTGGTCGGGAGGAGTGGGGGGCGGCCTTTTGCAGTCCCAGAGGGCCACGTGGCGCTCCCCAAACGGGGTCCCTTCTTCCCCCCTCCCTGGGGTGCTTTACCTGTAATAATCCTCCTTGCAGTAAATGCTGCCGTCCTTGGCGAAGCAGGTGAGCTCGGACTCCAGCGCCAGTTTACATTCACAGCACTTAAGACACCGCAGGTGCCACTGCTTGTCCACCGCCAGCAGGTAGTATCTGTCGGAGATCTTCCCTCCGCAGCCGGCGCACAAGGCAGGCTTCTCCGGGCTCAGCGGGGGCATATTCTGCGGAAGGAGAGCCACACTCAACAACAACTCCGGGAGGGATGGGAACAAAGCGGGGCTGCGGGATCAGACCCACCCAGGATCTCCACAAACCCCCATTAAGGCCATACGCAGTGGGTCTCAAGGGGGGCAACCCCTAAATAACTTTTGCCAGGAGAATCTGCAGGGGTTTCGCCGTCTCCAGCACCCAAAGCCTCCCTATAGCTTAGCCATGGCCTCATTTCCGACTACAAGGCGGTTTGAGTGGGTTTTGCGTCGCGTTTTTCCAGGCTTTCTGCGCTTTCCAAGGACCCAGACTTGGGACTTTCAGCCGGACGGCCTTAGAAATGCGAAGAAGCCGCTCTTTTACCGCGGAAGATCTGGACTTAGGGAGCGGATTGCAATGCAAGGTTTTACTTCTGAGATTTTCTGTGCTCCAAAGATACCGAGTTTAACTCCCCCCTCCCTGTTGTAGTGCCCACCGCCAGGATCTTTTTATTTCCCTCATTTTTATTTTTATTTTATTTTATTTTTATTTTTTTGCCTCCTACAAAGAAGCTTCTTCCCAAGCAAGACCTGAAGGCGGCAAACCGAAAGCAGCTCCGTTCTCTTGCAAATAATCAGAGGCGAAGCCTTAAAAAATACTTGGTCTGTAAGACTTCATTACCAGAAAAAGGGGGGGGGAGCTGAAGGGCGGCTTCCCCGAGGAAGTCTGGCTCCAGTTTAAAAGTAGGATTTTAAAAGCTCCATCCAAACCATGTTTACTGGAAAGAAAATCCCTTTTATCACACCGGGCCTAACATCTCTGAGTTGGACCGGATTGCAGAAGTTTGGAAAGAAAGATCAAATTCTTCAGAGTGGTGGAAATGCCAAATAAAGACGAAATGCCCTGCTAAAACGTCGTTTCCCACCCATCTCCCACTTCTATATAATATATATAAAAATATATTATATAATCGCCTGGATTTTTGCATCCAAAATGCGATCAGTCAGGAAGGCGGGAGAAGCTCTCCCAAGCCGACGACATCTTATGAAAATCTGAATGGATGCAGGGGGTTTGTGTGTTGCTTTTGTTTTCTCCAAAAGTTTATCTTTTGAAAGAAAGAAAAAAAGAAAATCAGAGGAGTGCAGAGAAAGGATTCTTCGGGAGACGCCACTAAGCCTCCGGCTGATTAAAAATACGAATACCGTTGAATCCCAAAAAGAGAAGAAGGGGAAATCATCTGCCTACCCCACCCCCCAAAAAGCCCTGGGAGGAGGGAAGCGCTTGAAATGCCAAGCAGAGCCTCCCCCCCACCCCAGCCTGCTCCAATTCCTTAATGAACTTGGTGGGGGATGGGGAGAGGACCCAGAAGCCAGTTCAAAGAGGCGAGGCTGAGTTTTCTGCAGGCCTTTCCTTCGGTTCATTGTGGGTGCTCAACGGAAGCTCTGAGATTTAGGAGCAAAAGGAAACTTCCTTCATCTCTCTCACACACAGAGAGTTCTCGGGGAATTAAACCATCTGAAAGGAAGCGGCTTAGCCTGCGTGCAGCTCTGGATTTACTTCATGCTCCTCAATGCAATTCCGGTGAAAATTATGAGACATTTTTACTACCATTTCCGGAAGCTGGGGGGGGGGGCGGCGGCGGAGAGAACCAGCCCTTTCTCTAAACTTAATATCACTACCAATTTCTGTTCTGTTTGGGTGTGGTACTCCCCACCTCCCCGCCCGAGCTGCGCCGTTAGGGATGAAAAGCGAAAGTAATCTATATATTAGCCGAAAAGAATTCCTTTCCAGCATTCGAAGTGTTTAGAAAGAGAATATTTCGTTTTAAGTCGGGTCTCTTCACCCTCTCCACAAACACTGTGTGTTGATAGTTATGTTGGACTTTAAATGGGCCTTTGCAGTTTGTTCGGGAGGAAATCTTGTCCGAATCTTTTTTGGGGAAAAAGTCAAAGGAAATGCGTTTATACTAGTACTAAGATGTTGGTTATGCGGATGGGAGTTAAACTCCGCCAAGGTGTAGAAATTACGGCAGCGCGCAAATTACTGCCTCCGCTTCTTGCTAGACACGGCGATATTAAACATTACTTCCAGCCCTGTTGCAATCAGATTTAATCCATAACATAACAAAAGGCAAATGCCCCTGGACTTGCTTCGGAATAAATGCGTTTTATTAGGACCCGGCTGCTAAGCGTATACTGGACTGTATATATAAGTGCATGCATGCATGCGTGTGATAAATATATGGTTTTAACCGCAACCTGCAATGATCCATAACAAATTTGTTCGACCCCCGAGATTCTTTACTTGGAAGTAAGTCCCACTCAACTCTAGGGGAGCGTCTTCTCCAGTAAATTTCTATATTTTTACTTAATTCAGACGGGCTAGACTTTTTGATTGGATCCCGCTTTCGTTTTTATTTGCATCACTTTTTTTTTTTAAAAAACGAAACAAAAACAAACAAACAAAACCACGACGAACAGGACTGAACTCTTCCTTGACCTTACTTGGAATGAAAACTCAAGCTGATTTCACAATATTCGTAGGCTTTTGCTGCAATATATAGATGGTGAAATGTGGCTATTCAAACCGCCGAATAAAAATCCTCCCGAATTTCAAAGTGGAGAAATGCTCTTTTTAAAACGGCAACTTTCTCAGAGTTCAGGGAAGCCCGCGATCTGGGCAAGCTCGGCTTGGATGTAAACAAGCAGAAAGCTGACTTTGAGAGGAGAAACTGTCGGGAATGGGAACATGAGGCTCCGATGCCTCTGCAATATTTGGGTTGATTGATTCTTCTAGCTACACTTTAATTTTTCCTCCCGCTCTGCCTCTTCCATTCTCTTCCCGTCCCTCAGGCTGGCGACCCGCGTCTTCCCCCGACACCCCCTATGCCCCGCGCCTATGACTCCTTACCGCTTCCCGGCCGTTCATCTGCGCGCCTTTGGCCAGGCGTGACTCGGTCTTGGACCTCCTCTCCATCTCCTCCATGATGCCTTGGATGTGGCCTCCGGAGATGCCGTGGAAAAGCATGGCTGGGGAGCGGAAGGGGCAAGCGGTTCCTTCGGCTCGACACCCCACTATTTCCATATACAGGCCCCAGAGTCTTGGGCTAGAGCATCCGAAGCGCCGGGAGGCGGAGGCGGCGGCGGCGGCAGAAGAGGCGAGACAGCCCGCGGAGAAGCAGCGTCGCGGCTCCGGGCCCGGAAGGCAGGCGAGGTGGGACGGACGGACGGACGGCGAGCAGCAGGAGGAGGAGGAGGAGGAGGAGGGTCTCTTGCGGGGCTGCCCCCCGCCTCGTGGCGCAAGGAGAAGGCGCCTTCCTGGGCGGGCAAGGAGGGAAACGACGCCGGACCCCCAAAAAAGGGAGGAAGGAGAGAAAAAAGTGTGAAGAAGAAGAAATAAAAGGGGGAAAGGAGGGATTGGGCAGAGCAGAGACGAAGCAAAAACCCACGAAGCGGAGACTTGTCTTGCAGCTTCCTGAACTAGAAAAACGGGAGTTTTTTGTTTTTTTTGTAGGAGGGGGACGTGAGCAAAAGCTATTATGGCCCCCAAAAGGGGAGATTAATATACTTATAAAAATCAAATAAATACACAAATTAAAACCAAAGAAGGGTTTGTAAGGGGGGTGCAGGGGAAGGGGGGGTCGGTTATTTCTCCAAGCAGCGATCCCTGGTTGCTTGAAAAGTTCCCACTTGCCTCTAGGTCGGATTTGGGACTGCTGCTCTCTGCGGCTCCGTCCAATTTGTTGGAGGCGAAAGCCAACCCATTTTGGATAATTCAGGAGGAGGAGTTCTCGCCCGCGAGCTGCCACCAGCTCCCCCCCCCAACTCTCCCTCCCTCCCCGCAAACTCCCTTCTTATACAGACAACAAAGAGCTGTCAAACTCCTCTCAGCCCCCACAGAGATGGGGAAGAGCGGTGACAAATATTCCTAGGGAGGGGGAGAGCCAGACCCCCCCTGCAACCACGAGGAGGGAGGGGGCCTTTTTTTTTAGGGGGCTGGCTTGTGTGGGCCCAGATTGTATTCCTGATCCTCCCACCCTCACCCCCACCCCCTCCTCCCCCAGTCCATCTCCCTTCCTCAAATCCCCATCCGGCGTTCAGTACTCAAGTTCAAAACGTATTTTAACAATGGGAAAGTGTGTGTGTGTGTAAGTGAGAGAGAAATAAGGCGGATTTCTTTGAATGAATCTGGGCTTTGGAGGGACTTCGCTGGAAAGAAAGAAAGAGGCACCATCTTCTCCACCTTAAGCAAATCCCCAAGTCCCACCTTGAGCTGAGCAAGCCGGGGAAGCACGTGGCTGCCATCCTGCGCGCGCCTTCTTGGGAGGGAGGGAGGATTTTAAGATCAATTCACTGACCGACTTCCTGGCCAAGGTCCACAGGATCGCACTGCGCACATTTTGACGCGGTTAGCAATCTCCCAGATGCTTCCGTTGAGCGGGATCGCGCCCCCAAGAGTGGCAAGCCGGTTACTCCGGAGGGAGCCCCTGATCGCTTCCATGGCCCCCAATTCCACGCGAAAGAACCGAGGGAGCAGATTTAAGAAATCTCGCAGGTTGGGGATCGGGAAGCGGGACTTTGCGCGTACTGGGAGATGCCTTTTCTGGAGGAGCCCTTTTCATCTCTCGTAGGCAGACCCGAAAGAAGAAACTTCTCTGTTTCTTACCGTTTTAGTGTTTAAAAGTATGGGTTTGATCTAATTCCAGACCTCCTAAGATAAAAAAGGCAGGGGACGCGTGGTATAATGTTAGAGTAAGGGGACAACTGAACCTAGAAAGACATTAACCTCAGTTTGAGAACATATTTGAAGTAAGGAATAGCAGGTTTAGGGAACTCCCTAATGGGGTGGGGTTTAGTAGTTGAGGATTCAACTCTTTAATGGCTTTCAGCCATTATCATGTGATCGAGAAAACCCCTTTCGTTGGATCAGCGGAGTTGCTCAGCTGTGGGACGCAAGCTTCCAGTCCCACAGCGCTCTTCTCCAGGCAGAAAGGAAAGCGCACCTGGGAAGCCAGCTGTTTCCGCCCTCCGGACACAGCTTGGTCCATGGCAGGTGCTGGACCTTTCCACCTTGGGAGAATCCTATAGGTTTGGGGCCAGCACAGGAATCCTCATCTCCTCTTTCTCTCTCCTCTCTTTGGTTTCCCTTTTTCGCCTCCCTGTTGACTTTTCACACCGCTGCCCCGACCGGCTGTTTCCTGACCTCCCCTGAAGCAAGTCTCCCTTCAGAAATACCCGCCGCAGAGTCTAGTGTGACTCCTGAAATGGCATCACTAGCCTCCACTGCCTTCCCCCCAAACACTTCCCTTCCAAGCCACGGACCTTACAGGGCTGGAAGAGATAACCTTCCTTCCCCGTACTGTTTGTTAGTGGTTCTTTAGTCGTGGGGCGCGAGGGTGGGATGGAAAAGGGCGCCCTTTGCGTCTGGATAGGTCTCTCCCTCTGCATCAGCCGGTCGAAAGGCATAAAGCAACTCAGAAAACACATTCGAACCGAGAAGAGAAAGCCAATCAAGTGAAATAAGCTTGGATTATAATTTTTTGAAACACACACACACAAAGAATTCCTCTCTTTCTGTTGGCACGCCACAGCCCAGAACAGCAGGGCTGTCTATTTACTGTAAGTAATGCAATTAGGAGAGAAATCTCCCATTGAAAGGGGAATCTAAGACGCAGAAACCGGTGGAGGAACAGAGAGAGAGAGAAAGAGAGAGAGAAAGGACAGACCTAGGACTTTTCACGGATCAAGCTTGTTTGTGGCAGGACCTACACACACACACACACACACACACAGAGAGGGGGGGGAGAGAATGAGATTGGATGGCCGGAAAAGGTTGCAGTGGAAAGACTTTCCTTGGGCGCAATGCCGCCCCTCTGGAATCCTAGAGGAGAATTGCGATGGCTTTGAATGGAGCAGAACCTGCAGCCCTATGAGCTCGTTCCGGTGAATCCCTCGGAAATCCCACTGTGGGTCAAGCCTCTCCGGACCCAAGTATAAGTGTGGCTGCGGCCTCCGCTCTCAGCGGTAGTCAGGCACGTCTCTTGAGAAACATGTCCACTTGAACGCCATGAACAGGCTCTTCCGTGGGCGTAGGATTGCAGCCTAAGCGCGCAACCTCAAGCGCGTTTTCTGAAAAAGCCCCACTGCATTAGATGGGGCTGGCTCCCCGGGAAGCGCGTACAGGATGGCAGCCTACGACTGGAGCTGTGTTCTGAGCAGACACGGATAGGGTTAAGCTGATCTACAGGAATGTGAGGCTAGGAGTGAAAAAGAGGGGCAGTTTAGGATTTGCTCGTTGACTGGACGGATCAGATTTTGTTGGCAGGAAAAGTGCGGATCGCTCTGTCGTTTGGATGTTACCTGAACCGCCAGGTCTAAAACCGTTTAGTAGGTGATAAAAACCGCACTTGTTCTCGTTGTTTTAAACACCTTTACAGATCCAGGGTCAAAAGAGGGTATGTGGATATTTAAGAGGTCGGAGCTGTGGAGTCAAAAGGAGCTTCGTTCTAAAGCTCCATAAGGTTTTACTGTCAAGCGCCTTTGGCACTCCAGCTGAAAGGCGATATGCACTAAAAACAACAGCAACCGTGAAATTCATTTCCATTTGATGTAATGGAAGGGCGGGTTAATACTGGCAACTGACAAGCAAGAAGGCAAGTTTGACTCTCACTAGGAGAGCCACTTTCACAGAGTCAGGACAGGATACCGAATGATTCAGTCACATGATGCCCATTGGTGGGATAAATGGTTTTTACATATACTGTATATATTATCTTCACATTTATTTGTTTGTTTGTTTGTTATTATTTGCTAAAATTAAAGCCAGCTAGGGGCAACAGCAAAATGGAACAGGCCCCCGTCTCTCTCGCGCTTCTTGAACGCGAAGAGGCACTTGGCCGAGCGCAGTTGGAGACAGAATGCTGGGCTCCAATAACGGGCCGGGACCTAAAGCCATGTTCCTCACTGGGGCGCTGGGCTAGGCCTCGTCCTCGCCGCCCTCTTCAGCGACCCTCCTCTAGTGACACGAACCATACTTTGCATTCTCTCCAGAGAGAGAGAGACTCCTAGGCTGCTTCTGCGCATAAGGGTCGGCGACTCGAAGTTCTGCTGCGCTCGAAGTCAGGGCGCCGAGGGCTCTACCAGGTCCAGCTTGCGGGCTTCCCAGAGTCATCTAGATTGCCATTGTGAGAGCAGGCTGCTGGCTTTGGGTGGTCGCTGGCGCGATGTCCAGGAGGACTCTTCTTAGGTCTCCAAGCACACTTACAGGGTTGCCGTTAAGTGAACATGTTTAGGGTGCAACACTAAGGTTGCAGACCGGGACGGGTACCTACAGTTTAAACCATAAACGCGCAGTAGATCTCCTGGTTCCCAAATGATGACGGTCTAACTATACTGCCTGTCTGCCTATCTTTGCTTTCGCCTTTATATCTTTCTGTCTTGGAACTGGAGGTTCCGATGGAAAAAGTGATCTCTAGAAAGGTGATTTCTCCAGGTGAGCGCTCTGGAAAGGATTTGAAGGCTCCCTCTTCTCTTCTGGAAGCGGGTCAGAAGAACCCCAGAAAAAACCATTTCCGGGCTGAAGCTCTTTTGCTTCCTGGGTCTGGAATCAAAAGCGAGAGCACTTGGGAAGTTGCTTGCTTCCCTTCCCTTCCCCCTCCAGACTCCTTTGCTTGTTCTTGAAGGTAAAGCCGGAACGGCGGCAGGAGCAGAACGAAAAACGCTGGGTCCTTCCGAGACGCTGCAGCCGCTAGGTGCTTCCAATCTTAAGGCGCAAAACTGAAAACTGAAAACTGAAAAGCCCAGGGAGAGTTCTCCCCTTGAAACCAATGAGGATCTTGACAGAGCTTCACTTTGGCTGGATCGTGTCCTAAATTTAGACGGGAGGGGAAGCGAAATAATAACGTAACCAAAACCCCGCCTCCTTTTCTCTAGAGTTGGGCACGCACACTTCATTCATGAAAAGCAACCCTAAAGTTGCTCTGGGTCAAGTTTTGATAGTTTTGAGACGACTCCCTTCGGTGCCTGATCCTTCACACAAAACCTACCTCGCGGTGTTGTTGCAAGGGGGTGGGGGGAATAAACACCTACAGAAATGACAACAACGTGTTTTCTTTTCCTGCAATAACTCAGCCAAGGAGACCTGAGTGTCCCCACCTTATCTAAACACACTCATCCAAAACCCACCGTCCTCGGAAGCACCCCCAAACACTGCTGCTGCTCTTGCGCAACCCGATCCCATGCTTCTCTGCCCAAAAACGAACCCCACACCGACTTTAATGGGGGTTTCCTCACAGGTCAAGGGCGAAAAGGATTCTCGCCATAAGGCGTGTTGTGTTGGACAGCAGCACCTCCCGGGTCTTCCCCCGGAGAAAGGATGTTGAGGAGTTTCCTGCGAAGAGCCGGCGAGTTTCCGAAGGCCTTTCTTTCAGCAGTCAAGGTGAATCTTCTTCAATTTCTTTTTACCAGATCTCCCTTTTTTTCCCTCGAGAAGCTGGAAAGGGCTGCCGCTTGCAGGAAGGCTGGAGGGGGCGAAGGAGGCGTCTCGGAGGAAGAGCTGGCAAAATACCCCCCGGGTATGTGAGCAATTGGGGGCAGGAGGAGACAAGTTGCTGGTGGGAGAGACGGAGAGATACAACCGCGCTCGGGAAATCCTAGAGGACGCGCAAGGTGAAAGCCAGCGGCTAAAGGAGGGTTGCCTGTTTGTTGGCATATACTTTGGGTTTGGAAGAGAAGGCCCTTCCCTGTTTGGACCTGCAGGGAAACAGAGCTTGTAGACGCCCCAAATTAGGAAAAACATTTTTTGGGGGGTGTCAAGCATTGTGGAGCCACTGGGCGCAGAAGCTCCCGGACGCTCTGTATAAACGCGGATTTATTTATTATCATAATTATTGCCACCATCATAATGAATAACAAATAGAGTGGATTCCTATCGTTGTTGCATTTGTTATCATAATTATCGTTTCGTATAGATGAAGCGCCAAAGGGGAGCGAACCAAGCCTGTTCTTACAACAGAATCTGAATATAACAGATAATCGGCGCTCCTTGTCGGAGCGTTAAATGGTAGATAGTGACAAGCGTCGTTTTCACACGGCCACCATGCTTGTCCATTGTCGTAGGAGGAGAAGGGTTTTTTTGGGGGGAGGGAGCGGAATACGGGGGTGTAGTGAAACACAAAGCTCCAGATTTTGCACTCCGCGCTTCAAGGCGCGTGGAGGATGGATGGGGGCGATTTGTTCGGCTCGGGCTAATCCCCCGGTAAACGGCTCCCCCAGCCTCTGCAACAAAACCGTTGGCGGCGAGCCTGCGAAGCAGCCGGGCTTTGGCACAGGCGAGGAACATGCTCCGGCGAGAGGGTTTAAAGAAATAAAATAGAAATCCAAGCGATTATCAAGAGAAGAGAGGAGATGGGGAGGGGAGCCACTGGAACCCTCCGTCCGGCCCCTGTTCCGCCACAGGCGAGGGTCTAAAGCCTATTACAGCGTGAAGGGGGCTTGTCTTTGGCTCTAGGACAAAGTATCCACGTGCGGATTAATAACTGACCAACAAATAATTAGACAGAGGAAGGATAAGGAAACCCGAAAGCGGAGGCGGCTAATCATTTTGCTCTACGCACTGGCTCCCTCTGAACAGAAAGTGGCCGGGCTTCGTTTTAATAGAGCAGTGGGGACCTGAAAGTGTGTGTGTGTGTGTGTGTGTGTGTGTGAGAGAGAGAGAGAGAGAGAGAGAGAGAGAGAGAGAGAGAGAGAGAGAGAGAGAGAGAGAGAGAGAGAAACTCAGAAGGGTGACTGATTCTATCCACATCATTGCGTAAAGGGACAAGGCGAGTCACTCTTCATCGTGTGAGTGACTGTGGACCAAAAGTCACCAACAGATTCCTCCTTTCAGGGGAATCTTGGATCTCAGACGTCCCCCAGCCTTTCAAAAGACACCGCTTCCTGGTCTTCTCCTCTGCCAGAGGGAGCTAACGATAGATCTAGCTATGCTTGGAACGTTATAATCCCTGTTCGGGGCCTCCAGAGCTGGCTGGCGATGAAACATAACTGTCTCCAGGTTGGCTCCAGAGTGTGATGATGGCATCGAGAAAGCAAAAGGTCCCAGGGTGTCTTCAGTGGGGCTTACTCTCATCTGAGTTGGCAAAGGATTGCACTCTTAATCATAGATGTATAGGCTGAAGGGACCAATAATATTATGGTTAAGGGTGCAAGCCTAGGCACACTTCCATGGGAGTGAGCTCCACTGAAGATGCATCTTACAGGCACCTAGTGAGCACAAGGCTGCCAAAAGTTCAGGGCTTCCTTGGATTCAACGAAGCACGTGCTCAGATCCTTTCCTTGACATCAGTGGGACTTGCTTAAGCGAGCCTCGTTCAAGCCCATTGTATTGAAGAGCGCGTTTTTCTATATTTTGGAAAAACAAAGGAAGCGCCCAGAAGGAGCAGAATTGTTTTGGTAATCGCCTCCTGAATCTCACACGCACATCAAGCGCCGGACCGGAATCAAAATGTCAAACGAGGCAAAAGTCCCTCCAAGATAAGTCTCCCCTTTTTATTAGTCTTTATTGGGGACTCCGTTTCAGGGATGTTGTTTTTTCAATTTCAGGTTCCAGAGGTACCAAGCGTCAGCTCGCCTGCCTTCCCCTGTCTGTTTCCTCCGGCTGTCTCAAGAACCACTTTTTTGCTGTTAAAAAGGTTCCCTCATCTTTTTTTTTTTTTTTAAACTATTACTCATTTGTGCCGGGACCACGGGCAAGAAGCAAAAGAAACCTTCCAAGGATGCCCATATTCAGATGAGAAAGAGAAATAAAACTTTTCTCCTACCCGATTAAACTGAAAGGGAAAAAAGGATGATTTGGAGCAAAGAAACGAGGAGCTTTTAAAGAAGCGGACAGAAAAGCCCCTGGCGCCGGATTGCAGGTCTCCAGCCCCCAGCTAGAGAAAGCGAAGCGTAAAAAGGGGGGAGGCGGCGGTCGGGTCTCTAACGCGAAGGGGGTTTCAAGAGAAGGGCTTCTGGAGCTAATAATGGAAGCTCGCCTTGTATACCTCGCCCGCCTGCGACTTAAGCCAGTTTGCCGGCGAGGCGAGGCGAACCGAGGTAGGGAAAAGGCGCACGGAGAGCGCGTAAAAATTCACATTGCCAAAGGAGGGCTGGTTTTATTTCTGGCGAGCCCAGATGCAAAACCCCCCGACTCAAAGAAACCCCTTCTTCCCTTGAAGCAGCCCTCAAACCTGCCAGCTTGACTTCTAAGCTCCACAACCGACCGGTTCCTGTCCAGATAAGGCACCCGCACACCCACTCAAAACACGTCTCCATGCCTCCAATGGGAACACACCTGAGGAAATGCAGGTTGCTGTTATAAAAGTTACTGTTCTTATTTTTATCGCCATCATCATCGTTATTAGCAGCAACAACCCTGAGATCCGTAGCAAACGTTCAAGGCAGCGTCTTACCTGAAGAGCTCTAGAAAGGGGTGTTTATTTGGGGGCCCCCAAAGTGGTTCCTCCTTAAGGGGTAAGAAAGGGGGATGGGTTTGGGGATGGAGGAACGGAAGGGAGAGACGCGGTGATGTAACCAAGAGGAGGAGGTTGGTCTTCTCGCAAAGGATTCCTGCGTTAATTAAAATAAACAAGCTAATTGGGGGGTGGGGGTGGGGAATGAGAGTTCCGCTCTTTCTCTTTCCTTTCTCTCTCTTCCCGTCCCCTGCCCCCAATCCCAATCTCCACCGCACCTCTATGGAGAACCGGCGCAAATGTCTAACCTCTGGCATCTTACCACAGCGCCTTGCTTTTGAGGGGTTCTATAACCCCATGTAGAAATGCGGCTAGTAGTAATACTAATAGATAGAAATTCCCCTTCCCAGCAAATGAAAAGCAATCATAATAAATTAATTAATAATAATAATAATGAACTCGGACCCTACCTGCCAGTATTCGCAAAGCTGCGAGGTCTGCCTGCTTAGCACTCCATCAGTGATCAGGTGAGGGAGACCTTGCGGTAAAGAAAAACGAGGGAGCCAAGAGCGTGATTGGAAACGAGGGATGAAGGGAGCTGCCAAACGTCTCCTCCCCACCCCACCCCCACCCCCCGCTCCCCAATAGACGCATGAAGGAGGAGGGGAGACGCTGTTTGGCGCACAATGCAACCTTCCTTCGCTTTGCCAGGATTGAGGTCTAGGTGGATAGATTTACAAGAGCGCCTCAGCCTCGATTCCTGCGCGCTCCTCTTCTGGTCTGAAAGTGCGCGCTCTGTGTGTTTGTGTATATTGAAATACACATATATATATATATATATAAAGGGGGGAAAAGACCACTGTTGCTAGCCTACGGGATGTCTGATGCCTTCCCATTAAAGATAACTCCTCTCTCTTCTCTATCTCTCTTTCTCTCTCTCAATCGTCAACTTGATGTGATCTGATCTGATCCGCGGATGCGGAGAGAAGACCTGGCTTGGCCAGCTAAAAAGGAACTTGAAACACACAGGATTATTCTAAGGAAAGCAGGGAGGATTGCAGAAGCACGGGCCCCATCTTAACTCAATTAAATAAAGAATCAGGTGCTTGTAGGGACGGGATTCACTCTTGCTGCTCTTTCCTTCCTTCCTTTCTTAGTATGACAGCAATGCTCCTGAAATTGCGATCCACCGAGGCCAAAGAAACAGGGGAGACAAGGCGAGGGTTGGAAATCACCTTGTAAAGACTTGGGGAGAATCACTGCACAGACTTTATTCCCAGAGTTGAAAAGGGCAAGGACGCAATCGACGCGGGGGAAAGTCTCCTGCGCAAGCCCCCGCCCCTTCGCCCAGAAAGGAATGAGGTTAGTGGTTTTGCTCGGCTGATGGCGCCCATTTCAACCGAGCTGCCTCCGCAGGTGAAGTTCCTAGTCGATTGTCTAGCTAAGCACATCTTCCTCTTGCACAGGAATGTCAACTTGAGTAAAATATTTGAATGGCAATGCCCATCAACTTGGGGGGGGGGAATCAAATATTTTATGGGGGGGGGGGGGGCGAAGGGACCTCGGCCCTTAGGAATGAGCTCCTTTGCTCCTGCAGCTGGGTATTTGCAGCCCAACTCTATGAACGCCTTATACTTGGAATTTCGATGCCATTCAGTTAAAAACAGGAACTAGGAGTGGAATAAAAATTAATCCCCAAAGTTACATGTTTACGATCAACCACCAAAAAAATCGCGGTTTCTATCCACAACAGGAGGGAGGCGGGAACTGATCGCTGATCAATAATGAGAAACCGCGGTCGCTCTTCTCTCGTCTGCTTTTATCTCTTGTGCAACCTTTCTCAGTTCAGTTCCACCTCATAATTCTCTGTGATCAGCTCCTTCATCGACTGACGATGATGGGATGATCAACTTTGTTCATATCTGGGAGGAATGGCTTTTAAACAACAACAACAACACAGAACGTGAATATATTTAATCAGAGTTGAGTGGGAAAGAAATCTGTCTCACGCGAGTGGGCGAGACAGCGCATAAACTTCTTCACAGCACGTAAACTTCTTGTTTATTTTTCTCTTTTTCCAAAAATAAAAAAATAAAACATCCTGTATTTTAGACACTAAATAAATCGTGCCACCGAGCCACCGAACCACCGTCACTTTCCAGTTGTCAAAAATACTGGGCAAGATCTCGCCCTTCTAAGACTCATCGATTTCAGCGAGTGGCGTGTATATGTGTTTGTGAGAGAGGGGAAAGTCTTTGTGCCGAGGCACAGAAGAGAGTGGCATATGGCCACCTTTCCAAAGGGAATGGGGGGTGGGATGTGGCGAGACAAGCGTGGTCCCACTTTAGTTGGAGGAACTAAGTTGGTTTGGCTTTAAAAGCACCTCACAAAGTGTTTTCCCTACTGCTGGAATAAGAGCTTCGAGTAGCCCCCGAGGTCTCCATTTATGCTCCAAAGACAAGTAGCAAACCTCCGAGCAGAGGTCTCCTCCGCCCTACTAAGCGCCGTCCTATACGCCTCAGAGCAGCTAAAGAGTAGGGTACCCCCTCGGCTCCATCTCTTTACGCACGATAAATTCGACGCATTAGGCAGAACGAGGTGCTTGGATTGTGGACTGTACCACTTCAGGTGTGTGCATCCGGCGCGGTATTGTGGACATAGCCTCCGATGTTTACACAACCCCCCTAAAAAAACAACTTCCTTAACCTCTTCTCCATTGTGTACTAATGTGCTCCGCGCAGAGTCCTTTGTAGGGGGGGTGGATTTCTTCTCAAATCCGATTCCGCCCCCCTCACCAGCAATCTGAAGTGGTCCTTCCCCAAAAGGAACCACCTTAAGTCTGCCACTTCATCTTGCCTAATAGCGTGGTGGATGCAGTGTGTTACTCACGTGGTCTTTTAAATAATAATAATAATAATCTTCTGAGGTTTTTTTAGTAGTGGGGAGAAGCCTTGCAGTGGACCTGCCGGAGGTTATAGCGCTTGGAGTCTCTCTCTCTCTCTCTATCCCCCACCCCACCCTGCCTTCTGTTTGTGGGATAACCAGATGCTCCGGGTTTTCTTCTGGCGTCAGAGGTTCCTTAAAGTTAAAGCGGGGCGCGGAGGTAGAGAATAAGAAGAACCGGGAGAGAAAGAGGGCAGAACCTTATGGGCCGAATCCTCATTGCTCTGTTTTGTTTTCGAAGAGAGCAGGGAGGCTTTTCAGCATGCAGAAAAATACAAAAGGCATCTACATCTACATCCTTCTCCAAAGCGCCTGACGTTAAAACAAATCCTACACAATCTAAAGGTTAACAAGATAAGACCAGTTCTCGGATTACTCGTTCTTACTTCTTGTAGTGCCCCCTTTCACCCCACCCCACCCTTCGCTACTGTTTGGGGAAAGGCAATGATTTGGCTAAAATTGAAGACAGCCACGGAGGAGCGGGGCTTGTGGATTTCATTAGGGGCTCCTCGACCTTTCCCACTCGCCCTTCCCGCTACGCGCCCCCAATAATTGAAGCATTGGGAAGAACAGCAAAACAAGCTATTTAGAAGGGGGAGCGGGACAGCGGCACCATCACGAGATGTCCTGTCTCAGTTAAAAGCGGGACAGTCTCTACAAGCTGCGGAATAGCCAACATTCAAATCTTGCTTTCAAAGAGGCTTCAACAGCCGTCTAAAAAAGGAAACGTGCGGAGTCTCTGCAGGAAGGGCGTTCCAAAAATTGAGCGGCCGCGGCGCCACCACCAAAGAGGCGCAGTTTTGTGCCTCTCAGTCCTACTTAGCATAGGAGCCAATTTCAGGGAGCTGTGGGTGCTTGGGCAGCCACAATAATATAATTGTGGGGGCCAGGCACCCACAAAGTCAATGACAAAAGCCAGCAGGGAGAGAAGCAGTTCAGCTCTGTCCTTCGCAGCCAGCGAGGGAGGCATTTTTTTCTGGGTGGTGGGGCTGGGGAGGGGAAGCAGAGTCTCTGTGCCTCCAAGTCCGAGTCCCTCACCGCATAGAAGGGTGCCTCGCTGGCTGTTGGCTGCATGACATCACACGCATTAGGTGCAGATGTGTCCGTGTGATGTTGCACATCCATGTGCGGCAGCGGGCACCCACAATCCTGAGGGCAAGATGGCGCCCCTGCTACTTGGAGATGCCGGGAATTGATCATGGGACCCTCTTAATGCGAAGCAGACGCTCTGCCACTGAGTTAGAGCCCTTCCCCGTTTGCATTCTCCAGGCAATGTGAGGGTTAGGGAGGGAGGGAGAAGGACTTCCGTACGCCGGCTCTCTCACTGTTCCAAACCCTTGCAAATTGTTTCGTTCATTTCACTCGCCCGGGGGCGCAGTCTATGCAAAGCTACGACAGAGGCCGCAGCTGCCCACCTGCAAGGCAAGGAGGCGAGCAGGTGACCAGGGCAGCAGACGCTGATCGAAGCGCTGCGTCTAGCTTCAAGCAGCTCTTTGAGGAAAGGCTGGCAGATGGTTTTGCGCAAGGAGAATATAATGGGAAACGAAGAGAGTTGCTCTCCCGACTGTGGACGGCGTCAGAAATTGGGTGCCACGGGCTGCAAACCTGACGCCATGCTAAATCTGCTGATGTTTAGGGTGTCTCGAGACTCATTGCTGCGGCAGGTTGGAGGGGCTCCGTTTCTGGAAACGCCATGCACACCGTTTCCTAGCATCGAGTCCCACACGGGCATCGGTGGAGCTTGCTTGCGCGGGACTGGGCAACCTTGCGCTCCTTCCCTAAAAGTTCCCTTTGAACTCATTTTGACATGAAGGGGAAAGGTGTGTGTAGCAGCCACCCAGCTACAAGACAGCTCCTTCTGTGCTCGCTTTACTAGGGAAGTGGGTCTTACTTTTGAGTAAACAGCAACAGGACTACGCTGCATCCGTGCGATGTGCAGATCCATGGGAGCGTCTGCCTCCTGCGGGGCTTACAGAAAAGGAACCTCGGAGCCAGAGAGAACACGGCCCTTCAATGCACTAGATGTGGCCCTCAACCTGCTTCCCAGGCTAAGCGCCCTTCTTATGCCACGGACCCTGCTCTTGATCCTCCTGGGGCGCTTCTGCCTGGCTCTAAAGTCTCCTTGAACTGTCATCATGCATTTTGCAGGTGGTGGAGAAACGTTTTTCCGTGTGGACTGAGCTAACTCCGACTTCTGGCCGCTTGCAATGGGGAATGACCCCTTCCTTGCTCCGCCCACTTGTTGCTTCTGGCCCCACCCACCATTGATTGGCATGTGGCCTCCCGAAAGCAATGCGGCCCCCTGGGCTAAGAAAAACGCCCCCTCCCTGCTTTCTAAGCAAACCGTCTAAACCACATAGCCAAATTGAAGTGGGGTTTGCTCCGAAGTCAGTCTCACGGTATCAATTCCTATGTGAAGATGGCAGTCCAGGTCTGGCAGGAAACGGAACCCTTTGCGGTGATCTGGAGGAGCTGAACTTGCTGGATCCTTTGCTTGCGCAAAGCAATTCTGAACCCTCCCTCCCCACAGAAACGTCTTTCCTTTGACCTAAAGGTGGATAGAACTATCATCAAACTTACCGCAGTGCCCACACAACCATGTGGCAAGATCAGGAAAGGTGCATTCACACATGCACGGGATGCTTGCAGCACCAGTCCGGAAAACTACAGAAAAGCTTCCTGATTATTACGCACAATCTAAAATGCGTCCTCTCCCACAGAGAGCGTTTACACCTTGTTTAGCGAACAGTCACCAAACGTTGAGACCTGTATGTGTGGATCGGGGCTCTTTAACGTCCTGCCAGACCGTAGGAAGAATGGCTAAAACCATTAGGTATGGCGAAACCACCCATTAACACAGTCAGGTCACTTTAACACTTCGGAGTTGCTTCTTGCAATGAACCCGCGCTGCATTTCCTTCTTTCAAAATGACACCGATTTCCAAGGCAGCCTTGGGCAAGCCACTTTTTTATTGAATTCTCCATTTCCTAGATGTCAGACGCCGCTCATAGCGCCCTGGGATTGCGGAGAGGCCGAGCAAGATAAGTTGCTCTCCGTGGGAACAGATGCAGCGAGCAAGGCTCCGATCCGAAGCTCATCTTTCCCCTTCATCTGAAGGCAACCCAGTTCAGGGAAGTATTTAGTGCGTGGTGTTGTATTGTGCTTTTACTGTTTTTTGTTGGGAGCCGCCCAGAATGGCTGGGGCAACCCAGTCAGATGGACGGCATCATCATCAACGTAGGAAGAATTTAGCAAGGGCTGGGATTTCCTATTAAAGGCAGCTGAAGCCTGCTGCAATCCTATATAGCACTTCCCTTACTTCAGAGTAGACACGCGTAAAAGGCTTTCGCTATGTATTTCTTCTTCTTTTCCTCGGTTTAATTAATTGCTCAGAAGGGAGAAAGGAAACGCAGCCTGCCGCCAATGCCACCTGCTGCGGCCGGCCTCAGTAATGGACTGCTCCTCCTTGTTTGTCCCTGGAAGCTGAGGAAGTGACCTCAGTAAGACTCGTGCAGGGGATCCATCCAAGGACGGGAGATGTCCTGGGCTGGAATCCGGGAGGGGGAGACGTTGCTGCTGTTATACTAAGCTGGATCGTGAGTAAGCAGTGCATTTTAAGTATCTATTAACCCGTCGAAAATCTTCACTGAATGCAGTGACTTGCTTCTGGTGGGGTTGCTCAAAGAGAGCCAGTGTTGCCCAGTGGTTAGAGCGCTGGACTAGAGCGCGGAGTTCAAATCCGCAAGTGGCCGTGAAGTTCAGGGGATGATCTTGAGCCAGCCACCAGCTCTTAGCCTGATCTACCTAACCGAGTGATGGCGAGGGTCATGCGGAAGAGGAGCGGGAGCTATGTAACCACCTTGAGCCCCCTGGAGGAAAGGGGCGGGATGCAATAAGAAGTAAAGTTTTCTCTGGAGAGAAAAGTGCTGAGGATGACGCCTCCTTACCGAAGAGGTAACTTCCGCAGGCTGCAATGGCGCGCGCTTCTCGGATGCACCTCCAACCTGTTGTTGTTGTTTAGTCGTTTAGTCCTGTCTGACTCTTCGTGACCCCATGGACCAGAGCACGCCAGGCACTCCTGTCTTCCACTGCCTCCCGCAGTTTGGTCAAACTCATGCTGGTAGCTTCGAGAACACTGTCCAACCATCTCGTCCTCTGTCGTCTCCTTCTCCTTGTGCCCTCAATCTTTCTCAACATCAGGGTCTTTTCCAGAGAGTTTTCTCTTCTCATGAGGTGGCCAAAGTATTGGAGCCTCAGCTTCAGGATCTGTCCTTCCAGTGAGCACTCAGGGCTGATTTCCTTCAGAATGGATAGGTTTGGTCTTCTTGCAGTCCATGGGACTCTCAAGAGTCTCCTCCAGCACCATAATTCAAAAGCATCAATTCTTCGGCGATCAGCCTTCTTTATGGCCCAGCTCTCATAAAGAAGGCTGATCGCCGAAGAATTGACTAAACGCGACTAAAAAAATAAATTTGAAAACCTCGGAAGCGCGCCCCCTGGCGTTCAGTTCCAAGGGGAACCGGGCAAGGTGTGTTACAGGCCCCATGTAGTCCACCATCTCGTTCTCCCAGTGGCCAGCCAAAGGTCGGTGGGAAACTTGCAAGCAGGACCTGAGCCCAACAGCACTCTTCCCCCCAGGCCACCTGTGATTCCCAGCGACTGGTATTCATAGAATCATAGAGCTGGAAGGGCCCAGCCCCCTGCAATGCAGGAATCTTTTGCTCAACATGGGGCTTGAACCCACAACCTTGAGATTAAGAGTCCCATGCTGTGGGGGACTCTCTGGTCCTGAATGGGGTGACTGTGCCCCTGAAGGACCAGGTGTGCAGCCTGGGAGTCATTTTGGACTCACAGCTGTCCATGGAGGCGCAGGTTAATTCTGTGCCCAGGGCGGCTGTCTACCAGCTCCACCTGGTACACAGGCTGAGACCCTAACTGCCCATGGACTGTCTTGCCAGAGTGGTGCATGCTCTGGTTATCTCCCGCTTGGACTACTGCAATGCACTCTACGTGGGGCTACCTTTGAAGGTGACTCGGAAACTGCAATTAATCCAGAATGCGGCAGCTAGACTGGTGACTGGGAGCGGCCGCCGGGACCACATAGCACCGGTTCTGAGAGATCTGCATTGGCTCCCAGTACGTTTCCGAGCACAATTCAAAGTGTTGGTGCTGACCTTTAAAGCCCTAAACGGCCTCGGTCCAGTATACCTGAAGGAGCATCTCCACCCCCATCGTTCAGCCCGGACACTGAGATCCAGTGTCGAGGGCCTTCTGGCGGTTCCCTCATTGCGAGAAGTGAGGTTACAGGGAACCAGACAGAGGGCCTTCTCAGTAGTGGCGCCCGCCCTGTGGAATGCTCTCCCTTCAGATGTGAAGGAAATAAACAGCTATCTTCTTTTTAAAAGACATCTGAAGGCAGCCCTGTTTAGGGAAGTTTTTAATATTTAATGCTGTATTGTTTTTAACACTTGATTGGAAGCCACCCAGAGTGGCTGGGGAAACTCAGCCAGATGGGTGGGGTATAAATTATTATTATTATTATTATTATTATTGGAGATTCTGAACCAGAGGTGGAGAATCTGTGGCCCACCAGTTGTTCCCATCATCCCTGACAATCTCTGACCATTAGCCAAGCTGGCGGGGGCAGCTGGGAGTTGTAGTTCATCAGAGACCCAGTGTGCTGCTGTGGGAAGAGTGCTGGACTAGGACCTGGGAAATCAGGGATCACATCCCCTCTAGCCAGTGAAGCTCACTGGGCGGCCTTGGGCCTCCGAAGAGGCGGATTTATTTTCCCCAAAGCCTCCCTTTGCATTTTCAACGGGATACATATGCAGAGAGATGGCAGAATTCAGAGATGGCAGAATAGACTTAATACAGTGGACGCTCGGGTTGCGAACGCAACCCGCAGTGTCCGCAACTCGCAGCGGCGTGTCTGCGCACACACAGGTTGCGATTTAGCGCTTCTGCGCATGCGCGACCGCCAAAACCCAGAAGTAACCCGGTTTCGGCGGTCTGTAACCCGAAAAAACACAACTTGAAGCGTCTGCAACCCGAGGTATGACTGTAATGGGAACATCACGTTTTTGAATGTTGCAGCAAGTTAACTAGTTCCTACTTGCAGGAAGGGAAGTAGATATACTCTGTAATTGGGAAGGGCATGTAAGCTGTAGGGAGGTTGTTGTGTAAGGGGGGGGGGGAGCATGCAAGAGGGACACCGCTGCCCCCCTATCCTGAAGTGGCACAGTCCATTCTACCACTGCAGGATTTCACCTGATTGTGCTATGTTTGTTAATCAGGTTCAAACGAATAAGCACAACAAAAGCTGAAATGCATCAAAGGTCACACATCTCCCCCCCTCCCAGCCTCTTCCCTCTTGAGCTGTGGAGGCAAGAAGTCTGATATTGCAAAATGTGCCCTGCTTTGTATGGCATGTGTGAGTTTGATTGCAGCCATAATCAATTCCAAAATAATTCAGGAAGATAAGACATTTTACAGGAAGGTGGAAGCAGTAACCACCCCTTCCATTTTGGGTGCAACAGCAGCTCACAATGAACTATTGTCTCACTTTTCTTTGAATAAGGAGGGAAGGTGTGTACAACCGTGGAGTTTATTTCTATTTTTATGTGTGTTAGAAATTATAGATCTCAACTTTTTTAAAAAAATTAATGAATCCCGGTTTGTATATTCATCAACCACTGTCTTTTCCAAGGTCTATAAGAGATACCGGCAATTGGATCCATAATTTATTGAAGCCACATTTCACAGTGGCAGCACTAAGGGGAAAAAATCTGGGGGTACACAGAAAGGGCAAAAAGTGATGTGTGTTGTATTCTGCCCAGAGTGGCTGGGGCAACTCAGACAGATGGGTGGGATATGATGATGATGATGATGATGTTAAGCTCTCTGAAACAACAAAAAAAGTATTTGTTAATGACCAAAGTCTAGCCTTAGGGACGCGGGTGGCGCTGTGGGTAAAACCTCAGCGCCTAGGACTTCATAGAATCATAGAATCATAGAGTTGGAAGAGACCACAAGGGCCATCGAGTCCAATCCCCTGCCAAGCAGGAAACACTATCAGAGCACTCCTGACATATGGTTGTCAAGCCTCTGCTTAAAGACCTCCAAAGAAGGAGACTCTACCACACTCCTTGGCAGCAAATTCCACTGTCGAACAGCTCTTACTGTCAGGAAGTTCTTCCTAATGTTTAGGTGGAATCTTCTTTCTTGTAGTTTGGATCCATTGCTCCGTGTCCGCTTCTCTGGAGCAGCAGAAAACAACCTTTCTCCCTCCTCTATGTGACATCCTTTTCTATATTTGAACATGGCTATCATATCACCCCTTAACCTCCTCTTCTCCAGGATAAACATGCCCAGCTCCCTTAGCCGTTCCTCATAAGGCATCGTTTCCAGGCCTTTGACCATTTTGGTTGCCCTCCTCTGGACACGTTCCAGTTTGTCAGTGTCTTTCTTGAAATGTGGTGCCCAGAACTGGACACAGTACTCCAGGTGAGGTCTGACCAGAGCAGAATACAGTGGCACTATTACTTCCCTTGATCTAGATGCTATACTCCTATTGATGCAGCCCAGAATTGCATTGGCTTTTTAGCTGCCGCGTCACACTGTTGGCTTATGTCAAGTTTGTGGTCAACCAAGACTCCTAGATCCTTTTCACATATACTGCTCTCAAGCCAGGTGTCACCCATCTTGTATTTGTGCCTCTCATTTTTTTTGCCCAAGTGCAGTACTTTACATTTCTCCCTGTTAAAATTCATCTTGTTTGTTTTTGCCCAGTTCTCTAATCTGTCAAGGTCGTTTTGAAGTGTGATCCTGTCCTCTGGGGTGTTAGCCACCCCTCCCAGTTTGGTGTCATCTGCAAATTTGATCAGGATGCCCTTGAGTCCATCATCCAAGTCGTTGATAAAGATGTTGAATAAGACCGGGCCCAAGACAGAACCCTGTGGCACCCCACTAGTCACTCTTCTCCAGGATGAAGAGGAACCATTGATGAGCACCCTTTGGGTTCGGTCAGTCAGCCAGTTACAAATCCACTGAGTGGTAGCATAGTCAAGACCGCATTTTACCAGCTTCTTTACAAGAATATCATGGGGCACCTTGTCAAATGCCTTGCTGAAATCAAGGTAGGCTACATCCACTGCGTTCCCTTCATCTACCAGGCTTGTAATTCTGTCAAAAAATGAGATCAGGTTAGTCTGACATGACTTATTTTTCAGAAATCCATGCTGACTATTGGTGATCACAGCATGCTCACTAGGGGCTCACAGACTGTTTGCTTAATGATCTGCTCCAGAATCTTCCCTGGTATTGATGTCAGACTGACTGGGCGGTAATTATTTGGGTCCTCTCTTTTCCCCATTTTGAAAATAGGGACAACATTTGCCCTCCTCCAGTCTGCCGGGACTTCGCCTGTTCTCCAGGAATTCTCAAAGATGACTGCCAGTGGTTCTGAGATCACATCTGCCAGTTCTTTTAATACTCTTGGATGCAGTTCATCTGGACCTGGAGACTTGAATACATCTAAACTAGCCAAGTATTCTTGTACTATCTCCTTAGTTATTCTGGGCTGTGTTTCCTCTGCTGAATCATTTGCTCCAAATTCTTCAGGTCGGGCATTATTTTCTTTATCGGAGAAGACTGAGGCAAAGAAGGCATTGAGGAGTTCAGCCCTTTCTGTGTCCCCTGTTTGCATTTCACCATCTTCTCCTCTGAGTGACCCCACTGTTTCTTTGTTCTTCCTTTTGCTACTGAACATACCCATAAAAGCCTTTTTTGTTGCTTTTAACCTCTCTAGCAAGCCTGAGTTCATTCTGTGCTTTAGCTTTTCTGACTTTGTGTCTACACGTGCTGGCTATTTGTTTGAATTCCTCTTTGGTGGTTTCCCCCCTTTTCCATTTTCTTGCCGATCGTATGGTTGGTAGTTCGAATCCCCGCGGCGGGGTGAGCTCCCGTCGTTCGGTCCCAGCTCCTGCCCACCTAGCAGTTCGAAAGCACCCTTAAGTGCAAGTAGATAAATAGGTACCGCTTTATAGCGGGAAGGTAAACGGCGTTCCATGTGCTGCTCTGGTGCCGGTTCGCCAGAGCAGCTTCGTCACGCTGGCCACGTGACCCAGAAGTGTCTGCGGACAGCGCTGGCTCCCGGCCTCTAGAGTGAGATGAGCGCACAACCCTAGAGTCTGTCAAGACTGGCCCGTACGGGCAGGGGTACATTTACCTTTACCTTTAAAGTCTAGCAAACTAATAATAATAATAGGTGGGTGGGAATGAACTCCTAGTTTGTGGGGGAGGCACTTGCACCCTGCTCCTGCTCTGACACCACCCATGTTGCAACATACATCCTGCTCATGAAAAGAGTGATTTGGAAGCCAGCCTTACTGACTTCCACGAAGCGTCCAAGCCACACAAGTGTGTGTTGAACATTTCCAGCCAGGCATCCCAATCCTGAGGCAGTTGAGCTGATTGACTGAAGCATTAAGACAGGTCTCAACAGTGAAATGGCTTGGGCTTAAATCCAAGAATGTCAGCTGAAGACTGGCTTGTGTGTGTGTTCATCAGTGCAGCATCAAAAGAGCAGGGATGGGGAGTCTGTGGCCTAAATCTGGCCAGCCGTGTCTCTCACTCTGCCCCCACCCTGCACGGGCCACACACTTTCTTCCTCTGCATCGATTCCACTTGCCCTCACCAACTGTTACATGGCTTTTGTGGTAATTGTGGCAGTCGCTGCCACTTGCAGGTGAGAGGAAGTGCCACTGCTGAGAGGGCAGGACCAAGCTGGCTATGTAGGCAAAAGTCACTCTCTTCCTGCAGTACCAGTTCACCTGGCATCCTGCCTGTGCACTGAGAAAGGGGAACCCTTTTCTCAACATGCAGAGAGGAAACCTGCAGAGTCTTCCTGTTTTGCAAGCTTGCTGTGGTTCCTCTCAACATAGCTGAGGAAGCAGGAAGGGGGGTCTTTTTCTTAGCAAAGCTTGCAAGTGGAGGTAAATGCCAAACACACTCCTTTACAGTCTTCCTGTCCGTTTTGTACATTAAGCCTTCTGTCTTTCCCTTGGTGCACAAATTCGTTGACCCTAACATGTGTGAGTTAAGGGACACGGGTGGCGCTGTGGGTTAAATCACAGAGCCTAGGACTTGCTGATCTGACGGTCGGCGGTTCGAATCCCCGCGACGGGGTGAGCTCCCGTCACTCGGTCCCTGCTCCTGCCAACCTAGCAGTTCGAAAGCACCTCAAAGTGCAAGTAGATAAATAGGTACCGCTCTGGCGCAAAGGTAAACGGCATTTCCGTGCGCTGCTCTGGTTCGCCAGAAGTGGCTTAGTCATGCCGCCCACATGACCCGGAAAAACTGTCTGCGGACAAACATTGGCTCCCTCAGCCAGTATAGCGAGATGAGCGCCACAACCTCAGAGTCGTTCATGACTGGACTTAACTGTCAGGGGTCCTTTACCTTTACCTTTAACGTGTGTGAATGTCATGTCCAGGATGTGTCAGTAGGTTTAGCCTCTGCCTGCAGGTGGTAGGTGGCCCCAGGACCCAGGGAATTTGCCCCTCAAGGAGCAAAATAGTTCCCTGCCCATGCATGTGCAAATGAGCAGGCAGTGATCCAACTTGACAGGCAGAACTTTCCTATCACTTCAGACAAGATGCTTTTCAGTAGAATTCATACATTCAGCGGCTAGGCAGGAATGGGTGGGTCACCTAGACGTGCTCTCTCTTTCTCTCTTGGAAGATGCAAGATCTGCTGATGACTTTCATATGGGAGTAGGCACCACCTCTTTCTCACCTTGATGCCAATTTTTCCCAACTGTGTCATATCCAGTTGCCGTTCATCAAGTGTAGAATAATCTGGTGTAACAAAATCAGGTGATATATACATGCAGGGGAGCTGGTCTATTAGTGCAAGCGCAGTGTCTCACCAAGCTCTGCCTCCACCTGGTTCCTACTTTACTTACAACCAGTCTATGGGGTGACACTGACTGTCAGCCCCTCCTTCTTAGTCTCAGTCTCCTCCTCTTAACACAGCAGGGAGAAGAATGAGAACAAAACCAGAATGACTCTGCCTATCATTGGCTCTGGCTCCCCCTGCTGTTGACCTCCCCCCTGCTTCTGCCCTACGAGTCCTAATGGGCACCAGCTTCCACCGCTTACACGTCCAAACAAGCCTGCAGTTGCTTAAGAATATCTTGTTGAGCTTGCAGCCAAACAAACACACATTTGCAGAGCAAATATAGCTAGATCATTCAGGACAAAGATGCTAATCCAATGATAGTGTTATGGATCAGTTTGGAGACTTTCTTTCAGCCTTGTGCTAGAAGAGAACCTGTCTTTTAAAGTCGCCTTTAAATGTTTCTCGAAGAGTAGCTCAGCACCACCAAGCGAAACAAAGCTAACCTGAGCGTGGCTGGTTTCTCCTCTCCAGCCTGATAACTCTGGAAGGCAAACCAACCATCTCTTCCCAGCCAGCCACTTATAACACCAGAGAAAGGGAAAGCCTTGTCAATGGCTCAGCGCCACTGGAGCACACATGGGGTTTTTATTTTATTGCAATTGGAAAATATTCAGGATGCAGAACAGCAGAGGTCAAAGGAACGGCATTATGCAAAATATGGAAGCTGTAGGGGGCAGAAAAGAAGGAAGAAATGGGAGTGATGGCTGACTCCCCCTCCCCTTCATGGTATGATGCAAAAGGCTTCGATCGTCAAGCGTAGAAAAAGGAATTGAACCGCTTCTTTTTGGAAGGATCTTTAACATTCATCTGACCATATGGACACTGGAGAAAGAGAGAGAGAGATGGAATAAGTCATTCTTGATGAGGCCTCAACATTGCCCGTGCTTAAAGACAAAATTAATGATGTCCTATAAATCATTTGTGGCCTCGGGACTTGAAAAGAGAGCGAGCAAGAGGAAAGGAGGAGGAGGAATTGAGCCATGGACCCCCCTTTTCCTTGCCCTCTCCCCAAACAAATGGTCCTAATTATTGTCCAAGAAACCTCCTTGCTAGATATGTCCCTACTCATTATACAGTATCTGAGTCAACCGCTCCTCTCCCCACTCTGCATGCAATCCTGTATGCTTACCAAAGTGGAGGAAAAGAAATCTCATTGAAGTCAAGAGATCTCACTTCCTGAAACCTCACATAAGATGGGGAGACTAGATTTCTCTAGTCACAAAACACAAAGTGAAAGCCAGAATCTTTTGTAGCCAGATCCTACTTGGAATTTGGAAATCAATCCAACTGTGTTCAATGAGGCTTACTCCCAGGGAAGCGTGCACAGGACTGCAGCATTAAAACTCACAATTCAAGAGTGTTTTGGAGAGCAATGTGAAGAGAGTGACACAGGTCCCATACACTATAGATGCAGCGAGGTATTTAATCACTTTCAGATGACTGAATAAGACTGGAAAAAGGCTGGAGGCTGGAGGTGTTTACTTTCTTCTGAACAGTTAATAATAATAATAATAATAATATTGTTATACCTCACCCTTCTTTGTTGAGAGTCCAGGGTTGCTAACAATAAAATTACAGCACTAAAACAAAATTAAAACCGCAATACAAAATATATAAACAATCAATGTTAAATTATGGTAGATGCACTGAACTGTTTTTTTTTGGTCAATGATCTGTGTACTATAATTGCTCAGGCCAATGTTGGTTACTTTGCAGTACTGATCTATGGTTGGACAGGATGCCAGTTGCTTTTTATTTCTCTGCAACCCACCAGGTGTAGAGTTGCAATGCTTAGAGGGTTCATCAGTCACATTAATTCATTGCAACCCTTTTCAGGGATTAAAAAGATGCTTCTGGTGTATTATGCAGGAGCCTGAATGGTGAAAGTTAAAATATTTTGTAGACAAGTGCTTAAACCTGGGGTGGGAAACCTGTGACTCTGCAGATGTTGGACCCCAACCTCTATCTAGCCAATCGTCAGGATACAAGTTGGCCATCCCTGACTTAAACAAACCTCAGGTGGTCTGCATCATTGTATAACATAGCTTTCTCCTTTCCTCACACAGAAGAGAATGCCTCTTCCACAATGGGGCCTATCACAACTCTTCCATATATACTCTGCTGGAAGGCAGGCCTTTTTCTGCAGAAATATTGATTTATTAATATGTAAGCTGAACTGATTAATTATTAGCAGTAACCTATAGAACAGCCCATCTGCCGTCTCTCAAATTATGGAAGGGGAAAATTTGGAATAAGATGGTGATGAATAAAATGGGAGGGAAGAAGTAACTCAGAAGACACATTTCAAAGGAATTGGACACTATTTATCCAATATTGGAACAGATATAGAACTGAGAAGCGAGCGTCAATGGACATTTTGACAATGTGCTAAAATTGATTAGCTGACATTGAAGCTGTAAGATGCGATTCCCCCCTCCTTTTCACTCAATATGGTCTTTTTCAATATGATTTTTTTAATATGAAGAAAATAAATGTATATCAAATAATTTATTTTAAAATAAATAACTCATATGGAGGTAATTAAGATTTCCTTAACGAGATGACAGGCCAGTGTGGATAAATGAATGGATTTAGATGTTTTAATATTTTTAATGATGTATTTTATTGTTTGAACTCTGTTCAAGAGGACTTGTGTTGACTGCGCAGGCAACAAAAAAATAATTTATGAAAAACTGGTGTGCTGAGGACTGTGAAATTTGGGTGCAGGGAAAGTGGAGCCATTGACTTATGACATCCCATAAGCTACTCCGTTGTTACCCCTCCTTTCCAGAACAACATTTCTGGGTAAGAGTCTGGAAGCAGCTCTGACATTTGCTATAATGAAATTCACATGGAAAAGTTAAAGCAGTAATAATCAGTTTGAGAAGGACCGTCGGGATGATAAATGCCCTCTCTGAAAATGTTTTACATATCCTAGTGCTGAATGTTTTACTTGGGGTGGGGCCTATTGATTTTAGTGGGCATTACACCCAAGTGGTGGGTTCAAGGTTGGGGGGGGCGGATTCAGACCAAGTTATTATGATCTGTTACTGTCAAATGTGGAAGCAATAAACTTGCTAGTGTGTTAAGGATTTTTTTTAAAAAAAGAAGCCGAAAAGGGGAATTGACGCTACTTAGTAAGGTATTCAAGGCAGTTGCTGGCACTTAAACTGATTAGATCTCCTATTTTATTTCTCTTCTGTAAAAAAAACATTTTTTAACAGCAACTCCAAAACCAAGGTCATAAAGATCAGAGGCTATACAAAGAGCACGGCTACATCTTAAATCTACAGTATGCCCGATCGGTTCACCATAGCTATTTCTGTTCACCCAAGCACATCTCTCCAGAAGCATCTGTAGGAATTTGGAGGTCGTCTTCAAGGTTAGCTGTGTTTGCAAACCTAATCGCTGGCTGCCTAGAACGTGTTCAGGTTTGTTTCTTGACACCAGCAGAAACAGATAAAACACCCTTCTTAGCCACACTGGTTTATGAGGAAGTTAAATCCACCGAATTAACTGAGTGAACATGTGCAGGATCATATATACAAACAATGTGTACATTTTTTGAGGGGACAAAAACAACTGCAACTTCCTTCTGTCCCTGGCAATTCAACTGCCTTCCCCAGAGAGGCCTTCATATGTATCCTTTTAAGGGAACAGGTGTGTCATTTACCACTTAAATTCATTTTAAAACTGACTGATTTGTTGATGGAGCGCCTTCCTCATGGGAGTCAACAAGGTTTAATACTCACATGTCTGCAGGAAGTACCACAGCAGTGTCCTCTCTGCAAATGGGCCACTTTGGTGAACACTAGGTAGCCAGTGACTGGATCTATGTAGTTATGCTTCCCAGCCTATTTAAAACACAAAGAGAGAACAGCAGACCTTACTTCTTGTTCCCGTGATTAAAGGCAAAGGATAAAGGGACTCCTGACCATTAGGTCCAGTCGTGGCCAACTCTGGGGTTGGGGCGCTCATCTCGCTTTACTGGCCGAGGGAGCCGGAGTACAGCTTCCGGGTCATGTGGCCAGCATGACTAAGCCGCTTCTGGCAAACCAGAGCAGCGCACGGAAACGCCATTTACCTTCCCGCTGGAGCGGTACCTATTTATCTACTTGCACTTTGACGTGCTTTCGAACTGCTAGGTTGGCAGGAGCAGGAACCAAGCAACGGGAGCTCACCCCGTCGTGGGGATTCAAACCGCCAACCTTCTAATCAGCAAGTCCTAGGCTCTGTGGTTTAACCCACAGCGCCACCCGCATCCCTTGTTCCTGTGATTACCACTTGACAAATGCACACGGAACACCCATTGTTATTGGAGTAGGGGTCGTGGGGGAAGCCAAGCAAGCCAGCAGAACAATGGGATGCCGTCTTTAGTGCAGTCAGATGTTTCTTTGTTTATTTATGACGCACTTCACCCTACCCATTCTTCCAGCTTTATTCTTTTTCTGAGTCTGCATGGCCAGCCCAACAGCCAACTTTTAGGGCGCTTCCGGACTGTCACCATTTCGCAGTGGGGTTCCAGTCACATACAGGCAAATGCAGGTTGTGCAATTATAGCTGAATTGGGAGGTCTCGAGTTAACAAACTTGCTTCTGCCAAAAGTTCAGATTTTTGTGTGATAACGAGAGCGATGGTGAAACGCACTGGCCTCTATTCTCCCTGCAAACAAATCAGGATGAGTGCTCAATAGGCAGGTTGTCTGGGAGAGCCCTAAAAAACAATAGCAGGTACAGCCCATGGCATCACTCCAGAGACTCCCAGTATAGTGATGGAGAGGAGGAGGGATGTGAGGAGCGGAAGAGGCAAGGGAACATTGCAGGGTGTGCGTGAGCGAGTTTGTGTAGAGCCAGGGCATCCCGCTTCACTTTTGGAAGATGGCTTCGCACATGTGTGTCAGACGGTTGGCAACATTCATCTGCCCTCCGCAAAATTCTGAAATCCCTTCGTTTCACTATGATTTGCAGACAGCAGTGTCTTAGTGTAAGATGGGATAGCAAAAAGGAATCTCTCTTGGAGCAGCTAACCGTCTTGAGCCAGCCCAGCGCATTTGCCTGCTTTTCAAAGCATTTCAGATTGGTAAAAGGAAAGCCAGCTAATTTTTGTCCAAGTGACAGACGCCTTTCTAGCTTGGACGCAGCATTGCCAATTGTAAATGGATGTGAAGGGATTTGTGCCTCGGAAGAGAGGTGTAAAGCAAAGTCACAGCTCTATGGGCTCAGAGAATAGGAATGTTCTGCAGATGAGTTGTTTTCCAGTTGTGGGGAACTCTGGGGTACCCCAGTGAGAAGGCCTGTGGTGGCAGACAAACCTGGTGCAGTTTGTGCACCATTTTTATTTTATTTTTACTCTGCAATATGCAAACACAGGGAAGTGCTGGGTGTATTTCAGGTAGTGATGGCGAAGAATGAGCTCAGGATGTGAATTTCCCCAGCTCATGGTGCCCGCACATATTCCAAGGAGAGCATCCTTGTCCTAAAATTATTCCTCTGTTCATAACTGAGACAATAGACATTTGCTATGTAACCCAAATTTTGCACACGAAGCTGAATGGTGTGACCTGCATAAATTATGCAGATCAAGTATATTTGTGCATGGCTGTTTATTTTGTATGATTTATTCTGCCTCTGCTCATTGTGAAAAGAGGTATGGAATGATTACAGGCTCACCCATCCATGGCCCTCAAAACCTTAGTCACATTTCTGGCTTCTGCAACTACACACATGCTAAAGTATCTTCCGTCATAACTGTAAGTTCTAGAATCTTGTATTAAAGAAATAAATAAAGCAGAGTTCCTTTTCAACAAGCCAAATTCTGCAACCATTACACATCCCTGCCACCCACCACCCACCCCAGTTAAAAACATACAGGTTTCCTTGGTGAATCAGACCCAGGGCTAACCAGCCTAGCATTCTGTTTTAGCCAGGTGTCTCAGCACTTGCAAGCAGGGTGCAAAAAGCAACAGGCCTGGTATACTGCCTCTCTCCATGCAGGTTCTATTTATCTATAATAGCTAATAACAACAGTGTTCGTGGGTGAAAATAAGAGGGTGTGATGCTTACCATTATATACCTCAGATATGCAGATGACACAACATTGATGGCAGAAAGTGAGGAGGAATTAAAGAACCTTTAAATGAGGGTGAAAGAGGAGAGTGCAAAATATGGTTTGAAGCTCAACATCAAAAAACCGAAGATCATGGCCCCTGGTCCCATCACCTCCTGGCAAATAGAAGGGGAAGAAATGGAGGCAGTGAGTGATTTTACTTTCTTGGGCTCCATGATCACTGCAGATGGTGACAGCAGCCACGAAATTAAAAGACGCCTGCTTCTTGGGAGAAAAGCAATGACAAACCTAGACAGCATCTTAAAAAGCAGAGACATCACCTTGCCAACAAAGGTCCATATAGTCAAAGCCATGGTTTTCCCAGTACAGTGGTGCCTCGCAAGACGAAATTAATCCGTTCCGCAAGAGTCTTCGTCTAGCGGTTTTTTCGTCTTGCGAAGCAAGCCCATTGACGGATTAGCGCTATTAGCGCTATCAGCTGTTTAGCGGCTATTAAAGGCTTAAAGGCTTAGGGGATTAGCTGCTAAAAGGCTATTAAAGGCTATTAAAGGCTTAGCAGATTAGATAAAGGGGGAAAAGCGAAAAAAATCTCAAGACTCGCAAGGTATTTTCGTCTTGCGAAGCAAGCCCATAGGGGAATTCGTCCTGCGAAGCAACTTCAAAACGGAAAACCCTTTCGTCTAGCGGTTTTTCCGTCTTGCGAGGCATTCGTCTTGCGGGGCACCACTGTAGTGATGTACAGAAGTGAGAGCTGGACCATAAAGAAGGCTGATCGCTGAAGAATTGATGCTTTTGAATTATGGTGCTGGAGGAGACTCTTGAGAGTCCCATGGACTGCAAGAAGATCAAACCTATCCATTCTGAAGGAAATCAGCCCTGAGTGCTCACTGGAAGGACAGATCGTGAAGCTGAGGCTCCAATACTTTGGCCACCTCATGAGAAGAGAAGACTCCCTGGAAAAGACCCTGATGTTGGGAAAGATGGAGGGCACAAGGAGAAGGAGACGACAGAGGACGAGATGTTGGACAGTGTTCTCGAAGCTACCAGCATGAGTTTGACCAAACTGCGGGAGGCAGTGGAAGATGGGAGTGCCTGGCGTGTTCTGGTCCATGGGGTCACGAAGAGTCGGACACGACTAAACAACAAAAGTGCTTACAAATACAGTACTGGCCAAACAATAGCTAAAGTGACAAAACACGCAGCAAGAGCAAGGCGTGGCAATCTGGGCTTGCTAAACGGATGCCCTTGCCAGTTCCGAAGCGTCCCTAGCACCGAAAAAGACCACACCTTTGCTAACAGAAAAAGACAACTCTCAAGTCTGGCACTCGCCCCGGTTTGCAGAGCAGCAGCCGCCGCAAAAACCCGGAGCACCAAGGCGGCTGCGCCAAGGCGAGGCAAAAGCGAAGCGGACTCACCGCGCATGCCTCCTCGTGGAGAGCCACCACCCTCTTCTCCGCTTCAGTTAACCCTTCCCTGCCCTCGCAGGTGCCAGCTTCCCCGGAGCGCTGGGCCGCGGAGCAACCGCCGCCGTCGGGGAGACCTCCTTCCCCGTCCGCCTGGCCGTGGCTCAGCGGCCTTCTGCCCCGCTGCCCCGGGGGCTTGCAGGGGATCGTCCTGCTGCTGGTGGTGCAGCAGCGCGCAAGCGACGTGGCCGCCATGAGCGGGACGGATCCAGCCCCGGTTCCCCCCTTGGGCAGGAGCCGCGGCCACTTCCTTGCCCAAGAAGCCGCGTCGGGCTCCACCCACCACCTCTCTCTCTCTCTCTCTCTCTCTTTCTCTCTGGGTCGCTTTAGGAAACGCTCCGGGAGCCACGCAGGATCGGGGCCCTTTCCTTTAACGCCGTGGTGCGGCAGGAGAGGGTGGCAAGTGTGGCGGGAAGATTGAAGGACAATCAAAGGAGCATTTAAATATTTCACTGTAGTGTAGCATGAAATTTATTATTATTATTATTTGCAGAATGTGGCTAGGTGTCTTTTCAATAAGAGAGCAAGGGCACCAAGTGATTGGGTTTGCACACATACTTACGGTACATGCATATGTAAGAGGCTCATTTGTAATTATATTTTGGGGGAGATTTTTAGGAAAACTGCTTTGTTTTATACCTTCTGGGTGTCCCGTGAGCATATTATAAAGTAGTTGTGTTCTACGTTATAAATCCAGCCCTGCTAAGTTTTTATTTTTTGTTTCCAATGTACTTCTTATTAATAAAAAAATGGTATGGGGCGAGCAAATTTTTATTCTAAAAGTGAGGCCCAGCAAAAAAAAAGTGTAAGAACCACGGCCTTTATGCTCATAGAATTTGTCAGGTTGGAAGGGGTTCCAAGGGTTATTTAGCCTAACCCTGAGATTCCTGCATTGCAGGTGGTTGGACTAGATGGCACTTGTGGTTGGGGCAGCCATATGTCTGGGATTTCCTGGACATATCCAGGGTTAATCCATCAGAAACAGTGTCCAGGCGGAATTTCTGAAAATCGGTATAAATGTCCTGGAACCTGATCATATGGCAACCCATGTTGGAAGTGGGTGGTGGGTTTTTTGAGGGGGGGGGTTGAATTTCCTTAAAAATAGCTGAACCACTTTGGCCCCCCAAAAACAAGATGGCAACCCTACTTGTGGTATCTTCCACCTCTATTATTCAATGTTATTTTAAAATTTATACATTTGTAAGGTGGCGCTGTGGGTTAAACCACAGAGCCAAGACTTGCCGATCAGAAAGTCGGCGGTTCGAATCCCCGCGACGGGTTGAGCTCCCGTTGCTCGGTCCCAGCTCCTGCCAACCTAGCAATTCGAAAGCACATCAAAGTGCAAGTAGATAAATAGGTACCGCTCCAGCGGGAAGGTAAACGGCGTTTCCGTGCGCTGCTCTGGCTCACCAGAAGCGGCTTAGTCATGCTGGCCACATGACCCGGAAGCTGTATGCCAGCTCCCTCGGCCAATAAAGCGAGATGAGCGCCGCAACCTCAGAGTCAGTCACGACTGGATCTAATGGTCAGGGGTCCCCTTTACCTTTACAAGCAGTATCCGTAAGAAATAATACCATCCATTATCAAATAATAAAAGTGCACCTAGCTGGATTATGTGTCTTGATAGGCTTGCAAAAAGAAGCAGCAGCTTTTTAAGGAGCATCTGAAACAGTACAATGAGGGTGCTTGCCTAATATGAATCAGCAGGGAGTAAATTCCCACCATGACACACACATGCAGCATGAACAGAGCTGGAGACACACCTTAAACACTCCCAACTGAAAACCCAGTCCTCTGCTCCCACTTCGGATCTCTAGTGACATAAGATGTCCACAGATCCCACAGCTTTGCTCCCTGCACCTGTCCATAGTCTGCCTCAAGCTGCAAGCTTTGCATGCAGGAACATTGTCCCTCCCTCTGGCCCAGAGGGAACGGACTGGGAGATCTGGATGAGTCATCTCCAGCCATCACCTAGCCTTCTTGTTCCCATGGCAACACATCACAGGGCTATTAACACTCTTTTGTCAAGTCCAGGTATTGCCACATGGAGAACTATACTCAGAAAGCTAATAGGAAACCTCCCCACCCATATATATATATGTGCATATAGTTTACACACACACACATACAAACACATATATCATACATCCATACATACCTTCAATAAGCTGTGGAAACAGCGGAATTCCCTCTCCACAGTTGTAGCTTTCCTCGGATGCTGAAGACACACCTCTTTGCCCAGCCACTCTCTTAATGGCAATTCCTTTCAAGCCGATTTTAATATGGTATTTTTCCATTGTTGTAACCTGCTCTGGGACCACATGGTGAAGGACAGGTAACAAATCTTAACAACAACAACACATAAATACATACACACACATTTGGAACCTGCCTTTAAAACACATTCTTTTCCCTCAAAGAATTCTGGGCAGTATAGTTTTTATGCCTCACAGAGTTACACTTCCCTTAATGAACTACAGTGCCCAGAATTCTTTAGGGGGGGGGATGTGCTTCAGAAGATACAGTGGTACCTTGGTTCTTGAACTTAATCTGTTCTGGGAGTCCATTCAACTTCCAAAACGGTTCAAAAACCAAGGCACAGCTTCCGATTGGCTGCAGGAGCTTCCTGCACTCAAGCGGAAGCCGCGTCAGACGTTCGGCTTCCAAAAAGCATTCAAAAACCAGAACACTTCCTTCCGGGTTTGCGGCATTCTGGAGCTGATTTGTTCGGAAGCCAAGCCGTTTGAGTACCAAGGTACCATTGTATAGTGGGTACACAGCCTAAAGTCATCTACCCAGAACGATCGTGTCTATTGGCAACAGTCTCAGGATCTTTCCCAGCAACTTCTACCACCTGATACTTAACTGAAGTTGCCCCAGGGGGGGAACTTGCATGCAACATATATTTTTCCACAGAAAATGGAGACATCCTATTCCTTAAAGATAAAGGTAAAGGACCCCTGACAGTTAAGTCCAGTCGTGACTGACTCTGGGGTTGCGGCGCTCATCTCGCTTTATTGGCCAAGGGAGCCGGCATACAGCTTCCGGGTCACTAAGCCGCTTCTGGTGAACCAGAGCAGCGCACGGAAACAACGTTTACCTTCCCGCCGGAGCAGATCCTATTTATCTACTTGCACTTTGACGTGCTTTTGAACTACTAGGTTGGCAGGAGCAGGGACCGAGCAACGGAAGCTCACCCCGTTGTGGGGATTCAAACCACCGACCTTCTGATTGGCAAGTCCTAGGTTCTGTGGTATAACCCACAGCGCCACAAGCTTGCTATTTATACTCTGCTCTGCTCATTTGACTGGGCTGCTGCAGCAGCTCTAACCACATATAAAAACATAATAAAACATTAAATATTTTAAAACTCCCTTACAGAGATGTCTTCTAAAGGGTGTGTAGTTATTTCCTTGGCCCCAGGGGTCAGATAGCGTCGTCCCCTCCAACATTTCTCCAATAAAATAGGAAAAGTGGGGCATTTCGGGATCGAATCAGAAACCGAGATGACTTCTGTAAATCTGGGACTTTCCCTGGAAAATAGGGACACTTGGAGGGTTTGATATATGCATGTCTTCCACCATCAAATTGTAGCCCTTTCCTCTTAATGTGGGACACGGGTGGCACTGTGGTCTAAACCACAGGGCCTAGGGCTTGCACAACAGAGTGAGCTCGTGTTGCTCGGTCCCTGCTCCTGCCAACCTAGCAGTTCAAAAGCATGTCAAAGTGCAAGTAGTTAAATAGGTACCGCTCTGGTGGGAAGGTAAATGGAATTTCTGTGCGCTGCTCTGGTTTCGCCAGAAGCGGCTTAGTCATGCTGGCCACATGACCTGGAAGCTGTCTGCAGACAAACGCCGGCTCCCTCGGCCAGTAAAGCGAGATGAGTGTCGCAACCCCAGAGTCATCTGCGACTGGACTTAACGGTCAGGGTCCCTTTACCTTTATCTCCTCTTAATATGGAAGAGGAAGGTCGTGCAAAGTGAATCCTTTAGTGTTGTCTATGGTCTTCAAACCTATCCATTCTATGGTCTTCAAACCTATCCATTCTTAAGGAAATCAGCCCTGAGTGCTCACTGGAAGGACAGATCCTGAAGCTGAGGCTCCAATACTTTGGCCACCTCATGAGAAGAGAAGACTCCCTGGAAAAGACCCTGATGCTGGGAAAGATTGAGGGCACAAGGAGAAGGGGATGACAGAGGACAAGATGGTTGGACAGTGCTCCCGAAGCTACCAGCATGAGTCTGACCAAACTGCGGGAGGCAGTGGAAAACAGAAGTGCCTGGCGTGCTCTGGCCCATGGGGTCACAAAGAGTCGGACTCAACTAAACGACAACAACAACAACAACAACATGGTCTTCAGAGAATGCCAACGCTCTCAGGGCCCTTTGCCAGACTTGCTTTTCCTCAGGAACTAGCCCTGCCTGGTGTTTATTTCTCTCTAAGGCTATTACTATATTCCTTTCTGTAAGGGCAACACTGTAAGGTTTTGAGAATAAAACCCAGGCTTCCATAGTCGGAATGCTTCAGAAGTGAAGGGTTTAGAAAATTTAAATACCTCCCTTCCCCACTTCAGCAACAGATGGGGACATATAGCTTCTCGTCACAAACATTTTAAAAGCTGGAAATCTTGGCACCCATTTGAATTCACACAGAAAGGAGGCTAAGAAATGGGAGCAGTTTGAAAACCTAATCAGGTTGTAGAATGATCCCCAGGGGAGATTCTATGCATTTGTTGTCATATAAGAGCCTCATTAAGGCCTCTCCATTGTGATAATCACATAGGGAAACTATGAGTAGGGTGTATTGGCTAGCGTCAGGTAAGTGTTATTAATAGAGACGGACTATCAGCAAAGTTTGAAGTAAATATGTGCGTGATTCTTTTTTTCTTTTCTTTTTTTGATAACCAAGTAAGCTTTCTCTGGGTATTTCTCTCCCTCCTTCCATTTATACACATATCTGCTAGGAAATCTTAGATTCTAGCTCACAGGTTTGCAATAGGTGTGCACCCCCCTTATACCGTACATTCTGTGGTAAGAAAAATCTGTTTCGCTGTAGAAGTTTTGTTTGTACAATAATAAGTTGGTTTGGATTAGAAGGGAGAGGAGGGGAGGGGTAGTTAAATAAAACTTTTAAAGAATAGAAGCACAGAGTATGCCGCTAGATGTACAATTTAACTTACTGAGAATGTCACCTTTGGTTTTGTTTGCTTGTTAAAAGCTGCTGCCTAGCCGTTTTTTCTGTAAAATGAAAATTGACAATGGGTGAGCAATGCCTTCTGCAATCTCAGAAGCTAGGGCTAGCCAGATAAGAGTTGCAATTGTTTAGGGAAGTTTTTAATGTATGATGTTTTATCGTGTTTTTAATATTCTGTTGGAAGCTGCCCAGAGTGGCTGGGGAAACCCAGCCAGATGGGCAGGGTATAAATAAATTTGTTGTTGTTGTTGTTGTTGTTGTTGTTGTTACTATTATTAGCTGGGGTTCCATTGTCTGCATAGCTTCTTGCCATTTTCTGTGCCTAGCAACACCAGAATAAATTATGCAAAATAGTAATAATATAGAATAAATCAAACAACATAAGATAACATTAGCAAACTTACCCGTTTTGTATTTGGGCTGCGTGTGCACATTTAAATCACTCCCCCCCCCCAAAAAAAGAATCCTAGGAATTGTAGTTTACTCTTCACAGAGCTACTATTCTCAGCACCCTTATCAAACTACAGTTCCCAATATTCTTTTGGAGGGGAACACTCTTTAAATATGCTGTAAACATATGGTGTATATATGTGGCCAAGGTAGGCTGATCACCAAAGTCAGCTTTTATTACTGCAGAACTGAAGGAAGTGTCCGCACCTCCTTGGAAAGACAACCCACTCACATTCTGGCTTTAAAGCGTTCTTCATCATTGCTAATCTTGAAAATTCTGTCAGCTAAAAATAGGCAGGGGGAAGAAAATATCTAATACCAAGGAGGTGAAGAAATGCATTAGACACTCCTGAAAGCAACTCCATAAAGAGGCTATTTTACTACAATAGTCGCAGACTGAGAAGATGGGAAGCAGAGGTAAATACTATTGAAGTACAACTAGATTTGCACACAGGATGCATGCAGCTATGGGCAGAGCAGAGTGTCAGAAAAAGGGAAACGTACACCCAGGACTGGTTCTCCAAAAGGCAAAACGATCACATCAGAACAGATGGATTCCTGCTGGTGTTGTAACATGATCAACTGTAGTCAAGGAAAAAGAGATGTTATAATACAAGCACAGAGCCATTCTATCGCACCAGTATCCAATATAAAAACACATCTGTTCAGCTGTAAATTCCTAGTGAAAGAGGCTGGAGGGCTGGAACGTCGGATAATTCAAGGTTTAACTTCTCTTCCTGAGCATGTGTAAATCAACCCTTGATTTGTTTGGGGAAGCCATCATAGGGACTTCAGTTCCTCTTAAGGAACTAGGGTCATGGTGAAGAATCTCAGTTGTTTCTCTGCAGATCGAGGTCTTCGTTGCATGACTTGTGAACGTGCAGAAACTCCAGGGACGTGGTGGTTGCTCTGAATGGAGCTTCTCAGCTTGTGACGAGCTGATGGGAGAGTTAAGAAGTTTCTCCAAAACTTAGACCCGTTACGAAGATGCATGGCTTCATTCTGACAAGGCCCAAGAGCGTCACTGGGCTTGTCCATTCCTCTCCCTACGATTTAGTTTGTTCTCTGTGAGCAGTTGTGCAGGACTCACTCTAAAAATGGTGTTTTACATAGCAGTAAGGTTGGGTTTAATGGGACGCGGGTGGCGCTGTGGTCTAAACCACTGAGCCTAGGGGTTGCTGATCAGAAGGTCGGCGGTTCGAATCCCCGCGACGGGATGAGCTCCCATTGCTCGGTCCCAGCTCCTGCCAACCCAGCAGTTTGAAAGCATGCCAGTGCAAGTAGATAAATAGGTACCGCTCTGGCGGGAAGGTAAATGGCATTTCTGTGCGCTGCTCTGGTTTCACCAGAAGCAGCTTAGCCATGCTCACCACATAACGGTCAGGGGTCCCATTACCTTTTTAAGGTTGGGTTTGCCCAATACATGTTGGCACCTGAGGTGTACCACAAAATGGTTCGCCCCTGCCAGGGAAAAAGGGGTGAGTGAAGATCTGCAATGTGAACAAAGCGGAGAGTCAAATCAAGCTTCCCTGGTGATTGAAGTGGGAACTAGAGGCCACCATGGAGGGGGAAGGGGTTTGCTCTGAATCGCGCGTACAACCCAGGAGACCACCGAGAGCAGCCCCAGCCATTTCCTTCCTAGGGGTGGAAAGAAACCACCAGCACCTCCTATTTGTCAAGATCCTGCTTCAGGGGAGGCACTGGGGTGGCTGCTAAAGAAGCGTCAGATCTGGCCTCCAATGAGACCACAGCAGCAGCAGTGGGCAATGCATTCCCTGGATGTCAGATGCCCCCATTCATCCTGCTCCCCAAGGCCTAACCTTGTCTCATGGGTGGGCTGGCCCTGGTTTGTGTATTCCCCACCACCACTCTGTCTAAAATTTTCTGGACAGATCCCTTGGAGGAAGAGGAGAATGCCCGAAATTTGCATACCACTGGGTTGGAAAACATAGATGTTACAGGCAACAGGAATGCTGCTGGATCTCCTACTGAAAGCAATAGGAAGCGAAAATGATTGCAAGGAAGGAAAACAAATGAATAATGAAACAAATGTGGATTTTAACAAATTACTAAGGCAGGGGCCCACAAGCGGCCCATGGGGGTCGTTTAACCGGCCCACGAGCCGCCCACGAACCAAGCCGTCCGCTTCGCAAGTCCCGGTGCGCTGCACTAAATCAGCGCAGTGCGGCACAGGGACTTGCTTCAGCGGTGTCAGAAATCATGACTGCGCATATGCGTAGATGCCGGAAATCACTTCTGCAAATGCGCAGATTCTGGAAATCGTGTCTGCGCAGACACAGAAACTGGAAATCACATCTGTGCAGATGCAGACACCGGAAATCGCAGGTACGCACACTCACAAGTGCGCACAATCCAGCCTATGGAGGGATCTCCGCTGGAGTGAAGCAGTCCAGACAAGGTAAACCTTGCTGACCCCTGTACTAAGGCAATGAATGAGTTTTTTAGTAAGGAAAACTAATGGAATGATGGACCATTTAAAAAAATGCATAGCACCCCTAGTTGGTACAAAGTGGCAGTTGTACAAGAGAACCTATGTATAATGTGTGCCACCCCCAGCCTGAGTTTATGCAAGCAGGTCAATTCTGCATGTGGCAAACCCTACCTGTGACTAGCTCACTGTGAGCAGGGAAGTCCTGCCTGTCTGGGCAGTGTTCATGTATGCAAACTGGTCATGAGAAATCTTTAGAGGAAGAGATTATGTCCCTAAGAGATGCGAGTAAGGTTGACAGTTGCCAAGGTGACTAGTTGTGTTGCTTCAGGCAAGTTGCCGGAATAGCAAGAGGCTCGGCCATTTTTAAAGCCAAATATCATTGGTTTGGCGGGATGAGGGTGGCGCTGTGGTCTAAACAACTGAGCCTAGGGCTTGCCGATCGGAAGGTCGGTGGCAGTGGCAGAGCTTCATGCTCTGGCACCGGGGGGCGGAGAGCAGGTGGGGGCGGGGCTGGCACATGTCCCGAAGGTGGGGCGTGCCGCCCACAGGGGCGGGGCATGCGTTCTGAGGGCGGGGGGCGCCGCCTGCGGGGGCAGGACGCCCAGCGCAGGTGGGGGGCAGCCGCAATGGAACCCCAATGGGATCGCGTTGCCGGGGTGGTGTGCTCCCCCCGCACTCCTCTTCCTCCGCCAGTGGTCAGGGGTTCAAATCCCTGTGACAGGGTGAGCTCCCGTTGCTCGGTCCCAGCTCCTGCCAACCTAGCAGTTCAAAAGCACGTCAAAGTGCAAGCAGATAAATAGATACTGCTCCGGTAGGAAGGTAAACAGTGTTTCTGTGCGCTGCTCTGGTTTCGCCAGAAGCGGCTTAGTCATGCTGGCCACATGACCTGGAAAAACTGTCTGCATACAAACGTCGGCTCCTTCGGCCAGTAAAGCAAGATGAGCGCCGCAACCCCAGAGTCATTTGCGACTGGACTTAACTGTCAGGGGTCCTTTACCTTTATCTTTTTATCATTGGCTTGATCCTCAGAGCCTCCCAAAAACTACTGGGCTTGTGCTTCAACCAGGTGCTCAGTTGATCATCACATGATACAATCAGACCACCTAGAAGAACGTCATATGCACACAGTAGAGTTTAGGCATGGTGAGGGGGCAAGGATGGATAAGGGATATAAAAAGGGGATAGTTCTTGTGAGCTAGGGAATCCTTTGACATCCAGCTTCTGGGATTGAGGCTTCCTGAGGGAAAGCCTCCACAGAAACATGAGCTCACAGTTGCATAGGGTGGTAGGGAAGACATTTTGGGCAATGCGATCTCCAAAGTGTACATGTCAGTGCTTGCAAAAGGAATAGTGACTGAAATATGTCACTTGCTTTGATTAGGGGTAGCAAAGAAAGGACCGATTTAGATTCCTTGGGGTGGGGACCATGTATACTCCTTGGACAAAGAGCTGGGTGAATTGTGTAATGGCTTTAAAAAATAATAATTTGAACCTGCTGTTGAAGTTTGCATAGAGTGAGGCTGGAAATGCAATAAGGATGTACCGTATTGTTTGCTCTATGAGACTCACTTTTTCCCTCCTAAAAAGTGAGGGGAAATGTGTGTGCGTCTTATGGAGCGAATGCAGGCTGCGCAGCTATCCCAGAAGCCAGAACAGCAAGAGGGATTGCTGCTTTCACTGCGCAGTGATCCCTCTTGCTGTTCTGGCTTCTGAGATTCAGAATATTTTTTTTCTTGTTTTCCTCCTCCAAAAACTAGGTGTGTCTTGTGGTCAGGTGCATCTTATAGAGCGAAAAATATGGTACCTATTACTATAGCCACCCTGATTGCCCTGCTTTGCAAGTTCTCCACTATGAATTCATCCTTCTTGAATATGAACCTGATCCTTGAATATGAACCTTGAAAGTGAACCTACCTAGACCCTGAGATCATCTTCTGAGGCTCTTCTTCATGTGCCGCCTCAGTGAGAGGTCCAGAGGGTGGCAACATGAGAACGGGCCTTTTCTGCAGTGGCTCCCCATTTGCAGAATGCTTTCCCCAGGGAAGTTCAGCTGGCACCTTCATTATAAAACTTTAGGCACCAGGCAAAAATGTTCCTCTTCAACCAGACCTTGGGCTGATTGATATCTGATGCCCTTTTAAATGTGTTGTGGGCGGTATTGGTTTGTTTTTATTATGTATTTTGTGTGTTTTCTATCTCGTATTTCTGTGTTGTGAAATGAAGGCCGGTATGCAAATCTAAATGATAATAATGAAGGAAGATTATTTGTTTAATTACGGGTAATATGTAGCCCTCCCTTCCTCCTGAAGGAGCCCAGGGCAGCAAACACACAATGAAAACATCTAAAAACAATTCCAGTACAAATACAAAAGCAGACTGGGAAAGATTTCTATAGCAGTATGTGGCAGGGAATTCCAAGGGGTAGCTATAAATAAGACTAAAGACCCAAATCCTACACTGTGTGGAACGGACCTCTAGATGAGATCGCATCTGCAGGAGGCCCTGTAGACACACAGTTCTAGACATGATATGACCAGTCTGTTGTGTAAAAGGTACCATTAATTTATTATCCTGCATTGCAGAGGGATTGACCCTTGTGGTCCTTTCCAACTTTACAATTCTATGATTCCAAGTCACTGTGTGCTTAAGAAACAATTAAAAATATACCCCATGGTAAGCCCAAGAGTGGGGGTACCACTCTGCAATGGTTTGGTTTTTTCTGCATAATTTATTCCGCATCTGCCACTTTTGGAGAGAGGCACCAAAAACCCCACTCTCTGGTCACTGAAAATCATATTCAACAACTCCTCTGGCTTTTGAGATTTCGCCAGATATTGCCCCTAGACTTTCAAACATATCTTTACAATTTAAGGGTTAGAAAAGTTTGTGTGTGTGTGTGTTTTTAATGAAAGGTGAGGTCAATTCTTGAAGTCACATCTCCCCCAAGCATTTGCAGTGCCTCCTAGCTTGATGTCATGAGCAGACCTCATCAATACACTACTATTTCCTTCCCCCTGGTAATGAATGAAATATTGAACGAAGTAGGCCGACGGCTGATCCCAGGGGGAGTTCCACTGGCTACTCCTCTCCAATTTGAAAATGTTGCCTTTTAGCAAAATACTTTGTACTCCGTTACGTGGCTGAACAACCCCTCCTGTCCAAGTCAATGGGATTTAAGCAGTCTTAACTGTTCATAGGTTGGCAGCGCCCGTCTCTGCTCTTTAACCAGTTCCTTACCTCCCTGACAATACGCAAGGTTGATTCCAAATAGACCAGTTTGAATACTGTACTAGCTCATTGTGTATGCTATATCAACAGTGTTACTAAAATACAAATGGTCTAGATTTGCTGTACAGTTGCCTTGAGTTTTCCTTTTCCCTTTTTTAATATATGAAAATGTGGTGCCTCGGTTTCTTAAGCAGATATTTTCTCATCTTCCTAATACAGTTGTTTTCTTCACAAGAAAGGGTATCAGTAGGTCAGCATTATAGAGTTGTAGTGCTCTTAAAAGATAAAGGGACCCCTGACCGTTAGGTCCAGTTGCGGATGACTCTGGGGTTGTGGCGCTCATCACGCTTTACTGGCTATGGGAGCTGGCATACAGCTTCCGGGTCATGTGGCCAGCATGACTAAGCGGCTTCTGGCGAACCAGAGCAGCGCACGGAAACACCATTTACCTTCCCGCCGGAGCGGTACCTATTTATCTACTTGCACTTCATGCTTTTGAACTGCTAGGTTAGCAGGAGCAGGGACCGAGCAACGAGAGCTCACCCCGTCGCGGGGATTCGAACTGCTGACCTTCTGATCGGCAAGCCCTAGGCTCAGTGGTTTAACCCACAGCGGCACCTGTGTAGTGCTCTTACGTGCACCCAATCTGCACTTCTTCTTCCATATTATGAATTGTACATTCTTTTAGCCTTCATTTTAAACAGAAGTATTTTTATTGAAAGTTTTCAATGTAAAATACAATAAAAATCAAACTAATCCAAATAACAGAAATGATAAGAAAACAAGAAATGAAAAGAAAGGAGGAAAAAGAAAAGACAGAAAGAGAAAAAGAAAGAGAAAGGAGGGGGAAAATAACCATAAGGGCCCTTTATCACATCTATATCAGATATCATATCATTTAGCCACACACAGGAAAATAGACCTTTCCAGCGCCAACCTGGGAGCCTACTTTTCCCAGTCTCTACCTTTCCTGCAGGGAACACCTTTCTCCAACTATCCCCTTCCTATGTGTGTCCTCAATCCAAAATAAAGGGCTTCTAATAGTGAAAATAGGGACGCGGGTGGCTCTGTGGGTTAAACCACAGAGCCTAGGGCTTGCCGAGCAGAAGGTTGGCGGTTTGAATCCCCGTGACGGGGTGAGCTCCCGTTGCTCGGTCCCTGCTCCTGCCAACCTAGCAGTTCAAAAGCACCTCAAAGTGCAAGTAGATAAATAGGTACCGCTCCGGCGGGAAGGTAAACGGCGTTTCCGTGCGCTGCTCTGGTTCGCGAGAAGCGGCTTAGTCATGCTGGCCACATGACCCGGAAGCTGTACGCCAGCTCCCTCGGCCAATAAAGCGAGATGAGCATCGCAACCCCAGAGTCAGTCACGACTGGACCAAATGGTCAGGGGTCCCTTTACCTTTACCTTAATAGTGAAAATGAAATGAAATGAAATGAAATGAAATGAAACAGCAGTTCTTCCCCCTCTCTGTCACTTACATTATTTTAGCCTTCAGATGATGTTGTATGCAATAGTAGCTATTTTCCAGTCACAATATTCTCCCTCCTCCTTTCTCCATTGAGTTGATGGATTGAAATTTCTGCTAGTGGGACTACCAGTTCATTTGCCAATGAACTTCAGCAGAGATTATACCCTGGATTTAAAGAAGGTTGACTTGGGGGTTTTTCAGATATTACACGATGCCAGGGATACAAGAAGCAGAAGTGACTTGTACTTTGTATTCTTCACAACGCCTTAATTGGAAAATGTGCATTTCCTCCCAGGGTAATGTGTTAATCCCCCTGCCCTCTTAATCAGAGGACTGCTTGCACACCGCTCACCATAAAGTGAGGTCCATAAATTCTCTGCCTGGTTGCCTGTAACCTCACTTCTCGCAGTGAGGGAACCAGCAGAGGACCCTTGGAGGAGGACTTCAGTGTCTGGGCTGAATGATGGGGGTAGAGATGCTCCTTCAGGTATACTGGGCCGAGGCTGTTTAGGGCTTTAAAGGTCAGCACCAACACTTTGAATTGTGCTCGGAAACGTACTGGGAGCCAATGTAGGTATTTCAGGACCGGTGTTATATGGTCTCGGCGGCCGCCCCCAGTCACCAGCCTAGCTGCCACATTCTGGGTTAGTTGTAGTTTCTGGATCACCTTCAACGGTAGCCCCACGTGGAGTGCATCGCAGTAGTCCAAGCAAGAGATAACTAGAGCATGCACCACTCTGGCAAGACAGTCCATGGGCAGGTAGGGTCTCAGCCTGCGTACCAGATGGAGCTGGTAGGCAGCTTCCCTGGACACAGAACTGACCTGCACCCCCATGGACAGCTGTGAGTCCAAAATTATTCCCAGGCTGCACACCTGGTCCTTCGGGAGCACAGTTACCCCATTCAGGACCAGGGAGTCCCCCACACCTGCCTGTCCCCCAAAGAGTACTTCTGTACTTCTTAAACCTAGCCACCATCCATCCTCCAACTGCCTCCAGACACTCACACAGGACATTCACCGCCTTCAGTGGTTCTGATTTTAAAGAGAGGTAGAGCTGGGTATCATCCACATACTGATGAACACCCAGCCCCAAATGGTTGATGTTTTCTTGTGTTTTAGTTTTTGTCGGGAGCTGCCCAGAGTGGCTGGGGCAACCCTGTCAGATGGGCAGCATATAAATAATAAATAAAATTATTATTATTATCCAGTCCAACCCCCTGCAATGTAGGGATCCTGTCCACAGCTGATCCTGGTGGGCTCAAACCACCAACCTTCTGATGAACAGCTAGACGCACTGACCCATTGCTCTGTGGTTATTATGCAATCTTCTTAACTGTACATGCCTGTTTAAAAGCTGCTGAGCAGCTTGGCACCAGCCAGTCATTGTCTGGCTCTTGTCTCTGGGTCTTGATCTCCTACTGCTTTCCCTTCCAGACCCCGTGCTTCCCTGGTGACAGTTCACCTTTCTCGCCTCTTCATTTGGCTCTTGTTTCCAGCTCCTCATTTAGCATGTCACCTTAGTTTCAAATTCAGGGCTCCACTGTCAGATTCCAGTTAACTTGACGGTTGGCCAGGACATTCTATGTGACTGGAAAGCTCCAGAAATATACTTTGCAGAGTGGCTTCATTCAGTAACAAAGGAATCAAATACAGTGGTGCCTTGGTTTAAGAACAGCTTAGTTTATGAACAACTTGGATTAGGAACGCTGCAAACCCAGAAGTAGGTGTTTTGGTTTGTGAACTTTGCCTTGGAAGCAGAACATGTTCCGCTTCCTGTTGAGTGTAAATTGAGTCACCTGTTGCTATGGGAAAACACACCTTGGTTTAAGAACGCTTTGGTTTAAGGACGGACTTCTGGAACGGATTAAGTTCATAAACCAAGGTACCACTGTATTTACGTGTATGTGACTATAGAGTGCTTAGATTTGTGCTAAGCACAAAAATAAAGACACAATCGAAAATATTTGATACAAAAAGAGGGGGGGAATTGGAGAGACTCTCAACAAAGGATGGGGGATAAATTAAGTTCAGTTTGCATTTAAAGGTTGACTTGCTGAATCACACTTTCCATAGCAGTTTTCAAACTGAAACCCAGGAAAGGTGGCAAGGGCACTGGATTAGTGTCTATGGGGCTACTGCTGCACTGATCCAAGGAGGCTGGAACATAGGCCACCAGATCCCATATTACACCCTGTTTCTGGGCAGATGAGGATGCCTCCCTTTCACAGAAGGGATAAACTCTGCACATGAACAGAAACCCTTGGACCAAATGTTCCACATTTTTTTGGGGGGGGGGGGAATAGAAAGAAAGCAAAAAAAGAGGGAAAATGGCAGCCCTATTGTGAACATGGTCTATTATTCAAATATGGTCTGTTACATTTTTAATATCCTACATGGTAGGATGATAGATGCTCTTAGTTGAACTAAAGGCTGCAGTGTAATCAGATTCAACTGATAGGAATAGGAAAAAGTCTAGTCCAAGCGCTAATAATCTGCTTTGGAATCTGCACAGGCACCGGGTTTTGATGCTACATCTGCTGTTTTAATGTAATCAGAGAGGGATGATTAAAATGTAAGGGAGCCTTAGTTAAGTGATTAATATAGGTGGCTTTCAGATAGAAAAGACAATTTTTTTCATTTGCTTATGCCAGTACTTTTAGGTATATATAAATACAGCATCCAGCCACGCCTTTCTATATGAATCTTGCCAGATCATAGGGCAGCAAACTAGAATTCTGATAGCCAAAGCGGAATTTTATTCACTTGGAAAAGCACAATGTTCAAGCCATACATATTCTAGATTTCAGTCCTGTCTCTGGGACTGGATTTACACACAGTTCAGAACACGAAGTCTCATTCTGAGAAAGAGGGACTGAATTCCTTCAGCCTCTGTGATAATGCCCTGTATCCATACAGCTACCGTGTATAAAAGCTGTGCTACTTCTCTTCGCTTAGAACACCCTTAATCAAGGGTGCCAACTTGAATAAAATATGGGGGTGGGGGTGGGCTAGGTAAGCCCCGCCCCGCATCATCAATCACATGATGTGGTGCACACACACTATTTGAATGGCAATGCCAATCAACGGGGGGGGGCAGACCCCTCAAATATTTTATTGGGGGCCCCAAAGACCCTTCGGCTCCTAGGAGTTGGCTCCCATGCCTTTAATGCTATATGCTCAGAATCCTTTGTCCTTGCAGAGCAGCCAACCAGTTACAAGCTAATTGAAAGCAATATCTGAAAGCTCCACTTTAAACAGCCAACCAGATACTTGGAGCCGCATCCTTGTTCAATAGGATGCCCCTTAAAAACAATCTATCTACAGTGGCACCTTGGGTTAAAGACACTTCAGGTTACATACGCTTCAGGTTACAGACTCCGCTAACCCAGAAATAGTACCTTGGGTTAAGAACTTTGCTTCAGGATGAGAACAGAAATCGTGCGGCGACGGCGTGGCAGCAGCGGGAGGCCCCATTAGCTAAAGTGGTGCTTCAGGTTAAGAACAGTTTCAGGTTAGTAACGGACCTCCGGGACGAATTAAGTACGTAACCAGAGGTACCACTGTACTTTCTAGATTTAGAAAAGACTCAAATGGATTTTTTAAATAAAAAAATATTGCTAGTATTACAAAAATGGCCAAAGCACTTTTAATTACTAGCTTTCTCTTTGCAGCTTCTGCCCCTTATTGCTTCCCGTTCAGTGTGGCAGCAGCATCCCTCCTTAATAGCTGCTTAATTGTCCTTTAATTAGTTTCTGTTTCCCACAGGGAGCGAGTGGAGAGGGGCCTTTTATAACTGGTTCCTTCTCATGTTGTGTTGCAAAATAGTAATATTAAATAATTAAGGGTGCTGCAATTGTGGATTATTATTTTTTAAGTCGCCGCAGATCTAGTCTGAAAAAAAGGAAGGACAACAGAGAAAACACGAGTGCAACAAATTGGCAAAAGTGGTATCTAGATCTGAAGGCATCCCTGCATCAGGAAGTTATCAATATCTGATGTTTCATTGTATTTACATTCTGTTGGAAGCTGCCCAAATGGTGTGTGTGTGTGCCTTGTCATGCAATTGATTATGTAGGTTGGGGCTTACCTGGGACCCCCCAATGTTTTATTCAAGTTGGCACTCCTGGATGAATGCCAACCAACCAAACAAACCCAAGTATGACAAGTGTTCTGCCTGCACAAGCAGTTTAGCTTGCCAGAGAGAACAAGACACCCCTCTTCCCCCGACTGCACACTGTTCTGGGGATTCTCCTGACTCCTTCCCAAAGACAACACCTGAGGGTGGGGGCAGCATCTGATGTGCCCAATCTTTGCAAAGCTAGGTCTGCTATGACCCCCCCCCTTCTCGCTGCCAGCTGTGCCTCTGCTTCTTAGGGCAACCCCACCCCTTGCCACCTGTCTGCTACTTGCCATGCCTGGGTGGGAGGTCTGCTGCTATGCTCTCCTCCTCTGCCTGTTTGGGGCTGGGGACTCATTTCTGTCACTCAAACAAATAACATTCCAAGCACTGTTTTCCCTGGTTCCATGTGGCTCTGCGGTTTGTTGGTATGTGCATGAACCAGGCAGCATGCCATACGGGGTTCGGCCGGCGCTGAGGGGTGTGGCCTCTGTGAACATGCAATGCTGTTCCCACCGCCGCCATCACATGTGTTTGTTCATGGTGGGTGGAATACATTTAGGTGCCTGCACTGACCATGTGTAGGTGGGCGGATGAGATGGCTGTGCATGATGGGAGCTGGGTCCGGATGGGCTGCCCTGTGCAGCATGGCTGTGGACACCACATGCAGATCAGCGCTTCTTTCCCTGCACACCCCACCCCTTTCCCCAGCACTAATGAATCCAGTATTATACCCGCAAAACAAAAAGAGCCACATTTTTCTAGATGACACTACATCAAGACGTTCTTCGATTAAACATCAAGTTTAGGATGTGCAACTTCTCTGCAAGACAGATGGCTCGTCCACCAAGGAGCATGAAGCTGAAAATGCACCTTATTGACGTTTTGTATGAACACCACCACATTTTGTAACTGGGTCATCTGCCCATTAATTCATGCTCTTTGTTGCTGAGTGATATTAATCTACATAGTTTTATATAGGCTTAATCCTTCATAATGCTTTGTAATTTAACTTAAGGGGAATAAGATCCATTAAATGCTCACTATTTCATATAGTAATACCATAGAAGCTGGTAATGTGATGAAATAAGTTTTAATCTGATAATGGTGCACAATGGATGCTTTTGCTGGGCACTGCTATTTTGATATATGGGGAAGGTGGTACTATTATTTTATCCTCCAGTCTTCCCTTTCACAGAACTCCCAAATTCTTGGCACCATTTTTGGCAACAGATTAGCTGAATCTGTGAGATAGTTTGCATATGCAAATTATACTTGCAATTATTTTTCTGTAGCAGTCACAGCAGACGTAGGTGACAATACAACTGCCTTCAAGTTTTTGCCAAAATGTAAATCCATCCCACTGCATTTGGTGAGGGAGTGCATATGTCTTTCGCAACTTGTGCCCAGAAGGAGCTAGTAAAATTAGAATGGCAAAGCAATATGGGACACTGATTGCTGTCTCTTAAGTCCTGACGTATAAATGGGATGCATCAAACCCCCAACCCCCAACTTTAAAAATCAAGCTGGTGATTTTCACTTATCTACCTTCAGCTGTTTACTACTAACATAACAGAACTGATGCTGTCACTTCGGCAATATTTCTGGGCAAGAGGTGTGAAAGAGAGGCACAATATAATATCCAATGTCTCTGTTGACTTTTTTTGGGGAGGCCAGAGCCAGCGCAAACAAAAAGTTAAAAATAGAATGTGCAAGAATGACCTTGGCATTTCCAGTGCACTATGCGCCTTCCTTAACAAATAGGTGGTTTTATTGCCACAGAACTTTTCAGGTTACACTAGAAAACAAGGGCTGTGAGGGCCTTGCACGTAAATTCACAGACATCCTTTACAAATGCCAGTTTGTAAGCCAGGGGAAAGGCATTCTGGCCCAGCCACACGCAGGCTCCATTCCAACAAGGTCAGCAGTAAGCAGTGATGTAGCATGCATTGCCAGAGGCTGGGGCAAGGCAAGGATTGCTCCCTGTAACCTCAGTTACGTAGGAATCATCAGGCGGACTTAGCTCGCTGTGCCCCTGAGAAGGTCACCTGCCAGTCACTGTGTTTGCCCTCATAGGTCAGCAGCCTCCTGGCGGGAGTGCTGGCTGGCACTCCTTGGTGGGCTTGGTGGTGTCCCAGCAGCCTCTCCTCCTCCTCACCTGCTCTCCATCAGTTGCTGCCCAAGGGAGGAGGCTGGCAGCAGAGGCCACGGAGAGGCAACAGGATGCTCCCTCACCGCTGCTGCTGCTGCTCAGGACAAGTGCCAGCTCTTCTTCCTTCCCAAGTTCGGCAGTGGTAGCAGCACTGGAGGGGGAAATAGGGACATTCCAGGATCAAATCAGAAGCCAGGATGGCTTATGTAATTCCAGAAGTGTCTCTGGAAAGTCGGGACACTCAGAGGGTATGGAATTTCATGGGGAGACAATAGACGTTGAGTGGGCTTCTTTCTTAATCCTCTAGCTAAGCAACTATCCAGGATTGGTTTTACAGTTTTGCTGCTATGGTCTAGACCTTAACAGCTTTATTCTGACTTCTCCACTACCTCTTTGCCTGCAATTTGTTCCTCTGTTAACACAATCACCATCTTGCCTATGACCTCATCCCTTTCATCCCTTTCAGCAGTTTATCCAATTATTTCTTACTAATAAGTCTTCTTCTTCTTTGGCGATCACTTGTAGCCGAGTAAGATTGTCTTTCATGAACATGGTTTTAACAGTGGGTCTGTAAGTGACTATGGAGGCCAGTTCTGGATCCACACGTCCTTCCACAGTGGGGACAAAGGTTTCTGGGCAGGAGTTGATCATGGTGAGGGTTTGCCAAGCGTGCCTTCCTCTTAGCACGTTTCTCCCTGCCTTCCTCTTAGCACGTTTCTCCCTTTCATCCTGAGTTCAAGCATCTTCAAAGCCCGTGACACCTTTGGTAAAGGCTTTTCTCCAATTGGAGCACTCGCAGGCCAGTGTTTCCCAGTTGTCGGTGTTTATAAGACATTTTTTAAGATTTGCCTTGAGAGAGTCTTCAAACCTCTTTTGCTGACCACCAGCATTACGCTTCCCATTTTTAAGTTTGGAATAGAGTAGTTGCTTTGGAAGACGATAGTCAGTCATCCACACAACATGACAAGTCCAACAAAGTTGATGTTGAAGAATCATTGCTTTGACACTGGTGATCTTTGCTTCCTCCAGTACACTGGCATTGGTTCGCCTGTCTTTCCAAGTGATGTGTAAAAATTTTCAGAGACACCGCAGTTCATCCAATTATTTCTTATTAATGAGTATATAAGCCTTGACCATTCAGATATAAAGCAGCATTATAAATGCAACCCTAAGAGAAAGGAGAAAGGGATGCAGTTTGTTATATCCTACTGTATATCATACTGAAGTACAACTTCCACTCCCTGGTATTTTGTGGGCCCTACAGGTAAGCTTGTAAGTAGCACCTTTAAATAATACTAGCACACGCAGTGTGCATGCAAAGAGTTCAAAGTGCTTCTCAGATCTTATGCTGGCAAACCTTGCGAGGAAGGTCCAGATCGGCTGGGGCAATGCAATCAGATGGACAGGGTGCAAATAATAAAATCATTGTTGTTGTTGTTTTCATCATACTGCAGATCGGAACAGAGGCCGAGAGGTGGCTGGCTTGCCTAAGGCCACCTAGCAAGTTGGTGGCCGAGGTCACATTTCAGCCAGGATCAGTCATCATTATTTTACACTCATCTGAAATCTTCCCTTCATATTGGTAGTGGAAATGAGTAACCTTGTCCTTCAATCTGAATGTATTTTCTGCACTCCTGTGTTGAAATCCATACTCGGAACAAAGCTTCCAGGCTTCCAACGCTGTATAATGAGGAGTTGAGAACGGGTGTGCTACATTTGGTACTAATATGCAGGGATTAAATAAGAGATGAATGTCAACTTGCTGCCTATTACCTGTCCGTTTATACTAATTTTCTTTGCAATCCAGGCATGGCTGAGTTCTAATACTCTCCCCATTTTCTTTTGCTTAATTAAAAGTGGAATTCTGAATGTCAACTGTATTGGAAACGCTAGGCAAGTTGGGGTTTGCTTACAGTTGTAAAATCTAGTTTTCCAAAGTTGATGGAAATTCAAGGGAAGATGTTTGTGAGTCTCTCCGGGCTGTGGTTTATGATTGCATTATCATTCTCATGCCCCTGGCATGCTTTAAGGGACAGTTGCTTGAATCCCATAAGAACATGAACATTTTAAATGGCCAAAAGACATGTCAAGAAATATATATTCTCTGTTTTTTAATGAAATAATTTGTCCAGGTTTGGGGCATAGTTAGAAAAGAGGGCAGGATTGGTGTTGTTTTGTTTTGCCATGAATTAATTTAACAATCGTTCTTAAAACAAAATCTACAGCATTTTAGAAAATTGACCTAAGAAGATTTAATTGCATTTGCTAGTGATTTGATCGCTTATTCTTCTGTATTCCCAGCTCGAACAATGGGTGCTTGGTGAACCTGATTTCTGCCCTTGTCTTTCTCTGTCTTACACAACCCCTTGACACATTAATCATGATGGCAAACATGATTGAGAAGCGCCATTGCTCAGTGCTGGAGGCACATGGTTCGCATGCAAAAAGGACTCAGGTTTAAACTTTGCCATCTGGGAATCTGGGTTTTGCAAAGGATTTAAATGTAAGAAAGTTGTTCTCTCTCTCTCTCTCTCTCTCTCTGTGTGTGTGTGTGTGTGTGTGGTCTGTAAAACATTAACCAAACAAATGCGGAAAGTTTGGCAGATGTCTTTATTTCTTTCTGTCATATTTCTTTTCTTTCTTAAAAAAAAATAAATCAAAATCAGTTATAGATGCAAAATAATAACCAGTGAAATACAGCTAAACAAATACATAAGAATCACAAAAAAATTCCACCAGCAAACATCCGGTATGGAGACTGAAATACAAAATGTGTGACATGAAGACACCTGAGTACAAGCACAAAAGAGAGTCCGTGCAATAAAAAAATAGATGTTGCAATATCATCAATCTGGAGACAGTACCTACACATTCCATACATGCAAGGAAGCAGAGGGCAGCATTTGATGTAACTGCTTAGTGTTCATTTCACATGAAATAAAATTCCACCTTATAACTTAGAGCTTCTTGACTGTCTTTAATGATCCTTGAATAGCTCTAACTTACCAAGTTAGTTTTTGCACGATTGCTGTGTTCCACACATCATTCCACCAGGATGCGAGAATAACAATAGGTAGACCTGCTGCATCCTGCCAACCTAGCAGTTTGAAAGCACGTCAAAGTGTAAGTAGATAGATAGGTACCGCTCTGGCGGGAAGGTAAACGGCGTTTCCGTGCACTGCTCTGGTTCGCCAGAAGCGGCTTAGTCATGCTGGCCACATGACCCAGAAGCTGTACACTGGCTCCCTTGGCCAATAAAGCGAGATGAATGCCGCAACCCCAGAGTCGTTCGCTACTGGACCTAACAGTCAGGGGTCCTTTTACCTTTTTAGACCTGCTGCCACCAGCAGGAATATCACAAGGTCTTTAGATTTCACAGTCTTGTTGTCGTCATCAAACACGTTGAACGATGCGTTATTTTATAATTTTGGTAAACTCCTTTGTCACATCAGGCCAAAAGGATTTAGCCAAGGGGCAGCCCCACCACAGGTGGTAACAGCTGCCATGTGAACCGCATCTTCTCCAACAGTCTGGAGTCATTCTAGATGTAATAGGAGAGAGTTGGATGGGAATTCAATACCATTTGTGGTTGAGTGTGAGAGAGGACTCAGCTACATTGGCAAAGAAAAAGCCCTTTATATGCTTTGTTTATACATTCTAACACTGGGACACCAGATGGCGTTGTGGAGTTCTGTTTTTGTTAACCTGATTTCTCATACAGTGGTACCTCGGGTTACATACGCTGCAGGTTACAGACTCTGCTAACCCAGAAATAGTACCTCAGGTTAAGAACTTTGCTTCAGGATGAGAACAGAAATCGTGCTCCGGCGGCGTGGCAGCAGCAGGAGGCCCCATTAGCTAAAGTGGTGCTTCAGGTTAAGAACAGTTTCAGGTTAAGTACAGACCTCCGGAACGAATTAAGTACTTAACCTGAGGTACCACTGTACAAAGTTTGCAGTGCTTTTAACTGAAATGCTTATTTGATGTGTCTAGATCCAGCCAGTCAGTTCTTCAATTTGAGCAGACTTCCAACCAGAGATGGTGTGGACTGGGGGGTGGGGAACCAGGACAATGTAGGGCTCTGTGGACAGTGACTTTATTTACTATTGCCAAGAAGATACTGAAGATGCATGGTTTACAAAAGAGTGGAATGGCATTGCTTGGAACCATAAGAAGCCTTAAGCCATGGGTAGGCAAACTAAGGCCCGGGCCCGGATCTGGCCCATTCGCCTTCTAAATCTGGCTTGCGGATGGTCCGGGAATCAGTGTGTTTTTACATGAGTAGAATGTGTCCTTTTATGTAAAAATGCATCTCTGGGTTGTTTGTGGGGCATAGCAATTCGTTCATTCCCCCCCCCCCATATAGTCCACCGCCCCCCCCCCAAGGTCTGAGGGACAGTGAACTGGCCCCCTGCCGAAAAAGTTTGCTAACCCCTGCGCTTGTTTAAACCTTTCCTCCTTCATATCTGAACTGGAGCAAGTTCCTAACATTCCCTCCTTCCACAGTGCTTCACCACTGGGAAAACTCGACATATAACATGCTTCTAGATTATCTGTTTTTTTGAGCATCCATCCTGATTTGCTTGCAGGTCAATTAAGGTACATGATGTTGACTGGTGAATAATTGAGCGTTCATCCTGATTTGTTTGTGGGGAGGCTAGCTGACACTGTTTCAAAGCAAGTGTTATCATGCATTTTTCAGTTGTGTTGCTTGTTGCAAGAAGTCTGAACATTTTGGGAAGCAGCTTTGATGCACAAGACCTTCCAACCAACTATAATTTCATGACCCGAATTTGTCAGTATGTGGTTGGATCCCAGTTGAAAATACAGACCATCCGGAAGTGCCCTTAGAGGGTAAAAACTTCCACCTAGAGAGAAATAAATTAAGTAACCGAGTTGCCACATAACGGAGGCCACAGTGGTAGGATATTTAAAATCCTATTAATTGGAGATAGCAGTGGGATAGTAAACTGTGAGCCTCAACAGAGTGTGTGTTGTGATTTCTCAGTCCAGAATGACTTGTAGTTGCTGTTATTGTTATTATTATTATTAGGATGGACAGATGCAAAAGAGGAACAGGGCTCCTGGACTTCTTATCGTTCATTTCAATTATTATATTTTTATGCCACCTTTCCACAGTTAAAACCATGCTCACAGTTTACTATCCCACAGCTGTCTTCAGTACACGGGGTTTTAAATATCCTACCACTGTGGCCTCCGCTATGTGGCAACTCGGTTACTTACCGTAACTTATTTCTCTCTAGGTGGAAGTTTTCACCCTCTAAGGGCACCTCTGGCAGCTTACAATGTATAAAAAATTACAAAATTATAAACGTAACAAAAACAATAAATAAAACATCAAAAAGTACACAACCAAACGGAACAATTTCCAAATAAATCATAAGAAGATTAAAAAAAACCAAAAATGAAGACCAATAACAGCAACAACCCACACAAACAAAAACCCCTAAATAACACCCCAGCCCAAGAGTCTGATCAGCAGCCTCAGCTTTTGTAGCTGGAGTCAGTCAGGGCCCAGACCTCCAAGGCCAAGTGGAAAAACACCTATGAGTCTGGGAGCAGGTCTTCCAGGACTCATAGCTGTGTACAAGAGATAATTTAAGCAGGTGTGGCCTGCATTAAAGGTACAGGATCCTTAGCCTCTATTTGCCTCTGTTCCACCCCCATCCCCATTAAAGGTACAGGATCCCTAGCCTCTATTTGCCTCTGTTCCACCCCCATCCCTAATTATTTTGCTACTTGTTTTGGCTTTGACTGGGAATTTGGAAGTTAAGCAAGCCAATTCATACTGATTTTTTTGCTGCTGAGGAGGGTGAGCCTACCTAGAGACACTAGAGGAGACAAAGAGCTGCTGCTCCCCTGTCCTGCTTTTCCTGTCTCAGCAATGTCTAGTTCTACACAACATGTGTCATGATGTGATCACTCTGTGCATTTCCCCTCCCCCTCCCACCTCAGATCACTTACTGTCAGGGGCAGAAAAACATACAGACAGATGACAGGGCATCATGCAACGCCTTAACAATAGATGTTACTAGAAGGAGAGGGAAAGAGGAAGTGTTTGCAGTTCTGCGCTCTTCTCGTGGCTAATTTGCACCTCTCTGTGTATTGTTGGCTAGCTAATTATTATGGTTGCTTGAGAAGTGGAATGGCAATAGGAGAATAGGGTGGGGAATAAGGAACTTATACAGTGGTACCTCGGGTTACATATGCTTCAGGTTACACACTCCGCTAACCCAGAAACAGTGCTTCAGGTTAAGAACTTTGCATCAGGATAAGAACAGAAATCGGGCTCCGGCGGCGCGGCAGCAGCTGGAGGCCCCATTAGCTAAAGTGGTGCTTCAGATTAAGAACGGACCTCCGGAACGAATTAAGTACTTAACCCGAGGTACCACTGTAAAGCCATTCCTGAGACACTGGTGAAGATTTGCTGTGTGAAGCAGAATTTAAGAGGCAGTCCGGTTCCAGGTCTAGCATTGGATAGCAAATATTTCAAGAGCTGTTTGCTGAAGCAGATCTCAGGCTTACCACAGATTTTGTGGAGCACAACAATCCCACAGACCCAGCCACATGGACCATTTCCCAGAGTTGCGAACCATCCTACCTGTCTTTCTGATGGCTCCCCATCTATAAAAGAAAATGCAGGTGCCACAGTTCCTTGCCCTGTTCCCATTTTTCTGCCTGCCCCCCCCGCCCATTTTACAAAGGGGCAGAATGAGGATTCTTCATCTAGTAGCCAACAAGATGCAAAGGCATCACATTTCTGCTCCCCCTGGAAGAATCCTTGGAGTTGCCTCTCTCTCTGCCGTAATAGTGAGAGCCTCTGCCATCATCGTAAGACTTGGATCATTGATCGGTTCAAGAGTGAACTCCCTGCTGAATGGGTATGCGACCGGAATAATGCAGAGCTCAGCTGCAGTACATTAAAACCTTTTGGCAAATTGACTGTATAGCAATATATTACTTCTGATTGTTTAGGTAATTGATTTTGGACCATTTCTTGCCAAAAGGAAAACTGACAGCGACAGATGATGCAACTCCCCCCCCCACCGCAAGCAATTAAAGGGGGGAAAATCATCTTCTGTCCTGGTTCTGCTTAGGTGAAGAGTTGTTGCCAGTGTACACTGAGAGAATAATGGG